AAAAACAAGAAGAAAAAAAACAAGAAGAAAAAAAACAAGAAGAAAAAAAACAAGAAGAAAAAAAACAAGAAGAAAAAAAACAAGAAGAAAAAAAATAAAAAAAATAAAAAGAAAAAAAATAAGGATACTGAATAAGGATAAAAAATAAGGATACTAAATAAGGATGAAAAATAAGGATAGAAAATAAGGATGAAAAATAAGAATAAAAAATAAGGATGAAAAATGAGGATGAAAAATGAGGATGAAAAATAAGGATAAAAAATAAGGATGAAAAATAAAGGATAGAAAATAAGGATAGAAAATAAGAATGAAGAATAAGGATAAAGAATAAGAATGAAGAATAAGGATAAAGCATAAGAAATAAGGGGAAAAAAAAAAAAAAGGAGGGAGGGAATAAGTGGCAGAGGAGATGGCAAAAATGTGTCGAGGGAGGTGTCGATGTAAATGGCGAAGAAATGTCGATCTAGATGTCAGTGTAAATAGCAATACAAATGTCGAAGTAAATGGCGAAGTAAATGGCGAAGTAAATGTCGAAGTAAATGTCGAAGTAAATGTCAAAGTAAATGTCGAAGAGATTGTCGAAGTAAATGTCGAAGAGATTGTCGAAGTAAATGGCGAAGTACCTAGATGTCAGTGTAAAAATTCATAGAGCAGATGGTGGATAAAGGGCAATAGATGGCAAACAAAATGATGAAGAAATGGCAAATAAAATAAAGAGAAAAAAAATGTTGGGGTAAATGTGAAAAAGATGGTAAAGAAAATGGAAAGTAAATGGTAAAAAAAAGAGAGAAAAAATGTCAGGGGAAATATAAAAAGATGGCAAAAATATGGCAAAGAGATGAGGTGAGGAGGTAAAAGGGAATCGCTGGAGGTCGCTGGAATCGCTGAGGTCGCTGGAATCGCTGAGGTCGCTGGAATCGCTGAGGTCGCTGGGGATAATGATGAAGGCGCTGGAGAAACAAAAAAATGAAGGTCGCTGGGGGATAAAAAATAAAGGTCGCTGGGGAGTAAAAAATAAAGGTCGCTGGGGGATAAAAATAAAAAGTCGCTGGGGATAAAAATAAAAGATCGCTGGGATAAGAATGAAGATCGCTGGGAAAAAAAGATCGCTGAGAGAGTATCGCTGGGTGAGGAATGATGGAACAAGGAAAGGAAAAGGAGACCAAGGAGGGAGGGAAGCCCTCCTTATATAGACGTGGGAGTGCCATACAAAACAAAGGAGGAGGAGAAGATGTGTGAACGGGCACTTCGGAGAGAAAGTCATCGTTGGGGTTCGCCATGGAGAGATGAAAAGCATGAGCTTGTTCCTCGGAAAGTTTCAAGCGTTGGGATTCGGAGGCCAAGGAGCTCAAAACGTTGAAGATCGCACGGGAAATGATTGAGCAGTTGGGATGAGGAAGCGAAAAGGGTCCGAAGCTCGTCACCAAGAGCTTATCCGATCCTCAACCAAACGACTATGGTATCGTGGGTTTGTTGGAGGCTTCAAAAGTGACGATCCTTCCCGATAGAATGTCTCCGGTTGAGCTGCGAACTTTATCTCGCCTGAACAGATGAGACGCGGCGAGATTCTAAAGTCTAATAGGATAAGGGGACGGAACTTCGTCTCCTTGAAAGCATTTGATGGCAGTATCATGGGCGATACCGTAGGCTCCAGGAGATACGGAGAAGGACGATGCATATCCAGTCGGCCAAAGCTATGGTTCATCAGAATGCCTAGGCAATGGAAGCATCTAAGAGAGAATCAGCAATATCTCAGTCCATCTGTAGTAAAAAAAAAAAACCAGAAGTCAAACGAAGGCTCACCTTGGACTCCAAGTCCAGAAATATATCCAGGTCCCCTTCAAGGTTGCCAGAACCAAGCTCAACGTCATCAATGGCAGATCCTCACGATAGGGGAGTCAAGGAAAGCTCCGAAAACTGTCATTTCGTTCATGTTCAGCTTAAGCGAAGAATATATCTTCCCGAATTGTCTCAATTCTCCCCTCAACACGGCGAGTTTTCGTTCCCAAGGTGCCATAACTCGAGCAGGCTTGAAACCTAAACCGGCCTCGCTTGTAAGATGTTTGCCAGCCAAAGGACAATGGTCTACCCTGGAGCAAAACATTGTATTAAAACAAGATCTTTGTATGTGAGCAAACAAGACTGCAACATATCCATCTCGAGAGTCAGAAGTAACCAACAGTAGCCCGTATCTCGATGTGCTTGCCAACTCTCTTAGTCGCCATATTCCTCGTCATCATCGTCAATGACGGTTTGTCTCGTTCTTCGTGTTGTTCGAGTCTTTCTGGATCTCGTTGAAGAATTGCGAGGTTTGGAAGAACTTTCCGCTTGAGCCTCAATGTGAGTGTCCTCAACACTCTCATCACGGCCATCTTCCATCACCAAATCTCCATCCCCACCCTGATCATCCTCATCAAGAGCGGGGAAGAAGTTTGATGTCTCGTGTCCTCGGTCGTCTTCGTCATCTTCTTCATAATCTTCGGGGAGAAACCCCCCGGCGAGTTCTTCGTCGTGAACCTTGGGCGCGCTGCCGGCCGGAGCCCCTCCTCGTGCATGGCCAAAGACAGAGACACTCTCATCAATCTCGCCGTATTCTTGCCGAATTCTCTCCACGATGCGCATCCCCATGATAAACTTTCGCCACATCCCCAGTGCTGCCTTGCGCCGTTTCTCGTCTTCTTTCCGTACGCGCTCCGCTTCGTCCTTTTCCAGTTCTGCCATCACTCTATCATGATGCTCTTTGGCGATAACGACTCCCTGGATGACGGGGACAGCCATGCGATGGCCAAACTCAAAGTCTACTACGGCCTCTGCGTAGTCGATGCCGAGCCTCTTGCAAACTTTGCCAACACCTCTGAAGGGGACATGTACGGCGCCTTCAGGACACATATGCTCGGCAAACAGGTCAATATTCCTACGTAAAGTTAGTCCACGTTGAGCAAAAAAAAAAAAAAAAAAAAAAAAAAGTATGAAGCAAACATACCCGTATTCATTCTTCGGAATGACACCATCCTTGATAGGTGGTGGTATGATCCAGTCTGTTTGATCGAAGCTGTACAGTCCTTGGAGCACCTTTTGGCCAGTCATTGCCTCGGCTTCCAAAATCTCCCTCTTCCGGTTGAGAGTGGCAGCGCGATATGGCACTCTCTTCAGCGGCTCTTCGCCAGCAAGCGGAGCGCGGCCTTGCTTGTGCCAGGTTTCTGCGCTCTTGACCAGCACAACGTCGGACCGAAGATACACATCTTCCTCGTCCACTTTGCCACCTTTCCCTTTGTTCTTGAACACCTTGACCGGTTTGGCACCAGGTCTCAGCGCTTCCTCGCGTTTGAGATGCCTCTCTAGGGCGAGTTCTTTGGACTGTTTGTAGTATTGTAGCGTCTCCTCGCCCTCCTTGACCTCCTTCTTTTCCGCCTTTGCAGGCCTCAGGTCTGTAAGGTCTTCTACTTGGTCGACTTCTGTCAAAGGATGATCCTTGCTTCCACGCCTGTAGCCGGACATGGCTGTTTTGAACCAGTCTGCCATTTCGTAGCGCTTAACCTTGCCATGACGATTGTAGACTGGCATCTTGACCGGTGGCATTCGGACACCCTTAGTGCGCCCTGGAAGAACTTGCCTCTTCAGATATCTGACCGTCACGTCTTTGGCGGTGCCATCTTTCGAATAGCCCACGACATAAGCAATAACCTGCCTGGCTCTATCCGCTTTGGCGCCACGAGGTTCAAACGTCTCGATGAGATCTCGATTCGTTGCAACTGTGCCCTTGACGATGGGATCGACTGAGAGGTATTTCTTGGTAACCGGTGATAAAACCTCTGTCCAGTAGTGTGGGAACTCGAGGTCTTTGTCAAACTTTTTCGTATGCAAAGACTTGGTCGGCGTGGTGAGTGTCATATCGACAGATTCGTCGTCTGTATCTTTGAATTCAGGCTCCAAGTCATCTTCAGACTCTTGAGTGGCTTCGGGTAACTGCTTGGCAACTCGGGCGGATCGTGATCGGGATGGGGTCTTGTTTGGTTTTGTCTTTTCTTTCGCCTTCCCCTTCGATACCTCTTTCTCCGACTTCTTCCCAGTGGCCTTCTTGTTGGTAGTTTTAGCCGGCGTGGCCTGTTGGTTTTCATTATCCTCGGGATCCGCGTCTTCAAGCTTATTCCATCCAAAGCCTAGTGGCTGCAGACTGGCAACCATCCGAGCATCCATGCCCAAGCCCCGAAGCAGCGCAGTCAACAGTTGAGCACCAACATCTCTACTCCCCCTGCACTCGGTAGCGCATTGCCGAAATCCCTCTATGCTCTCTATCATCTCCCCAAACTCTTCGTCATCTGCTTCGTGTTCCTTGTATGCTTTTGTTAGCCTATCCAGCCGTTCGAGCGACATGTAGCCCCATTTCCGGAGACCAGGAGCCGTAACTCGAAATCGTTGCTTCCACCAGGCGACTAATGACTTCATAAGTCGAAACAGAGGATCACCGTGGCTCATGTCTATGGCCCCATCTTCCAGTCTCTTGGCGTCTTCGCCCCAATCTCGGGACTCTTGCTTCGCGCCCTTCTTCTTTGCAGGTTTCTTGGGCGGTGGTGGTGGTGGCGGCCTTTTCACCAAGCCGCTGTTTTGCCTCCAGCGATCAACCTCATCCCACATCCTGGGCGGAACATGGGAAACCATGATTGCCTGAACCTCGGGGTCGCATATCCAAGAGTTCCGGACTGCATTGTGCCATAGAAGACAGAGAACATGGACGCAATGCGTCGCATTCCGAACCATCCGCTCTCGCTTTGAAGGTCCTTTTTTGTCGAATTGGTTCGTCAAGGATATCCGATTGTCCCGGATGAGAGTCAATTCGAGGTCGCCGGACGGCACCGGCGCATCTGGTGCGAATTGCGGCGGGGCCTCTACATCCTCAAACTCGATGTCGTCGTCATCGTCATCATCGTCATCCAGGGCATCAGAATCATCTGTTCTCTGCCGCTTGGCGAGAGGGACATCTTCAAAGTCGCTATCTGATAATGAAGAAAGCGGACTGTCGCTATCACCGCTTCCTCCGAGATCGTGAAGCAGCGAATCTGAGCCTCCCGGTGTATGCGACGAGTCAAGGTCGTCGTACAGCGTCCTTTTCCGAGCAGCACCTGCCCTGGAACTCGCCTCGCCAACGGTCTTGTCGGGAGTAGCCACGTCCTCTGGTGACAAGGCTCTTAACCTTTTGCGAGGGACATATGGAGGCATATCTTTTTACACGCCGATTTGAGATGCGAGGTTGAGGTGTGGCGAGAAGTGACATGTCGTCATTGACGCGAACGTATACGCGGGATCACGTGCGCCATTATGAATGCATGCCTCAGCATGTGATGCCACCCTGGAGCACTTGATATGAAAGTGTACGAGTATGTGTTTCCTTGATAATGCCGTGAGGACCTCCCAAAGCCATGTATCACTGGGTATAGATGACTGAAAAAATGTTGAAAATAGATCTGTTGGATTTGTGATGATGCATTAGGGAATCATTTCTATGTTAGATCTGTACCAATCATCAATGCAATATGCAATATCGCTGTGTTCAATGCTCCCAATTCCTCGACCAGCTCAAACATATCTGGGAGAATCGCTCCTCATAAACGCCCGTATTACCTCTTGTATAATTCCGCTCTTCTCCCAATGTTTTTCAAACCTCTATCAAGTCTGCAGGGGCACCAACGCCCCTCAGCAAAACCAGGGTATTCCCGCTCTGTATCGCCGCGCCCACCTTCTCCCCATAATCAAGCACTCTGCCTCCTTCGACGTGGAAAACTCGTAGCTTGTCTCTCTCATCTGAACTCTGGTTGTTGACGTTTTGTACTTGGAGACTCCGTGCTGCCGCATCTAATAATCGACCGACGACCCAATCCTTGGAGTAGAAGAACTCTCCCTTGGGAAACTTGGCCTTTGCTGTCTCGGCCTCGGCTTCCACGTACACGTAGACGCGCTTCTCCGGCGCGAGCTTGTCGTCGCCCTTTGCAGTCTTCTTCAGAGTGTTGACGGCCACCATTCGTGCCGCTGCCGAGCTGGGCTTGGGCTTGGGCAGCGCTCTTCCAGCCTGCTCCTTCTTTGCCGTCCCCCACGCTCGAAGCCGGTCCAGCGCGGATTTCGTCCTCGCCGCGACATCGATCTGAACAGGCCGCGCCCCGATGGGCGTCAGGTTCTTGCAGTTGTGGTCGTCCTTGAAGCGATGCTTCAGGCAGTAGTCCCGGTTACACGTCTCGCAGTGCACCCCTGGCGTCCGCGCCGTCCCGATTGTCGTATCGCACTCTGGCGACGCGCATGGCTTCTCCGAGATCTTGTCCCGCAGCGTCCTCCCCTGGCCGATGGACGGCTTTGACAGCTGGGCCTGCCGCTTGCGCTCCGCCCAGGCGCCCGCGTTTGCGCACTTGTGAGCCGACTCTGAGCGGTGGTCCAGGCAAAAGGTCTTGGTGCAGGACTGGCAGAAGAAGGGGAGGAAGTCGAGCTGGTTGCAGTATTCGTACTGGCAGTGCTTGCCGACGAGGCTGGCGTCTTCCCTGTCCTTCATGATGTAGCTCGTTTCTGGAGCGTCGGAATCCGAGCCCGACGCCATCTTGGGGTTCCGTGGAATAAATACTTTGATGTCTGTTTGTTTGCTAATCCTCGTTTGCTAATTGCGCCTCCCGTGATGTGCTTCAGGCAGAGCAGACGTCGTCACCTTACAAAGGGATAATTGAGTGAGTGAGTCCCTGGTCCGGCTGAGGGCGTTTGCCGTCGGCTGACCAACCGTGGCAAGGAAGCGTCTGGAAGCCCCTTTAGCCGTCTGCTAAATTTGGCACTCAAGACCCGTGCGCCCTGCACTATCGTGGAGGCAAAGAGCGAATGCAACGGGTTTGATAATCAGGGCATGGAATGTGAAATAAGTAGGGAAGTTTGCTGATCTCGGAGTCGCCAAGCGTCAGGGGCAGGCAGCACGAGATGACGCGCAAATAAGGCTGCTGCAGGGTCGAGATGGGCATCGCGGGGTCAAATCGAGGCCCCACTAACAGCTAGTATGAAGCACATGTCAGATGCGATGTCAGAGCTGGCTTACATGTGTCTCTTCGTGTGTGTACTGTACGACGTGGTCAGTAATTGATGTAATATTTGAGATGAAGCTAGAATAGATAACTTTTGATATATACATAAAGAGAGCGGAACCCATGTTGTACTCTATTTACAAAGACTTCTACCATGCTCGTTCCTCCATATGAAAGAGTGGAGTGCTCTGCTCCGTCACGCCTTATCCCATGCCCATATCCAGAGTATGCGGCTAGTCCTCCTTGATCTTGGGATCCTTGTTGAGAAGCTTCTCTCGGCCCGTGGACGGCGAGTCTCCAACATAGGCCTTGCCTCCAAATTGCTCAAAGCCCTTGTGGAAGATCCACTCCACGGTGTCCTCGACCGGCTTGTCGAAGAGGGTGGGCAAGAAGGGAACCACCGACAGGCCAAGTCCAATGGGACCCCATGTTCTAATGGTGGCATTTTTGGCATTCTTCAATGCCTTGCCAGAGTACTTGACCACACTGTGAATAGTGAATGCCGGCAGACCCATACTGGCGACGCTCTGGAAGATGGCTCTCTGCACCATGACGGTTCGCCAGTCCTCCAACGGAGAGACTACACCTGGAACAAGATTGCGCGTCTCCTTCTCAGGGAGGCCGGTGAGCCTCTGTTGGTGAGAGTTGAGCAGAACCTGTGGGTTGAGGATTCGCTGGTTTTGCCAGTAGGCGCGGTATCCCTCGTGTGAGACATCGCCCAGAATGTAGAGCCACGAGATTCCGTATGCAGTGCGAACAAGGTGCGGATGCGCAACTGGTCGGAACGATTCGCCAATATCGGAGGTATAGGCGACGTATCGGTGGGCAGATAAAAGGATGGTTCGGAGTCTGGTCGCATATGCAGCATATCGCACATTGCTCTCCGTCGAGTCCGGGGCACTACACACAAACGCTCTTAGTCCGTTGTCTGCCAGAAAGAGAGCGGCTGACTATTACCGTCCTTCCTTTATGCTGTCAAAGAAGCTCTCATCCTGGTCGGCCTTGTCGATAATCTTCTGCAGCGCCTTGGGCAGCTTCTCGGGCTTGGGGAGCTGAGGGTCGAAGACGGATTCCTTGCGCGCTTCTTTTTGCTGTTCCTGCTGCTGCTGCTGCTCAGGCTTCGAGTCGGATGATTTGCCCCACCAGCCCATGATGAGTCTCTAGTGCGCGATGCAATGCAGAAAGGTGATTGGAAAACGGACGTCTATGGAAAGGAAATGCCGCGATGGTTGAACGTTGCGAATTGAAGGATTACGAGGGTTGTGAGAGCCAGGTTCTGTCAAGCTGGAGATATAGTAGTCGCAGGCAAAGCCGTAGCTCACGGCTACCGAAACCTCCCGCAAGCTAACACGGCCAAATCCGTACAGTGACGTCGACCATGAGAAACGGCACCTGCAAAATTGGGCATCCACTGCGCCGAACGCCCAGCCGGGGAATAGCCGAGGTGCCGCGCCGGCCTGCAATTCCAGGCACAAGTCCGCAAGTGCGTTTTCGAGGCAAAAGTCGGTTGTCCATCGGATCCCGCAAATCCTCCAGCAATCCATCGATTCCCGCCCAATTCCTCTCGTCCACCCCCTTCCGACGCATATCCCGAGGTCAAGATGGCTGGTGTCGCTACCTACACTATTGCTGGCCGACAGATCGGCGGCCACTACGTATGTCCTGCTGCGGAAGAAGCTCCTCCAAGCTGCTCTGGTTCCAGCGCTCTAACATGAACATTTGCAACACCACAGCTTGCCATGGGCTGGTTGGCTACCCTGTTTGGCGGTGCCTACTACGCTGCTTCTGGCCCCAAGAAGTCCGCCTCTGCCGCCGCTACTCCCCCGATCAACGCTTCCAGCTCTGACGAGGCCGACTTCATCAAGTGCGTTATATATCGTGCGCGACGCTCAAGCGCGGTCGACTAACGGGATGACAGGAAATTCCTCGAGGAGCAGGACAAGAAGCACTAAACATCGAACTTTGAAAAAAGATGGCGTGGAGGATAGTGCATTGTGGTCTTGTACATAACAGATACACGGAGAGCGAGAGAGTCTCGATATAGAATACGATGCGATTACCTTCTCCGAAAAGCTTACGAATCTGCTCAACATGGCTACGCCTATGCATTGAACTTGCGAATTCTTGAACCTTCAAAGCGAGACGCTGTGCATGAGGTTGGACGTTTTGCAGCGTTGGCGGTGCGGCTGGATACCGGACACTTCTCTCGTCTGGGCATTTATCATCCATCAGAGGTCAAGAAGCGACAGTCGGATGTACCTTGGATATTGATGCTATCCTGAGAGCTGTACTGCCTGCAACGAGCGAGGAGGGCTTTGGCTGCATCACTCGATGACTTACGTGTGCCTATCATGCATGATCTGGCATTCTTTGACTTACTAGGTAGGTATCTGTGTAAAGAATCTCTGCGTTGTGACCATATGCGCCGTCTTGGGAAGCCATAATAGATAGTCAGCGATTTCTGGCTCTCCACCTCTACCCTACTTCCAGGACATTGCAAGAAGGCATACTGAGTATATGCACGGTTGATGAGTGGTACATGAGGTGCATTGTATTAGTAGCTTCCATGCCTTGTATGTATAACAGTATCAATTGGCCCTGCGTGAAAGCATCGCGATAGTGGCTTGCAGGCTACGCTATGAAGTACATTATTTAGAGCGACTGGCAAGACTTCGTTAAGTGCTTCACACAATAAGCTCATGAAATCTATTCATCGTAACATGATATGGAGAAATTCAATAATGGACGCCATGTCTTGGATCAATCTATTTCTTAGCGTCCTACCCATCGGCTTCATGCCACGAGCCTGTTGTCGTCCTTGTAGCCGGATATAAGCATACCACACTCCTTAGCACGACGCATACCCAGGATACAGACAACCATGCCTACATACAACCACCGCGAATCGCATATCACAGGCCGCAGTTTGGCCACTCCTCATGCATGGCTCACAGGTCTGACAGGCGCCTCATGCAGAGCAACAACGAGGCAGCCTATCACGAGGCGGGAGAGACTCGCTGCAGGCACCGTGTAGCCAATATGCAGTCGGTTCTTATGAAGCACAAGCAGCCGAAGTCGATAGGCACCCAATCTGCCAGACTCTCGTTTGGGGAGAAACGGGTCACGTGAGGCATTCGCCGGGTGCAGACCAGCAAAAAAAGCCCTGACGCGCCCCGCCTCGCTCTTTTATGGCGCATGCACCATCTCCCTAAAGCGAACCGAACCCCCCAATCCATCGGATACAACGATTGCAATTCGGACGACACCGCAAAACCCGATATCGAATCGAGTCGACCTCGCCCCCAAATGGCCGCCACGACAGACTCCTTGGTGGACGGCAGCGACATCTCGCCGTCGGCGGCGCCCAAGGAGCGGCATTCGCTGACGCTGGACCAGCGGCGCGCGCTGCGGCGCTGGGCCAACAACCAGACGATCCGGCCGTCGCACAAGGCGTGCATCGAGTGGTTCTTTGGCCAGTACGGCCAGCAGATCAGCCAGTCGACCGTCTCGCACTCGCTGTCGCCCAAGTACTCGCGCCTCGACGGCGACAACCCGCAGCTGTCGGGCTCGCGCCTGCGCTTCGGCAACTGGCCCGACGTCGAGAAGCTGGTGCTGCTGTGGTACCAGCAGGTCCAGGCCGCCGGCCGCCAGCCCACCAACGAGGAGCTGGGCGAGAAGGCAAAGGCCATCTTCAGCCAGCTGCCGCGCTACAAGGAGGAGACGCCGCCCGAGTTCTCGCCCGGCTGGATCCACCGCTTCAAGAAGCGCTATGGGCTGCTGATCCGGCGCCAGCGGCGGCATGGAGACGGCGGCATCAACCCGGCCGACGACATCGACTACCTGGCCGACTGCGTCCCGCGCTTCATGGCCATTGCCGCCGACACGAGCCCGGCCGCCATCCGTGAGCAGGTCCTGCGTGTCGTGGGTGTCGAATCGAGCCTCAACACCTGCGCCCTGGTCCGCGACGAGATCATCCGCCGTCTCGCCAACGCCCACGCCCAGCCCCTGCCATCGCTGGCCCCCGTGGAGCCGACGCTCGCGCAGCCGCAGCCGGACCAGCCAATGTACGCCGACGACGATCCCGAGGTGGTGCTGCAGAACGCCCTACGACAGCTCCAGCAGGAGGAGCAGGCCGCTGAGGAGCAGGCTGCCGCCGTACGTGAGGAGAGGGAGCGCGCCGAGAGAGCCGCGGGGCTCCAGCAGCAGCAAGGCATGGTGACGACGCCGAGCGGTCGTGCGCCGTCCGACACCCGCTACACCACGCCGGGCCAGGACATGGCGCCCGAGCTGACGCTCACGCCGATTCACTCCGAGGTTCCGCTCAGCACTCACGGGGAGAGACCGCTGCGATGTCCGTTTTGCGTCAACCAGCGGATGCTCCGTTCGATCAAGGAGGCCGTGGAGCACATGTCGACTCACGTCGTGGTGTAACTCTCCTCCTCAGGGACCGTTCTCTATTCTTTGTTCCATCACACGTTTTTCATTCGCCGTTGTCATTTTTCCAAGCCGAATAGCCAACTATCGATTCCTACTGCTTTGTGCGAAGTCTCTTATCACGATCTGGGAGTATAGGGGAAGGGGGGCGGAAGGCCGGTCGATATTCTGGGACGATGAATTCCCCTTCCTTGTGCAATTGGAGTTTGACCGAGACAGGTCGTCTTGTGGAGTTTTGGCGTCTTCCTTTTTTTTTTTTTTTCTTCCCGTTTCTAACCATTTTCTCTTGATATCGCCATGATGCACAAGGGCGGCGGTTGCTACAAGTACCAGGTAGTCTTGTTGATGAGATATATCCTACCTTTACTACCTAGGGACGCAGAATTCACAGACGATCCCAATATGAAAGCCTCCAAAAGTGGTATCATCGTTATGTAATTGAAATCGTAGAGCCAACTCAACCCTCCTCTTATCCCATCTACACATTCAAACACCTTATATAAACCCAGTGTCCCTCAGACGCTGCATCAAAGCATCTGCCTCCTGCTGCGCTTCCCGCTTCTGCATCTCCTCCACATCACTGGCCCCAATGTAATTCTTCCAAAACTTGAGGCCCTCGAGCCCCTCCTCGCGACACAAGGCCCCCTGCTCCTCCGCCATGAGCAGCTCCTCCTCCGCAACGCCCAGGCTCCAGCCAAACCTCTCCGCGGCCTCCTGCGCCGTGACGCCGCGCCCAAACGCGCGCCAGTCCCACGCGACGTCCCGGTCGGGCGGGAATTCGTGCAGGTCCTGCAGCCACGCCAGGATGGACCTCACCGTCGCCTCGTCGGTGCGATCCCGTCCCTGGACCACCATGACGCCGCTGCGGAATGTGCGCAGCCGCACAGGGAGCTTGAGCGTCTCCCACATCTGCGCGGCCTTTTTGAAATCCATTGGGCTGACCAGCTCGACGCCGCCGCGCGCCCGGTTGAACATGGCCCACAGGTCCACGAGCGTCAGGATCCCGCCGGCTCGCTTGAGCACGCCGCGGGCGTCGTCGGTGAGGAACTCGGCTAGGTTGCGTGCCAGCTCGGACAAGTAGAGCGACTCGGAGCTTCCGCCACCGACAATGTCCTTGGTTGTAATCAGCCCGAGCTGGTGGGCGGATTCCGCCAGGATGGAGTTCTCCTTGGACGTGACATCGCCGCTGGCGCCGTTGACCTGCTGTGCGAATCTCTCTGCTAGGGCTACCACCTCCTTCGCGGAAGCCATGAGGGCCTCGAGGTCCTCAAAGGCGCTGCCTATGAGAATCTCATTGTTCTTGCGCATGTTCAGGCCCCGCTGCTCGAGTCCGGCGATACCAGCTGTTTTGGCCTTGGGAGCGGGAGCATGTGGTGAACCGTTGGCAGAGTTGCTCTCAGACACACGATTGGATTTGGGAGCAGGAGGCGCATCTTGCAGCAGCCATTTCCGTTGTGTCATGGCACTCTTGAGACGCTCATAGAAGATCTTTTCGCCGCCACCTCGGAACGATATCTTAACGCTCTCCGCAAATTCATTGCCGCCTGGGCTCGATTTGCTGCTGCTGTCCTTGACCGGTCCCGGGGATTGTGTCCTCGTATAGTCTGAGCTGTTGGATATGGCAGGGGGTAGGTCTTGTGATAGCAATGGAGCTCCGCACATCTCACAGGATAGAAGGGAAGGATGATTTGAGAATGTGCATCTTGGACATTGAAATGAGACGGTGGAGTCAGGTTTTCCTTGTTCACTATCTGCAAGCGCCCCAGATGCCGAAAAAGGGTCACTTGGTTGTTGCGGTGTTGTTGGGGCTTGCTGGCCCGAGCTGGACAAAGCTGTCGGACGGTTGCTTGCGCTGGTGATGGCCGCCTTCAGCAGCTGCGACAAGGTCGGTTTGATTCCGCACGCTAAGCATGGTGGAAGAGGCGTGTGGGCGTTTGCAGAGACTGGATCAAAGTTTGAAGGCACCGGATTCGAGAAGCTGCAAATGCTACAGACCCAGGTGGCAGTTGTGATTGCTGGAGGCCCAGACGGCGGAGCGTATGCGTTGTCTGGCTGTGCGGGAGACGGCGTACTGCCTCTTGAGGCGACCCCGATGTTGGACACCACACGGTTGTGAAGCGTTGATCTCTTCAAAGGCTTGGGCACAAGGGTGATCTTGGCCGAGGACTTGAGAAACCCGGCGTAGAATTCATAGCGGTCCACCTCCTTCAAGTTGAGGGCGACCGAGTTCTTCCTTGGCTCGTCCTTGTCGACATAGCAGATGCGATGTGAAGTCAAATATACCTGGCCATTCTGCTGGTTGGGGAGCTTGTACTTCCTATGCTGTCCCATCAGCATCGAGCTCTCACGCAGCCCAGGTCACAGCTGAGATACTCACCCCTCGTACAAGCCGACATTGTCCTGCACAAAGAGCAGAACTTCATCCGGAAGATACGAAGGCCGCAGTGCAGTGGTCAGGTCAATGTGCTTCAGGAACATCCGTCATACGGCAGCGGCATAGAGCCAGCCCGCGGTGAATGACTCGGCCTGAGATTCGGTGATGCGCTGAATACTGAACGAAGCGATAGCACGTGCCAGAGGGATCGCAAGAGATAGGTGAGGCGGACGTCAATATTCGGCCAGACAGGGGTCTTTAACAATAGATGGACAGGTATCACAAAGAATGTGATATTGAGATGCTCTATCGAGAAGACGAAGCTTCCGGAACGGCGAGTCTAGAGTGGTGATGATGGTGACTGCATCGATGAGGCATGGCGACCTCAAGCTGTACCACCAACAAGCGGTACGTACCTCACCCGTCGCTCCATCCAGACACGCCAGCCCAAATTCGGCCCAAGGAGCCTGGGACCTACTGCTGTAGCCGGCATTTACCCGGGCTTCTCTGGTCACGGGACCTGGCTCGCGCACTTTTCGCCCTGTTGCAGCCCAACTTCGCTCGGAGCCTCTCCTTATCTCACCCAACAATTATCGCGACGACGAATATCGACTATCAACTCCGTTGCCGCGCCGGACTCTTCGTCCGCCTTTGATCCATCGCCGCATCTCGTAAAACTAACTCTCAGTTCAGTGCCTTCCAGCACTTCAGCCGCCGCCGCCATGTCCAGCTGGTCGAGTGCCCAGCATCCGCCGGGGGTTGCTCCTCAGGCTGCCTATGCCTATCAACACAGTGAGTGTCTCTCCGTCCCCTCTGTCGGTGCTTGGTCTAACCTCATCTCGTCAGCGACACCGGCATTTATCCCAGTTCAAGTACGACAAAGCTTTGGATCATATGTTGCCCCTCCGCCGCCCCCATACAACCCGTACGCGTCGAGCTCTCCTCAGAGTCAGCCCGCAACCCCTACCACCAGTACAGCTCCGGCAGCACCTGTAGAACAGCCCAAAGGAACCAAGACCGAGTGGCCGGAATCGGTTCGACGATACGTCCAACGGTCATTTCATCCCGAAAATGACGACCCCTCCGTCTCTCGTGCGGAACTAGAGGCCAAGCTGAAGGATACCATTGGCAGCGCCAAAGAGAACAACTCGCTCTACACCATCGACTGGGATAGCATGCCTCTACCCCAGGCGTTGGTGAGAGCCGATCGCGAGGCGCAACTCAAACTTCATCACCGTGCTGCCCCCATAACCACCCCGATATACGCCGACGACACGTTCAACCCCAGAAAGCGCAAGTCGAATGACTTTTCAAATGACTCCTCCGCGCCCCCGTGGCACTCTACTAACGCAGGTCGATCCCTCGAGGATCGCATTTCGTATTCCCCCGACAAGCGGGCAGCCCTCGAGGACCCCAAGTCTAGTAAGTTCCAGAAGGAAGCCAACAAGCGCAAGCGGCGTTTCGAGAACGAGTACAAGGCGGCCAACGTAGCGTCGCTCAGCCTGAACCCGCCGCCGCCGTCCGGTCCCATCGTCGGCACCTCTGAAGTCCTGGAAAAGAAGTATCTCCGCCTGACTGCTCCCCCTGTTCCGTCAAATGTGCGACCCGAGAGAGTTCTCCGTCAAACGCTGGAGTTGTTGAAGAAGAAGTGGAGAAAGGAGGGCAACTATTCCTACATCTGCGACCAGTTCAAGTCCATGCGTCAAGATCTCACCGTGCAGCGCATCAAGAACGATTTTACCGTTTCCGTCTACGAGATCCACGCCCGGATTGCCTTGGAGAAGGGGGATATTGGTGAGTATAATCAGTGCCAGACCCAGTTGCGGTCGTTGTATGCAATGGGCCTTAAGGGCAACCCCATTGAGTTCAAGGCGTATCGTATCCTCTATTTCATCCACACTGCCAACCGCACCGGCCTGAACGACACCCTGGCAGATCTAACAGCAGCGGAGAAGGAAGAGAGGCCGATCAAGCACGCGCTCAACGTGAGGTCCGCGCTGGCATTGGGCAACTATCACAAGTTTTTCCAGCTGTACCTTGACACCCCCAACATGGGTGCATATCTGATGGATATGTTTGTCGCCCGGGAGCGCCTTGCGGCTCTGTGCAACATCTGCAAAGGGTGAGTTTTTTTTTCGTCGCTCGTTTTCTTTATGACCACGGCTAACTTGCTAGCAGATACAAACCTGACGTCAAGCTGCGCTTCATCACTGAGGAACTCGGGTTCGAATCAGACGCTGATGCTGCCCAGTTCATCATTGACTACCAGGGGCAACATCTTCTTGAAGACCGCACAGAGTACATTGCGTTCCTGACTGGAAAAGCCAATGGCTTGTTCGAGAACTCTAAAGCAGCGGCTTTCCAGAAAGTGGACATCAAGGGGCAGATCTAACTTGGTTGCATCGCTCCTTGTCACGTCACTCGGGCGTCTCTTCCTCTCCCTGCGTGTTTCCTTGCAAATGGCTCACGGCTACCGGTCACCTTCTTCTTTTTGCTCGTCTCTTTTTTTTTTTTCTCCTGAAATTGCCAGCCCGCCTTGATACCTAACGAATAGCGTCTTGCTGGCTCCGGCGGTGACGTCTGACGATTTTTTTTCTACTTTGGATCTCGTCTATAGAACCCAATTTCGCATGACGAGTTATTTCCTGTCCTTGCGTCCATTGGACAGTATCGAGACACTTTCCACGCTAGAGGGAAAGCAGTTTCCTGGCATTCAGCTCGATGGCGACGATGCTCTACTCAAACGAGATTCTACCTCTTCTAACTTGATACGTCAGATCCCTGCTTCTGTTGTAAGACGGGATGTCAGTTGGTCATAGTAACAAATTCAGCTAGTTGGATGCTGAGCTGGACTTGGACGATATGTGGGAGATGTTTGCTTCAAAGTGTCTCTCCCTTTGGTGTTTGGCATGAGCGATTGAGCATCATCACGGTCGGATGGAATTTGGAACATGGAAGGCTTACGGTATTGGCGTTGGTATTGATTGCAAAGCTGGCACTGGTCATCGGTCCGCTTGGACTATGAGGCTTGGTAGAGTGCTCGCGGCTTTGGTTGTGCATCACGACTCGAGTCTGAACAACTCTGAAAAGAGTAAAAGTTGACACTCATGAAGCTTGTTCGTTTATCGAACTTTGAGAATTTATAAAGACTATTGCTACCGCTTGGGGCTACCTAATCTGCTGCTCGAGGACAGAAGATATGACGGCGTTGAAACTGTAATGATCCTTGAAGGCCTCGGCGTACTAATCGATAAGGTATGGGAGTGACGAGTAGCGCAGCTCTCTGGTGAACAAGGTAGACTTTTCGTTTCTTCCTCTTGACGGACTCTTTTTCTCTCCCGCGTTTCACCATTCAGAGGGGGTAGCGCAAAGCGGGAAGCCATGTGGACAAGGGGACGGTGCATCTTTTGGGTGGTGGGTCGGCGTAAGGCAGCGTCGTAGTGGATGGGGACAGTTGCTCGTACTAGAAGTTCTGGAAGAGACGCTGACCTGGAGGCGTTCATAGCTGCCAAGTTGGAGATGGGATTTCATGGTGTTTGAGGAGAGTATCAGTGCGATGGGTTTTGGAGATGCATTGCTTTTGGAGGGTTACGGTGGGTGCTGGTTATAGGAAAGACGCCCCCATGTCTATGTTTGTTGATGGTTGTTCCTGTGAGGCTTGGGGTCCGTTGCGGGCGTTGGTGTATGGCCATACTGGACGAAGTCCTGACTGAGTCAATACAGACTCTTGTATGTGTGGTGGGTTGGAGACTAATTGGACGCCAAGTCAGGGGGCGTTATTGTGTTCTTTTTCATCCTCTTTCTTCTTTTTCTTTTTCTTTTTTCCCTTTTCTTTCCCTTGATGCACGGTATACAAACTGTATCAGAATTGCAGAAACTGAAGAGGCAGAAGAAAGAACTCGCACGGGATATAATGACTGTACTTGGTTAAGTAACAAGGTAAGGCACCGACGTGGAATGAGTCGCAAGGGAAATGAAATGGGTGCCCAACGAAGGGAGAAAGTGACACTCGGGTTTTGCGAATTTCAGCCTCGTCGGCGCAGGCTGGCGCTGAGCACACCGGGGTTCGGGTGGCATGTTTCTCTGACGGACGGAAGTTCATTCGAATGAGTACCTGTACCTGACAGTACCAGATACAGTAACCACTGCACCTGGCTCGTGTTGTAGATCTGTACATATTGGGCCATGTGCTCTTTTTGGGTTACAGACGCGGACGGGATGCAGCAACGCGGATAGTACCTAGTAGTTGGATGGATGTGGTATGGATGTACAAGTACAGCTACCGGCAGCCTGGTAACGCGAGCGTTGAAGAAGCGCTGAGATTGGATGTGGGAAGCAGCACACAGTTGAGTGGTTGGATGGATGGATGGGTGTTCATGTACGGGCATGGAGGCATGCTGATGAGTTGAACTCGCATGTAACCGCACCGTGGGTCCGATTTTCATCGCTTGTTTCGTCCAAGCTCGGGCTGCACGAGGGAAGAAGAAAAGAAGAGGAAAGAAAGAAGACTGATATCATATCACATCGAACCCTTGCCGCATCCCTTGTCGCTTGGATGATGGGTATCAACAGGCCTTGCGCGCGGCCGCCCATTGGCAGGGCACATCAGCTTTGGGAGCTCCAGCCCAAGGCTCCCGTCTCTCTCACGATGGCTGGGACCTTCTTCTGCGCCTTTTTGGCGGCTCCAGGGCTCTCGCGGGCCTGTGGATGCATGGACTCAGCGCTTGGACTCTCCGGCTCTGCGCTGCCCCACCGGCGGGCCCCCTGTAACCCACCTGGAGTTCCCTCCACTCCCGGCCGTCGAGGCGCTGAGCCCTCCAACACAGTTCCATTGGATCCCAGTTCACCGGAGGCCACAGACGCCTCCATGATGCAGGTGCTCTGTGGCATGAGGTTGAGCAGGCTCGCTGCAGGCCCCAGGCCCGGGGACGGACAGAGACGGAGGATAGAAGGACAGGGACAAATGCTCGTAATACATGCTACATGGTGATACTTGGCGGCAGACACTTTGGAGGTACCCTGTTCCTCTCCCATGTCTGTTCTCCCGTTGCCTGGGCTGTCTGTCGCACAACTTGAAGCCACAGCCGGCGCTGCTGGGTAGGTAGGTACCTGTTAAGTACACCGGGCAGCGAGGCGAGGGTCACGCATACGTCGGTTCGTGTAAGCCAGACCAGACCAGGTAATCCCCAGGTCGCACACTCGCACACGAGGGCCTGCGAGTACAAGGATTGTACATGGATTCAAGTTCTGTCCCTCGTCCCTCCCGCTAAACCCACAGCCACTGTGCCTGTTCAGTGTTCGTTGCATTGGTTGGTAAAGGGCCTTTTTTTCGCCTCTCTCCAACTCCATCTGCATCAGGTCTGCTTTTTGCATCTTGTTCCAGCCGCTTCTCCCGGCGCCATCGCCATTACCGTTCACAGTGTTCCATATCCTCTCCTTAGACCAGATTCCTCCATAATTCCTCCTGCATCTTCCGCTTGGAACGACGCCTGTAGATTGATCCTGTCCAGGACGCCACGCCGGTGATTGCGCCATCTTGTGTCTGGGCCAAGTGATTTCCTTTGACTCGGACCGGATCTCACATTGCATCTGCATCGCATTGGCCTAGAGTGCGAACTTGAAGGCCAAGGGCAGCAGCACAGCTACGATTACACGGCTCGCGGAAGCCCAGCTGCACGTTTCCAGGACGGCCGCCTGCATCGCCGACATCGTGAGGCCGGCCAGCAGATACAGGCACAAGCACAGGCACAAGCACAACCGCAAGCAGCGAGGCTCGACCATCTTTCTAGAAGCACGAGGCGCAGCCGACACACCACAAAAGGCTAGGGGACCGACGCACGACTACTGCTGCTAGTTGATTGATATTGCCGGCTAGCACGCGCGACCAACTTGGCTGTGCGACCCGACCGACCTGCACGCCGGGCAGCGCAGCGCAGCTTCTCCTGCATCGAGCCGGCCTTCTGCTTCGTTGCCTCTCCTCGTCTGTTCTGTCCAGCACCGCCAGTCTCACCGTCGCCGTCTTCGCCTCGCCTCGCCGGCTGGCCATTGGCACCGCAAAAAAGCCCCCCTCCGCTCCCTTGGCCTCGCCTCGCCGCTCGAGCTCGACTTTTTGCGCACCCCTCGCTCTCGCCCTCGTCTCGACCGTCCCAACCGCCGAACGACCGCTTCCGCTCTGCGAGCTCGCACGAACCCGATAGTCCCTCTCCCAGCCGGAACCACCCATAGCCTCACACCTCGCATACGCCTCATATCCCGGCCGTCACGGGCTCGTTACACAACACGACACTGCAATACACAATACAAAGATGAAGGTGCGTCATTGCCAACTGCGCAAGTCATGCGCTGCCAGCTGCAAACCGCTCCCCTCCCCAACTCTTGCCGGACCGGCGACACGATGGCCCCCGTATATCGATCGCCTTGGGCTCGCCAGCTGCCGGCTCCCCAACCTGCCTTCGTCACAAGCACAACAGTCACGGCGCGCGCAGACGAGATAAACAAACAGGCTCCCTTGCGATCGAGTCTTGGACAACGAGAGGACAAGAGAAAACTAACAGCCATGGCCTTCCTGCAGGCTCTTCGCCGGTCTATCAAGGGCGACAAGGAGAAACAACACAGCATCTCCATCACCCCCAAGGCTGCTGTCGCCATCGTTCCGCCCAAGAAGGTTCGTTGCTCAGTGTGCTGCGTTTGCTAGAATCCCTCCCTCTTCCCCTCCAGATTCCCAGCGGCTGTTTTTGTTCTTTTTCGGCTGTGTTCGAGTCGACTGGGTCGCATGATGGGAACGTGATCGCGCAGAAGCAGCCTGCTTTTTCCCGTTTTCCATTTTGGCTTTTCTCTGCTTCCATCTGGCCCTTGTTTGCTTGTTGCGAGCTGCGTCTGCAATGGCATTTCATTTCGTCTTTTCGTCATTTCTCGACTTTCGTAGCGCCTCCAATCACGAGCCAGGTTATGGGTGGGCCCTTTCTCACGCTCTTCGCAGGTCATCCGAGCGCTCTACGACTACGAGGCCCGCTCCGCTCAGGAGCTCAGCTTCTCCAAAGGCGACTTCTTCCACGTCATCGGCCGCGAGGACGATCCCGACTGGTACGAAGCCTGCAACCCTGCGCTGCCCGACGCGCGAGGACTCGTGCCCGTAGCCTACTTCCAAGCCCTGGGCAAGACCGAGCGCGACAGCCACACGTCCGACGGTCGCCCGTCCACCGCCAACAAGAACCCTGACCACGACTCTGGCTACGGCGAGGTCAACTCCGCCATGCAGTCCCCGGGCTCGTCCGCGTCGGCGGGCCAGCGCATGTCCAAGTCCGCCAAGCAGGGCGCCATGGTCTACGGCGTCGTCATGTACGACTTCAACGCGGAGCGCTCCGACGAGCTCGAGGCCAAGGCCGGCGAGGCCATCATCGTCATTGCCCAGTCCAACCCGGAGTGGTTCGTCGCCAAGCCCATTGGCCGGCTCGGCGGCCCCGGCCTGATTCCCGTGTCCTTTATTGAGCTCCGTGATATGGGCACGGGCAAGGCCATTGAGAATCCCGGAGAGGCCATCCGGAAGGCGGGCGTGCCCAAGGTGGAGGAGTGGAAGAAGATGGCCACTGCCTACAAGAACAGCAGCATTACCCTGGGCAAGTTTGAGGGCGGAGGACCATCCCAGCCGATTGAGCAGGGCATGGAGCGCCTGAGCATCCAGAATGCCCCTCAGGTGAGTTGCGCTTCCATCACTTGTTCCCATTTCCTCTCCATCTGTCTCCTCCTGTTTCACCGCACCTCTCCTCTCCACAGCCTCGTCTCATTTCACTCTCTCTTCTCTTCTCCACAAGCTCGTTTCATTTCACTCTTCCATCTCATTTCACGCTTTTCAATGACTCCTCTATCTGTACTCCCCTCTCCATCTTCAACTGCTTGCTCCTCTGTTCGCTTCATCTCCTTCCTGCCCGTTCAACTTTTCACTCGCATCACCTCAGTCCCCCCCCCCCACCCAACCCCTTCTCTCCAACGTTTGGTCACTTCCCCTCCTCCCATGCCCTCGGATTGCCTCCCTTCAGCCTCGCCTCTTGACCAGGCGTTAACGACCCCCAACAGCCCCTAGCCCCCAGCGGCCCCCCTCAGCCTGCTGCCCAACCCCAGCAGACCGAGTTTGTTTCCAGCGCGACGACGGAACTCTACGCCCCCATCTCTGCCCGAATACCCCGTTACTGCTTTGCAGAAGACAAATATTGGTTTGTTATCGAGACGCAGCTCGAAGATGGGCGGCACTGGGAGCTGTCCCGGTACTACGAGGACTTTTACGACTTCCAGATTGCCCTTCTCACCGAGTTCCCTGCCGAGGCAGGCAACACTGGAACCCAGAAGCGAACCCTCCCCTACATGCCCGGCCCCGTGAGCTACGTGACAGATGCCATCACCGAGGGAAGGCTGCATAACCTTGACGCATACGTCAAGAACCTGCTGAACCAGCCCCCCTACATCTCCCGATGCACGCTTGTCAAGCAGTTCTTCGCCCCTCGAGAAGGCGATTATGAGATGGACCCTGCCACGATCGAGCAGGAATACCGGCTGTCCCAGGGCTCTCACGGCTCGTCGTCTGGGTCACATGCTAACCCCGACTCACTACAGTCATCGCGAAATAACCTGAGTGGAAGTGGATACAACGGTCTCTCGGCTACCCCGAGACAAGTGAGCAATCCGCAACAAGGTGAGTTACCGCGACCACTCTGGCGATCGCCGACTGCCGATGGCTCCATGGCCAATACTAACTTGCGCAACCCCTAGTCATGCAGCAACAGTTTTCCCCGCAGCAGCCGCTCTCGCAGCCGCAGCAAGCTCAGCAGCCAGGACAAGCCTCGGCCGCCATGAAGATCAAGATGTACTACAACGGCGACCTGATTGCCATCCGGGTCCCCACCAACATCCAGTTCCAGCAGCTGTGCGACAAGGTTCGAGATCGGCTCAAGGTGTCTCCCAACGAGCAGGTTCAGCTGTTTTACAAGGACGAGCAGACGGGAGACAAGCCCAGCCTGACAAGCGATGCCGACCTAGACTACGCCCTCGAGCGCAACGAGAAGCTGATGCTGTACGTTGAAGTGGTGTAGCCGCGGCCACTGAGGGCCCATTAACTCTTCGATGTCTATATTACTATTCTATTTTTCTTTGCACGACCTGGGCCGCCTGCCGTTGTGTTGGACCGTCACGACGCGACGGGTTACGGCGATCGACGTCTTGCAATGGTGATACCCGCCTTTCAATCAGCTGGAGCTGGATTCTCTTTTTTCTTGTACTCGTGGTTATACTACTCGGAAACGCGGTCCCGGATTCTTTCCCCCTGGCGCCCTGGTTCTCACTGCATGGCCAAGTGAGTCTATTGACTCTGGACGAATGTACGAGGAGCCTGGTGGCTCGCCTCATGGTCTGTCTGAGGACACATTTCTCACCCCTCTACCAAGAGACAACCTCATTACCTTTTTTTTACTTTGTTCACCGGATTCTATCTACCGCTGCGGATAAAGAAACTCGTTCCACCTTCAAAGGCTCCACTGTGCGACCCAGACATAACACGCTTTCTCATGATTCTGTTTTCTGTTTTCTCACTTGAGATACGATTGTGGTTGGCCAAACCTCGGAAAGGGCGTTTGGGAAGGAAAGACGGCCTCCCTTATCAGTTGGTCAAATCCTCGAATCGGATGTGTTTGTATGTATGTAGGGTCTAGTCCCGATTGCCTGCTCTTTGAGACTTTCCTGTGTCATTCTGTTTTACGCAATTTTTTTCCTTTGTGAGAGGGGGAAGGCAAGGGAACTGACTACACCTTGCGTTGTGGATGAGATTTGGGGGGGTATGGAAGAGATATGGGGCGGGTAGATGCAGGGAGGATGCAAGGAAAGAGCCTTGACCTGATCTCCGCTGTGTGCGATATCTGTGAGCGAGTGTGAGGCAGAGGGATGCGGAAAGGGGGGGACAATGAGAACTCTGTATGTGACTCTGTATGTATGGATGGAACAGATGCAAAAGATTTTGGTAGGCAGACTTGCTAGAAACTGCAAATCAAAAATCTATAACCTAAATGATGAGGTAAAAAGTAAACGTGGATGATGTACGCCTGTTTCCTTGCTTGCTTGCTTAGGTAGACTGATGCCCCCATTTCGGCTCTTAGATGGGATTGATTATAGTACCTAGGTAGCAAAGCACGACGATCTCCTGTGTATGTGTATCCCTTACATGTACCCAAGTCTATCAGCCAGTATTAACGACGCATTATCGACGTCTACATGTCACGAAACTCTTCATCAGAGAAAAGGAGAAAGCAAAATAACAAGAACTATTACACATCGCTTCATATGCCAAGAGGTGAATCGAGAGAAGTATCTTGAGATGAAGGAGCAACGTCAGCATCCAGACCGCTACCTTTGGTTATTCATCCCGCAACCCCTTCCATAAGAAGCCTCCTCGTCTTCATATTGACCACGCCGCCGACGCCAAAGGCGGGCACGATGCGCGCCATGCGCGCGGCCGTGCTGACGAGCCAGTTGGCCCTCACGAGGCGCCAGCGCTGGCGCCACGTCGTCGTGCGCTCGGGGCGGTTGTACAGGTCGAGCCCGAGGAGGTGGATCGGCGTGGAGACGAGCTGGACGGCGGCCGGGGCGAGGAACTGCGCCGCCGTGAGGCCGGAGACGGAGCGCCGGAAAGAGTCTGATAAGCGGGCGTCGATGCGGGGCGCGAGCAGGGGCGGGAGGTTGAAGGAGGCGAAGATGGTGAGGCAGTCGCGCGCGGTGAAGAGGATGTAGCTTGGCAGCGAGACGGGCCTTGTCGTCGTCGCAGCTGCTGCTGCGCCGGGGGGCGCGAAGAGGCGCACGAAGACTTGGTCCTTGTAGACGCATAGGCCGACGTTTGCGGCGGACGAGGCGGCGAACTTGGCGGGGCCGGAGGTTGTGTGGGAGGCTGGGAGGTTGGAGAGTGTGGAGGAAAGGGTGTCGATGGCGTTGGCGGTGAGGTATGTCCCTGCGTAGAGGGCGAAGACGAGGGCGGTCGGGCGGGAGAGGAGGAGGGATCGGGGGTGGAGGAGGAGGGTGCGGAGGGAGGTGAGGAGGGAGAGTTTGAGGGGGGCGCGGCCGGAGGCGTTTTCCATGATGGAGCTGTTTTGTGTTATTTGTTCAGCTTTGGTTCTCTGAGACGAGGAAGATGGGGGGGAAATAGGGGGATGAGAGGGAGGGCTTTTTACCGGTCAATGATTGTGATGATGGGGGCGACGAGGGCGCCGGCGCAGGAGGCGCTGGCGGCATCTGCTGCGAGGCGCGAGGCGAGTCTGTCGGTGTTCCATTTTGATCTTGATGGTGTTTGCGACTGGGTGGAAGAGGAAGAAGGGGCTGTGATGGCGGGGATGGAGAGGGTTGTGGCCAGCGGCCGTGAGGCGGAGTCTTCTGTTTTCATGGGAGCAGAAAGATGTGGATTGGTAGAGTTGAGATGAGACTTTGAAACTGGTGCGCTGATTGAGGTTGGAGCGTTTGATCCTTGTTCGTCTTTCGGTTCTTTTGGTGATGCGCCGGAGGGTAAGACGGATGAGGCTGTTGGACGAGCTACACGCGGTTGCTTGAATTTGAACAGACACGCCTAGGGAGCATCAATGTGTCTAATCTTCTTAATACGAGACAGACCCCAGACCAAGTAAATGAATCAAATCAAACCAAGGAAGTGAAGCAGAACTGCGCATCGACAAACACAATCAAGTTGATGTGTAGTGATCCAGCAGAGCAGTATCGATACCGATACCGATACCGACACCGATGCATTGCTTCAGCTTTCAGCTTCTGTAAGACCGACATTATGCGATGCCAGCCAGCAATCGCATCGCATGGCCAGAAGCCGGGCTCTGACTGGCCCGAGCGAGTGGCTGGTCCCCGGTCTCGGAGGGACTGGCTTCATATTAGGGGACGGGGAAGACGGGGAAGACGATGTCTTAGTAAGGTGGACATTGAAGGGAGCTCCATGGCACACAGACCGGACGACGATAAGGCAGATAAGGTACGGAGTACTGGGCCTCAGTACAGTACAGTAATATCCCGTCAGTGTTTGGTTTGAGGTGGACGGATCACGAGACTCACCTTGTTGTTTTGGAGATTGTTGTCCGGAGATGGGGATTGTCGGCGACTTGGATTCCGCTCTCCGTGGTGGGTAAGTACCCGTACCCGTATGTGAGACTGAATCTTTTTGTTCTCAAGGGTCCAATGACATGGGGATACCTTAGCGGCACACATCTGACGCCAATTGGCGGGGGCGGGGGATGGACACATCACCAGAAATCAAATCAGGTGAATCCTCCAGATAGTAGTACTCCGTACTCATACTCAAGGACTTCAAGTTAGTGCTCATACTCGTACAAGGCAGACGAGATGCCTTCTTTGGTGTCATCCGTGTCTCTCCCTGCTTGTAGTGAATGTATGTATTACCTAATCCTGGCGTCAATTGGGCTCTGACCGACCATTGCCTATCTTATTCTTTCAATCTTCATGTCCAGTGCACTGCAACTTCTGACACACGGGCAGACAGACAGACTTACAGAGACATAAAGACAAGACAGGCACCGAACTCTTAGCACTCGGCACCTAAACTAGTAGCGCCAGCGTGGGTGTGGCTTGGCCCGGCTTTAGCGCAAGGTACAAGCATCGCACAAGAGTGTCGGGCGCCAATCGAGTCGAGCCTCGGCCAGTCCTTGCGAAAGGGCAGGTCATCGGAATCCCTTGCTGTCGACGTGGCTCGCGTCCTTCAATGGTGGCTGCGTCATGGGCGAGGGGTCTCGTTTCATGGCTGTGGATAGGATATGGGGCTTCTGTGAGGTATGAGGTATCGCTGTTCTCTTATCCGGGGGGTGCATGTGGCTTGTACTCGTAGGTAATGAGTATGGCATCAATCGATAAGGTAGCTGCGCCTAGGGGGGAGAAGGAAAGGGGAACCTTGAAGCTCGACCAGCATTCCTCCCTTCACGTCATCTGGCCTTGACCTGGGCCTCTCATCCCTGTCCTCACTTCACATGCAAGTTATGTACTTTGACAGCGCTGGCTAATATCATATCATCTCACCGGCGCAGCCGCTGGACAGGGACAGACCATTGACGCTACGGGCCAAGCGACATCACACGACAACATGGAGACAGCCGCAGCATCTCGCACAATGCAGCGACGAGGCGTCTCCGGGAATCAAGACGTCAACATGTCGAGAGGGGCGTTGGGCTGTCCGGGCTTATTATATCTTCTGCGGCTCCATACTCGGCGCAGCACAGCACACAGGCCGCATGCTTGATAAGCGGCCCACGGTGGCATGCCCGTGGCCATATATAGCGATGCCCGTGACATATCAGCGATAACATGGAGCTCTCGGGGTGTTACGGAAGCCACTTCAGGCCTATCACGGCCGTCGCCATGGTCTTCGGAGGGGAGCCCCAAGGGCATCTGCGAGTCGTCTTCCCTGCTAAAGAGCATGCGTTGATTGCGCCCACGTCTCCCCCAGCTCCAGTCGCGGCTATGGAACCCGCGACGACACGCACTTCCAGATCCTGGCAAGCTGCCAGAAAGCGGCGCCGCAGCATGTCGCAACCGGGGGGGACTCTCTCGTCGTGGCCGTGTTTGGGCCAATGTGTCCGCGTAAGGCTGCAATGCAGTGGTGGCAAGCCGGGCGCATGGAGACACACGGCAGCGGCGGCGGCCAATCGTGGGCGTCCAGCAATATCGGCCATGCACGGCGGACGCTTCGCTACGTGGCCAGGGGGCAGTGGGATGCTGTGCGAGTGCCCGTTGGAATCCGGACATGGATGATGGTACCATGCTCTCGTGGAGTCACTGCCGCTGTCTCGGTTTAGTCACCGCGCCGCATCAGGCCTGCTCACTGCGAGGGATCTATGCAGGCGAATCGTGTGCATGGCCACGACTGAGGCACACGGCCGGGCCGTCCTAGAGGTCGCGCATCTGGGATATAATGGCTGGCCAGTCGTCTCGTCGGTTGCTGGAGGCTCGAGATGTTCACCCATCTTCACATCAACCCATCTTGACTTGAGCACACAACATCTTTTTCTTTGTCTTGACCTCCATCTTATTCACCTCTTTATACTTGACGGCTGCAGGACTGCCTTTGATCCTGGCCGTTTTCATCTGGGCGGCCGTTTTTAAAACGGCCCATCTGACTTGCCGCCCTTCACCCAGTCTACTCTTACTATGACGGGACGAAGCGGGAGCTCTGATGGGACGTTTTACTTTCAGGCATGGAACACTGGCAAGGTGGTGAGCGCGGAGTCATGGGTCCAGAATAAGGGCCTCGCCGACTTTGTCGAGCAGAACCTCAGCGCCGAGGCAAAGAAGTGGCTGTTCGTCAAGGGCTGCGTGCCTACCAAGGAGCTGACCGGGCTCGCCATTCCCTATTCTGTAAGTCGCCATCGCCAATCGTGTCATCGACCGGTATCACGACTACGGAAGAGGAGGACCAGGAGAGGCTAATCGCGTTGCGCTTACAGATCGCCGTCAAGCTTCGTGCCGCAAGGACTGGGCAGGACCCAAAAGATGCGGTCAAGGCTCTCTTCAAGTTCCGCAACAAGGAGTTCCCCGACATCGCCAGGGTCTACTTCAAGACCAGGTTGCACAAGTCGCTGGACTTCTTCAACACCTTCTCCGAGGGCGCAGAGTCCGACCCTCTCGTGGCCGATTTCAACGTCGTCAAGTCCTCCAAGAAGTTGAAGGACAAGATTCGGTCAGCGATCAAGTTTGTCAAGAAGGATGTCTGGGGCGACCTTAAGAATGGATTGTGAGTCTCTTAATAGCTCAACAGCCATGTTGGATCCGATTGCGCTAACCCGCGTCTTCCTCCAGAGTCGGTGGCATTTCTTCAAAATCATCAGAGTTCAAGGCAGCTCGGTTCATCGCGAAGCGAGGCCAAGGTATGTACAGGGCCTTTGAAGGAAGCGACATTGGTGTCGACTGGGACATAGGGGAAAGCGACGTCATTAACATATGCCTCGACTTTTCAGACCCTACCTTGAATCCCCATGTTCTGCCCACTGCACCGCTCCAGAGCCCTCTGCCACTGCCAGACATGACTTTGCCGGACTTGAGCCCTGCTCCTCTTCAGCCGGAAATGAGTCCTGCTCCTGTGCAGCGGCGCGAACTCCCTCCTCGACCTAGGACGGACTCGGATGCCTCCGATCTCACCGTCGGGTCCACGGTTGCGTCGGCCTCGGACGCCAGCTCCATGGCTTCTGTCGACACAGCCCAATCGTCCATCTTTGGCGAAGAAGCATCTTCCGAGCTGCACCACCACGCAAAGGAGGGCTACTCCGAGCTGTCGCCTGTTCCGGAAGAGGACGAGCCAGTACTCAGCCCTCCGGCCACCACCGAGAGTGACCCTATGGTAGAAGCCGATGTTGAAGTTCCGGCTGTTGCGACGCCCGCCGATTCGGCAGAGGCATCGTGCCTGGACATTACGACGGAGCCCATAGAGGTCGCAGACGCTCCCGTGGTCACCGACGTCACGGAAATGACAGACGTTACGGACATCACAGAGGTCGTGAGAGCTACCACCACTCCGGCCGCCATGACTCCTGCATCGTCTGGCATTGTCGCGACCAGAAGAAAGATGAACAGTGTCCTGTCTCCTCAGAACACGCAAACGGCCTACTTTGTTGTGAAAAATACCGGCAACTGGCTTCGATACCTAACGGCCAACCATGCCCAGAGCGCCCAACAGCTGCGATCTACCCTTTTCGATTCGCCCATTGTCCTCGCCGCGACCTCTTCTCCCATACAGGCTCTCATGCCGGACGGGATGATGCGTGTGTACTTTATGTCGCAAGCTCGGAAGCAGCTTGAGGATGGGGCGCCTCGCAACGAGAAGAATCGCGCTGTCCGCACTCGCAAAGGCAAGTCGGTTCGCGAGTGGGTTGTCGGAAGCGCCAAGGTCTCAACCCGCACCTTGAAACATCTTGGCCAGCAGCTCGGAAAGAGAAACGCCAGACTCCTACCAGCGGCTTCGCCCGCGGTGCGCAAGGTCGACTCGGTCGTCGGTCCCAACAACCGACTGATAGAGATGACGCCTGCGCCAGGCGTTCCTCAGGCCATCCTGGTCACAACGCCCCATCCTGTCGAGGATGTCCGGGAGGGCGACATTGTGCAGGAAGAGCGAGACGACGGCTTCGTCCACATTGAGAGCAACATTATCAACAGGCCGGCGGAGGTGGTGGCGGACAGGACTGATGGTCCCGAGAAGAAGAAGAAGGGCAAGTTGGAGAAGAAGCGGCGTCCCAAGGGCAAGGGCAAATCCAAGGCGGACATGAACGGGACCAGCATCAAGAAGACGATCAGGATGGACACAGCCAGCGCAACGACCAGCGCGAGGACAAACGTCATCAGGGACTTCACGGTCGATGCCGACAGCGTCCCGCCTCGCAAGCCTTCCAAGGTATATACTCCTCCTTTCAGTCGAAAAGCCTGGCGAGATGTGGAGCCTCAAGAGCCGCAGGTCATCTACGACGTCATGAGCGGATACGACTTTTTGCAAGTGGAAGACGTCCAGATCTTTTCCTTTTCGACGTGCTCGCATGACATGATGCTGCGCACCTCTCCTCCTCCCGCTGCTGCTGCTGCTGCTCCCGCTCCTGCTGCTCCCGCTACACCCGCAGTGGTTGAAGAGGGCGAGGGCCTCGGCATTTGGTCGCCTCCGGCTGTTGTCGGCATTTTCTCCTGGATGTGGGATCATTTGTCTCCTGGGGGCTGGGCTAAGACCTCGGTCGCTCACTGACTTACCTGGGGGTTGTCACGGAGGTGGTTGATGAGATGGAGAGAGAAGGACTGTTTTGAGCACACGATGGGTTGGTGGAGAAACGTTGGACAGACGCCTCAGATGGAGGGTCTACCGACTTGAATTATTCTTTCGGCATTGCGTTGGCGCTTGGGTTCATTGATTTTACCACCACTCTGCACCACGTCTCTTTCATTTGTTGATTCTACACAATCTCGCCTGAGGGAGCCAAAACTGGGGATCGCGCTCCCCCAGCGACTCATCGTCTTCACGGGACACTCGTTATTTCCTTTGTTGGATATTGGAAAAAGAAACTTACATGTATGATGGAGGACAAGGGACGAACAAACACGAAACTAGCATGGGATATGACACGCAACGAACATAGAGATACGATATGAACACGGGATGGAGATATATGAGGATAAAGCATTCGGAGAATGGTATAGCATTGCTTGGAAATATCGGGACAGATTGGGCCAGAAACAGATTGCAAAGATGTTGTTTTACTTTCTTGGTAGATATAGCTTTTGAAACAACTTTCAAAGGGCATGTCTTTGACATGAACCTGAGAATAGTCGACTTTTGATATTTGCATCCTGATTTGTCTGAAACGCATTATTAGATTGAACTTGTTTAAAGTAAGAAGGAATTGTTGGCCATCCTAGCCGGACTGGCTTTTACTGGCTGGTAGCCGTTGAAGCCTGAACCGTGGGATGCAATGCAAAGTTTTCTTTATTTCAACCAGCGTCCTGTTCGCCTACATCTTGCCAAAAGCCGTTTCCCAACTAAACGAGTGTATTATCCAGATTCATGCCCCCGACCCCAAAGGCTTTTCTTCACAAACCTCTCTCACGTTGTCGTGGTAATAGATGCAGTAAAGAACAAAAGTCTGAGATGAAGGAGCTGCCGTTTTGCAAAGGAGGTGCGCGAAACACCCTATCCGGAGTAACCAACCAGTGGATGGCCTCATCCCATATGTATGTATAAATATGGTAGCGGGAACGGGGGCAAACCGTATTAATTAATCAATCAGCTTGATCTTTCAATTCCTCGAGACTCCCTCCAGTCATGACGACTTTTTGTATCGAGACGAAGTCTTCTTCGGGTTTTCACGAGCCCGAAAAGTCAGAGACAAAGAATTTGAAGAGGGTGAAAAAAAAAAAAAAAAAAAAAAAAAGGTTAACACAAGAAAGAGAGAGTGAGAGAAACAGCAAAAATGAATGCCCACTATCAGAGTCGAACTGATCACCTTGTCATGTCAAGTAGTCTTACTAGTGACACGCTATACCGCTTAGCCAAGCGGGCTTGGAAGCTGATGACAATTCTGTCGCAAAGCAAAGTATATGGATCTTTCTTACAGAGAAGCAGAAACTCAGGTCTACACGATCTTGAAACACTGCTGTTTGTTGTTCGCTCTCATTTCGTCCCACCTGGTCAATATCCTGGTATCAAGTTCGGAGGCCAGGTCTCGGAACAGGGCTATGCAGGAACATGCTACACCTCGGCTTCTGGTCCAATTCTGCTGCCATAGTTGCAGTGGCTCAGAAAGGTGGCTGCTTTTGAAAGCTTTCCTGTCGTCTATTCAGCGCTTCCCGGGTATCCCTGTTCAACAGCCTGCACAGCAATATTTTGGTGTCGAGATATGTCGAAGTCAAGGAGCTGGACACCAACCTATGGTGGTTCAAGCTTGGATGTCAATGCAGCCCAAGTATCCTCGTAAACTCTGCTCTGCCAAGGACTTCTTCCATCGACTGGGCCATCAAGTCAGATAAATTCTCAAACACGGGCAGTTCACCCTTGCAGTCTTTTCTCCTCATATTCATTGCTCGAAATACTCATTGTCGCTCCCATTTTTCATGTTCCGAAACGCCTCGCTTCCATCAACCAAGTACTCCTGATAACCCATCTTACTCCAACCATTCCGATAGCCATGTACCCAGAAAGTAACAAATCAAACGCCTTTGGTCTTTTCCTTTCCATCCATCAAGCAGAATGCTTGGTGTCCTGCCCCTGCTCCCGAGTCTGTTCATGGTCACAAGTCAACCCGTGATCATGACGTTGTTCAACACCGTGAGCCAGAGTCTCAGATGAATCAACAACCACGCCCAGCATCGGTTCTACCCGAACGCCTCCCAGCGCAGACTCCCCATCAGACTCCATTTCCGACGACGCGTTGCTCATCTTCCGCAGCGCCTTCTCATCCACCGTGAGAGCGCCTCCGGCCTTGTCCAGGTCCATAAAGATGCAGATAATGAGCGCCACTCCGGCCAGTCCGACACCGATCCAAAACACATTCTTGTACTGATGCTTGAGGTCCATGCCGTTGAGCACAAACTGCTGCTTCGCCACGTCGGCAATCGCCAGGAAAAAGGCGCCGCCGAGGAAGAGCATCACGCTAATGAGCGCACCGGCAAGCCCTTGGCGGTTCTTTGGCAGGCTGGTCGTCAGGAAGACGTTGCTCACCGTCCACAAGACGTCGACGCAAGCGGCCTCGCAGAGCATGGCGGGAAAGATCCATGCCCAGTAGTTTGGGTTGTCGGGCATGATGGCGAACATGAGCACGGCAATAATCTTGGAGACGCCGGAGGCAACAATGAGCACCTTGCCAGAGAGGAGGTGCAGGATGAGGCCACTTGTCGTAGCTAATACAAGACCGCCCGCAGCCCATGGGGCAAAGTAGGTCGCAGTCAGCAGGGGCGACTTGTCCAAGATGGTCTCGATGCTTGATTGCGGTCAGCCAGATGTCAGAACAAAGCCGCCTATTGATTTACTCACTAGAAGTTGGCATAAAAGAGATAGATGTTAAAGACTCCCCATGTAATGAATAGACACAGGAGCATTCTCTTCATGCACTTGACGCGGAAGATGTCGGCCGGAATAAGCGGTGCCTCCGCGACCCAGCCTTCGACATACACAGCGGCACCGAGGAAAATGAGGCCGAGAATAAGGGTCACCAGAATCCGGGGTGATGCCCATCCATGGGGAGCGTTGGCGCTGTCGGTCAACGCGTAAATCAGCAACATCAGACCAGGCACAGTCGTGAAAACTCCCCACCAGTCCATCTTGACGTTCATCTTGCGTGCCTCTTCATAGTCACGGGGGGCAGTCAGAATGGTCCCGACAGCAAAGACGGCAGAGATAATGCCACCAAGCCAGAAAAACCACCGCCAGGACAGCAGGTCCTGAGCCATGCCGCCGACAATGATGCCAGCAAAGAAGCCCAGCGGTGCAAGCGCGCCATAAAGACTAAAGACGATGTTCTTCCTCGGACCCGGTCTGTAGATCCGGCCCAGCAAAGAAATGCCGGCAGGGAGGAACGCCGCAGCCCCGAGGCCCAGCATGGCACGGCAGATGACAAGCATGATGAAGTTGCGAGTGAAGCCACCAATGATGGACCACACCGAGCACCACACCACGCCTCCGTTAAAGAGAAGGTAGCCGCCGTACATGTCTGCCAGGCGCCCAAGAGGAAACAGGAATGCGCCGGCAACCAACGTCAGGACGCTTGAGGGCCATGTTTGCGCCTCAGGGGGGATGTCCAGTGGCTCGATCAGATTGGGTAAAACGACTTGGAAACCGCTAATGATGAAGTCCTAAAGAGACAGAAAGTCAGTCGAGCTCTTCATAGGCCATATACCGATTGCCAACGTAAGCATGCGCAAGTACCCCGGACGGGGAGGAATGAAGTGTCTTGCGTGTGTGCATATGTCGAGGAGACCCACCGCCATGGAAAGGGAGCCCAGGACGCAGATGACAAAGGCAACCTCTTTGAAGGTAGAAGAGAAAGCTGCAGGACGCTGTCTTCCGAGCTTCTCAACATCAATCTCGTCGATACCCTGAGAAAGCTCATCGTCCATGTCAGTGACGAGGACGGCGGCACCCTGGACAGGCTTCTCGTCCTTTCCCAACATTGCGGCTATGTAAAGACAAGTCGGAACGAAAAGGGGACAGCTCTTCACAAGAAACGTATCCTGTAGAGGCTCAAGAGCTCTTCAGACAACACCCATTGACTGGCGACGATAACAGCATCCCCAGCTTTGAGCCAGTGCCGTCATTCTCTCTTTTATATCTTTCGCCATCATCACGGACACGGACCGCCTCCAAGGAGAATTTTCACACCCGATTCATGTGCTAGATCATACGCCATAGCTATGCGCCCTCGTCATCTGTCAAGAGGTTTCATGGTGTGAACAGTCTCACAGTGAGCATTCCGTAGTCGGTCCTCGTACTCTGCTCCGTTGACTAATGAGCCCTGAAACCCTACGCACCTCCATCACGCTCTCCAGCCACAGCGGCAAGAAACGCAGAAGCTGTCGAAAAATTTCCCATCTAGGGAGGTTCGTTACAACCGCAGTCGAGATATCTCGACAGGGGCTCCACACGATTCTGTCCGGAAGACGACCCGACTGAGAGCTTGAAGTAGCCACATCGAAAACCGCTTCGCACGTTTTTTTCGATAGAGCACGGATTATAGAGCCGGAGCATGGATCCCATGTGTCATGGACCTCGTTCCAGAATCGATACAGCCTGGGAAGTGGTGGAGATAATGAAAATTGGGCTGGTGTAATCCCGGTAGTGGCAGCCCAACTGGGGCTTGAGAACTAAATTGTGAAGACATCGTGACTATTCCGCAGGGGTGGTGGTGTCTGGCGCCAAGTAGGGAGACATCCGTTCGGGACTTGATGAACACCGGTTCTTGGCCTCTCATCTATCGCTTCATTTCCATCTCCGTAGGGGTAAAAGAAGAGAACGGAAAACTCCGTCGTCGTTCCCTCGCTTCCGCCGTCTGATCGAAGATCGTTTCCAACCTTAAAGTCCTAGTGGAAGGCGGGAGAGTTTGCCGGGAATGTGCCCGTATAATGATGTAAGACGTTTGGCTTGAGCCACTCAGGAACCGGCGTCCATTCGATCCCGCTCGAGCGGCCGTAGAAGGGTTGGAAGAACCCGGTAGAGAAACTGTTGGAGACAAGAACGCCAAGCCCCCGTTGCACTTGTTCTCTCATGCAATCAATCCCTCAGTCCCAGCCCGCTTCCGAGATTCAGATACTACTATCACTGCACCATGGGCAAGCCGATTTCCCCATTGGGCGCTTGTGTGACCTCTGGATGGACAAGATCCGGCAGACCAGGTGAACAAGCTTCGGGACCTAGGACCAGGGGGGGCCTTCCAACGCTTACCGGGTCTGCAGGTCCCGCCTCCTAGTCGTCGCCGTGCATCGGACGCAAAGAATGTCAAGAGCTTTCCCATTTGGGCACGCTTGCGACGTAACGAGAAAGCTTGTCTCTTGTATGACCGTCTAGACTTGCGGTTGGGGCGGCGGTGGCGTGTCCCCGGAGTGGTTGGTAGGCAAAGGGGGGGAGGGGGTTTCGATATTGAGATTATGCTGCTAGTTATTATGGATAATCGACGGTGGGCCGCATGCTCTGCCCGCTGCGTCACGACTGGCTGGCTTCGCTGGCGTGCCACATCACGTCTGGTCTGTTTTTCATGATGGGCACTCGCCATCATGGAGCTCTCTAGGCATCGTCTCTGGCGGATTTGGCGCTACCCCTTCACGTGCGCTGAGCTCTTACCGCCGTAACGGGGAGACTACCAGTTCTCAGGAGAAGGTCCCAGATTCTCGCCATGCTCATACTGCTTGAGGCGTGACATTGAGGCCCGCTCAGCCGTGATCGACTCTCCTCCGCTGCTGCTCCCGTTTGCCGGCCTGCTTGCGCGTCGCTGCTAGTAGACCGTTGCTAGACCGACAAGGACGCCAGTAAGGGAGGCAGCAGGCCGACAGTTCGTTCTGTATCAGGAAAATAGCCTGAAATCAACCCACAGCTTCCGGTCGGCCGCATCATCGCACAAAGCTCGGCTTATATGCCAAGCAACGGCAAGCCGTGTCACAACTGCCGCCGTCGACGACTGCGCTGCGATCGCTCGTGGCCAACGTGCCACAAATGTGCGGTCTCAGGGCAGGAGTGCCTTGGGTACGGCAAGGTCTTCGTCTGGACGCAGACGATTGACGCTCGTGGAATTTTGAAGCCGTCTTCAAGTCGCCGGACACCGCTTGGTGGCCCCCTGAGTTCTGGTTCGGGCACCGCCTTCTCTTCCACCACCACCAGCTACTTCCCGCCTTTCCTGGATCCCGCTCCTGGTTGTCACCCCGATACGGGTCCTGGTGGCCAGACGCATGATGCAGCTGCCGGTAAAGGCAAATCTGCCGCAGGCGGAGCTCAGAAGGCGCCAGTTCGTCGCCTCTCGCCGCCATTGAATGGCCATAGAGGCAAAGGGTTGACGTCGGGTGCACCGGAGCCAGCGGAAGATGCAGCTTCAAGTCCAGTCCAGGAAGTTTCGAGGCCACCGGCGCTGGGCAGCTTGACAGATCCTCTGTTCCAAGACCTTGATCGCAACTCAAGATACTACCTAGCACATTGTAAGAGACTGCCGATCCTGAAACGCAAGGCTAGGAGGACGAGAGGGACAAAGTTGGCTTGCTAACATGCTCACAAGTTGCCGACCGTGTCTGCAAAGATTTGGTGGCCCGAGATGGGCCCGGGGCAAACCCTTTTAGAGACCTCATTCCTCTGACTAACAGGCATCCTCTGCTGCTTCAGATCCTCATTGCCACTTCTGCGATCCATTGGTCCAACATCTTCAATCCCATCACCGCGATTCCGACAGGACTTACAGACCCGGGAGGCTATCTTGCCCAGCTTCGGTCCAAGGATCTCGTTTCCCGGCAAGCCGTCATCGATGCGTTGACGGCGAAGCAAAAGGCCATGGGCCACCTGCAAGAAGTGCTCGACACCTTGGATCCTGGAGGAAGCGAAGTCGTCCTTGCCGCCATGCATTTCTTCATCAAGTTTGATCTGATAGACCTGGAGAAGAACGACGCAAAGGGATGGAGGGCTCATCTGGAAGGCGCCAGCAGTATCCTGGCCTTGCTGAGGCCGGGAAGCAATGGGAGCGAGGCAAACAGGATGCTGCGAGACTGTGTGGTGGCTGATTGTTTTATGTGAGTGCTGTCGCCTCATTGTCTCACCGTGATGCTCTGGGCGCAGAAACACTGCAGCTGGAGTTGTCTCCTGTGTGACGCAGACTAACCTCCTTGCTCCGCCAACCCGCAGATACCACATCCTGGGGTCCACGCTTGCGTCGGGCAGCCTCGCCGCCAACATCGCACGCTATGCCTTCGAGCTCTTGCCGGTCATGAAGCGCGTCGAGGTCACCAGCTATCTCTCGTGCCCGCCGGAGATCCTCCACATCATCCTGGAAGCGTCCAAGCTCTCGTACGAGACGCCCTGCACTGACTGGTCGTTGACTGCCGCGGACCAGGCTCTTGTCCTGATTGACGAAGCGCTTGCGTTTGATATACCGGCCTGGGCAGACAGGCTTCGGCAGAACCCGCGAGTGCAAGACATTGAGAGCCGCATCCACATCGCCTCGGCTCACCGATCCGCCGCGTGTCTGTACATTCTGCAGGCGTTGCCCCTCGCTCGAGCAGTCCGCCCAGTCGACACGGAATTTCTCGTTGGCGACATCCTTGGGAATCTGGGCCAGATCAGCGTCGACGACCCATACTACAAAGCCACGTCCTGGCCTACCTTCATCGCCGGGGCTGAGACTCGCGACGCAGAGAAGCGGACGTGGGCCATGAAGCGGCTGCTGGGCATCTGGGAGACGTGCCCCTGGGGGTATCTGTTCACGGCCATTGAGCTGCTCAAGGCGGCCTGGGAGATGCAGGATGCGAGCCAAGGCTCTGATGATGAAGCTGGCATCAACTGGTTGCAGGGGCTCAAGAGCATGGGGTTTGATGCTCTGATTGTGTAGCTTTTTGCTGCTCGAGCTTCTCTCCCAAGTGGTTGATATCGATTAGCTAAGGATGCTCCTTCCCCCTTCCATATTCTGGCACTTGCCATTGAACTCTCATATATGTATTATTACTACCTAATTATTGCCCTTTGCTTTCTCTCTCTTTTATTCAGCTTGGTTTCCTCTTTCATTGTTATCTAGCGGAGTTTTTGGGTGGAGGGAGAGTGTTGGGAACGTTGATCGGGACTTGCTACAATTTACATGACTTTACAACTTCTCATATTGACAAAGCAGCACACTATCGAAATACAACAGTATACGGGCATAATAGTAAGCCTCTAATACATTCCAACAGCAAATCTACTAGGTATCTATTCAGTATAACGTGACTTACAACAGAGTAACGCCTTGAAACTTCTCTTACACGCATACATTCACGGTGAATAGCAGCCAGATCCGCTCCGAATCCTTCCTTGACCCTCCCAGAAATAGGAAAACCACCAGGAGGCCCAGCGCTGCACAAGCGGGAGCTACTGCACCCTCTAGTCCCCCCCTCCCGCCAGCGCTAAAACCACAACCCTTGACCTCCGAGCCTTCGATTTTTCCATCCTTGCCGACCAAAACAAAACCTGCAGCCACCTGAATCATTTGATCAGCTTGGCGTTAGCGGATAGGGCTTTTTCCATTGGTTCCAGAATTCAATTCCTCTGGACTTGGCCGCTTATGTGCTTCCTGCGACATGTCCTGCATGAGCCCTATGTTACACACTTAGATTGATACCCAAGGTGGTAACTGGTGATTCGACATCAATGTCGACATCAGGCTCTGATGATCACACGCTCATGGAAATGTAACAGAAGATTACGCGCAAAAGCACTGGTCCGTCGGTGTGACAAACTCGAGCATGTCTTGCATCAGCATGCTCCAATTGTTCAACTGCCGCTCTGATTCAGCTTCCGCCCCTCTCCGGATCGTGTTTTCCGTGTCCAGGGGTCCGATGTCGTTGTCCCAGTGTCTGCTTGAGCCAATGGATATTCTGAAATACTGCATGGAGCACGGCATGCACATGTGATCACATCCAACAGTCCTGTATATTCTTATGTCTTGAATTGTATTGGCTTCTCCTCTATAGGGAGTTTGGGGCAAGGTAATGACGGCTGAATACGTGGAAAGGAAATGCTCAGGTCGAGCGCGTAGACTGTACCAGCCCCCAGTCTACATCAAATGAGCCCTCTCAAATCCGCCGAGAAATCCGAACCTACCATGTCCGCGTACACCCTTTCGGCTCGCTATAGAAGAGCTGACTGAGCACCGTTACATTGGAGAATACGACACCCGGTGGGGAGAATGGCTGACAATGTCTCGATATAGGCGAGCTCATGTATATGACACAACGCAGGTTCAAACATGGAAAATGTAGGAGGACCATGATTTCACAGATGAAGTCAAAGTGTACAGCTCCGAATATCAAAAGGGGAAAGAAGCCTGGTGGCCATCAACGTTGTTCAAGTGGTGCCGCGCCTCTCTTAGGATTCAAGGGGACGGGCCAGGCCCATGTCCAAGCATCCAAGCCGTGCAGCACTTCCAGGAAGCAGTACCGAAGAGAATCGTTTGAAAAACTGTTCACGCATACCTCGTGAATTCTAACAAAACGCCAATAATGCAAAAGAGCCCTTGCTGGCCGTGAGGCCCAAAGTGAGACTGAAAGAAACAGCTGCCAGCGATATGCCAGCCGCAGGTATTGAGATGGGTGCTTCCACATTGTCCATGCAGAGGGCAAATAACAAAAGGAAAGGGAAGCGTCTCGAATCAGGGAAGCTCTTTAAGAAGGCTGGAATCAAAGTGCCCTCGCGCGTGAGATGGCTCTCAACGGCACCAGCGTTGAAAGAAGCCGTTTCAAAAAAGGGCGAAGAGTAGGCTGTATTAGAAACAGGAAATAGGACCTTTGACTTTGGCGTGAAAGAAGATGGGGAAACGGTGGCGAGGAGGCTCCCGAAGATCACCAGCGGCGACTGTATACGGATTAGGCACTTTCGCGAAACCAGATCAGAAGCTTCATGTCCTTACCTGTAAACCGAGTCCACATTCTGTTGGCGGCGGCGTTGCGTCTTAGGCAATGCGAAACGATCCTGCCGTTGATGGACGCCGGTATCGGCGGGAGATCTCTGCCTAGCCGGTCGCCCCAGAAGCTCGGCTTCCAGGGAATTCAAGTCGGATGATCGACTAGAGACCGACGAATTCCTAGATTTTGGCCTCTGATGCCGCTCTTTTGACCGCGACCGAGATGGCCGATCCAGAGGGGGGAGGGTAACGTCGTCTTCTTGCACAGTTGGCTCTTCGTCATTCCGGGCTTCCAGCTTGGTGGCAGATTGGGCTTCTGTCCGAAGACCAGCTCCAGCGCCCAGCCCATTGGTGAACGATGCTGAGGATTTTGTCTTCTTGAGCCGGCGTTCGTCTTCCGACTCATCGTCTCGGCGCTTGTGCTTTCCGTTCAGCTGAGACATGTCAGGGGTGATACTGCCAGGAGTCGAGGCAGCATCCTTTCTATGATCCTGGGGGTGGTGGGAGTCTTGTTGGTTATCCCGTGTCGACAGTGCCTCGTCATCTTGAGACAGTTTCTCGGCAGCGTCGCTACCGAGAGAGTGGGCAGACTGTAGACACAAAGCTGCTTAGCAGACTATCCCACCAAGAATGCTAATGGTCCCAATCCATGGTCACCGTTGAAGAAAAGGTCTACATACCTCATCGGCTGTGTGGGATTCATCATCAGGCCCTCCATCATTGGACTGATTATCCTGGTGCTGAGGCTCTTGTGCGTTATTTGACTCGGAGAGATCTTTCTGGAAGCCTGAGTTTGAGGATTTGGATTCAGGTCGGGTAGTGTGCTCTGGGTCAGTTGTTGGCAAAAGTGCATCGCCTTTGATGGGTTCTGAGTTGACCGGAGCTGATGGCTTCTGAGAGGACCCAACAGCTGAGCCAGAAGGATTGGAACGGTTTGAGCGGTTTGAACGATTCGCCTTGTTCTGCGTCTTCTGGTTGGAAGAGCGACGGGAGCCTTGGTCCCTGCGTCTGTCAAGATGCTTGCCGTGACGGTCGTGTTTTCGTTTGTTCCTATTGTCGCGATGCGTATCTTGCTGCGGCGCCTGAATCGCATGAATGCTTCGAGGAGGCTTTGGCGGAAGAGAGTGAAGCAGGGGCTGGTTCGGCGTGGCTTGAGAGTGATGGGGTTGGGGAACATGCGGAGGCTTGGAGGGAGGATGATACTGCGCAGGCCCGGAGTGAACGGGGTAAGGAACTGGTGGAGGTCCGTACGGTTGCTGCGGGTATGGCTGCGCGTACGCCGCTTGAGGCGGGTAGCCGGGTGTGCTAGACGGTCCAGGAGGCGGATATGAAGCATAGGCAGGTGGATAGGATGCTGGTGCTGCTCCGGGTGGCGCTCCAGGTGCCGGTGGTCCTTGAGAATGAGCTGCATATCCCACTGGGGCTGCAGGAGCTGTACCGTAAGGCGGCTGGGCGTACTGCGCCGATGGATACTGGGGGGGGCCGTAGCCGGTTGGATAGTGCGGCGCTGGCTGGTAATGGGGATAAGGGTTCTGGAACTGGGGGCCTGGCTGCTGATATGATGGTGCAGCTAACGGCGTATAAGAAGCCGTGCCATGACCCAGAGACGGCTGAGGAGGAGGTGGTGGTGGAGGGGGAGGAGGAGGAGGCGCATATTTTGTGATAATGGGCCCCCTGTTTGGTCTCTTTTGGTTTCCATGATGCCGGTTGTTCCCCTGGCCAGCATGCCCAGCAGTAGGAGCGTTTCTCCAGACGTTTGCGAGGCCACTAGAGAACCTCTTCCGTTAGATCAAGAAACAGAGACAAGGGGGTCAAGGCATTATCAGGGCTGGGGCAGTGAAGAGGAGTAGGAAGGAAGTATAGGAAATAGCTTACGCAGGAGTCTGTCTTATCGGCTCCGGACAAGCAACAATCCAGTGGCCTCTGTTGCCGCAGTTGTAGCAGGACGGGTCGTCAGCCGGCCTGGCTTGGCCATTCGCAGACTCGGCCATTTCTCTGTGATGTAGAAGGGAGAGCGGGAAGTGAATCAGACGGCGAGGGAGTGAAGAGAGAGGCGATGCCGACAGCGGTTGAGGCAGTTGTATCGCTGGTGAGTGAGCGAGATGACTTGAAACAAAGGAAAATGTATCACTTTTTCTTCGTCAAGGGCAGTCAACAGAACACGAGAGATGATGAATGAAACAGGGCCCTCGTCGCCTTGAGCGTCAAATCCCCATCAGCGCCTCGTCACATTGCACAGGAGGCAGATGAGGATGAGGCCTACCTTTGCTGCTGCTGGATAAGACGGCCTAGAGACGATGAACCCCCTTTACAAACTGGACTGAACCCCCGCCCCAGGCCGTGTCGATCGATCTGGAGCGATGTCTCATGCGCCAGATCGGAGGTCCGGGGATCCTGGAGAAGAGAACAAGGCGAGGCGACTGTGGAATTATGAGCTCTGGAGAGAAGCGCTGGACTGGCCGTTTCGTCAACTGGGCAAACGGCTTGAGTGCAAGTCGCGTTCGATCAGCTGCCACGTGAGGCTGCGCACAGGCCACCCAGAAGGTTGCAGTTGTCTCAGCTGGGCTCCGGGATTTAGCCGTCGCTATATCGAGATGGACGACGATGGAATGTGAGTCTTTTGGTGCGCTCAGCGTCGTTTCCGAGGCTGCAAGAGAGCGCAGGTGTGCGCGGTGGGTGGACGAGAGAAGGGAGAGCTTTTAGAGCGAAATGTTGAGAGAGGAGAAGCCAACAGCCACTGTTCTGGGCTATGCTTCCGAGAGCTCTCAGTGACCTTGGGCTTCGTCTCTGTGGCGGTGTGCAGCTTGACTCTCCCGGACGGTGGCTGAGAGTTTAATAGCTTATTACAGTGCAAGCCTCGAATTGTCACCACCAGAAGGTGTCTGATATGAAGCAAAGCAGCTTGCGCAAGTCTCAAGGAACAGATTTTCAATGAGAGAATGGGTCGGCAAGACTTGCTGCAACTCTACCGTAATAGCGGTCAAATCCCAGGGTAGAGCCGTCGCCGAGGTGTCGGCTAGAGGCTTGTGGCTGGAGTTGCTGAAGTCGCACAAGGTCCATCCGCCTGCATCGCACGAATCGCCAGTGCTACGAAACGAGGCCGCCGTCTGAGTTTAGGCGAGAAACACGGAGAGCCTCTATGAGAAGATGCTTGTAAAATAGATTAGGGAGAGAGATACGAAGACTCGAGCGTGCTAGCAGTCTTCTGTGAGTTGCACGGATGACGAGGTGTCTCAGTTGCGTGCTGCAGGTCCCCTTGCGGCTTTCGAGTCTGCCGCGGTTGATTTTGACGGTTTGTAAGGCACCCAGGCACTTTATGTATATCACACCCGACACGAGGCATCCGGGGAGATACTTCCGAATCTTTGCAAGATCTGCGCGCCTATCAAGTACTGCCTACCGTAGCTGCTTCCGTGATTTACCACCAGCATACATGTAAGTACATGTATGGACAGCTGCAGTTGCGGTACAGTTTAATAGCGCGCTAGCGGCGGGAGCAGCGCCAGCCCGCGCTGCCGGGCCCTGTAACGATGCCCACCTCACTGTCGACCGGCGACTCGAGGCCCTGATGCAATTTCTCAGCAACTGAAGCTAGACGAGTTTTAGCGGATCCCCAGAAACCTGCCCTCTGTTCATGTTGCCTTTGCTGTGGCCACATTCACATCGCCATCGCCATCAGTCGCCGCCATTCGCCTCTTTTCCCCTTCTATCCTCCCGTCCCTCGTCTCGGGCTGGAGGCCGGAGGCTCGTTGCATGTGAGAGGATCAAGACCAGCAGAAAGCAGAGGCCATCGGGGCCCCTCGACCATGTTGGTGCATCCAGCCACGGCCCCTCCAAACACCATTGCCCGCAGACTCTTACCTGGATGACTCTGTCCATGGACGTGCAGCCTGTGCAACCATCCGCTTCATCATAGAATAATCCCAGCAGAGAGACTTTGTCTTCTGTAGGGGAGCGCCATGCCGTCGCTACCAGGTGAGTTGCTGCTTGTTCTGCGAGGGGCACATGTGGGAAAGGAAGAGCGGGAGGAGGGAGGGGAGGTCAAGAGGACGACGGAGAAAAAAAAAAGGGCATCGAACGCATGGGCAGCGAAGACTAACGCAGCCCTCAGCCTCCGTCGATCTGGACGAGTGCATCTCGCGCCTCTACAAGAAAGAGCTCCTAGCCGAATCCGTCATTGAGGCCGTCTGCGCCAAAACCAAGGAGCTGCTCATGCGCGAGAGCAACGTGGTCCACGTCAAGGCGCCCATCACCGTCGTCGGCGACATCCATGGCCAGTTTTACGACCTCATTGAGATATTCAGAATTGGCGGCTACTGCCCAGACACAAACTACCTCTTCCTAGGTTGGTCTCTCTCTCCCCAGGGTCTATCTCAGAAGTAGACCCCGTGGTTGTTGGTGGCAAGACTCGCCATGTAGACGCTGTGACGCTGACATCAGAGATGTTCGACAGGCGACTATGTCGATCGTGGCATGTTCAGCGTCGAGACAATATCGCTGCTCGTCTGCCTCAAGCTGCGATACCCCGAGCGCGTGCACCTAATCCGCGGCAATCACGAATCGCGCGGCGTCACGCAGTCGTACGGCTTCTACACCGAATGCTCCCGCAAGTACGGCAACGCCAACGTCTGGCACTACTTTACCGACATGTTTGACTTTTTGACCCTGAGCGTCGTCATCGACAACCAGATCTTTTGCGTCCATGGAGGTAGGTCCACCTGAGTACCCTGGCCATGAGCAACCCAAGTTCAACATCTCACCATTATGTGAATTCGCAGGCCTCTCACCCTCGATCCACTCCATCGACCAAATCAAAATCATAGACCGCTTCCGCGAAATCCCCCACGAAGGCCCCATGGCCGACCTCGTCTGGTCCGACCCCGACCCCGACCGAGACGAGTTCTCCCTCTCCCCGCGCGGCGCGGGCTACACCTTTGGCGCGCAGGTTGTTAAAAAGTTCCTCGCCGTCAACAACATGTCGCACATACTGCGCGCCCACCAGCTCTGCCAGGAGGGCTACCAGGTGCTCTACGACGACCGCCTGAGTACCGTCTGGAGCGCCCCGAACTACTGCTACCGCTGCGGCAACATGGCCAGCGTGCTCGAGGTGAATACGCAGGGCGAGAGGTTCTTCAATGTTTTTGCAGCTGCGCCGGAGAATGACCAGCACAAGGATATGCAGCAGGGGATGGAGAAGACGGCGGATGGGAATTCGCTGCCAGACTACTTTTTATAACACGGCGAGGAAGAGCGAGAGAGAGTGGAAAGGCAAGCAGGGAGAAAAGAGGCGATGTTGGATCATATACCTTCACCATACATAAACCTGTACCAGTATTGCAAATGTACCCTGCGAGCAGTTTTGAGCAGAGCTTTGTCATCATATAGAATTGCGGGCTATGCTAGAACAAAAAGGCAGATGCTTCTACAACATTCGTCCTCGTGTAATTGCTCAGAATTGGATTGCTATGCTTTACTTCCATCAAAGAGAGAACCGCGCTTTTTCGAATCCCGCATTTTCGACGTTGAATTTTTCATTTTATAGATCAGATATCTTCATATCTCATAAGATGGCAAGAGGTAGATAGGTAGGGGGATGGGCATAATGAAACCAAATGCAAAAAAAAAGAAAAGTATCAGAAAAGAGGAGTAAAACATAAAAAGGGGGCGCGAGGCTGTGAGGACACCGTTTCCAAACGCTTTTTCGCAGCTGCAAAACACAATTGTCCGCTACCAATCCTTGCTGATGTCGAAACTCCACTCGAACTCGAGGTGCTTCTTCTTGTCGTCGTCGACAAAGCTCGAGATGGCGTTGTAGTGGCCTCGGGCGAGCATGCCGGAGGGAGCCTCCTCCTCTTGGACTGCGGGGGTGTGTCAGCCGAATTCATCCCCACCCCATGTCTCATCTTTCCATGTCTTGGAATGGAGATACTTACACTTCTTGACGTAGGTGGGCTGCTTGTCGGTGTTGGGAGCATAGCTTCCCTATATAACCCGTTAGTAATTTCTGATGATCCAACAATTCAGCGCCCAGCCTTGTTTTCCACTAACAATCATCTCCGAGTCCTTGGAGACCCGGACGCCCTTGCGCTTGACGACCTGGACGTAGTGCAGGCCGCTGAGGATCTCGTGCTGGACCTTGAACTCGGCGCTCATGGTGAACTTGGCGCCCTCCTTGATCTTGAAGGGCTTGTCCTTGAGCGTGGTCTCGCTGCCGGCGGAGGAGAGGTCGATGGTGACGGGGTCGCGGCCGGGCGAGTCCATGGTCAGGGACAGGATGATGCAGACTCGGGGGTCGTTGGGGTCGGAGAGGTCCTTGCCGCCGCCGAGGCCGAGGGACTGCTTGTACCGCTGGAGAGACTCATCGCCGGCGTCTGGGTGGTGTAATGGTTAGCCAAGCTGATGCAACTGCCTGAAAGAGATGAAGACGTGGAAGAGTTTTCGGCGTAGAAAGCTTTTGGGGGGGAGCTCTTGGGAACGCAGCTGGTGTTTCGCTCGGACAGGAGGCCCCCGCTCATGAATAATATCCGTATTGGCAGAGATACTTTGAGCGGTTCTTCATGTCCACCATCAAGAGAACAAGCTATCCAGAGCGCCCCCTTCACGTCTTCCTCCCCCTTTCCTCCCGTTGCCGTAGCTTCTGGTGACAGCTGGCAAGCACCTACCCATCTGGTGGTACTCAGCGATGCTCTGCTTGGGCTGAGAGAGCTTGTAGCCCTGAGTCTCCTCAGGCATGGTTTCGTCATCGTGGGAGGCCATTTTGGATGTGCTGGAGAGGCTCGAGGATTGCGCCGGACAAGAGAGCAGAAACAGACAAAGGAGAGGTTAAAAAGAAGATGGACGATGCTATTCACAGCCTGCTGATCGGATGGGGTTCGAAAGGAGAGGAAAACAATGGCCCAGCCAAGTCGGTCAAGTGGTCAGAAGGCGGGATAGAGCCAGAAGCCATGGAGGGGCAGCGGGCTGCTGGTGGGGGGCGGGCGGACTGGCGAGCGGTGATTGGGCAGAGGGGGCACAGCTGCTGGAGGTGGTCCAGGCTCAGGGGAGGAGGGTTGCGGTGCAAAGGGGTAATTGCTGCAAGACGATGCCCTGTCAAGTGATACACCACATGGTTCCCTGGATGGATCTGGTGTTGTTATTGCCCGGCACTAGCGCGGTACACCAAGGGCACGCTATTGCGCCGGTGGAATTAGCGGTACCAGAGTAACGGCCCGTGTTAGTGTTTACCTGGCCTTGGTTGCCGGGCAATGCGAGGTCAATTGCACAGACACACGGATGCTTGGGCGAGCCAACGTGAAACTGCTCCAGCTGTGGAGATGCCTTCTTCCACGGATGCTTGTGCTCAGGTCAAGCAGGACAACGTCGACCGAGTACAGCAGATGCCAAGTCGACTGGAGTGCAGCCAGCACCAACCGTCACAATAAGGTGCGACTGCTGAGTCATGCTGCGACATGCAGAGGCTCTGCTTGCAGTTTGAGCGCCCATGTCAACAGAGACATCTCCCGCCGCCTTTGTTAGCAGCACAATGGGTTGAACAGGGGGGGGCTGTTTGGATTCGGCAGCTGCTCCAGTTAGCGGCTGCGACAAGCTGCAATGGGTTCATTCTGTTGGGCGCTGGCCGGGGCGCTACCGTGTTCTCAGCGAGAGACCCCATAAATCCCAGGAATCCCCCCAAGGACCCCTACACGCACTGCAGCGCCCCGGAGGTACCCGGTACTTGCGCCCGTGGCTGCAGCGTGCGTCGGCTGGTCACCCGCCGCGGCCACTCTAGGCCACTCTGGGCCCCGACAGCACCTAGACAGCACAGCACCGAATCAGCGCTAGAGCCCACGCACCGGCCCCGGAAAGAGCGGTACCCTGTACATGCACGCAGTTCACAGTGCCTGTACTCCCGGCTGGCATGCCTTAGCACCAGACCTCAAAGAGCCCACAGGCTTGCGGAGAGGCCAGGCCGCATCAGGCGCTCCCAGCAATTTGCGCGACTCTTCGCCCACCATCGCGAGTGAATCTTTCTCTTCACCCTTTTCCATCTGCTTAGTAGCCCTCAATCTCAGCCGCACCCCAGACCTGTCGTCTGCTGCGATTTGCCCTCGTCAAGGCCCGTCGCTCAGCCGCGTCCCGGTCGAAACCGCTTCGTCTGTCCGCTCCTGATTGATCGGGTGCATTGGCCCTTTTATTCCATTTTTTGCCCGACGCGCCGCCCCATCGCCAGGAAGAAATCTCGGGAACCGTCGCTTTTTTTGGACTTTGTAGGTACGTTGCAATTGCGGAAGCTTCGTTTGTGCGCGAATCTCTCCCGCAAGGCTGCGCCCAAAGGCTGACCGCAGACTTCAATCGCAGGCACCGCCTGACTCTCGCGCGCCTCGTTGTCTTGCATTGCCTCGACTAGTCGCCTGTAAGGAGTTGCTTCTGGAGCTTCGACTGGCTCCCTCGACACGCTTTGCGCCGCGACCAACGTACGCCGTATCCGTGGCCTTTGCAGAATCACACAATGGCCCCCGCCGCAGGAAGAACGCTGCCGGCCAAGCGGAATCCGCTGCTGGTTGAGGATATTCCTCCTTGTAAGTTGTGCTGTTTTCCCCCTGCGCTCCGTTGTGTGTAAACAAAACGTCATCTCCACCATCCTCCTCCTCCGCGCGCTGCCTCGTCGCCAATGCGCCCGAGAACCACGACTGACGCGCCGACGATGCAGACTCGGAGCTCGTGTCGCGCCGCCGCCTCGGCCAGACCAAGCTGACGCCCAAGATGGTCGGCAACGAAGAGGCCGAGGCCGGCGCCTTGGGCTTCTTCGACTACGCACACCTGCGCGCGCCGCTGCCCAAGGGCATCGTGTCGGGCATTTTCAAGTCCAGCCCCAACAGCTACTTTCTGATGCGCCGCAGCTTTGACGGCTACATCTCCGCGACGGGCATGTTCAAGGCCACCTTCCCCTACGCCTCGGCCGCTGAGGAGGAGGCCGAGCGCAGATACATCAAGGCCCAGCCCACCACGAGCCCCGAGGAGACGGCCGGCAACATCTGGATCCCCCCGGAAGCGGCCCTTGCCCTGGCGGAGGAGTACAACATCAGCATCTGGATCCAGGCCCTGCTCGACTCCTCCAAGATCTCCACCACCCAGCCCGCGGATGCCTCGCCCAAGAACATCACCGCGCCGCCCAAGTTCGATCGCCTCAAGGCCGCCCCGCAGCTGTCCCCTTCGGCCACTCCGGCCACTCGAAGCGGTCGCAGCAACCGTTCGGCCAGCCCTACCAAGAGCGCCACGAAGCGCGCACCTGCGTCTCCTCGAAAGCGCACCACCAGATCCAAGGCTGAGGCCGCGGATGCGAGAGCGAGTGCCGATGCAGTAACCACCAGCGAGAGCAAGGAAGAGGCGGCGAAGGCGGCGGAGACGAGTCTGAAATCGACAGAATTCGAGCCCGCCATTCCTCTAGAGGCTGATGCTTCCAGCAAGGCAGATGCCCCAGCTCACATTCCCTTCACGGCCGGCCAGCCCCCCTCCGCCGAGGAGATTGCCGACATGATGGCCACCGCCAAGTCCATGGTGCAGAAGGACAAGGAGGCGGCGGATAAGGCCGACGAGGATGCCGAGGAAGATACGGCGCAGGACAAGACCCTCGCGAAGAGCAAGCGGAAGGCCGCCGATGAAGAGGACGAGGAGGCTGCCGAGGGAGACGACAAGACCAGCGAGGCGCCGCGCTCAAAGAAGGTCAAGACGGAGGTGGAAGTGCGCAAGGGCAGGATACAGAAGAGGGCCTTGTTTGGCATTGGTGCCACAGTCGCAGTTGGGTATGTTTTTCTCTCTCTTCTCCCCGCGCCTTGATCTTGATGAAGAGCTGACTGGTTGGTTCTTTTGCAGAGCACTCGTGCCGTGGCTTGCAAACTTCCTATAAACGATATACCGAGGCTGCAGTCGCGTGTCATGTTTTGTGTTGCGTAAAATCTGTTGATCTTTATGGCGGCTGAATGAGGACTGGGATGGCGCGGTTTTGGCTTTTTTTTCCCTTTTTCTCATTGTTCATTTCCTTGTTATCCTTTCCTCGCTCTCTTCTTCCTTGTTTTTTCTTTTTCCGTCATCTTTAATCTGTGATTATCTCTTTATTTTCCTCTTTTTCTTTACAACATAGGGAGGCGGTGAACCCTCCCAAGCCGCAAACATCATGGGTCTTGACATTGACATGCCCATCTCCCCCTTCTCCCTTCTTTTTGGCTGACGTGTGCGAGAGTTCCTCTTCTGTTGGACATACTGGCACCCTTTTCTGTTTTTATTTTCTTTACAACTCTCGCTGCAAACTCGACGTCACCTACGGCTTGTTGAGGTCTTGTGGATGGTCCAGGGATCATTTGTGGCGGAGCCATCATTTTGGCAATCTCTCATCTGTTTGTAAACGGTGAAAGAAAGGGTGGAAGAAGAAAGGAGAAGAAGACGAAGAAGAAGTGGAAGAGGGGGGAGGAGGAGGAATGAAAGACCTGTGGGTTGATGGCCTTGTGCGGTGTGTCCACGTCTCTGAATTGTGGGAGAGGTTGGATGATTAGGGTTGTCTTGTTGTCCGAAAAACCTCGTCCGCAAAAGTGTTTGGTCGAAGGCGGTGGTGGAATAACCTACCTGGAGTTTTATGAAGGGCATGTGAGAGAAGAGGGATGATTTGAGATGATGGATGGCGATGATGGGGGCTGTGTAATAACGGAATTCGAATGACAGTGAAGAAATCTCACATCAGGTGCTGTACTTGTGCGTGACGCATGTGCTACCCTGGGGCCTGAGGATCTGTAGTGGTGGGATTATGCTGGTATCCGGTGGGAACTCACATTGACACCAGCTTTGTAGGTAGATGGCATGATAATGATGGTCATTCAGATGAATGAACAGATTGATCACTACAAGTAGCATAACACATCGTCAGTTGACAAGTGTTCTTCTGTGAATCCTACGGCAAGCATATCAGCAAGGATCAATTACAACTTATGGCTGCTCTGGCTTATGAAGACACGCTGCTAAAAGAGAAATCCACGTCTGGAAATCAATTGTCCAACACCGCGCTATACAACATGATATGTCTGCACTCAATCGTACTTGAATGGAATTCGATACCGTGACGCCTTATAGTCTCACCCAAACAAGCAGCCTCAAGCTTTCCCACCATCCTCCGGTGTCGCATCTCTACTTCCCGAAGACTTCCACCCCAGCAGCCACGCCCACCTCCGCACCGCGTACCACTTCAGTACCTCCCCCGTACAAGCCGGGCCCTTCCAATGACAACTTTCGATTTTCCTCACTTTTTCTCCTCCTCCCCCGGAAATGGCTGGCACCGGCAATGTGCGGCTTTCGCGGGGAAGGGGGAATCCACCCCCACACTGCACGTCCAACCAACCGTTCTTCGGGTCGGATGGCCTCGGCCATTTTGTGTATGTGCCTTGTCTCACGGGTAAACAGCTTCCTTGTCTCTCCCTTATCTTCTGGTAGTCTTCTCCCTTTTATAATTCGGGCATTTCAACTCTTATTGATTTGCGGATTTCGGGGGGAATTGCTTCAATTGATCGAGATGAGAGTCGCAGTCACACGGTTAGGAAGCTTGGTGCAGAGGAGGGGCTTCGCCAGCACGCAGAGGCGGCTCGACAACTATGCCTTCATCGGCCTCGGCCAGATGGTAAGCATCTCATCTCATCAGCTCACAATCGCCCATAATGAAAATCCTAGGACTATTCGTATCTGATAACTAAACTGGCTCTTTAGGGCTATCAAATGGCAAAGAACCTGCAGTCCAAGCTCAAGCCGTCGGACAAGGTCGCCATCTTTGACGTCAACCCGACGGCCATGGAGGGCCTTTCGGCCGAGATGAAGGCTGCGTCTGAGGGTGCTGCGGTGGAGCTTGCGGCGAGTGCGCATGATGCTTCCAAGGACGCTGTAAGTCGTGATTGGATGAGCTCTGAGTGTCATTGCCGAGTGTTTCTTGTCCCTGATGCCGGAATGTCGTCTTGATTGCTTCTTCATATCGCGATCTCAGCTAGGACGGCGGCTTGGCTATATGATACAGAAACCAATTGACGGGACGACATCACTTACACACTGACCACTTATATTCACATGCTTCAACTGAGACGCATGCTGACACACGCTCACAGGACACCGTCGTCACCTGCTTGCCGGAGCCACACCACGTCCGAGGCGTCTACGAGTCCATCCTGACGGACTCCCTCCCCAAAAAGGACCGCATCTTCATTGACTGCTCAACAATCGACCCGACGACGTCCCGCCAGGTAGCCCAGTCCGTATCCGACGCCGGCCAGGGCACCTTTGTCGACGCGCCCATGTCCGGCGGCGTCGTCGGCGCCACCGCCGGCACGCTGACCTTTATGCTCGGCGCCGCCGCGAGCGTCCTGCCACGCGTCGAGCCGGCGCTGCTCCTCATGGGCCGCAAGGTGCTGCACTGCGGCGCCCAGGGCGCGGGCCTGTCGGCCAAGCTGGCCAACAACTACCTCCTCGCGCTCAACAACATCGCCACGGCCGAGGCCATGAACCTGGGCATCCGGTGCGGCCTGGACCCCAAGACGCTGGCCAGCGTGCTCAACGTGAGCACCGGCCGCTGCTGGCCCAGCGAGGTCAACAACCCCGTCAAGGGCGTCGTCGAGAACGCGCCGGCGAGCCGCGACTACCGCGGCGGGTTCGGCATCGGGCTCATGAGGAAGGACTTGAGGCTGGCGCTGGTGGCGGCCGAGGCGGCGCAGGCGAGGACGGAGCTGGGGAAGCTGGCGTTTGACATGTACGACAAGGCGGCGCAGAGGGAGGACTGCAAGAATCGGGACTTTTCGGTTGTGTATAGATATCTTGGGGGAAAGGAGGAGTAGATGAAATCACGATAGACTAGTATTAATGAACGAACCCTGATTGCTTGTGATGGGAGTTGTGACGGTTAGAGGCTTGATAGCGGCTCCCTTGATATTCGGCCCACAGCGGCCGGTTTCAGTCACTGTCTCGGCCGGATGGATGGCCCGGTCGGAGGCGACAGTTATGGGGCTGCACGAGGGGCAGTTGCCGGCTTTGTCTGATGGACAGTTTGCTGCATCATGGCATGGAGGGGATGGTAACGTGGATGGTTGCAATTGTTGTTACTAGGTCGTCTCACGAAACAAACGCATAAGCGACTGCTAATCTTTAATTCACTATTGCAAGTCCCATCATTGTCGTGCCTTATCTCGGGAACGAAAAGAGCCACAGCAAAGACATGGAGTTACGCGTACTCGCCCACATTCCTCCCAAAGTCCGTCTTGATAACCGCCTGCTTAGTCACCCCTCGCGCACTGTCATAGGTGGACTGTAGAATTACGCCGAACCCGAACTCCTGCGGATTCCACCAAGCCGCCTCGCCCAAGCAATCAATTCATGCGGCGTTGAGCTTGTTACGAAACGCAGGGCGGCTCGTTTACGAAACACGCGTATTTCCTTTGCCTTCTTGCGCCCGCCCTGTGGATTCACTGATGCGGGCGGAAAGTGGCGTTTTGATTTCTGCGTGCTTGGAGGCCGGCACGGCAGCGGCTTGGGTTGGCTGTTGATTCCAGTTGGATGGGATGGGATGGGATGGGATTAGGCATCACCCGACAAGATGCTGACAGGGACGGACGAGTCCTGTGTCACTGGTGGACGATGCTGGGCGTCATTCTGCTAAGAGACGGCGATCGTGTGCTTCGTTTCGTCACGATAGTACTATCAGAGACAAGGTCGGAATTGGGAGGCAATCTGATAATCGGGGCATAATCTCGGTGTGACTCCAGATACGGACATCCTCGAACCGAGCCGCTGGCGATGTCTTTCTCGCCCAGCAACCTACACAAATAAGGTTATGCGACTGCTTCACACCCCCAGTCGCGAGATGAGGCAACGCTGCCATGTGGATGGACGGCCTGGAAGCACAACGAAGACGATACGAACAAACGAGCTGGGCTGTGCAAGGGGGGGAAGGGAGCGGCAGCAGCAAATGGGCGAATTGCACGTCGATTTTAGCGTCGGGGCCCAGATGGCTGACGATTATCGAGCCGAAGGAATTGCCAAGGATTCATTCGCCCTTTTGTGTTTGTGTGGTTCTAGCTGATGGAGTCGTTGTCGTAGTAGCTGGGCTGGGAGTTCGGGATTTTCCTGAACTCCATGTTTCGATGCGACTTGCTGCAGCTCCGTAAATATTCGCTGGAGCCCCGTCCCTCCCTCCCAGCCGCTTGCATCTTTCTTTTTTACTCTTCTTTTTGATTCTTCAGCCTTGTTACTTGAGGATCTGTTTCGTTGTTTGTCAGCCTGCTCAATCTCTTGACAGCATCGTTGATTCCTTCAGGCTCACAACAGTTTTTCTGCCGTCAGGACCGAAGCTTCCGGACTCCGAAACCCGACGACAAAGATCCATCCAGGGGCGAAAGGAATCCAAGGCACCACTGTGTGTGAAGCAGGACAGGCGAAAGCCATCGGTGTTACTAATCCATACGCCAACCATCTGTAAGAGAGGCATCCGGCTTGGGAGAAACAAGAAAAGAGAGAAGAGGAGGCAGTCTGTCGAAATCCCACGCAATGGCGCGAGACTGCTTGGAGGTGTCGCCCCTTTGCCCGGTCCAGGCCACGGTGCTGGGCTACTATCCGAATCTCGGGTCCGGCATCTTCTTCGCCATCGTCTTTGGCATCTTGACCGTGGCGTCGCTGGTGCTGGGAATATGGAAGAAGACGTATACGTACGCCATTGGTCTTTCCATCGGCCTGCTGCTGGAAATGCTTGGTATGTTCTGTTCTCATGACATCTCACCTCCATACTACTATCATATTCCACTTGTATACTTCATAAGCTCGTCATGCATACCTACTTACTTACACACCCTCACAGGCTACATCGGCCGCATCCAGCTCAACTCCAACCCCTGGAACGAGGGCGCCTTTGAGCTCCAGATCTGCGCCATCATCCTCGCGCCCACCTTCATCTGCGTCTCCATCTACCTCACCCTCAAGCACATCGCCATCAACCTCAACCCCTCCGTCTCGCGCATCCCGCCCCGCTGGTACCCCATCATCTTCCTGCCCGCCGACCTCAGCTGCCTCATCGTCCAGGCCATCGGCGGCGGCATCGCGGCCGCGGGCGGCAAGACGAACCGCAAGCTGCAGGAGAGCGGCAACCGCGCCATCATTGCCGGTGTCGCGCTGCAGGTCGTCGTGCTCATCGCCTTTGGCGTGCTCAGCGTGGACTACTATGTCCGCGTGAGGAAGTACATGGCTCGTCCCGAGGCCCAGGGCACGCAGGGCTGGCAGCTCTGGCACGATGCCAAGTTTAAGAAGTTTCGCTACGCTATCTCCGGTGCCTTTATCGTCATTTTGATCCGATGCATCTACCGGTATGTGTTTTTTCCTCTGCCATAAAAGAATGCCATCATTGGAAAGTAATACATAGCTAACAAATCTTTCGCAAAAAGTATCGCCGAAATGGCCGGCGGCTGGGGCAACAGAATCATGCAGGACCAGGCCAGCTTCCTCGTCCTCGACAGCACCCTCATCTTCATCGCCAGCTTCCTGCTCACCTTCTTCCATCCGGGCATCTACTTCCCCGCCATGCGCCGGGACCGCATAAAGGCCCGGCTTGCGGCCGAGGCTGCTTCTGGTGCTGAGGGGCCTGCGGAGGAGATCAAGATGCAGGCGGCTGGGTCGTCTAGCGAGGGTATCAAGACGCATGCTTGATGACTTTTTGTCGATGAATAGGGAAGAAATAAGTTGTGTTATGTGTGAATGGTGGATGTGACGACGGCGATGTATGACGATTTCTGAGAGGAACAGGAACAGGAAGAAAAGAAAGGAAGAACGGATTTATACAAGTCGTCCATGTTGCATCTTGGTTATTAGATGGCGTTGCATTTTTTATTACCATTCTATTCCCCCCCTTTCAGCCCGAAACAACAGGAGACGAGAAAAGGGTTCAAACACGGATTATCAAGTCTTGCGTGGCAAGCAAATATAGATTCCCCTTTCTGATAGAATCATTCATTCCGTTTTCTTCACTCTCTACAATCCATGAAATGCCCTGGAGATTGAAAGAGATACATGCTTCGCTGTAACAGTATATATCCTTCTATGTGCCATGTTCTATTCCCTCATCAACATCATGACTTGACCAATCGATCCGTCTCTCCATCGTCGTCACTATCTTCCTCTTCCTCTTCGTCCTCCTCATCCTCAGACTCTTCCTCCCCACTCTCTTCCTCCTCAGACTCCTCTTCTTCTTCCTCTTCAGATTCTTCCTCCTCTTCCTCCTCAGCAAGCCAATCGTCCAACGTCTTCGTCCTCAAACCCTCCCCAAGCCCATTCGACTTCCCAACTGGCGCCGACCGCACCACCTCGTCAAGCTTATCAGCCGCCGCCACCGTAGGCCTGTCGTTATTATACCGCGCCGTCGCAGCATCCCTTTCCGGCTCGCGTAACCGCGGATCAGGCTCCTTGCCGGGCTCGACCCAGTCGGGCAGCGTCTCGTATCCCCTAAGGCCGTGCAGACCGCCACCTCCAGCCAGGACGAGCGTCGAAGAGCCCAAGAGGAACCCCCTTCTCGATTCGGAGGGACTTGGCGCTTGAGGCGCCGGCTTCGGTGCAAGGAGCATCAGTGTGGCGAGCTGCGGCACAGAGAGCACGGCTCGATACATGCGGGCTCGGTCTCGCAGGTCGAAAGACACGTCGTATCGCACCAGAAGCAGCACGTAGTCCCACAGCCTTTCGATGGGGTGCTTCTCTACTTCCACGGGAGGGTCTTCCTCTCCTTGTCTATTTTTCTCGGCTTCACTCTGGCGGTTGAGGTGGTGTAGATAGACTTTTGCGCCGAGAAGTAATATCTGGCGCTTCGCTGCCTCGGACTCGCTCGCAAAGTCTTTGAGAAGGATTCGGAAAACGTCGGGAGCAATGTTGTCCTCGCCGTTGAGACCGGAAAACTCGCCCACCAGCCAGATGATTGTTGCTCTGGCCTGGGGGTCGGTCGCTGAGTCAAGATTCTTGGCCAGGCGCACAACTGTCCCTGCGTGAGCTTCTGCATCTTGCTGGATGAGGTGCCGAATAACTGTCAGCGACTCTGCAGCCAGCGTTCCGTCCAAGCTTGTGATCTGGCTCAGGAGCAGCTTCAAACACCTGGGAGCCGTGGCTGCATCCGCTTGCGCGCAACGTCCAATGGCACGGACTGCTTCGCGCACAAGAGCCTTGTTGGAGCCCTGAGAAAAGTGTTCCAGCTCTTTAAGAATGAGGCTTTTGACGTGAACTGGACTGTGGGGGAAGATGAGCGCCAGCACTTCGAGCTTCAGCTCCCAGATCGGTGCGGTATCCGTTGCCCTGACCAGGAAGTGGCTCGCATACTTGACAAAGTCAAGCGGACGCACAAGACACACAGACACAATGTTGTACAATGCAATCTGCTGAATGTCCTGAGCCCCTCTCAACAGCGCGATCAATGGCCCTATGGCGTGCTTCACGTATTCCGGTGTACCGACGTCCATATAACACCTTGTGACAGCCACGACAACGCCCGAGTTTCGACTCTGCAGCAGAGGCTTGATTCCATTCAACAACAGAGTGAGGTCGGGGTCCAGCGAGGTCGACTGCGCGGCGGGCTTGGAGGATGAGCCTGACTCCCCATAAAAGTCATCCATGGTGGTCTGTGTCTGCGTCTGGGGGGCATCAGCTTCCGCGGCTGGCTGAGTCCGTCGGGGAAAGCATCTCCGTGCATAGTATGTCATCAGCTTCAGCGTCGCAAGCTGACTCCATTCGTCCATGTCCACGACCTTCTTGATCAGACCACGGTAATGTTTGTGTATCATATCAATCTTATCGGGGCAAACCTCCACAAATGCCGACACAGCCGCGCCAGCAACATAATACTGCTTATCACCCAGCAGCGTAGCCAAATATTCCAACAGCTGGGGCGATTGACTCGGGTCCAAACGATAGCACTTCGGGATCGCAAGAGCAGCGGCTTTGCGCACCAGAGGGCTCATGTCCGCGACGCCCTTCTTGATGGCAAGCGACACGATCTGGCTGATGACGGGCACGCGGATGCCCGACATGGTCTTTAGCGCGAGGGCTCGGACTTGGGGGTTCGTATCGGAGAGCGACTTTTGGATGGTGTTGATGGAGAGCAGGGCGAGGTCGGGCTCCTGCTCGGCATGGTGGATGAGGTAGATGTAGACGAGCTTCTTGATCTCGAAGTTGGGCGAGGCGACGTTCTTGACCACAGACGAGAAGAAGGGCAGCGTCTTGTGGTTTCGGTACATCATCTGCAGCACCGGGCGCATGTTAGAGTCGGTCTGATCTGTATAAGGCCACGACAAGGCGGATGGAGCGAGGGAAGAGGGAAACGCACAGCTATGACACGCCGCAGACCCTCCAGCACCTCGCGGTCGTTGCGGCTGTCGAGCAGCTTGCGCATCTGGTTGCGGTCCAGCATCTTGGAGGTCGTGCGCACGCCGCGCGTCGCCTGGGCGGCATCGAGGGTGAGTTCTCTGGCTGACATTGGGCGCAAAAGCAGGTCAGCTTCACCAGATCAAGGCATGTCAAGTTGGGATAAACGCGGGGCTTTTGCGGTTGCTCACCAGCCTCCAGGAGGCCAGAGATTCTCGATATTGACTCCATTGTCTCTGGCCGGGCCTGGCGAGAGGAAACGGCCCTTTGTCGGGGGAGCCTGTTGGTGAGGCTGTGAGGAGGGAGCTGGTGGTTTGGGAGAGGAGGGTTCGTGTATGGATTCAGTGCTGTTTGGCGTGCAGAAGAGATGACGTGCGAAGTTGGTGGTGCAGCAGCTTCCTGGCCAGTTGCGGTTTAGTGCATCAACTCACTACTACAGCGCATTTTGCTTGTATCCATTCAACCATTCTCAACGATTGCATTGTCTATGAAATTGAGCAGCCCTTACGACCATAATCTGAATTGGAAACAAGAATTAGACTTATACAATCCCATAATCGTTCTTGTCATTGCTCATTCGGACCAAACTGCCAGGCGTTATCTCGGGAGGGGTCATGCCTTATGCCAAACGCCACACAAACAGCAGAGCCAAGCATGTCACCACATAAGAACACTTACATGACAACAACATCTTGACATCTTTCACCTCTTAAACAACCGAACCTCAATTAAAATGACATCTCCCAATCCCATTGTCCTCTCACCATCAACCCCCTCCGAGCTCCTCCAGTACATCCTCTCCCACCACAGATACCCAACCACAATCCTCATCGGATGGCCCAAAGAGACATTCATCCAAGGCCTCGTCGAAGACATCACAATCCAGCATCTCTCCGCGCACAGCGAAGCAGCCGCGCAAAACCAACAAGACGAAGAAACAGAGGCAACCAACAAACCACCCGCTCTTCACCCCCTCGAGCGTAAAACCCTCCTTCAAACCGCCGTCTCGCGCCACATTCGTCTGTTATTCGTCCCCAGCACGACGCACCTCCGTGCCTACCTCGGCACATTCTCCGCCTCAGACTCCCAGATCCCGCCTCCTCCATCTTCAGATCTGGACGATTCCGATCCAAGACGCCCTACAGGCACACCGTTGTTGCTCGCATATGGCTTTCTCGAGCTTCACCGCGACGGAACCGAGTGGTCTGCCCAGGGCATCGGCACTTCGGCTGCGTACTTTATAGAGGCAGCAGCCAGGAATTCCTTCAGGGCCGCCATTGTTGAGCCTAGGGGAACAAAAGGGCTTGCGACTTTGAATGAATTTTTGGACGAAAAGGTGCCCATCCTAAGTGGCACAGGCGTCAATATTGACGGCAAATGGAGTGGACGGACGGTTCCCATTAGAGCGGTGCTGAGTCGCTGGTTCGAATTTGAACGACAAGCTGAGAACCAAAAGGCAAGAATATCTTGATAAATAAAACGTAAAAAGAGTTCCCAAGGTCCGTAGTCATGCTCGGCCATTATCCATCCCACATTGAAACACACATTCATGTCAAGCCTCCCAACCCAACGCCGATCCGTGGTATCTCCATAATATGCGCCTGGCATCCTTTTCCCTTGTCATTGCCACATTCCAGATAAGTACAACCCACGACTTCTTGTAAACAAAGTATGGACAGTTCTCCGCTTAGCCGATTGTCTGTTCCATCTCGGTAATGTACAACTTGATGTGAGCCTCCATTTTAAGGTACTCGTCGTACGCCGCGTGGACTTCGTTCTCAATGTTCTCTTTGAGATCGAGCATCTGCTGGCCGTTAGTAACCCTTCATAGACCGACACGAAAATGGGGGATGGACTTGGGCATACCTTCTTCTCCGTCTGCTCGATCCTCACTCGTCGAATCTCCATCTCCTTGCCCTTGTCCGTGAGCTCCTCCGTCAGCCTCTTGTGCGTTGCCCGCAGCTCGTGCATCTTCTCTTTGGCATCTTGCGCCTTCTGGTTGCTCTGCTCGCGGAGCTTCTCTGTTCGCTCCATCCATTTGGCAAGCTGTCGCTTGAGCATTTGTTCTGCTCTCTCCACCTCGCGAGCATTGTTTCCTCTCTCCGATAGTGCCTCGCGCTGCTTTGTGTTCTTGGCCATTTCTTCCTCCTCTTTCGCCATCTCCATCGCAACTTCTTCCAGGACCTTGATGCAGGATGCGACATCGGTTGTTACAACGGCGAATGAATCTGCCGATGTCTGAAGCGCTCGTGCCCGTCGGTCCAGTGAATCGATGCGCGCCTTGTCATTGTTGAGAATGTCTCGTAGCTCTGTCAGATTCTGCTGCAGAGCCGATGGGCTCTGGAGCACATACGGCCGCAGCTTGGCGCTCTCCTGCTTGAGTGTGATCTTCTCTTGGGTCTTTTGCTCCAGCACGGTTGTCAACTCGCCCTTCTTCTGCTTCGCCTCCTCCAGTCGCGCGGCAACTTTTTCTTGGTTTCGCCTGAGCTCGAGCAGTCGTCGCTTCAACTCTTCGTTCCGCATCGTCTTCTCCCGCACCTGCGCCTCCATCGCCTGCCGGTTGTTCTTCATGTCCTCCAGCCGAGTCTCGTTCTCCTGATTCTCCGCGTAGAGCGTCTGTATCCGCGTCTTTGTCGACTCAGCTTTGTTATAGTGTTCGTCAATGACGCTCGTCTGGGACTCTCGGAACCGCACAAAGTTGATCAGATAGCTGAAGATCTTAACCAGGCGTTCGTATGTCGGCTTGTACAGGTCGTTGAAGCTAAAGTCCTGGATGCCGCACTCCACCAGCAACCGCCTCAGCGACACGAAGAAGCCCATCAGATTGCGCGTATCGGGTGAAATGACGTCGGCAAACTCGCCGCAAACGTCCTCTGCGGCGGCGCGCATCGCCGGCTCGACCGTCTCGCGCGTCGCATTGAGAAGCAGCTCGGCGAACCACTCGAAGATTTGCTGGACGTGTGCGGGATTGGGCTTCTGCAGGTCGGCGATGGTGAAGTTGATGCCAATGTCGGTGATGCAGCCAACGATTTCGCGGTCCGGCAGCCGCATAAACGCGTCGGCCTCTTCCTCCTTTTTCCTCGACCGTGACTGTTGCTGCGAGGCTGGGATGATGCTGACTCGAGGGTTGTACGCCATTCTGGGTGATGCAGCGCGCACTTTGCGCGGCCGACGTGCTGATTGCAGAAGTCTATGGCGATATGAAAATGGTTCGTCTGCCGTGGGGTTTCGCCAGAGCGGCATGTAAATACGGACAAGGTTGCCGCAGAAACTCTACGATCACGTGACCCACCCTACAGGTAAGCCTCTGGTTGAGCGCGTCCATTATCGTAGAGTATGATGAGAGAAATAAACTCTGTTCTTTATCAATCAGTTTTTTGGGGAATATGCAAACATTGTGTATAACCTTCAAAGCCTCATGTTTTGGAGGGTAGATGTCCAGTTGTTGATATTCAGGTGTAAACAAACTCTGAGGCCTACATGATAGCGTCACATGCAACTCCCTACTGGAGGTTATGGAATGCCGGAAAGAAAGGAAGGTTGTCATTCAAGAAAAAAAAGGAGGGCTATCGACTTCAACTGATGACCCAACCAGCAATCAACTCGCCCATTTGCGGGTGTGTGAATTTCTACGGCCCCGGGGCATGTACGCTGCCGTTGGCAGTTAACGGATTTTACACAACGACAATCGGGAAATTCCGTCCAGCATATGTCTACCACTGGTGGATTACCAGTTGATCAAAGTGGATGAAGGCCGTGGCCGCACATTGAGCTGTGGCCGTCATTGTATTTTTTTATAGAGTGCGAACACAGCAACCGCCACGCATCAAGGGCCGAACTGCAGAGGATTCCGAGACGGTTTACACAATCGCCCTACTCTAGAAAGCAACAAGTTCTCCTTTGCAGGACGGGAGGGTGCTGCATAAGTACTGTTTCAAAAAGACGATGGGGATCAGGGACAGACATAACAGCGCAACATAATAAAGATGTATCCATATACTTCGAAGCCCAGATTCTCTACTCATGGGTGCCAATTGGAGCCTTGACTAGTATCTATTATCTACAACGTCTAACATGACACACGCCGTACCTATCTTACACTCCTTGTCCACAATCTCATCATTTCATCAACGTGCTACTCCTAAGCATTGTGCTTCCTCAGCGTCTGCAGCAAAGCAGGCGGGTTCGCACCAATCATCTCGTCGACCTTGTTGCCGTTCTTGTAGAAGAGAAAGGTGGGCATGGCGCGGATGCCCAGCTCCTGGCTCAGCTCGGGCAGCTCGTCCACGTCAAACTTGACAAAGTGGACCTTGTCCTTGAACTCTGCTTCCTCAGAGGCCCTTTACTTGACAGTTAATACTGATTCATCGTTTTGTTCTGTTGAGCGGACAAACTTTTCCAGGATGGGAGCGATGGCTTTGCACGGCCCGCACCATGTTGCGAAACAGTCGACAATGACCGTCTTTTGGTCCTTGACGACCTTTTTGAACTCTTCGGCACTTTGTTCATCTTCTCTCTCAGCATATGAAAAACATCATTCTGGCAAGGTGACGCAGCTCACGTCTTCACATGGTGGACCGCAAAGGCAGGGCGGCTGGCGTGGAAGAGCCGCTGCGATGCGACGCCTTGCCGGGCGATGGACGAAGCCGGACGGAACATGCGTGTAGAAAGCATCTTAAGTAACGAGAATATGTCGACAGAATAGAAAATGGCGATTGAGCGAGTGCGGGCAAGATGTGGTTCATAAAACGAAGTCGTGAAGCAAGTGGCGATCTGGATGAGTAAATATCGGGGACAGATCTGTATGAGGTAAGCCAACTCTTACCTGAATTGGATGATCGATACTTTGTACACGGGCCAAGACCAGCGGCGGCTTGAAGTCGTGACTAACAAAGGCGCTAGACAACTGAAAGCAATCGTTCCTGGCATCAATCTCAGCAACTCCATGTCTCTACTCTGGCAGTAGTACTATAAGGTAAGGTTTTCAGTGGTAGAGAGACATGTTACGATTACTATACCTACCTACCTATGCTGTTATCCCTAGCATTAGCATATATCGCATAATATCGAGACCGTCAAGTAAATCCTGGTATCTCCCGTATCAAGAAGTAGCAGTCGGCAGTTCGTGTCTCACTTATTTTGTCCACCGCCTGCCAATTCAATGCTCCCTTTGAACTCAACGCACTCAACACTCAACAGTAATGAACTCTCAGCTTCGCAATACTCACAATCATAATATGTATATCTACCTACGTCGTCTCCGATCCAGTCATGGTCGTCTGCTTCATTGGCCGTTGGCACCCTGAGGCTCGCTCCGGAATTTCGCCATCCGAAGCCTGCAGCCAACATGGCGGTTGACGTTGAGCGTCAACTCGCCTGCAGAAATCCTCCCCTGCCCTCCTCTTCTCGAATTTGCATTTTTGTAAGGCCTATATCGCCGCTCAATCTTATCGTATGAGTGATCCCTTTCACATGGTCCGGCGATCTACCCGAAACTCGAACGGACACGCGTTGACAATTTGGACGGCGGCCATGTCGAATCCTGGCCCAGCCTGCAGCGTTACGCCACCCAGCCTTGCATGAAGCTGGCGTTTGGGTGCATGTATATGTTCATTCAATCGCTGATTTGGAGTACATGGTCCCTACCATTATAGATTCCCTCAAAGACATTGGTTGAAGCCCAATACTACTCCGCATTGCGCCCAACTGTCTGTTGGGCTTCTCGACCTTGGCTTTACCTTGACGGATCTTGACCTCAACACCAGCTGAATACCATCTCAAGCAACACTTTTTTGTCATATACCTTGTATCACACAATGTCTTTTTTGTGTAAGCCATTTGCAAAATTGCGAGGAAAGCGCAAATCCTCGAAGGCGAGGCCGATGGCAAGTGGCTCCAGTCAAGAGGTCAACGCCACTGTCTCTCAACCACCGACTGGAGAATCTGTGCAACAAGATATCGCCTCGGACTTGGAGCTTGAGCACGAGCAGAATGCTGCCGCTAGTTCGATCAGCCAGGAAGAGAGCACTCCGCAGCACACCTCTGATACAACCCCTGCTGCAGTGCTTCAGCCTGAGATAGCCAAAGCTCCCGTCACCCCGCCTGAGAGCATCTGGAACAACGCTTACGACAAACTGGCGGCTAAAGAGCCCACGTTGGTTCAAACCTACGAGAAGATCTTGTCCCTCAAGCTCAGTCGCGAGACTGCTGATTCTTTGGATCTCATAACCAAGGAAAATACCGTTGAGAGGGACAATGTGCTGGTGAGAAGGGCGCAGTTGCACCAGTTAATTCAAGATGGTCTGGAGAAAACCGCGCGAGAAGCGAAGGCGAAGGAAAATATGGGCACAGCCATGCAAGTAGTCAACGCGACAAAAAAACTGGTGGCCGACGCAATCAGAGATATACCTCAAGCGGCTCTTCCCTGGGCTATGGTCTCTGTCTCACTCGAGGTCAGTATAAGTATCCACAGAGGCAAGTAACACAAAAGAGTTAACTTTCATATAGATGTTGATGAACCCTATATCTGAAGCAAAATCCAACCAAGAGGGCGTTGAATATATCGGGACCACGATTCAATGGTACTGGGAGCAAGCGGCACGTCTTTTCGACAGCGAAGAGGGTGATGGTGTCGACAAGACCTTATACTCGGCATTCGTCGACCTGTATGAAAGTCTTTTGAGGTTCCAGATGAGTAGCATTTGCAACTACTACAGGAACCGGGGCTTCGTTCTTCTACGGGACATTGTAAAGCTTGATGACTGGGAAGGGAAATTCAAGTCCATTCAAAAAGCCGACGATGTTCTCAGAAAAAAGATCAATACCTTTCTGGGTCTTGAAGCAAAATCTCATCTCAAAGACTTGGTTGATCATACCAAGGCACACGAAAGATATCATCGGACGAAAGAAGATCAGCAATGCCTCAGAGACCTGCGAATCACAGATCCTCGCGCTGATAGGAACCGCATCGAAGACACTAAAGGAGGACTGCTACAAGAGTCATACCAATGGATTCTCGAGAACCCGCAGTTCAAGACTTGGCGCGTCAGTCGCGACAGTCATGAGAATCGTTTGCTTTGGCTTAGGGGCGATCCCGGAAAAGGGAAAACAATGCTTCTCTGCGGTCTTGTGAAAGAGCTGAGGGAACAGTCCGCTTCGTGTCTGGTCACCTTCTTTTTCTGCCAGGCCACAGACCCAACCATCAACAACCACATAGCAGTTCTGCGTGGTCTCATGTGGCTACTGGCAGATCAGCGGCCTTCTCTTATATCCCACATCAGAAAAGTATACGACACTGCTGGAAAGAGCGCCTTCGATGAGGGAAATGCCTGGTACACCTTGTCAGAAATCTTCGGGAATATGCTGGGTGATGAGGGCCTGCCACTCGTTCACATCGTTATCGATGCCCTCGATGAATGCACTAAAGGCATGACAGAACTTTTGGGCTTCATTCAGAAGACATCACGTTTGCACAATGTCAAATGGGTCGTGTCCAGTCGCAACTGGACCGAGATCGAAGAAAAGTTGAATCAAGAGATGAGTCTCAGCCTTGAAGTAAACGCAACACTTGTTGAGACCGCTGTTGATGCATACATCTCTTTGAAAGCATCGCAGATAGCCATTCTCAGGCAAGATGATGATCTCAAAGAGAAGGTTTGTAGCCAAATTCGAAAGAAGGCGAACGGCACGTTCCTCTGGGCTGCAATTGTCATTCAACGGCTTAACATCAAAGCTTATTACGACAATGAATCTGAGATACTGGGCCTATTAGACGAGATGCCTCAAGATTTATCCAAACTTTACGCCCTCATGTTGGAGCGTACTTCCCAGTTGGAAGGCAAGGGCCCCGAGCTATGTCGAGCTATTCTGGCCATTGCGACATTGGCGCATCGGCCCTTGCATCTCGATGAACTTTCATGTCTGGTGGGATTCAAGGGCAATTTGAGAAACTTGCCTCGGATGAAAGAGCTCGTCAATGATTGCGGTTCGTTTCTGACTGTCCGAGAAGATATCGTCTACTTTATACACCAATCTGCAAAGGATTATCTGGCTGATGATCTTTCATCACGACCCGTAATCTTCCCGTCCGGAGAGGAGAGAGTCCATTATGATATGGTTTCGAACTCGTTGGACGCCATGAAGCTTATCTTGCGTGAGAATATTTACGGACTCGACCATCTTGGTATTCTCATCGATGATATTAGCCCACCGGATCCTAATCCTCTACGTCGAATACTCTACTCCTGCACCAACTGGGTAGCCCATCTCTGCGCGGTGGCTTCTAGTCAAGATCATTTCCGTCCCCAGAGCGAAGTCGTCGACAACGGAGAGGTCTTGAGCTTCTTGGAGACGCATTTTCTCCACTGGCTTGAGGCGCTGAGCCTCACACGCAACCTGCCAAGCAACACCAGGGACATCAAAAGACTCAGTGGATTGCTCAAGGTGGGCCAAGAATGTTCTGTATCCTCAGGGGTTTCATCTTCGACTGACAGTGACAGCAGACTGCAGAAAAAGATAAGCTTCAAGCGTTCGTTTACGATGCAAGTCGGTTTATGCAATATCACGCGCACATTATGGAGAGTGTCCCAATGCAGATATATGTGTCTGCACTCCTATTCAGCCCTACTGAAAGCCTCGTGCGTACGCGCTTCGGTGGCAAGCTATCATCTTGGATACTCTTGAATCCTATCACGGAAAGGATATGGAGTCCATGTCTTCAAGTAATTCAGACCGAATATGACGTAACAGCGGACTCTAGCGGTACGGATCTCTTGATATTGAACGACGACTCCCGGGATGTCGAGGTTTGGGATGTCACTTCAGGGAAGCGGTCGCAGATACTCAGCCATGCAGAGATCGTCAAGTACGCGATGTTCTTAAGCGACTCGGGGCGCATCCTTACCTTCTCAAATCGCCTGGCTTGTTCCTGGGATGCAAACTCGGGGACCAAGCTCAGCGAGAGCAGTATATATGACCTAAACATTGGCTGGCAAGTTGCCTCGGTCTCAAGCGATGGGAGGCTTGTCGCGTCATATACTGGAGATGGGCTTCAGAGATTCGACCTTGTTGAGAGAACGAAGCAGCAAATACTACCCCCTACCCCCCCCTGGAAAAGAGGTTTACGGTGCAGGTGGTCCAAAAATTCCGAGTTCTTGGCTTGCGATGGGCTAGTTATACACAATCCGGGTGCGACAGGAGGCACAAGAAAGCTGGACTTTAATGACCCTGACCTATCGGGACCAGAGATGGCCGCCTTTTCACCCGACGCCAAGCTCATTGCTATACCCTATAACGAAGCAGTTGTCATCTGGGACTTGGAGAGTAAAAAAAAGTTGTTTACACTCAGTGCACCGAATGCAACGGAGCAGGAACAAACATTCATATGCGCCGAGTTTTCAACGGACAGCAGGCTGATTGCTGCGCAGCGCACTTCCAGAGATCCACCCCTATCTGCAAATGGCGTCATTGTCTGGGATACAGCCCAGGGCCAAGTGCAACACGAGCTGCGCTGGAATTCATCAATGCCGGCCCGAAAACTGCTCTGGCTCGACGACATGAGGGCTTTGGCTGTGGTACGTCGGGGGGCGATTGAAATCTATGATTTATCTGAACGTACATTTTGGAGCTCCGGGTCTGGTGGTGGACACAGTTTTTCCGCAAAAGAGCTCATCTGCTCCGCCGACTTCACATGCGTGGCATATGTGACGTATAACAGGGAAATACATGTATGGGACACGACAACTGAAACTAAGATCCAGACTCTTACGAATCTCCCTCGTCATTGCGTGTATGCATTCTCGCCAGATTCCAAGTCCTTTCATGCATACAATCGTGATGATGGCATTTTTACGTGGGACATAGCCTCGGGCAATGAGATCATGAGAGGTTGCCAGGGAATTCACTCTGGACGGCCCGGTAAAGGTGCGTTTTCTCTTGATGGGAGGTTTCTAGCCGAAGCACCATGGGCAGAAGAAACAATTTATGTCTGCCATACGTCTTCCCACGAAATATCTAGGAGGTTACAGACTCGTCGAAGGGGATCGTCAGTTTCCTTTCTGGGCCTGTCCAACAATGCCGAGTATCTTGCCATACTGTTCATGGGAACCGAGCTTGAGGTATGGAATGTGGTGACTGAGGAGAAACTATGGGCAGCAGGTGATGATGGCTCCTGGGTAGAAGGGGAGGAAGAGGCACTTTGCCACACATGCGTCTCCTTCATTCGCGCAAAGCCATCCATTGCAGTGTCCGACGATGGTGAGCGTGTGCTCTTTACGAAGCCTCGCCATCAAAGAATGTTGATTCGGGCAAAGGGCAAGGAAAGAATCAGCTTACCAATATGCTGTGCATACTTCCGGCCATGCTTTGACGTCGAGTCGCCGTATATTCTCACGCAATTCGGCCGTATCCACTGGAATAAGCTCCTCGCTCAAGCCGACACTCTTCAATCGGCACACGACTACAGTCGCATGACTGAGGGATATGGGCTGAACAGTGATGGATCGTGGGTAACATGGAATGGTCGAAACATTCTATGGCTGCCACCGGGCTATCGACGAAGAGGGAGGCGAGTGATCTCCCATGACTGCCTTATCATGGACACATATAATCCAGAGAGCCCATGCATTATTCGCTTCTTTGGTCCTCCTCCTTTCCAGTCTCTCCTCAATTCGCGGCATTGACCCGTCGACGTGGGGATATCACACTCTACCGCCCTGAGGACAAGGTAGGAGACGCTGTTCACTGTCCTCGCTGATATCTTCACTATTATGCGGACTTGGATGTTCCCTGGTATGTTCCATACCCGCGCCTTACAATATAGTGTTTTTGGTAATATATCTGGACCTTTTCCTTGCCAGTGATCAAACTTGCAGCAACAAATCGTACAAGTAACGCTTAATCTACACTACCTACTGTCATTAACCATCGCAAGTAAAGCATCCGAGATATTCTTCGGAAATAGAGCTGCAAGATTCGGGTCAAGCGTCGACGTGGTATCCGTATGAGTTACACACCCACGAGCCGCCTCTTTCCCATCGAGCCGATCCTGCATCCAGGAAATCGCCTTGTACACGCCCACGATTCCGTACTTGACGTGGTCCAGATTCGGCGAGTTGGCTCTCTCGTAGTGGACGCTGACGCCCTGATGGCAGTAGTCGCGCACCTCGGCATCGATCCTGTTGATGTCCGAGAGGTGGTCGACGACGCTCTGATACATGTATAAAGGCGCTTTGATCTTTGACAGCGGAAAGTCGTTTTCTTCCTTCCACGCTCTGACGAGCTCTGCTTTTAATCCCGGTATCGAGCCATTGCGAAACATGCCCAGAACATCCTGGTTCGCGAGCAGGAGATTGCTTGCTTGCAGACACTGATGCAAAGGGCTGTAAAACAAGTCGCGAAACTCCGGCTTCAGCGCCTGGTCAATAGCCCTCTGAAGTCCCGGATGCTGGCTCGCCAGGCCGAGCATCGCAGACGGTATCAGAGTCGCACTCTCTCCCTTGTTGAGGTCAAAGATGTCGCTCGCCTCCGCCAGACTTGAAAGTCCCCCCATGGCAACGCCCGCAATCTTCAGCTCAGGGGCATAAGCATCTTGCATGGTGATTGCAATCTGCGTGGCAGCGGCGCCCCCCGAATAGCCCCAAAGGCCCATCCTGGCATTCGACTCGATTCCCGTGATGTGGCTGGACTGCTTTGCCGCTCGAAGGCCGTCGAGGACGGTGTGGCCGGTGATTTTGCTGGCTGCATAGGATCCCTTCGGGCCTTCGTGGTCCGGTACGACGACGATCCATTTCTGGGCGAGGGCTGCCTCGGCGAAGAGCAGCTGGAGACCGGTGAGGAAGGAGGCGAAAAGGGGGTTGCTCTGCGATGAGAGCTGCATCGTGTACGATGGGCCGCAGTCAATCGTCGCTGCATCCTCGGCCATCTGCAAGGACAAGACCTTGTCGTAGTCGGCATCGGGAGGGATGAAGGCTGTCAAGATGCCTGCGGTGGCATTCTGCTGGCTGTCCGTCGTGCGGTAGAGAATCTGGTAGGCTTTGTGGATGTGAGTGGGTGTCCATCCGTAAGCGGAGATTTGCGATGGTGGTTCTCTGTGCTTGATGATTTCGCCGGGCGAGAAGGTTGAGATGTTTTCTGGTATGGCGTAGAAGGGATCTTGGCTTGGGGGCAGGCTGGCATCCAGAGGATGTCGGCGGTTGAGACCTGGAAGCTCCCTGGCCGAGACAAGGCATGCCGCCAGCAGGTAGTAGATAGACATCATGATCGGTGATGAAGTATAACACGACGGCTTCTATGATTGCTACATGTGGAAGAAGAGAACGAGGGGGAAAGGTTACAAGAGCACTCCAGCAATACTGTCAAGTCTGAGATGAACCATTGTCTATATCGAAACATTGTGGTAAAAGAGTTGGCACTGAATTCCTCTTATATCAGCTACTACTACTATCGAAAGGATAGGGGTATGATGTAAGACAGAGTGAGACATTGACATACTACGTACTATTGACAGTCACGGTGATAGCCAGTGAGGGTATGTGACATCGTCATAAACTGCACTTCCAGATCAAGTAGAAGGAAGGATGGTTGCACAGCTCATCAGAAAATACGTGAGTGGGCGCTTGTGCTGCCAAGCCCATAAGGTATGCTCAACTCTATATATACATAGCTGACCAAATGTTACGGCCGCGCTTGAAAGCCACCAGCCAGTATGCAATATAGACATCAGCATACCAGCATCCACCTTCGCTCAGTGTCTCACACCTGAGCGTCCCAAGCAGGCGGTGCAACTCCTCTGATACTACTCCGCACGATGCGATGGAGAGGAATTTGGTACAATGCTTCGGTGTCTTGGCCTCTCGGGCCCGTCATTCCAAAGACCGGGATCGAGTGGTCCATGGCAGCGGCTGGATGACGATTATTTTGCCTAGGGATAACTTCACAGTGGCTGTACCAATCGAGGAGTATACACATAAGCTGCCACTGGGTAGCCCCTGAAAAATTGAGGCTCCTGGACCGCCAAACCTATGGAAAGAAAAATCGTCACACGCCTCCAACTCTCTTCACAGCATTTTTAACCTCGCCCGGGACCAGAATTGAGTGGAGCCGAGATGGGTTAGTACCAGCTAGGCAACCGGGGTGCATGTACATATGTACATATACCTCTAATGGCGCTGTGTGAAGGCTCCGATAAGCACTGATAAGAGCTTGTCGCCGTGAAATTTCTCCCATTCCACCCCACCAAGTCCATCGCCCGTCATCATCATCACAACTTGGACCTCCAGCACTCTCTCGCTCTACAACGTCTCTCGCCCTCCAATTACTCGATATCCAAGCCACAAAGTCACCAGCCGAGCCAAACCATGTCCAACATAGACCCCGACCTCATGGACATTGTCCACGACACCCCCAAACCCGCCTCCCAAACCAACAACACCAACACCACCACTCACAACCCCATCGACGACGACGATGACGACCCCATCACCGCCAGCTACCAAGTCTTCCTCAACCCCTCCCTGCCCCTCGGCCGCCGCCTCCTCGTCCTCCAACACCCCAACCGCACCGACAACACCCCGCGTCCTCCCCCGACCGAGCTGCGCCTGAAGGAACACTCGGGCATGGTCGAGGTCGACATGCCCCTCGACAACACCACCGCCTACGACCGTGAAAAGGGCCTCCGCTGGGGCCGCGCCCTGCAAAACTCCATGGCCGTCAAGAGCGGCGGCAGCCACGGTCTGGCGGGCGGCTTCGGCGTCGGCGCCGTCCAGCAGCGCGCCCCGCGCAAGAAGGGCGACGCCGAGGCTGATGAGGACCTCGACTGGAACGAGGCCGTGCGCCAGGGAAAGGTGCTCAGCACCCAGACGCTGGGCGGGCAGTATCCCGAGGCCGATGAAGTGCAGTACATGGTTGGCGTCTTCCAAGGCAGTATGTCTCTCACAAGATACCCCAACCCTCTTCATCTCCAAGAAAAAGGCTAACATCTTCCCGCAGAAAACCTCCATCTAACCCCCGTATCGAACCTCATCCACCTCCGCCCCCAGCTCCACCACCTCGACGCCGCCACCCAGCAAGAGCGCCAGTCCTCCGCCGCCGCGTCAAAGGAGGGCGCTCCCGCAACGACGTCCTCCGCCCGCGCCATCCACATGACCATCAAGACCACCTCCGACGGCGCCGACGGCGTCTCGACCGAGACCATGGCCGACCGACTGCGCGCCGTGCAGACCGAGCCCTGGCGCAAGATGCGCTATACCGATGAGAACGAGGAGACGGCCTGGGATGTCTACAACGAGAGTCTCTTCCTCAGGCCGAGGGCCGATCCGACGACAGGCGAGCAGCAGGCGCAGGCAGAAGCAGACCAGGACCTGGAGGAGCTCGTGCCCACGCTCGGCAACAAGTGGGACGACACGCAGTTTCTCGAGTCCATCAGCGGCATCAAGAAGCCCGAGCCCGTCCCCGAGCCGCCGGCAGAACAAAAGAAGCCGGAACCTGTCTCTGCTGCTGCGACTCCGGCGGAAGAGCCGCGCCAGCCTCCGAGGGCGACTCGTCCCAGGGCGGGTGCTGCCGCCGCGATGGCTGCTCGGAGAGGTGGGCGGTCAAAAGCGGCGTGACGTGCTCATGGAGCGTACTTACTAATCTGCATGGGATTGTGGTGTTTATGGAGTTAATTGGGTTCATCTAGAATTGCTGTCTGGGTATCCGTGTATATTTTCAAATAGGATTGGATATACATGAGATTTGCAAATCGTATCTTTTCATTCCCAAGTACATACCTGTCCATCTTTACCGTCATATGTTATCTAGGTATCGTAATAGACAGCTGCCCAAGAAAAGAATGCCCTGTTCTCATGCGTATTGAAGAATATTAACATTCAAACTGGATAACCCAGCGATAACCACACTCCCTACTACCCCCTACTGCGCTTTTGCTTCCACCTTCCCCCCCTATCCACTCGTTGGTATGATAGTAATACACCAGACAATATCAAACGATGATATCCCACTCATGTACCCGCTCCATCCAGCAACGCTCGCTGCATTACAGCACGCTTGTATGTTATCAATGCAAAAACGACAAAGTTCCCTCCAAGTCGTCCGGATTACCTTTTCTCTTCCCACCAACCGCGGCTAGTCCAATCCTTCCAACTTGCTCTGCCCATTGCAATAGTAGCTTCCAACGAAAACGTCTGGTGTGTGTTGCGTGTTGCTGTTGCTTCCCCCTTAGTACGTAAAGACCAATATCGGGTCATTTTCTAGCCAAATTACTGGCCCATCAGCATATCCACGTCCAAGCCAATCGAGTGCAGGAACAGGTTGACGCTGCTAAGGCGCTCCGCCGCCATGGTCGGAGGCAGCGTCTTTGCCAGAGAAATAGTGCCAATGACACGATCCTTGACGGCGAGAACCAGGCGGGTCTGCTGGTCGTTGCTGGCGCTGACGCCGAGAGCCGCGAGGAGCTGCCACACGTATACGTCCGATCCGGTGTTGATGCTGCCGGGGAACATGTAGGGCAGTGACACCTCGAGTCTGCTAAAGAAGGTTTCATACGTTTGATCCCTAAACACACAGCCAAGTCAGTAAAAGCTTCAAGCCGCCTGGGCAACTGATTGGTCAAAACTCACCATTTCTCCCACTGCTCAGGGGTGCCGCCACCAGTCTGCTTCAGGAGCACAGCGCGGCTCAAGATCAAAGTCAGCATCGAGACGCCAACCCTAGTCTTGGCGATGAGATCAACATTGAGGTTCGTAGCAATCAAGTTCAAAACACCGTCCACAATATCCAGCCCCGTATCGTTGAAATACTGCATCAGAGATGGCATGACAGTCGACAGGAACAAATCAATGTTCTCTCGCATTCTCGCGTTGGGAACAGTCTCATCGTTGGTCACGGCCGCGCCATTCACCACATCCAGCTGGTCGAGGTGATAGACAATCATGGTCATGATGGTGGTGCGCTGTTCGAAGCTCAGGTGGGGAAAAATTCGAGGAATGGCCTTCTTTCCCTTGGCGCACGACAGGAAGGCAATGAAGGGGTGAGGCACAATGACTCCGATCGGCTCATGAACCTTGAGCTCTTGCCACAGGCGGGCGTTGAGAGCCTCCAAGGTCGCCGCCCACTCCTTATGCTTCTCCTGCAGCTCTTGATCGCCCTGGTTCGTGACGGGCGGCGGCATGACTCGGACGTGGTCCTCGATCTTCATCAAGGTGACGTAGACCAGCTCGGCATTGCGCAGAATGGTCTTGCGGTCGAGGCTGCTGGCAGGCGACTTCTTTCCGCTTCCAGCCCGGTGGTGATGCGGCTCGTTCTCCGCGGCACGCTTAATGTTGAGCAGGGGCTTCGGCGTCTTGGCATTGCTAAAGGAAATCTTGCCCAAGCTGCCGGCGATGACTAGCTGGGGATTCTTCGGCTTGTTCTTGGCGGCCTCGACTGCTCGCTGCACTTGCTGCTCCATGCGCTGGATGTGGTTCTCCGCGGGTCGTCCGTGGCGGCGCATGTTGCCATGGCGGCCGCCGGTCTGGAAGAGATAGGTCTGAGCAAAATTGCTCAGGGGCTGGCTGGGGTTTTGGCGCTGGCCAGCACGGATGTGGCTGTAGACTTGATAGTAGAAGTCCTCGGAGAGCGAGGCATCGGAACCCTGCTCGACGGGGTTACCTGTGGCAGAGACAAGCTGCTGGAGCTGGATGCGAGTGATGAAGTTTTTGTCTTGAGGAGTCATCACGCCGTTATCCTTGGACAACAACCAGATCTTGTGGTTGCGCTTAGCTCTCTTCGTCTCTTGGTCCAAAAACGCCACTTTTTCCTCCTCGGACATGTGAGCCAGCTGGGGGTGAGCGCTCATCTGCGCCAGCTTTGCGGCAGAAGCGGCCGTCTGAGGCAGTTCCTGGCTACCAGCTGCGGCGCGCCCTGCCTCGGATGAAAGTCGCTTCGGATTTTGAAGGATCTGCACAGGCTGAACCGGATGAGCGGGCTGCTGGTGAAGGTTGTGATATTGCTCCTGCTGCCCATGAGGGGTAGGCAGCTTGGGGGCGGGGGAGGGTGACGCCTTCGCCTGCGAGCCTTGAGGCCGCTGCAGGATAGTAACAGGGTGCGCCTGGCCGTGCTGAGGGAGAGGAGATGCATGCTGAGCAGACGGGTAACCAGCCGGGACTTGCTGATGCGAAGCCAGCTCGGAAACGGGCGGCTGCGGCGAGGGCTTAGCCTGCGCGCGCATGGCAGCCTCAACCTCTTCCAAGCTCATCACCTTCCTTCCAACACTGCTCGACGGCGCGGGCTGAGGAGCTGGCTTGGGGGCTGCTGGTGCCGCCGCCTTAGAGGGGCCGATGCCCCAGATGCTCTGGTCGACATGCAGGTCCGGGAGAGCGTCCGGCTCATTGTACTTTTCGTAGCCTGTGCGAGCAGGTCGCGTCTGCACGGGCTCTCCATAGTAAGGCTGCTGTTGCGAGTACTGTTGCTGCGCATATGGTTGTTGCGCATATGGCTGTTGCGCATATTGCTGGGACGGTACACCGGTGGGCTGGGCTTGAGCCTGGGTCTGGGAAGCATTGGCTCGCGCGGCTGGCTGAAGTCGGTTGAAACGAAGATGCTCCTCCTCTATGGCGTCCGCAACCTTGGCCGTCTGGCCGAAGAAGTCGAAATCCTTGCCAACTTTGCCAGTACCAGAGTCGCCTGCGCCAAACGTATCGCCGCCAAACGTGTCATCGTTGAAAGCATCGTCAGCGTCGTCCAGCTGGTCGCCTAGGCCATCGTAGGTGTCTTCGAAGTCGAGGGCGTCGCCTTCTTCTTGGTGGCCAGAGAGGCCGGCGAAAGGATCACGCGGTTGGGAAAACCCTGGCGCGGCGGCATTGTGGCGGCCGCTGGTATCGAAGCCGAAGAAAGACATGTTGGATGCTTTGACGAGGAATTATGATTATTGTACTAGGAGGCGTGCTGTCAGCGTGATGGCTCAGGCGGAGATGATGATTTGCAGAAAGAACTGCTGGAGGCAGTGGAGGCATATCGAGGGACACAGGGGCCGCTTGGCAGAGCTAGCTGTTAACCCGTCCACGGCCAAAAGCAGTAACAGGTCCGTTGAAATCGAGCTTGAGGACAAGCAGCGGGTGGATTGCCCACGTTCAGCTTGGCCCCGCATTTCTCTCTGCGATCTGTTGTCTTTGCTCTGGCGAGGCTGAAGGGGACGAGGCTCGAGTTATGGGCCGTGGAGTTTGTCCCTCAAATCGGCCCCCGACAGCAGACCACAGAGCAGAAATTTGCGGAGGCCAGAGAAAACAAGAGCAAGACACAGAAGAGGAAGCGACATACCGCTAAGATAGTAAAGGATTGGCGAGGTCTTGACAAGCGCACAAACCTATCATGGTGTCTCTTCCCGCTGCGAAGCTGAGGAGTGTCCAAGAGCGCAGAGAGCAGCAAGCCGAGCCCAAAGGAGAGACGAGAACGCTGAGCTCCGTGTCAAAAGATGGCCTGTCCAACAAGGCGCAGCCGACGAGGGAGAGACGCAGAGAATCCAGAAGCTGAGGAGCCCGACAATTGTGCGGATCTGGTGAGGGAGAGACTGACGTCCTTGGAGAGAGAAACCCCACATGTGGGAGGAAACAGTCAGCCGGCGAGAGAGCAGGTCACGTGGGCGCGCGCATGGAGGGGCAGCGGAGGGAACGTGCAGAAGTCATGAAGAGAACAAGAGGACATGAGGATGCAGGCATCACTTCAGAAACGCCCAATTGCATGCTATCGAGGTCTTCATGGCTGAATATCATTTTCTAGATGTCGCTGAGGAGTGATTGGTTGCATCTTCTCTGTCTCATTGAAATCACCATCCAGCCAACGGTTACAAAGTACCTTATCCCAGCGACGAAACAAGCGACCAGCGTTTACGAGCCAGAGAACGGTCAAAATGATCGCCAGCTGTTGAAATGTGTTTGACTCGGAGGGCTTTTGCGTCAGTAGCCGATCAGCCGAAGCCATTCAGCATCCAATCTCGTACATGACGAGATCGGGTTCCCGGCTTACTCGCGCTGGGGCCTGGTCTGGCTACAAGGGATGGACGTATGCAAGAGACAGCACCTCGTCAAGGCCTGGCTCAAGTGCCGCATGAGTGCCGAGTGATGATGGATGAAGACGTGTCGGGAGTTCTGTTTGTTTTGACCATAACTCCGAGTCTGCATGATTGCTTTCTTTCCAGTTGCAGTCCCCAATTCGACTCGATACGAAGCTGGTGCAGGCCCATCGTCTAGCCACATAATCACCTACCTATGAAATCCTCCCACCAGTGCTAGCAGCGACGATCAGCTCTGGGCCTGCGAAACAGCAGTGCGCTAGTGGTGACAGGGGCGGCATGGACTGCGCGAGAGTGACGACGGCGATGCTACTGTCTGGCATTTGCTGTTGGTTGGCGAGATGCATCGCGTGCCGGCCTTTTGTGCGACGACTGTGAGACCAGCACCAGAACTGAGTATCAAGCACGGCTTCATACCGCTTGTTGCTTGTCGTACCGGCCATCTGAGACTCTGAGGCCTCTCTTGTTCTACTCGTTGGCCCAATCCCATCTGTCAGCCCCCTTTGCATGCCCTCTGCGCACAGCCTTGGTCGAGCAATAATACCGTATCTGCCCAAAGCAACCAAGTTCCGCCTCCTGAGCCCGAGCCCGCGCCTGGGCCGGAAGCAGCTTGCCGGCGGGCCTCGGCCAGTGCTGAATCGAGAGGTATCAACAAGCCATTGAGCCGGATGGGGAGGAAGCACAGGGGCGGTGATATACTAGAATAATAACATCCCGAACAGCATCCATGGCAGTTGATCCGTGACGCCAGCTCGTTGAGCCCGCCCTCCTGGTCAAGCTGTCCCGTCAAGATATGGAGACCGAGCGTCCTAGCACACGTAGTTCAACCTACTGTCGCCTCAGTTGATCTAGGGGCCGCGATTAGCATACGCAAGCCCTGTAGCGCCTAGCTGCGTAATGCTGCGTGCGCCGGCGGAATCGCCTGCAGCTGCTGAACCCGCTAATGCTAGCAGGATACTACTCGAAGGATTCACTGGCTATCCTTTTTTCTACCCTTTCCCTCTACCTTGCCTCGACCATCGTATCTACGGCTACCCGCCTCTACTCTTTATTCTCCTTTCTTCTTCTTCTTCTTTCATTCTCTCTGGTTTACGAGTCTTCCCTTTTCCCCTTCTCCATTTCTGCAAGCTCCATCATCAGCATCGCGGCTTGTTGCCCTGGCTTGTCTCACCCCAGCCAACGGCTTCAATCCCCCTCGGCCTCATCTCTAGCGACACGACCGGCCATGTGCGTCTAACAGCATCTGTCACGATTCCAGTCGCTGTTGTCGATCACACGTTTGCTGTGTTTCGACTGATTCCCTCTGCTTGATCCTCCGAGCAAGAGCAAGACTTTCTTCTCCCGCATCCTCATCGATTCGACTCTCTCGCCACATTTTCTCCCTGCCTTCCCGCCAATTGTCGCCATCATGGCGTCAACGAATGCGCGCTATGTGCGCTACCTGCTAATCGCCTTTTTCGTACGTTGCTCTAAGACTCGACACCTCTGTCCCTGTGCAGTCGTCGCTAACATCAAGAAAAAGACAATCCTCGTTTTCTACTTTGTCTCCAATTCAAAGTATGAGGGCGTGGATCTCAACAAGGGCACCTTCACATCGCCCGAGTCGACCAAGACGACACCAAAGCCGCCTGCCACTGGCGATGCCAAAGACTTCCCTCTGCCCCTGACCCCGAACGATCCCGGCTTCAACGACCTCGTCGGCATCGCTCCTGGCCCCCGAATGAACGCCACCTTTGTCACCCTCGCCCGAAACAGCGACGTCTGGGACATTGCACGCTCGATCCGCCAGGTCGAGGATCGCTTCAACCGACGGTACAACTATGACTGGGTCTTCCTCAACGACAAGCCCTTTGACAACACCTTCAAGAAGGTCACGACGTCTCTGGTGTCCGGCAAGACGCACTATGGCGAGATTGCGCCCGAGCACTGGTCGTTCCCCGACTGGATCGACCAGGACAAGGCCAAGAAGGTGCGCGAGGACATGGCTGAGCGCAAGATCATCTACGGCGACTCGGTCAGCTACCGCCACATGTGCCGCTTCGAGTCCGGCTTCTTCTTCCGCCAGCCCCTGATGATGAACTACGAATACTACTGGCGCGTGGAGCCCTCCATCGAGCTCTACTGCGACATCCACTACGACCCCTTCCGCTTCATGGTTGAGCAGGGCAAGAAGTACAGCTTCGTGATCAGTCTCTACGAGTACCCGGCCACGATTGCCACGCTGTGGGAGAGCACCAAGAAGTTCATCAAGAACCACCCCGAGCACATTGCCCCTGACAACTCGATGCGCTTCCTCAGCGACGACGGCGGCGAGACATACAACAACTGCCATTTCGTAAGCATTCCCTCTTTGTTGACATTTTTTCTCATGTCTACCTTCAGTTCCCAGTTGAATATGGCTAACACAAGCAACAGTGGTCCAACTTTGAGATTGGCAGCCTGGAGTGGCTGCGAAGCAAGCAATACCTTGACTTTTTCGAGTCCCTGGACAAGGATGGCGGCTTCTTCTACGAGCGATGGGGTGATGCCCCCGTCCACTCGATTGCCGCCGGCCTGATGCTCAACAGGAGCGAGATTCACTTCTTCAACGACATTGCCTACTGGCACGTGCCCTTCACCCACTGCCCCACGGGTGAGAAGACGAGACTGGATCTGCGCTGCCACTGCGACCCCAAGGAGAACTTTGACTGGAAGGGCTACTCTTGTAAGCGCCCCTGGAAACTGGCAGGCAAAAAGATGTCACTAACATGTCTTTTTGATAGGCACATCCCGATTCTTTGAGATGAACGGCATGGACAAGCCCGAGGGCTGGGAGAACCAGCAGGACTAAGAAACCATGAGGAGACTTGACAAGATGACGACTCATTAAGTTGAGTTTTCATCGAAATTGGCGACTTCACATAGTTTATTCATACTCGAGTTGCATTTCGCCGGCGAGCCTCAACACATCAAAAGCATGTGCATGAACGGATGAATTAAGGGGCTTTACGAGAAAGGAAAAGTGAGAAAAAAAGGGAATGGCATTTTGCTAACTCGCGGGGGGGCATAAAGGGGCGTCTGTGTCTGTCTGTCTGGCTTCAGGGTTTGGACAAGGATTGCTGTGTAAATATATATGTACGTGAACTGGAAGTGACGTGGGTACTATATTTGTTTGAAGTGACTTAGTGTCCGGTCTTCACACGCGATTCTTGGTTACAACTGTCGCTTTCTTGGTGTGTATTATACAGTGCTCATCTCATCTGCAACTCTATGGTATTTTGATACATGATCGTTCAATGTCCAAACCGGCCCAATTCGCAGACAAGGAGTAAGTCGTTCCAACATGTCGGTTCTGGTCTCCTAAGCGCTGACAGCACCATCTCAGCCCACGGTGGCCTTCTTGGGCTTCTTGGTACCATATTTACTCCTACTTGTCGTTCGACTCGCAACACCGCCCTAAACATCTTGTCAGTCTTTCCATAACTCAAGAACCACTCGCAAATCCAAGAAAAGTAAAAGACTTACCAGATCCAAAGCTCCTCTAACCAAATGATACCGCACACCAGGACAATCCTGCGCCCTGCCGCCCCTCACGAGCACCACGCTATGCTGCTGGATGTTGTGCCCCTCGCCGGGGATGTACGCCGTGACGACGGCCCCCGACGAGAGCTTGACACGCGCCGTCTTGCGCTCTCCGGAATTGGGCTTCTTGGGCCGCACGACACCCACACGGAGGCAGACGCCCTTGAGCGCGGGGCAGTGCGTGTTGGACAGCGCGGGGGAGACGGCGTGGCGGGCGCGCTTGCCCTTGCGGATGCCGCGCAGGACTTGGTTGAGGGTGGCCTGCGGAGCGGGCGTCGTGGAGAATGCGCGGAGGAGGAGGGCGGCGGGCGAGGAGAAGAGCGATGAGGAGGAGGAGGGTTGTTGGAATCGGGAGGATATTGATGAGGACGGCGTCGTTGTGAGTGTTTGGCGGGCGGGGGAGAAGAAGGTGCGGAGGAGGGAGGCGGCCATTGTGAGGGTTTTGGTGATGCAGAACGCGATTGGCGTTGCTGCGGCCGGCCTTTTGGTGTTGTTCGATTCGTGGTTGTTGGGTTTGACGTTGCGATGCTATCGCTCACACTTCCCTGCGAAGGCATCACCAAATCTTGCAGGTGGGCTGAAAGATGCAGGTCACATGACCTTCAATCTCGGAGCCCCGGATCTTTCACGTTCCGATGAACAATCCTCAAGAAGTACTCAAGTACCTCCAGCATGTGACAGCAGGGGTCCCCACCAGTCCACCGGTCCGGTTAATCCCCGGCAGCCATCATGGCGCACCTCCCCCACGTTTTGCTACGCCGCCCCGCTAACAAGCTCGGCATGGTTATCCTCGGCTTGAAGCTCCTTCGCCGGCATGGGTCATTGAACCGACGACTTTACCTTGGGGTAAACCAAAGGGACACAAGGGATAATAGAGGGAAGCCCGACTTCCGGCGATATTCTCAGCCATTTCTCTACCTCTTTTTTCCCCTAGACTCCTTCTTTTTCCACTTCTTCTCTTATTTAGCCTTGTGTCTTCTCTGGTCGATTCTTGCTTACAGCCGCTGCTGCTCCTTCAGCTGGGCTTCCTCTTCGTCTCATCTCACCTCCTCACCTCACATCAGCTTCCACCTCACCTTTAGCCGCCCATCATGTCCTCGTCATTCACACGGGCTCTTCGCCCTGCCCTCCGGACCAGCAGCCGGACCCTCGCCCAGAGAAGCTCAGCCATCGCCGGCATCGTCCGTCCAGCCGCCTCAAGCAATGTGTAAGTACTTCCTCGCAACAACAAACCTCTATAGCGCTCACAGCTAACCACACAATCACATGAAAAATAGCACCTCCCTCCGCCGCAACCTCTCCTCCACCAGCCCCCGGCGCTCCGCCTCCGCCATCGACATCTCCGACATCCCGCCGACGCCCATCACGCACCTCTCCGAGATCGAAACCGCCATGACCGAGTCCGTGGCCAAGTTCGCCGCCGACGTGGTCCTCCCCAAGGCGCGCGAGATGGACGAGGCCGAGGCCATGGACCCGGCGCTGGTCGAGCAAATGTTCGAGCAAGGGCTCATGGGCATCGAGATCCCCGAGGAGTACGGCGGCGCAGGCATGAACTTCACCGCCGCCATCATCGCCATCGAGGAGCTCGCCCGCGCGGACCCCTCCGTCAGCGTCATGTGCGACGTGCACAACACGCTCTGCAACACGGCCCTGCTGAAATGGGGCTCCGAGCACGTCAAGCGGACGTTCCTCCCGCGCCTCGCCACCGACACCGTCGCCTCCTTTTGCCTGTCGGAACCCGTCTCCGGCTCCGACGCCTTCGCCATGGCAACCCGCGCCACCGAGACCCCCGACGGCTTCGTCCTCAACGGCTCCAAGATGTGGATCACAAACTCCGTCGAGGCCGGCGTCTTCCTCGTCTTCGCCAACCTCGACCCTAGCAAGGGGTACAAGGGCATCACCGCCTTCGTCGTCGAAAAGGGCACCCCGGGCTTCTCCATCGCCAAGAAGGAGAAGAAGCTCGGCATCCGCGCCAGCAGCACCTGCGTCCTCAACTTCGACGACGTCGCCGTCCCCAAGGAGAACCTCCTCGGCGAGCGCGGCCAGGGCTACAAGTACGCCATCAGCATCCTCAACGAGGGCCGCATCGGCATCGCCGCCCAGATGACGGGGCTCGCCCTCGGCGCCTGGGAGAACGCCGCGCGCTACGCCTGGAACGACCGCCGCCAGTTCGGCTCCCTCATCGGCGAGTTCCAGGGCATGCAGCACCAGATGGCCCAGGCCTACACCGACATCGCCGCCGCCCGCGCCCTCGTCTACAATGCCGCCCGCAGGAAGGAGGCCGGCCAGGATTTCATCAAGGACGCCGCCATGGCCAAGCTGTATGCCTCGCAGGTCGCCGGCCGTGTCAGCAGCTTGGCCGTCGAGTGGATGGGCGGCATGGGCTTTGTGAGGGAGGGCCTCGCGGAGAAGTACTTCCGCGATAGCAAGATTGGTGCCATCTACGAGGGCACGAGCAACATTCAGTGAGTTTTCTCTTCTTGTCACATTGAGATGTTCAGGGGCTAATCATTCGATACCAGGCTCAACACTATTGCCAAGATCCTGCAAAAGGAGTACACGAGCTAAGTAAAGTAAAAGAAGCCTTGAGGGCGGTTAAGTGAAATCGTAAGGCCCATCATGTATATATAGACGGAAAAGAGGAGGGATTTCTATATAGGTAGTGTGTAATGATATCCATATAGATCTCAAATCTCATCACGACATCAATCATTTAACAACAGTCTCGTTCACGCAAAGTAGGTATGCAGATTACCAGTTCGACTCTTTCATCAATCTCATTCTATTCATCGTTCATAAATCCATATAGCATCAAAGTCTCTATTAGTAGGTAATACCTCTTACTACCTATCGAGCACGCTATCATTTTCCCCCCAGCAAGCAAACCACTTCTTCTCCTCTACCACGAAATGAATGCCATAAAAAGACAGACTGCTTGGCAATCATTCCTTCTCCGGCCTTTTTGCATTTCAAGAGATATTATTAGTGAGGAGAAGATCTGAGATTCCCAGTCCACAAAGGAACTTGCTTTTCTTTTAAGAACAAGATTGAAATTGAAAAAGAGTCGCTGCTTCAAGAACGGAATGGAAAGAGAGAAAGAAAAGGTCCATGTGTAGTCCGAAAAGAGAACGAGTGAAAGGTCACCCCTTTTCCCCAGGACAAAGACACAAGAACTCACCAGTTCCTTCTCTCTCCCTGCAGGTATCGTTAAATGTCCATCGTATTCTGCTGCCATGCTAGCCAGTAGTAATGACACCCATCAGGCACTTTTCGTCTCGTAATCCTCGTTGTCACGTAGCTTTCTATGGGCTACAGCCACTATTAAACCTTGACCACAGCGAGTCTGCCTTGGTCACGTCTTTTCATCACCATTTCTAATCCAAGTCCGCCGTGTAGCTGAATCCGCGGAACTCTTCTTGCATAGCTTGAGAAAGCACTGTGAATTGGCTGGTTAGCGTATGTCAAAGACACAATACAGAAGAGGGGTGAAGACATACCAGACTGGACCGGAGTGAGGACTGGAGTGACGCTGGTAAACTCAGAGTCAAAGTTGCTGGTATCCGTCGCGCTCTTGATCTGGGGCAGGAATGGCGGCTGCACCCTCTTGTGGTAGATGTCGTCCCAGTTGATGTTGCGGAAGAACGGCTGGCTCATCACTTCCTGGGCGTCTGTAGGGCCGCTTCCGAGTCGCTGGTCCGGCTCTCGCGTCAGGAGTTTCTGGAGGATGGAAACTGAATCCCTGGGCATGTGGATCGGGTACAGAGGCTCATCGGCGAGAATGGCATCGTAAATCTCATCTTCGTCTTCACCTCGGAATGGAGACTGCTGCAGAAGCATCTGGTAGATCAAGACACCAAAGGCCCACCAGTCGACTGCGCGGCCGTACTTCTTATCCAACAAAATCTGCAAGACATGTCAGTTCGGAGCAAAGCAAGGACGAGCGTAATCCATACCTCTGGCGCCATGAATTCGGGAGTACCGCAGAAGGTGCTCGTCGTGGAGCCGTACCACATGTCCTCCTTGCAAAGACCGTAATCGGCAATCTTGATGTGGCCGTCGAGCGTCAACATGATGTTGTCGAGCTTCAGATCACGGTAGATGACACCGTTCTCGTGGAAGTACTTCAGAGCCAGGCACACTTCGGCGGCATAGAATCTGGGAGAAATTGCATCAGTTTGCCTGCCATCAATAAGAAGTATTAGTTGATCCAACTTACTGAGCACGCTTGGTGCCAAACTGGCCGCGCTGAATGTGAAGCATCAAGTCACCACCGCTAATATACTCCATGACAAAGTAAACACGCGTCTCCGTCTGGAAACAAGCATGCAGGTTGGTCAAGAAGGGATGTCTCTCCCGGTTGGCGATGAGGAATACTCGCTTCTCCGACTTAATGCTCTCCACTTCGTCGTTCTCAATGATAAATTCCTTCTTAAGCACCTTGATGGCAAATAGACGTTTAGATCGCTTCGTTTCCGCCAACATGACTTTTCCAAAGTTTCCTTTTCCAAGAACAGCAAGGAAGTTGAAGTGATCAAGACCAATGCGAGCGCCGGTGCCGGGATCGGTGGCGGATGGCAGAGCCTTTCGCTGGGCACCTGGAGGTCCGGCGGCGGCCCCCTGGGCAGCCACGGGAGACTGAGGCTTCTGTGCGGCAGGCTGCTGCTGGTACTGAGGCTGGCTCGGTTGCGGCGGCAGCGGCTGCTGAGGTGGCGGCTGCTGAGGTGGCATCTGGGCAGGAGGCGCCTGCTGCTGCGGCTGCGGAGGTCGTTGTTGAGCCGGCGGCTGAGCAGGGAACCCTTGATCCACGTTGGCATAGTCCGCCGGATTGTACTTGTGATGCTGGGGAGCCGGACCGGCAGCGCCGTAGTGTCCTTGGCCATATGGATCCTGCTGGGCGCTGTCATAGCCGGTACGGCCCTGGGCGGCGGCCATGGCGGCAGACGCTGCGGCTGCGGCAGAGAGGTCAGAAGGCGCACGACCAGGGTGCCCCGGTCGCTGAGGCGAGGTCTGGTTATACATGAGCCGTGCCGCCTCCGTGGCCTCTGCGGAGGGCGTTCCGGGGACCGAACCAGCGCCGGCGCTCGAGAAGGATGCAGAAGACCCGTGGCCGGCTGTAGTTGGGCTCTTGCTGGCGCCAGATCGCAGAGTCTTTTCCGAGAGCGACGTCGTCTTCTGCTGCCGCTGCTTCTGGACTCGGATGCCTTCGAGGATTTGGTTGGCCACGGCCATGGACATGCCGCAGAAGTCGGGCACCAGGTGGACACACTGGGCGTGACTTGTAAGGCCACATTCTATTCAAGTCGTTAGACAAGCAGGCCTAGAGTAGAGGGAGTGAATACGAGCAGCTCGATGCCTTACCTGAGCACTTTCTGCAATTCTTCTTTCCAAATGGAAGTATGTAGCCGCAGTGGCAGCACCAGTTGGCTGTGACGTTGGAGAAGGGCTGGAACCTGTGCGGGATGCGGTGATTGATCTTCTCCTCGTCCGGATCCGTCTCCGCATTGCTCTTGCTGATACACTTGGTGACCACGCTCGGGTAGCACTTGTTGTGACAAGTGTACTTGCAGTCCTCGCACTGCATTCCCGCAGAGTACTTGAGGAAGTCTCCGCAAAGGGCGCATCGCATGATGTTGTAAAACTGGTGCTGGACAAACTTGTGGCCGAACATCTCGTGCACTTCCTCCTTGCGCTGACGAACGGCACCCTTTCTGCCCAGACCGAGATCAACCTGGCGCTTGTCTCGGTTTTCCTTGACGAAGCTGAACTCGAGCTGAATCTGGCCGGCGGGCTCGAGGTTGAACCAGCCATCGATGGGGCCGGTGACGACTTGGGGCTGAGGGCCCGGGTCGCCAAAAGGCGCCCCTGGGGCCTGGGCGCCGGGAGCAGCCTGGGGCGAGCCTCCGAAAGAGCCCGATGTCGGGCTCATCGGGAACTGGGAGGGAGCTCCAGAGCTGCCCATCCGATCGGCAGACACCCAGCCGGAGCTGTTCATCTCGGCCTCGATCCTCTTGCGGCGCATCTCCTCGACGATGTCGGATATCCGGACCCAGAGCATGGCAATGGGCATGGGATGTTCGCCGGGCTTGTCGTAGATTGTGAGCTCAATCTCGTTGGCCTTGTCCACTTCCATGTTGTGATATTCAGCCTCCCAGCGGTCATTTCTCGACACCTTGGTTCGGGCCATGACAGTGTCTTCGACCTTAACGGCGACGAATGTCTCGGGGCCACGAGCAAATCGGCCGGTGGTAGCATGATCCACGTCTTTGAATGGAGAGCTGGCCGCTCAAGGGCTTGCGGAGGTTGGGAGTGTTGATTGAGTCGTCTGTCAAGGAAACATTCGTCAGTAAGGGGACAAGAACAGCAAATCTCTTGGCGTTCCTTTTGAGAGGAATTACTTACCATCCTGGGCATCAGCCGAGTCCATGTCAACGTGCAGTTCTTCATATCTCTTCAATGCCTGCTTCAAGAGAAGGATCTTCTGCTTGCTCTCAACCCTACGAGCAGCTGCATCGGCCTTGCTCTTTCGGTCGCCCTCCATGCCGTAGAGCTGCACCATTTTCTCAACGCCTTTGAGATACTGCTCCTCGACGTTGAGCTTGAACTGGATCTGCGAGAGCATGTGCTGGATTCGAGGGCCGAGGTAGGGGGTATCATACTTGATCAAGTCTGTGTGAGAAGAAAGAACACTGGTCAGCTGCAGCTCGCATCTCGCAAGGGGGGGTTCAAAGAGGGAACGGCGGGCGGGACTGTATCGAAGAACAGCAGACAGGGGACAAGACTCGGAGACGAAGCAGCACAAGTTCCTCAGTTGTACGCACCTAGCTTGGTGAAGTTGGGACGAGCCTTGGGAGCAGCTCCAGGGCCTGGGGCACCAAAGTTGTGGCGAGGCGGTGCCAGATCCGAGGGCGGCCCGACCTGGCTCTGCTGGCCGTAGGCGGGCTGGTCTCCCCACGACGCCGACGAAGCGTCCTTGGGCGGCGGAGGAGGCCGGCCGGCGTCGTCGGCGCCCAGAGACATGCCCTCGACGCCCTGGCCGACCTTGCGCATCTGGATGTCCCGCAGCTTCTCCTCGAAGAACTGCAGGTTGCGGCGGCCGTCGCGCATCTGGGAGTCGAGCCGCGAGCGCACCGCCTCGTTGTTGGTCTGCGAACGCATGGGATTGGCGGCGCTGATCAGAGCCTTTTCGCGCTCGATCTTCTTGGTGATGTTCTGGATGGCCTCGTCCTCATTCATGGCGCCGGTGGGGGAGCGCGATTCGTTCGCGCAAGACGGGGGGCTCTGGTGATGGTGAGGCGAGGGACTGCGGAGGAGCAGCAGGAGGGAGCAGGAGGAGGAAGACGGGGGGTGGAGAGGGAAAAAACAAGCGGCTCCACGACTGGATGCTGCACCACGAGCGAGGCGGCCAGACGGGCAGCAGACGGGCGGCTGAGGTCCGACACGGAGCTGCTGGGCGGGATGCCTGGGCGAGAGGCAGGACTGAGCGTCTTGCAGTGGGAAAGAGGAGGAGGAGGAGGGAAAAGACCAGAGGCTGCCTGTCCCGACAGAGGTGGTGTTTTGTGGATGTCGTCAGTGATGGGGGGGGGAGTCGGCTAGGGAAAGGTACATGTAGGCAGGCATGTGGCGGGGTTTGTTGTCCACAGCAAGGCTCGGGCGGTTTTTGCTCGAGTTTTAGAGGAACCCGGAGGCGCCCAGAGGCTACGCAGCGCTAGCAGCAGCAGAGCAGGGCCCTAGAGGCCGGCGGCCAGCAGCTGTAGATCCTCCTCCACTGCGAGTTGATTACATGCACCCGACAGTTGCTGATTTGATCCATGTAAGGCACCGGGCATGTGAGAGCGGCTTTGGAGGGATGAGAGCTGCGTTACGGCCACTGCCTGGGGTGTTTGCTCGATGAAGCCGATGGCCGAGATTGGTCTCGGATCGCGAACTACATGTACCTACTATACATGTGCATGTACTGTCGGATATCTCAAGGGCGATACGCTGGGCCGAATGGCTTTCTGTTTGCCCTACAGCAATCCACAGTGATAGCAGCGGCTATAATAGGACATATCAAAGCATGACGAGTCCTATTCTTTTCTGTCAGACAATTACGCATCAACCTCTCACGCGGTGCCTGGCCGGCGATTTTCTCCATCGAGCACGAAGTCGGTCTGTGATTCCACATCAACCGCACGGCCTCACTTAGACCGAGCCAATGTGCCACAACTCGACATTCGACCACCTACCCTGTAGAAACACCAGGAGAAGCGAACGAAACTGAGAAGGACGAAGAGCTGACCGAGACATGAATCGTGATTGTGACATTCGATGTGGCACCGTAACATGAGGCTTACAAGCAACCTGGGATGCCACTGCATCTCAGCATTATGTTGGCTCCCTGTGACAAATATTCGGTGCTGAGTGGCACATTCATGCTGTTTTACGCATTTTGTCCAACCTACCCTGTGATGAACCATGATGGAAGTCGAACCATTTCAAGCATATCAAATACTAGAAGCTGAATACGCTTCTCTTGGTACTCACTCTCATGTGAACAAGATCGATCAGCTGCAGCCACGTTCTGACTATTCATGTTAGTAGCTCGGTAGTACACACGCACGGCATCTTCACCAAAAGCTTCGCTCGTCGGTCACAAGGAAAGGCAGCGTCTCGTATAGAAATAAGCCACCAAGAGACGGGTTCACCAGCCAATGCCGCACATTGCTTGGAATCCAACTAGGATTCCTCGTGATACTCGTCACAATCCATCTGATTCGAATCCATACAGCCAACTAGGACTTCGTATGAGCTATTCGGACTGAACCTGAATTTTGATAACTCCACGCTCGTGAAAGTCATCCAGCCCTAAGCTCCAAACTCTATCCTGATGACCTCGAGCTCCGAAAGATCAAACAGCGAATCAAGTGCAATTCCAACGGCGGGGGTTGCATTAAAAACGAATCATTGAAGCTCCAATTTCTTCAATCTCATGCTGTGCGACTTCCGCCTCAGCCAGGTATAAGGTAGCCCAAATAAACAATCAATCAACGAAAATGCTCCAGGCCAAACCTCTCAAAGTCCTACCTAGTAGGAAAGTAGCTGACAAGTCCTAGATCGTACATACCGTAATGGCTGAGCCTTGTCTAGGACATGGGGTTACACCGACCGCCCGGAATGACGTTGCTCCATGGCTTCTGCGAGGCTTGCATGGCTTGTGCGGTTCCTTTCACTTCCGTTGCCATGGCGCTCAAGGTCATCCATTATTTGGCCTGGTCTGATCTGTTAGTGCTTGTTTTCTTTGCGGTGCCAGATTGGTCTTTCGCGACGAGATCCGAGATAGGCAAGTTGTGGCAAGAGGACTGGCCTGTGGCGAGCTGGACGGCAGCTTATTGAGCCGCTTGTGAAGCCTGAGGAGGCTGATGATACCATCTCGAATAAACAGCATAACAAATAATCATACAGATGGAACATAATCAGGCACTTCAAGTGGAGACGCTCAAATTCCTTCAAGCTACCGCCGCAGCAAAGAATCATCAGCAAGCCTCATCACCAGTTCTTACCTGGGTAAGATAGGGTAGTTACTGTATCTTTAGCCTCACTTGATCATCATCGTTGCCCTCATCAACCAGATGCAATTGGCCTCATAGCCTTGATTGTACAATCTCCCCCACGTTGTACATACATAGTAATGTCGTTCGATCCGCCGCGCTATATGCGTCTAAACTAAAAAGCTCCTTGTATATCCCTTTCAAGGCCCATATGGTACTGTGTCTATATTACATCAAGAAGTCGAATCGTTAGAATACATGTCTATCAGATCAACACCGCCCGTCGTCATCATCATTTCCGTGCAAACAACGCTCCCATGCTCCAAGCAATCGCTATGCCGCTGATGAGGCCCTCCAGCACCAGGGCAGACGCGTCCCGCATGCGCAAGTCCAGCGGGCGCTCGCTCACCAGATCCTCGAAACCTGCCCTCCACACGTTGACGTCTGTCACGAGGTTCTTCCACTGCACCAGGACCTGCTTCAGTTCCTCAAAGCTAAGAAGCCAAGCCCCGGAGACGGTGTAGTGCCAGGCCTCCTTGATCTTGTCCAGGTTGATGAGCCTCTCGGTCTCCTCGTCCGGCACCATGTTCCTGGCGGCTTCTTCGGCAGCTGCGGCAGCTGCGGCGGCTTCGGTCATCTGGTTCAAGGTGGACTTGATGACGGCCAGCTCAGACTGGACCTCATCCAAGACTCGCTTTTCCTCTGCCACGACGCCCTTGACCAGCCTCTTGCGCTTCCAGGGTTCGGCCACAAACTGCAGCACCACAAAGAGGATAAAGTTCATGCCCATCAGCCCCCAGGTGCCCCACGTCGAGGCTCTCCGGATGCGGTCGCTCCAGATTTGCTCCTCGTGATAGCGTTTCAGGATGCCGGCACTGAGCTTTTGGCTCAGCTTCTGCTCGTCGGCCTCGGCCTCGGTCAAGTTCTCCTGGGCCGTGATAACCTCGCCCTCGAGGATGTGATCCGTCCGGTAGAGCTCGGTAAAGCGCTCGAGATCCGCGGGCGTCCAAGTGTCCTTGCGGGCAAGCAGCGTCGTAACCTCGCGCTGAGTTGACGCCCGCTTGTTGTTCGATGTCTTGTATGCCTGCCTGGCCGTCCGGACGCGGGCCTGGGCCTCGGCTAACTGCTGCTCCAGCTGCTCGTTCTCCAACTTGATGGCCTCGATGCCCGTGTAGCCGGTGATCTCGTTGAGCTTCTGCGAGGCATTGAGGACCTTGGACTGGACACCGTCCATGATGCTGCTGAACCTCTTGGTCAGGGCGCTCCGCCGCTCCTCTGATATCGACGGCAGCTCCAGCCAGCTCGGCTTAGACCACGATGGGGCAGGGTCGGCCGAAGATGCATTTTTCGCGGTCGATGACGCCGGGCTGTCGGGTTTGGGGACGGATTGGGGGGGATTGGGGGGCTTGTCGGCTTCGTTGGAGGGTTGGGAGGAGTAGAAGCGGGCTCGAAAGACGGCGATCGGGACGTGGCAGCGGATGCAGGCAGTCGAGGGCGTCCTTGCCGGGCTGAAGCTGAGGCCGAAGCTGGCTTTTGCCGCCGGCCTCGCTGCCAGCTCCAGCCCTATCCTGCCATGCCTCCAGGCGGCACGGCCAAACGGCTGCATGTTCTGCCAGCGCAGGGCCAACGAGCCTCTGCACTGTGGTGATTGTGAGGTCTCAAGGGGGACCGGATGCTCGGTGCAGCCTGTTGGTGAGGGTTGGTTGAGGTTTTATTGCTTTTTCCCTTGCTCTCTTTTTAGTAGCTAAGGTCGAGAGACAAAGGGCTGGCCGGGTTGGTCTCGGGCTGACCCGCTGCCTTGACACCCAATTGCGGTGCCGGTAGTAGTTGGTGCTGTGTCTGGGGAAGACCCGAGAAGACCAAAGCAAACAAAGGATGATGATGATGAATGAAGAAGAAGAAGAAGAGAGGAAGAAGAAAAGAAGGAAGAAGGAAAAGAGAAACAAGGAAAGGCCCAATGCACTTCCTCACCTACCAATCGAAGGTGCTCGCTCACAGCGCAGAAGGCACCGGCATTGAGCGAATATGTGCTGTCCGTTACCCGTCTCTGCCTCCACCTTCTGGTGGAAAAAACTGCAGAAAAAAAGAAGCCCACAGACAAGCTTCCCCGGCTGAGCCCGGGTCTTTGGGCCGATCTCGACGGCCTGGCCTGTGAGGTGGTTCTTGGTGTGTAGACCGCCTTCGCAAAAATTCGCGCTTGCTGGCACCGCATGAGAGCGGCTTAATGTGGGCGGTGCCAGAAGTGAGGCCGGGATTGTGCTGATGATGATGATGACGATGATGATTGAGGACAGAGAAAGTATGAAGCGGCTCTTCTGTATAAGAAACACAGGACAGAGCCAATTGAACCAATTGTTGTCCATTGTTTACTCAATCATCTCCGGCTTCCTCTCCCGTCTTCTCAGAGCCTCGACGCCTATTTCGGGGCTTCTACTGTAGTGCTCTGGCGGGGCTCGCGGCCCCTGTCCCTGATACCCTGGCCGCTATGGCGGGGCATCTCAGCGAGGTGAAGCCGCCCCGAAAGTGACGACACAGGGATTGGATGCTGTGTGGATGGTGACAGATGGACGTTCACGTTCGGAGTTGGGAGGGATTTTCATCGAGCAGATCAATTCCTTAACTGTGTTCTTTTCTATAAGGGTTGTGACTATCGAGGCTTATCAATTTTATCTAAATTTCCCCTTCATTTGCTCTCCTCTTTCTGCTCAGGTTGGTTTTATAAGCAATTTACCTTCCTTTTTATTCCCACTGTCGCCGCTATCGCCGTCATCTGCCCCTCCATCTGATATTACAATATCAAATTGCCCCTCCAGATTTTCAATTTCACCATCTTCTTCTCCTCCATCTTCCGCCTCACATCCTCCCTTCTTCCCCCATCATCAACCTCCTCATAACCCTCAAGATGGGCTCCGTTTCAACCGACACGCCGGCCATGGCCACAAACCCCAAATTCATCTTCTTCACCGACTTCGACGGCACCGTCACCACCGCCGACTCCAATGACTACATGACCGACAACCTGGGCTACGGCCCCGAGAAGCGCAAGCAGGGCAACGCCGACACGCTCCACGGCCGAGTTCACTTCCGCGACTCTTTCCGCGAGATGCTCGACAGCGTCAAAACGCCCTTGGACAAGTGCGTCGAGATCCTGCTGGCCAACATCAAGCTCGATCCGGGGTTCAGGGACTTCTATAACTGGGCCCAGGACAACAACGTGCCCATTGTGATTCTCAGCGGCGGCATGGAGCCCGTCATTCGGGCGCTCCTGGATAAGCTGCTAGGGACGGGGTGGAATATTCAGATTGTGAGCAACTTTGTCAGGGCACGGGAGGGAAAGAGCCTCAACGACGAGGGCGGCTGGGAGATTGTCTTCCGCGACGACAGGTGAGGACATCTCGGCGATGATCTATCACCTACGAGAGAGCCGTGAACATTGACAGCAGACGCAGCATCCATGGCCACGACAAGTCCATTGAGATCCGCAAATACTCGAGCCTTCCCAACCGACCGACCATGTTCTATGCCGGCGACGGAGTTTCTGATCTGTCTGCCGCCAAGGAGACGGACCTGCTCTTTGCAAAGGCCGGAAAGGGTGCGTTGTCATTTTCTTGTGACGTTTCTCCGTATTTACTAACTGTTGCGGAACAGACTTGGTGACTTGGTGCGAAATCGAAAACGTGCCCTTTGTCACCTTCAATGACTGGACGAGCATCTCTCAGACGGTCAAGGATATCGTTGCCGGCAAGATTACCGTCCAGGAGGCGGCCAAGGGTCGAATTTAATCTCGATCTGCATCGATTTTACGACTTTTCTTTCATTTCTTTCATGACGAAATTCCCACTTGAATAAGAGAAATTTGGGTGTTGAGGGTGTTGATAGATTTTGGGTAAGGCTATTGGATACCCTCATAGAGGCATAGATCTCTTCAGACACGTCAAAAAGGGACAGCTTGGATTCTTTATAGAAAGAGGATAGATGGACGAGCCATAGAGACTCCAGGAAATAAGGTAATATATCGTCACATTTTGTTTCACTCATTCTGTCTTTTTTTGATATCATCATAACATTCCCGTCACCACACTCACTGCTTCTCCTTCGTCTCCGCCGGAATGCCGTACCAGCACAACAGCATCACTACAAACAGAAAAATGACAATCGGATGCAACACCCACGTCCCAACCGCCTGCGCCAGCAGCCCCGTCACGAACGGCGCCACCGCACCGCCCAGGCTGCCAAACGCGCTGATGGCCCCCATGCCGCTCAGCTTGTCCCGGTGCGACAGCCCGCGCATGAAGACGGCCGCGGAGCACGGGTAGATGGGCCCCAGCAGCAGGCCGACGATGGACACGGCGACGGCGTCGCCCACGACGTTGGGCACGAACCACACGAGGATCTGGAAGGCCAGCGCTCCGAGGACGAGGCCGTAGACGAAGATCTTTTCGCCGAAGCGCTGCGCGGGCGCGGACAGGAAAAAGCGGCCGAGGGTGATGCCCGCCCAGAAGCCGGCGGAGACGTAGCCCACGGACGAAGGGTCGCCGCCGCGCGAGTTGATGAGGAAGGAGATGACCCAGCCAGAGATGGACACCTCGGCGCCCTGGTAGGCGAAGATGAAGGTCGAGCCGAGCAGCACGATGCGCAGCTTGACCGCGGCCAGCATGCCCAGCACGGCCGAGTTGTCCGGCATCGCCTCCCTCTCTCGGGCCGCCGGGCTCTGCTCCCGCTCGAACCTCCAAAAGGCCCACGCCGAGAGGGCCATGGTGAGGAAGCCCATGCCCAGGGTTATGGCATAGTAGTGATTCCACGACGTGTGCGCAACCGTTACCAGCGCCGTGGCGATCAACGGGCCCGAAGTGCCCCCTATGCCGTAGCTCCCGTGAAGCAGGCCCAGCATGACGGTGCTGTTCTGCAGGCTGCCGCAGAAGATGTTGCCCATGGCCACGTTGATGGCGATGCCGAGGCCGACGAAGAAGAAGGCGGCGACGACGACGCCAAAGGGCGCCGCGGCGACGAGCGGGATGTAGGCGCATCCCATGGCCATCTGGCCGAGGCCGAGGAGCTTGGCGCGGCCGAGCTTGGCGCGGAGCGTGTCGAGGAAGATGGCGGCGAAGACGAAGCCGAGAGCCTGGCCGACGAAGATGAGCGAGACGACGGCGTAGCCGATGTCGTAGTGTCTGTTATTTGCATTGTCAGTGATGAGTTCTTGTTGTCTTTCATTCTTCGTGGGGTTTGGTATAAGTAGGTATGAGATCTGGGACAAGAAGCAATCTACTTCTCCATGTAGGGAATCAAAGCACCGGCAGCGCTGTCGCTCAACGCATTCCCAAAGTTGGCCAGACACACGGACAGCAGCCGGAATCTGTTAATGCGTGGCTCCCACGCGCTGGGCATCACCTCCACGACATCGACGCCGGGAATGGGACTCGTCGGACGGCTCCTCTCGAGGTCGGTGTCGTCCGTCCGAGGAGTGACTACGCCAGAGGCGAAGCTATTTCCACGAGACGTTGTGGGCCGAACATGGGCAATGTCTTCTTGGAATGGGCCTCCGGACGAGTTCTTGCGCTGGTAGGTCCTCTCCGGCGCTGTGAGAGGTCTGGTTGCTTCGTCGGGGGACTGTGCGGATTGGATCTCCACGAGGTTGCGCAAGAGGATTGCGTCCATGGTGGATGTTTGTAATCACAGATCAATGGATAGCAGCAGTTATGAGGTTCCAGGATGGGACTCTGTCTCGGCCTCCCTCGATGAAAGCTGAGGGGAGCTCAAGAGCTCAACAGAGCTTCGCCGACCATTTATACGTGGACTCGTGTATCAAAGTCCTTCGCACGTCCGATACGAAGAAGGAATCCCGCAACGGCCCAATTTTCAAGAGTCTCGTGGCCCGATAAGCTCAAAGCTAGTGGAATGCCCAATTCAGGCTACTGAGACACAGATCAATCAAATCATTTCAAACCCCATGGTTCGGCCTACGGAGATTTGTGGTGAAGTAAGAATAACCTGAGCGGGTGCGGGTCCGGAACGATATCGGCTGCCGGCAAGGGGAAACCCTTGTAAGAAGAGTTGCATGTGAGATGTGCTGGATTTCATGCTTCAGTCAGAGCTGCTGCCAGTTGGTTGGCTCGGACATAGACCGGCCTGGGCGTTCCCTCCCCTGCTTGCCGCTGGATCGGGATGTGGGAACGGATGGCTTGTCGAGTTATCATGGTGTATGTGATATTGACGAGATTGGCGGTTTTGTTTCTGCAGCCACCAGGCCGACTATCACCTCGATGATTGCGGCGAGTTGAGTCACTGATGAACGCCAGAATGCCTAAACTAGGTAATATACATTAGAAATCCATCGATTCTATGTCGTAAAACAATTTCCCCGCCAATTCTCCCATTGGGTCGTCCAGCACCTCGCTTTCATAATCAATTGAACACTCTATCTTCACGATGGCTTGTCACTTTCAGTTGGGTCCCTGAAGCGGTCTCGCCCAATGGGGCAACACCGTGCCGGGGGAGCGGGAACGGGCGGAGGATTTCAGTTACCTCTTTGAGGAATTCCCTTCCTATCGATAAAGCTGCCCCTCCATCACGGGCCCCAGTTTATTTTCCAATTCCACCATCATGAAATTTTGCCCTATTTTTCGATAATACTATCATCAATTTGAAGCTCGATCAGATTCGCCAAGCCATGGGTAAACCGAAGCGAAACGTCCTTGCCGCTGCGCAAGAGGCCCTCACTCCTCCCGACACCCTCGAGCCGACGCAGGCTATCGTGCGCGTCCTGAAGCCCGAGGGAAACAACCTCTACACCTGCGAGATGCCCAGCAAGAAGCACGTTGTTCTCGAGCTCGCCCAGCGCCTCCGCAACACCATCTGGATCAAGCGCGGCGGCTACGTCCTGGCCGAGGGATATCCCGTGGGAACGCAGGACAGCCGGGCAGCTGGGGAAATTGTCAAGGTTGTGCGCGACGAGAAGCTCTGGCGGAAGCAGCCGTATTGGTATGATTTGCATCTATTTTCTTTTTTTCTTCTCTATACTCTTTTTACATGTTTTATTAACAGTTGTATGACTCCAGGCCAAAGGAATTCGAAAAGTCGGTCCAGGAAGACAGCGACGAGGAGAGCGACTCCAACGTGGGGAAGCTGCCGCCTAGTGACGACGAGGAAGATGAAGACGAAGAATGAAGAGGTGTTTCTGTTTCTGCCGGTATAATCCAGCCATCTGGTCTCCTACCACTAGTGCTGCTTCGGTTTCGACGTTCCACGCGGCTGCGGATTCGAACCTACAAAGGCCATGGCGACCGTCACGGCCAGCACGCTCACCACAACGCTCGAGCTAAGAGGCGTGCTGGGGAAGACATTCCAGGCCCATTCTTGCACCGCCCAGAGAGGGGCCACGACGAGAAGATTGGGGGACGCCGTCCACAGGAGATAGGGGGTCGCCCATGCCAGATATGCATAGAACTGGTAGTGCAGAGACCGGGCAAACAGCAGTCCGACCACGTTGGCCGACAAGATGGTGGACATGACGTAGCCGGGCGTGACGACGCGGTTGGAGATGGCGCGCTCTTCCTGCTCGGTGAAGGGCGACCTGAAGCGGATAACGTAGGGCATCATCCCGAGAACGGTCCGTTCTTTGATCTTGAGCCACCGGCCCAAGATGAAGGCGAGGAGGAAGACGGCGTGGAAGGACAGTAGCGTGATAGAGAAGCCCCGGCTGAGGAACAGATCCTCGCCCAGCATGCGCCAATTGACTGTCCATTCAAACTTGAACTGCCTCGACAGCTCGAACGCACGGCCGAGGTACCCGCGCCAATTCGTTGTGATGAAGGGGATGGCGAGGAGGAGCTGGACCTGCACCATGAGCCAGAGCAGCCGCAGGGCGCCCTTGAACCCGCGACCGAGGAAGAGGATGATGACCACGGCGGGGAGGACGAGCAGCAGCGACATTTTAACGCCCAGACCGATGCTGTACGCGAGGGCCCCGAGGGTCCACTCCCGTCTTTGGAAGAAGAGGATGCACAGCCAGAGGAAGAAGGCGGCGAAGCAGTCGTTGAAACATCGCAGGACAAAGACGCTGTGAAGTCTTTTGGAGAGAATGAGGAGCGGGAAAATGTAAGGCGGGACCTGTCCGTGGTTTGAGATGGCCGCTTTTAGTGACTGCGTTTTTTTCTTCTTTTTTGATGTGAAGTCTCGGCTCAGCTCACCTTGGCCTTGGAGTAGCATGCCATGACGACGCCCAGAGTAGCCATGTAGAGCACGGCAAAGAGCTGCTGCGCCAACAGAATGTTGGTGCCCTTGTTGGTCAGGTAATAGAGCCCCGTGTAAATATACACATGAGCTGCGGGATACACCAGGGGCCCTGTGCCGCCCTCCATCTTGGGGTAGTCTCGCTCTCCGTGGACGAACTGGGTGACCTGCTCCATGTAGGCAACCCAGTCGATTTCCGTATCTGTTGCGTGAGTTAGTCTTGGCTTCAGACAGACACAACTCCTGTTTCTTTGCTTGTATATTTCTACTCTTTCGACAGTATGAGCTGTTTCCCCCCTTTTCTCATCTCATCAAGCAGCGATTATCAGGTTCTCAGGGGATGGTCATCCATGGGGTGGACTAACAGGGCACTTTCCAGATAATCAGCCCGCACAGCACCGCATCCGCAAGCCAGAATCCAAACACCAGGACTTTGGACAGCGCATGGCGGCCGTTGGCGATGTCCATGGCAGTTTTGACGAGGGACGCCATGAGAGGCGGTTTGGTGTGGTGCGAAAACAAGAAGCCTCTGTCTCTCTCTCTCTTTCTTCCTTCAAGGCCAACCGTTTTGTGTAGGGTTACGTTGACAAAACATGAGGTGGACTGAAAGTGCGGAAAATAAAAGCTCAATTGAAAGGAGTTGCTTGTCGGCCTTGTTGTTCAAGGGGCACGCTTTGTTGACATTAAAACAGTGGAGGGTGAGAATAGACTGTCGTTTTTGGCTGTTGGTGCAACGTGGAGCCTTGAATGTTGTTTTTGCTGCAAGGTTGAAGCTGCCCCGCGATATACATAGACCCGCTTATTTGCATCTCAGCGAACGTCCTCTGTCTGGACCTCATGAGGACGGAATGAAACATGTTTCAATATTGGCTTTGTTAGAAATCATCAGATCACTAGTATTTCATGACATTTGAGTGACGGAGCGAGCGATTGTCCAGGACAAGAGTGCCGAAAAGTCCAGCAGTTGAACTTCGTGAGCCGTTTCGATTACATTGATATTGACTATTCGCTGTCTCCCACTCCTGTGAGATGAAGCGTTGAGGAGATGAACGCAGATCTTGTTCTCAACGTTTGATCGTGAGAGTAGTTTGACGGTATTATGATGTAGAATGGCTACAGATCCAGGACTCACTCAAGAGTTGAGAAGAAAAAGAGTCAGTGGCGAGCGACGAGTCTTCATGAACCACCTTATCTCTTTCTCTCAATATCAACGATGAGATATCCCATCGAAGGACAAAGCAAGATCAGCAATATAGATTCGTCATGACTCCCAGTATACCGTGAAATCCGTCTAAGGAGACGAATTTAGATGAACAAGGATCGACAAAAGCCACCACAAACCCCGCTCAACTTCCCACCTTGACAATCTCCTCAACACACTCGACAACCCCCTCCGCACATCCATACGACCCCTGATACCCCCATCCCGCATGCCCATAATTGTGCACAACATACACCGTCTCCCCATCATCCCCATCCAACTTCTCCGCCTCGAGCCTCAGCCCATCCTTCCTATACGGCCTCAGCCCAACGCCATGCCGAATCACGCTCAGCCCCTCGATGCCCTTCCCACCCGTCAAGCCAGGCGCAACGTCCACAGCCCTCTTCATGATCCGCACAGCGATATTCGGATCAGGCACAGACTCCCAGTTCCCCAAGTCGTACGTGCCCCCGAGGATCGTCCCTCCGCCTGCGGCGCGGGTCATGATGTATGTCATTTCTGTTGCTCCGTCGTCGGTGCCAGACGTGGCTATCATGGGATGATATTCGTTCCGCACAACAACGACTTGTCCTCGCGCAGGCGTCATCGTATCATCCTTTACACCACCGAGCTTAAGCGATCCCAGCGCCGTGGCATTGACAATAATCTTCGCCGGCCGACCGGTGTGGCTCAGGGCCTTTGCGTCGCGAATGTCCGTCAGCACGGCCCTTTTGAAGACGACCCCGTTCTTGAGACACTGGCCCACGAGCCAGGGGAGATAAATTGCGGTGTTGATGCACAAGCTCGTGAATTCGCAGCCGGAGTCGTGGCCGGGGATGACTTCGTTGGGGCCCAGTTCGCGGTAGTCTGGCAGGACGGATTGGTACCAGGGGTTTGCGGAGAAGAGAGGATCTGCCGGATGGACGCCTGGAGCTGTTTCGTCCTTCTTTCTTCGAAAGACGCGGGCCTCTGTAGAAAAGATATCTTCTTAGTATCGGGTTCAGTCGTGAAGAGGTGGGAGATGTTTACTTTGGAAATGGATGCCTGCTTCGGGAACGTCTTCCGCCAGGCGCTTCAGCTCCGGCCAAGTGCGGCGCTCCCATCTACTGTTCTCTTCCGAGGCCATCCTAAAGAAACAACGACATTAAAAGCCCATCCAAGTCAAGCAGATTCGGAAAGATGGGAGTTTGGACTAAAGGGTAACGACAAAACTCACGGCAGCACATTCGCCCCGGCCCAAGGCGAGGCATATTCAATGTCATAGTCACCAGGCATGTGCTTCGCGACCACGGTAATCACATTGTCCTTGTTCTTCGAAAGGAGAAGCGCTGAAGTGAGACCGCTCACGCCAGCTCTTTTTGCATCGAAAATGTCTCTTGTTCAGTTATTTGCTTTCGATAGTTTAAAGTTGGGGGGATCCGGATATATCTCACCCTGCAACGACAATTACATTGGCCATTGTTTCCGATGGATTGACGTCTATATTCAGAGAAATGGTAATACGCGTAAAGTTTTATCACCGCGGTGCATAGAGTCTGTTTCCATTCATGAAATATATGTTCATTCTGAAGAGACGTGATGGAGCTTGTCGAGCTGCGATTCCGGAGTCGGCGTGACTCCATTTGATCTCCCCGCACTCAATCGAACCATCGTTTATCTTAGTCAATTAGAACACTTAAACGTTTAAAGCACGGCACACAGCTAGATATTTTGACGTCAATATTTGAGAAACCATCACCGAGCAACAAGAATTTCAGATGAACTGCTTTGGGAGAAAGGAGGCAAAAACCTGGTGTACTTGAAAGGAACAAGGAGAGGCTCTGCAGCACCCTGTAAACTGTTCCCGCTCGGCAATTTTTCTTTGAGTGTAAACAGACTGCGATAATATCAATTATGTCTATTTCCACTTCACTCGAGCTGGATGCTATAAAGGGAGACACCAATTCATCGGACTGGATGCAACAGCATTGAGTAGCATTCGCCACTAGTTCATCGAGAGTCTCGTTCCAGCTGTCTGTTCCGCGGCTGAAGCATCATGCTAGGATCAAATCCTTGGGTCCTCCTCGGGAGATGCCTCTATACATCCGATAAGATGCTAGAACAAATGGAGAGCCGGGATATCATTCCGTAGACTTAGTGGACAGCATCCTACTTCTCCGGCCTCGTGAGCGGTGGTAACGTACGCCTCACCAAATACCCAAGGGCTGGTGAAACAATGTTGGCTCCCAAAGGATGACATTGGTCGTCCATTCAATTGTCAGTTCATGCATGGATGCCGCTGCCAGGGCGAATCTTCTTCATATCCAATTTCATTCAGGCAGCTTGTTCATTTCAGCGTGCTGCTCTTCGTTCGGTATGAGCTCGTGCAAGCGCGGATACGGGAAGCGAAAGAGCAAACTGTAACCCTCATTAGCCTTCCCGGGCCACTGATCCCTCGCCCTGGGCCAATCGAAGGAGCTGCATTGAGGTAAAGGGGGGTAGCACAGGACCCCTTCAAGATATCACGTCGTTTCACGGGGCAAGTGTCTGCTCACCAAAAGCTGTAGAGTTAATTGCGTCTACAAAGCACGGCATTTGCGTCCGGGCCATTGGTGTACCACCGACGCAGATCAACACATATTCTCTGCAAGAGTAATCTTCTGTCGGGATAGATGTTGCCATGGGCAGAAACCACCCGCAAGTCGATAGGGGGGAAACAAACCTAGGTGATGAATCACCAGTGTCTCCTCGCCCCTTCTCCTCTGTGCTGCAGACGGGTCCTTGTCTGGCTGCTGGTTGATGTGGCGTCCCCGAGCACACAACAGTTGAGACCATGTAATAACTCGGGCCCTAATGAAATGTCCCATCCCGTCCACGTGGTCGTCCATCATCCGTCCGAAGGGCTGCGAGACAGCAATTCTTCTTCTCGCTGCAACCCGGACAGGGAACATGCAGATAGAATGCTCCTCGCCTGAGATTCCCGCATTGTTTGCTGTTCAACTAGCATCCCCCATTCGTGTCAAGGATACCCCAAAGAGGCGAGGGGCATTCTATCACCACAGCTTGTACGACGAGCTTGTGCCTGTCGTGTACTGCGCCGAAAGCAGAGACCAAGGGGACGCGGCCCTATCGGGACGAGGATAGTGAGGGACTTGGGCACAACTCTGTGTGGTCTGTGGGCGGCCAGAGGGCGCCATGTACCATTGCTGCCACGACCGGCCCTGTTGGCAAATCCTTTGGGGGCTAAGCAAATCTCCCGCGAGGCTGTTTACTGGTTGCACGACGTTGAGATGACGGGGTCCGTTGCATTTCGCGGCCACCACAAGTGGCACTGGCCACGTCCCCGAACTGCCGCCCTGGTAGTAGCATCTCGTATGTATGTACTGTGAAAGCTCGGCCCGGCGGTTCAAGGATTGGCGGAGAGCATCTTGGTTAGGTTGCTTGCAGGATGCTTATCTAAAGCGGGCACGTCTGTAGGTGCCATAGTGGCTGCCACTCTCATTGTCCGGCTTCCGCCTCAGTTGCCATCTCGTTGGCGAAGCTTGAAGAGCTTGGGATAATGACTCAAGTCTTCTCAATCGAAAAGGGCGAGTGAAGAAGACGGAGCGTGGTGAGAGTTGGAATCGAAAGGCGCTGCAAGCCTTGTCCCGTGCTTCGAAGCAGAAACACAGCATGACAACGGGCAAGAATGTCCAACGTGTGTCGTGGCACAGCACGGAGCAATGCAATGGGAGGTCACAGTACCAATGCAGCGATGACTTGTCGCCTGCAAAAATTGGCCTTTCGGGCGAGGCTCCGAGACCAACCTTGGGTCGGGTAGAGGTACATGGCCACGAAGAGGAGGCAGACGCTGGCCAAATCGCCCTGGGCAGATGCCGACTCGAGCGCCGCACGGCAGAGCGAGGCGCAACGAGCTCAAGAAAGCAAACACACGAGCACAGATGCCGCTAGCATGACCTTGTACCGAGTGTAGGTTGGGACGTTGACGGTGAGAGTACCGCGCTGCTCTCTCGGCTCACTCAGCCTGCTCCCGCGAGCTCGTCTCAGCCCTCTCTTCCAAGGCTAGACTTGGCCACGATGACGTCTTCCGGGCTGGGTCGAATAGACACCATCTTGCCGTGCCGTCTTGCCCAGATTGCCAGAGATTGACGGTTGAAGCCAAAATGGCTTTGGGTTGCAAGGCTCGCGGGTTTTGTCAAGTCTGGGTGGCTGATCTGCCCCGGTTGCCAAGTCATGACGCAAAGACCTCCAACAACTCCAACGAGGGATCGAACAGGAGCAGGGGGGATCTTGAGCGGCATCCCTGTCGGAAAAGGAAGCATGTCCTTTTAACGCTGATACTAACGCTGCTGCAAGTGTGAGTTAGGTGACGCACTGTACTGCTGCAATCGACTCAACCTGGTTTTTGCTTCCTTTTTTCCTTGGCCAAGCTACCTCTACGGTAGCTGATGAGCGGACACCTAGCGTGGGGCAGATGTCGCGAGTATATTCGATCGATGGGCAGCTCCGTTTGCTCAACCGTCCAGCAAGCAATACCTGCAAGGTACGGAGGCGAGATGGTGGTCAGAAGGCACTGGGGACAGGCTCAGCTTGGGACAATCAGCACTTGATTGATCCTTCTGGTGTCGTCGTCGACATTTCTCGCCTCCGCCTCGCCGTCTTCGCCTAGACATGTCCGGCTCGGCTCTAGGTAGCGGCGGGTAGCTGTCTGGGTATCGCAGGTATCAGCAGCCATCTGACGAATACGAAGTCTACTGCGGGGGCCTTCCATGGTTCCTCAGTGATACGAAGGCACGCGCATGAGGAACAGACGGACTGGGCATCTCGCAACGCTCTCCCATGCAGGCCCATGTAGTCATGCCGTAGCGCAGACAGATGCCACAAATGGGCACCGAGACGAGAGGGAAAACAAGCACCACAAGCAGATGGGGACGGAGATGGTCCGTTTGTTGCGGACATGACCAACTACTTGTCGGCCGTGTCTGGCGGACCGCCGGGCCTGCATGGGGTTCTGACCCAAATAAAGGCTGGGGCCTGCTCCATTTTGCGGCGTTGAGGTTTTGCCTGTACGCAATAGTGCTCGCTGGACTCGCAGGTAGTTCAGGTTGCATCAGCGAGTGGCAGTCGAGTTGACGCCGCCTTATCAAGTAGTTTCTTTCCCTTCCATCATCGACGTGTAATCACGACAGTCTCTGCATCGGCCAAAGTAACGGCGACGGTCAGCAGCGCATGATCAGTCGACTTGCCTGGATAACACGCACATGCCCGTCAGTGCGGCGATGCATCACGCAGTTGTTGTACCATGGTCGTACCTTGGGCTGTACCCGTCAGAGCTGGTTCAAGACGGTGTTAGTGACCGGGATGGCGTCGAGATCGGGCTATTGTGTTGTACGTATTTCGTCCAGTGATACTGGCTCCACCCCGACGGCGCTCGTACCTGTTCGTCCAGACGTCAGCCATTCAAGCCACCAGAAATAGGACAAGCAAGGACAAGGCAGAGGAAGAGGAATGGTGGATCCTGGGCGAGAGAAGAACTTGTCTCACCTGGGGATCGGGAGAAGCAATGGTCGCGTCTCACAGGCGGAGCGAATGGCGGGACGAGAACCGCAGCCTTCGTGATCAGTTTCGCTCGCTGGCTGATTTGTCGAGAGTTGAAGGATGTATGTCAGGCAATATGAAGCAGAAGCAGACGTGGTGATCCATGATTCTGGGGCAAGCACGGAGCTCGGAGTAAGGCGCCGCCGTTGCCCCGAATGTCATGTCCTCGTACAATACTTTGGTCCCTTGGACAGAGAGCATCGACGACATCACATACGTTTGTACTGGGAGATCAACTGGAGATTGATCCAAAGTGCTCTAGGTGCTTGTACGAGTACAATCCATTGACGGCCAAAGCCAATAGTTGACAGCATCCATGCAAGTATTGCTTCGTAGACGCGCAACAAGTGTGGCTGCGCGGTGGCAACTCGAACCCTCAGCTGGCCGGCTCTCGACTGGTTGCGCAAAAGTGCACGAGACTCACTATCACGGCACCTCTTCCTGCAGACGATGGTAAGCGATTCGTCGTGAATGGTTAGCAAAGGGCCATCTGATTCCCTTTTTAATTCCTGCGCATGTTAGTGGCAGAAAATGTCCATCAAATGCGCAAACCAGAGGCCGGGCATGACCGGTCTGTTATTGCATGTAGCCATTCGCTTGAGGCCGGCCCATGTATCGGTACGACGGCAACTTCAAGGTGCGTCTGCCTCATGACGGGAGGTACTTGGTTGTTCCCAAAGCCGCCGCTTCAGCGTACGAGGACTTGCAGTGTGCCCGAAAATGAATGAAGCCTTGACGCAGCCAACAAATTGATTTACTGTCAATACGAGTGTATGCAAGTAGGTCATTCAAATGCTAGTCGTCGGGCTCTTTATTGCAAGTAAGTACCAAGAAGAGACACAATGGCGGCACGTTGAAGGGCATGTACCTGAGCTCTGTTCCAAGTACAGGTACGCTTGTGCACCGGCGCCTGTCGTCTCGTCGTGGCCGCTGTCAGAACGTGGAATCGCTCAGCCACCAGCAGGACGGCGCGGGTAGGGCAGAGACCGGCCATCCAAACTGTAATCATGGTAGTTGAGCCCCTCGATCCCTCGAAAAGCCCTGGGGCGTCAAGAGTCTGGGTTCCAGGGGAGTAGAGGGGGGAATACGGAGTCGGGGCCCTGTCCCGGTCTCACATGCAGGTATTCAAAAAGCAGCCAGGGGAGCCCTTCAAGCACTTCCAGACGTCTGATGCCTCGCTCTGCAGTTGATTTGAGAGAGACCCCTGCCGCCCCGCTGGCGATTTCCTCTCTCTCTCTCCTCTGCAGTGGTCTGTTCTGTCGCCTGCAAGCAGTACTGGGAGAGATACGATGGGCTACGAAGTGCTTCCATGCCGCCCAAACTGTTGGCATGAGCTCGTAACCCGAATGGAACCGTACCTGTACCTGTGCCTGTGCCTGTTCCAGTGACTTCCATCCCAGGGGTTTGGGGCATGTCGAAGCACGAGTCCCGCTGCCCTGCCGTGCTACCGCTGTCTGTACCTTATTTGTACAAGGGACGGGGTGGGATGGACGGGCAGATGGAGCAAACGGGATTTCGAGCTGCTTCATCACAAGAGGTCCTTGTATACGAGGAAAACGGGGCCTTATTGGCGCAGGTGCTACAAGGGAGAAACCACGCAAACAGAGACAAATAATATAAAGGGCAGCAGGCAATGCGAGTGCGGTAATATACGATTCAGAGACTCGACGCCCCAGCACGTGCAGCGCAGACTGCATCAAGCCAATCGAATCCAATGTGCGAGTTTACACGTCCAGTACGGCGAGGTCCACGTACATGTACATGTCGTGCAGCGCATGCAGAGCGAGGTACAGGTGCGCCAATGGGCTCGTGGCCTCGGTGGCATCGCCTGGACGCAATCAAATCAGATGCAATTGGCATTGGATTCCTCGTACCGGCCTTGCAGCAATTCACCTTAGCAGCAATAGCACAATGGAGGTGAATTCTCCGCCAGTCATTGCCGACTTGGCGCTGCATGGCAATGGGAGACCGAAGACTGAGGCTTGTCTCGATGCTTGTACAGTATCGCCTCTCTCTCCAGAGCAAACTTGTACCTATCGTAACAAGGAATGGCATGGATGGATCGAAAGCACTGTTGGCACTCCAACCCACCACCCTCAAAGGCCTATGATTGCAGCCTTATTACTAGCGCAGGAGACTGCCTGCTCAAGCAGTTCTTCCAAAGCATTCTGCGTATCCTCATGTAATACTTGTATGCACTCGTCCCAGCAGCGCTCTGCCGAGCTGCCCAACCAGGATCAGCGGCCTCGCCTTCACTCATCACAGGCTTCAAGCTTCAGATTCCGAGTTTTCGCCCTCAGGGCCCCGGTTGGCGCTAAACATGGCCCCGGCAGCACCAGCGCACAGGGCACAAAGTGGCACCCGCCGGTCGCTGGAGAGCACTGGAGCAGGAGGTCACTGGCACCCGCAAGACCCTGTGCGGTACAGGTACCCTCGACGTACTTGTACCCCTCGACGTCCGCGGGTACCTCCACCCGCACCTCCACCCTGGGCACCTGGCAGCGACCGATCAAGCGGCAGGTCGCGCCACAGGTACGAATAGGGTAGAGCGGCCACAGGTACCTGTACCCGTACCAGTACCCGTACCAGGGCCCTCTAGCGGCCGGATCAGCGCCCACAGACCCCTCAAGCCTCCAGTCTGCAAGTGCCACCGGCCGCTGGTGCTAATCGATGCACCCTCTTTGACCCTCTATCCGCCGTGCTAAATTACGTCGCTGCCTCCTCCCTGTTTTTTGCCATCCTGACTGAACCCTACCTCACCACTACCACTTGACTTCGTGTCTCTCCTCCGGAGCCCTTTTCTGATTCTTCTTCCTGCAACGATGCTGGACGAGTCCACGCGATAACCTCGACGTTGCGAAGCCTTCGTTACTGCCTTTGGAGTCTCCGACGAACCACCAATCGTTTCCTTGACCGGCCCTCGTTTTCTTTGTCTCTTTTCTCTCGCCTTTACATGCCTCTCTAATAAGGCGGGACCGGGATTCATTCCAATTCCTCGACGTCGAATGCTATTCACGGGCACGAACACAAACAAACCCCGGCTTGTCCGCTTCGCCAACTGCACGCCTGATCTTGTCGACGCGCCTCGTGGCATGTGTTTCGCATCCGGACCCCTTTGTGGTCGCCGCCTCCAGCTGTCTGCCGCTTCATCAGCCTCAAACGATCATGATGCTGCTGCTTCGCGCCTCTCTTAACCCAGACATTCCGACTCAGCACACGCAGACCAAGTCGCCTCGCAAGTAAATCCAGCACAGGGAGGGGGGGCTTCTCACCCTCGAGGGGAAGCAAATCAGCACAATGGCCCTATGGCCCTTTCGCACACGGGGCGACAAGCGCTCTGCCGCCGCTGGAGATGCCGCCTCTGGACGTAAGATCGCAAGGGCGGCCTCCGTCAAACGAACCCGCGATGCGCGGCGATACAGCTTCTCGCCTGATCGCCAAGATGCAATCCAAGTTGACCGAGCCAACCAAAACCAAAACGAGCACTTGACGGGGGAAAATGCGCCTGCGCACAACACGCTCGGGCAGGACCGAGTGCCAACTTTACACCACAAGCGAAGTGGGAATCAGCCTTCGAGGAGGAAGAGTAGCAAGCGGAAGAGACAAGACCACAATAGAGAAGCAGAGATCAAGGCCATGAGCACCTTCGCACCCGCACGAGCGACCACCGAAACCTTCGCCACCGGTCGCAGTTCCAAGCATGATCACAAGAGGGCAAAGACCCTTCCGGCCAGGGCTCCTTGGGAGAGCCGCAATTCGGATCTATCACTACCCATCCCCATGTCTATCGAATCCCGCATGTCCTTCGAGTCTAATTATTCGTCTTATCGAGTAACCGCCTTGGATGCTCTCGCACCTAGGCCAACGCTGCGATATCAGGGGACGCGACTTCTCCCGTCCCGGGCTTCCGTGCCGACGCGATCGGGCTCTCAGAGAAACAGACTCGCCGCTTTTGACGAGGAAACACTCAAGGCGCACAAGCGCATCGATGAGCTGGCTGACGACTTTGATGCTAGTGAGCTCCGAGAGCTCATGGAGAGAGATGCGAGACGGCGTGAGAGGAACAGGCAGCGTGAGCGAGAGAAGGCAGAACGGAGATTGGCACGAAGGGCAGAGAAGCAAAAGATGGAGGAAGAAACTGCCAGAGAAAGGGGCACCCCGTCACCGGAAAACCTGGAACGAGGCGTCATGGGCCGAGAGCTCGGTTTGGGCATCGATCCACCATCAACGATAGTGACGTCCTCCAAGCAGCGGACTTCGCCAGAGCCAATGTCCGACGTTGAGGAGTATGCTCCAAAAACGCCAAAGACACCACAGCCGGAACCCCTCGAGACGTTCCACCGAATTGACACGGCGCCTCGCGAACCAGAACCTACGCCAGCCCCCGAGAGACAACGACAGGCTTCTGGCAAGTCAGAACCACGTGTCCCAGCCGTACCGCCTGCGATTCTCAAGTTAGAGGGCCACGTGGTTCCCAAGACGTCGACGTCAGGATCGACGTTTGATTCCGACAAGGACAAGACGTCCTCGGCAATGGATGATGACGCCACGACGCGGAAAGGATCCGAGGCCAGCAGCAAGACAAACCGCATATCATTCTCCACGCTGCTCAGATGGGGAAGAGGCCGCCGCAGCTCTGGCGGACCATCCTCATTTTCTAATACCTCTCGCGAAGAAATGTCCGCGGTTGTGGCTGCAGCTGCAGCGGCCCATGCTCATTCGCAAGCAAGAAGCACCGAGTCACCCGTGTCATCATACTCGGGTAACTATCTATCGTCCAAGCCGGGTTCTGGCCCGCCAAAGCGAACACGCTCCCGCTTCCGAGAAGACTTGCCGGAACTTCCACTGTCTCCGCCTCGATCACGCCTTCAGTCGCCTGAAGCAGACGCCTCTCTTCCAAGCGTCGCAGAGCACAAGCCTGCCGTCCCCGAACCTATACAAATCCCCACCTTGCGAGATGACACTCCAACTTCTGGCCATCGCTCGATCGACATCCCCCACGCTCGCGCCGCGAGAGATAAAATGTATGGCAGCCACTCGGCCGATCCCCATCTTTCCATGTCCCTGGCATCTGTCGACTCAGAAGCATCCTGGCTGTCGGGGCGGGTTGGTAGCCAGAGGAGCCAACGACTGTCGTCCGTACGTGATAGGATTCGATCCCGCCAACAGGACCGAGACGCCAGACCAGATTCTCCAAGCAACAGCGCGCACGAAGACCTCGAAATCACCGAAGATGACTACATGTCACGCTTGAGCCCCGATCCAACGGCTCTGACATTCAACTCTCGCTTGTCAGGCGAGGGTCGTCCGAGTAGTGATGGAGAAGAGATGGTGGACGAAGGAGAAGTCAGGTGGGGCGCCGTTGGCGCTCACCCGCAGCTTGTTTCTTCGCATACGCATCACCGCGACACCATTCGCAGCCGCGAAGGCCTGCTCAACATCGACTCGGGAGACGAGGAAGACTTTGACGCTCCCATCTCCCCCATTTCTCCGATTACCCCCAGCATGGATGAAAAGGTCGATCTCGAGCGCGCCACAAGCGTGCGGGTGGATCGGCACCACTCCCGCAACTTTAGCGCTGGAAGCGCGAAACTCCTGGAGATTCACCCACGAGAATCGACAGATAACAAGAGGAGGAGCCAAGAGCCGTCCAACGGTGTGTGAGTTGATGCCTGAGTGATGTGCTAATGGCCCAACAGTCGAAAGAGTTTCCGGATTTAGAAAGCAACAAAAAAAACGAGGAAAAAAAAGAGAAAAATAGAAAGGGGCACATCTTGATGACTTCAGCTTCCGATCTGGGGCCGAGTTGTGCACCATTGACGAATCTCCTTTGTAACGACATACTGACCCGAGTCACTCCTTCAAATTCATTCCTTGCTTGACGGCCGGCATCGACAAAATCGTATAAAGAAGAAAAAAAGGAGAAAAATTTACACCGAAATTACCAAACAACAGAACATAAACAAAATACCACGATAAAACGGGAAACTCTTTCGACTTTGGAACTGATGGCATCCAGAAATGCACAATCAAACACCTTGGGCTTTTTGCTTTCTTGGCAAACGTCCCGTTGTACATTACAACACTTTTGACGATCTACGACTGGCGTTGGACTTTGTTTTTTCTCTGCTTTTATTTATTCCCAAGTCACTTCTTTTTTTACAGGCACATATACCAGATTTGATACCCATTCTGTTGAAGGGGGTCTACATTTGCCCGGACTCCTTTTACAGCTCGTCTTGTGTTTCTGAGAGGTAGGAAAGGAGAGGGCGTGCGTTGTTCTAGGGGCGAAAGTGATGAGCATTTCAATGAACAAAATGGGAGGTAATCTTCTTTTGAAGACGAGTTGAGTTCTTGCTTCTAACTACTCCTTGGTACGGGCTGGTTGCGATTCACGTAAGGTCCTGGAGTAGATATAAGAGTTTCAGCCGTCGCATAAAAAGAAGGGAAGGATAAAAAGCTGAGGGTATCGGAAAAATCTGGGAAACAAAAACTTATAGAGGCTTCGTTCTACTGGCACCTTTGATACTACCTATGTGATATCAAAAGTCTTTTTAATTGAAGTTTGAGTGGTTGAATTATCTCAGTGAAGAGCATGAAACGATTGGGAATATAGAGAATACCGTATGTACATGTACACAAGTGCGAATTGGTTAAGCATAATAGCATGAGGACTTGCGCCTCGAACTGGGTTTCTTGATATCAGATGTTCTCACCTCTTGGCGTTAGTATGTATGTTTCCGAGGCGTGGCTATGATCCAAGACACATGTTGGCAGTCCGCCGTGTGGAAAGAAATTGGCGGCGCGGAACTCCGCAGACGCCGTGTTGTTTGCAGGCTTGCAAGCTCACATCGCCGCGTCCGCATATTCGTTATGGAAAACGGGGAAGCATGGCGGAATTCCGAGAATCGGGTTTATGGATCAGGACCACAGCAAGTCCGCAGGAGAAGACGAACTGAATGCCATCATTGTATGGCCGTGATCATCATTGACGTTGCATGCCGTCGCCATCTATTTATTGAGGGAGAAGGGGCTTTGGATGGGTTTAAACAGACGCACTATCCTTGTCTCCTGAACAAACTTCACCTGATCGTTGGCATATTGAATCACACTTTGTATCGATCCCTCAGTGTAATCGCATATCCGAATCATGGCACAGAAGACTACTGAATTCGGCGACTTTGTCGACCAAGTCCTCGTCAACGTCTTCTTCCAGCCCGACGATGCGCTATCCCTGAAAACTGTCAAAGAGTCCTTTTCTCCTGACTTTACGGCCAAGTTCGTTCCATCCCATCATTTCCCACCATTTGTAGTATCTAACTATGTATCTGCATGACAGCATCAATGGCGCATCCATACCAGGCGATACTTACAAGCAGGCCATTGCCGACTCCCGCGCCAAGTCTACCTTTAGAGTTGTCAAGACGGAAGAGATTCTCGCTAGCCACGGTGCGGACAGGGCGAAAGGAGGGTCGGTTGCTCATTATACGGAGTTTTTGGTCATTGATAAGGAGACGGGTGAGGAGAAGAAGGAGGCTACTGTGACGATTGTAACGTGTGTTGAGAGGGATGGAAAGGTGGTTCTGGAGTCGTTGACTGAAGTGTATCGCAAGTGATGGAATAATGGCCATAACTATCATCTCATGTCGGCAATTATAAGTGTACCACAATGAAAGGAGGATGCTCTTAGGATATCACTTCATACTGGCAACTATGTTTCTGTTGATCCATGGGCATTTCGTCCTTTGTTGGCGCCAATCTTACACTATGATCATCGTCTGTATCACGCCAATGCCATCTATCCTTCTTCCGCTCCATCGCCATCCAGATTCAATATTTCCTGCGTTGCCTTGGAGCACATGTCCATGAAGGCTTCATCTTCCATCTCACTCGTCGCTGTGTACTTGAGTCTGAGAACACTTTCAATCATACGCCGCAGTCCTTCCAGTCCGTGGCGTGGTGTAATTTCCAGCTTCTGTCCGTCCCGCACGTTGTACAATATGATCCGGGGCAATTGGCCAAATTTGGAGGCCAACAAGTACGCGTACGTCGATGCCTGTACGATATGCTCGTCTGTAAGTTGAGAGACAAACTTAATCTCCCAGACAGACGCAATCGGCGTTTCACTGTTGTTGGAGGAGCTGGAAAAGGTGACGACGTCGGCTCGGCCCCGAAGACGAGTTTTTTGATCGTCAATTATAAATTCTTGTTCAATATCAACCTCAAAGTTGAGACTAGATGTCGACACTCCAAGTTCCTCGAGCAGCCGTCCCTGAGCTGCGTTCAGTTGCTCAGGTTTGATCCAGTTGAACCGGTGATACCTCATCTGAAGAGCTCGAGATTTATAACCGGAATTGAGAGTCTGGAAATTGCACGCTTGTCGGCATAGCCAAGCAATGTTCTCCTCTGAACACACCGATAGGTTTATGTCAAAGCTGTGTTCCGACTGAAGGATTTTGACGGTTCCAGTAAGAGCTTGCTCGAAAGCTGCACCGACGACAAAGCCGTTGATATCGCCAACCGCCTCATAAAGACCCCGCTTTCGATCTGTGCAGACAATATCTTTCATGTTAATGTGCTCTGCTTCAGGCAGAGGTGTCGAGATATATTGAATACAAAGGTGGCTCTCAATGATCTCAGCAAGTCCTTCGCTCCTCGCATGTCGGGCCATGTCGCTGACCATGATCATAGAGGGGAGTATCAGCCCCAGTTCTGATGGCCGGCCTGATTGATTGGGGGATGCAATCAAAGCTTTCTTGCGTGTCATGTTTCGAACCTCGGCTGTTTCGTAGAGAGCGTCCACAGAGACAAACGGCATCAGTTGTTTGCTATCGTTGTGAACCAGGACGAGCTGTTCCTTGGCACGCGTAAGAGCGACAAAAACCTCATTGGGGCAGTTGTCATCCGGGAGGTTGCGTCCCAGATACTCGAAGAAAGAAGAGTCCATACCCAAGAGAATGACCAAGTCGCGTTCTCTACCCTTGAACTGGTGGATGGTGGAGATGCAGAGCTTCCCGGCAATGACCTTTTCATCCAAAGGGCCGTGGTCGTCGATTGGTACATTAACAGGTATTCTGTACTTCTCGCCTAGCGTATTGGCCAGGTTCTGCAAGGGCCTGTTGTTGCGAATAGCCGGGGCAATGATTGCGGTGTTCTCAGCACCGTAACGCTTGATCATTGGCATCAACATCTGTGCCAGCTTATAGCCGCGGAAGGGGTTACATCTCAACACGACAGGCTTGGGGCCTGACTTTGAGCTGGTGATGCAAGGCTCGCCACCTAGAAAACCCTTGTTGATAAATTGAACGGTCTGGTTCGAGAGACGATGGCTTTGAGTCATCGGAAGATGGGCAAAGGGAGAAGGGCTAATGGCCCCCAGCAACTCAGGGGCTAGGGTGAGATAGCGATGGTTGGCACCACGGAATCGGTAGATGCATTGGCGTTCGTCACCAAGGATGATGATTCGGACAGGCTTCTCACCCATCTTCTCTTGATTGATCCGGAGAAAGCAGATTACTGATTGGTAGTGGAGGTAAGTACAGTCCTGAACCTCATCCAATATTATGATGTCGAAGGGCTCAAAGTTTCCTTTAGGGAGCTTGTTGTGTAATTTGGCGTTTTTCAACTGTCTTGAAAGAACAGCATCGTCGCGTACAATAATGCCTAGATAGAACCCAGCCATTTTATGTAGAGTGAAGGCCATGCCGTTGGGGTATTCATCGAGCCGCCCTTGAGTTTCTTGTGCAAGGTTGCGTGAGTAGGTGATAACACATATTCGTGAGTTTGGGTAAGCAGCCACGATAGCTTCAGCTGTAGCCGTCTTGCCTGATCCAGGCCGTGCTGAAACGACGACATTGTGTTCGACACAGAGTTTGACGATCTTTTGTTGCTCAGGTGATGGAGTAAAGGGTCGTTTCTTTGGCCGTCGTCGGGAGAGGCTCTGCGTGGATGTGGAAAAGAGAGAAGAGCTATGGCTTCCAGGGATTCGAAAATGATGCTTGTCAAACCTCGTTAGCACTCGTCGCTCCTCTCTGTCTCGTTTACGTACTGGCCACTGGACGGCAAATGACGATGACCGTGCTCGTAAAAAGGGTCGCCGAACCAGAGATGACAGAAGCTTCATCTTTGGTTAACCTGCCGCTGCCTATGGCGTGAATAGTGCCATGACACTTTGGGTCGGGAGTGAAATGGAACAAGAGGATGTAGGAAACAAGAATGAAAATTCTTCACAGGCAAAGCGATTGAATAAGTGCCCCAAAGCCAGAAGTGAGTCGGAGTTGACATTCAAGTGAATGCACCTTCGCTGGTTGGCCTATCACACGATCGACGCGGGCGTGCACAGACGTCCTTGGTGAATGACAAGTTCTTCAGCAATAAATGGGAGAGCGTTTACGGATATGGTTATGCATACACTCGTCTTCTCCACGTTTTTTATCCATTACCTCTAGGTTATTCACGTTTTCGTTAACATTGGGTGTGGTTATGTGAAAGAATACCTTTGCTCATGAATTTGAGGACGAGCAACAGCCGCCTAGTATCTTGCTGCAATCAGATACCAGACTTAGAGTGCTTAAGCGTCATGAGTCTCTGTTACCTGGGGTATTCAACTTGTGTGTTGCATATACCGTTAACAGCCAAGTTCATGGACGGCTGACCTCTAGCTTAGAGTTTCAAGCATATAGCAAGCTTGCGGTAATACAGAAATGGCAGCTGAGAAAGGTAATTGATACTACTACTCTCAACAGTAGCAGTACCAAAAACATGCATATTCTCGGATGCTCGATAGCCAACCTAGAAGCCTAGATAACCACTCCTGTTTATTCCCATAGACTTACGAGCGAGCATGTCTATCTGCATCGTGGAACGCTTGCTGGCCCCTATTACTCGAGATATTCCTCATCGTTCATAGCGGCCTCCCGGAGCCGATCAATAGAGATTTGAGAAAGTTTCTATCAATGAGCACGCTGCGGAGTCTCCTTGTAGCACCGCAGTGGGCATATACAGGCTATGACTGAGGAGCGGAAGGGAGGCAACAATAGAGAACCGGGGACACTGGTAACTACAAGAGGCAAAGATCGTGAATTCGACAAATTGATAGAGCAGATGATTTTCCAGCGCTAGTAACCATGCTGATAATTTGCGGCCATCTGTGTGCCTTTACTGCGGAATAGATGGATCTGTGGTCGAGAAGCGCGGAACTCCGCTCAATCAAACATCAGGTTGGCGGTCAGAATATCTGATGATGAGTAGAGCCGCTTGCTCGTTTACAACTGCTCGACAGACTACGGGTCGGATTTTCACTGATTTATCTATAAAGCCGATCTCATCTTTTTGAGTATCCTCAATCTGCATACACTTTGCGTTCGATTCCCTGCGTATAGTCATACATTGATATACGCATCTCTTCTATCCCGCAATAACGGACTCTCTCTGAACAACTTAAGACTTATTTTGCCTTTCCACCTGGACATACTCAGCTTTGTCCTTGACAACAAGCGACTCACACACAATGGCTTCCGAAGCAAAGACCATGCTGGCAGTCTATGCGGCCAAGGGCGATGCGGAAAACCCCCTCTCAGGCCTCACAGTTGGTCAAGTCCCTGTACCCAAGGTCCCAGAAGGCTGGGTCCGCGTCAAGATTGAGGCTGCGACTGTCAACTTCCATGACATTTTCACCCTGAAGGGCATCGGCGCCCATCCCATCACTTTCCCGATCGTTCTGGGCTGCGAGGGCGTTGGGACTCTCGATGATGGAACCCGTGTTGTCATCTACCCGGTCATGATCTCGCCTGGATACATCGGCGACGAGACCAAAGATGCAAAGCGCAACGTGTTTTCGGAGCTCGTCGACGGCACCATGGCGGAATATGTTGCTGTCCCGAAGGCCAATATCTTGCCCCTGCCGAAGGAGATCGACCCTGTATCAGGCTCTGTGCTCGGAATCGCCTGGCTGACCGCATACAGCATGCTCTTTAAGAAATCTGGCCTTCGACCTGGACAGACGATGCTTGTGCAGGGCAGCTCAGGAGGCGTCAGCACCGCTCTAATCCAGCTTGGAGCGGCTGCTGGCATGCGCGTATTCACCACGGGTCGCTCTCCTGAGAAGCGGAAGCTCGCCGAGTCACTGGGCGCGGAGAGAACGTTTGACTCTGGAGAGGTTCTGCCTGAGCAAGTTGACGCTGTGTTTGATACCAGTGGCACAGTTACGTGGAAGCACACTGTTGCCTCCGTGAAGACGGGTGGCACGATTGTGATTTGCGGCGGCCACAGTGGCTTTGAGCTGCCTACAGATTCGTTCCGCCTGATAGTTGACCAGCTCAGCATTCATGGAGTCTATGCCGGAACACTCGATGAGTTCCGAAGCCTGGTCTCGTTTGTGGCGGCGAAGAAGATTAAGCCTCGCATCGGAAAGGTTCTGCCGCTGTCTGAGGGCGTGCAGGCTATTACATCGGTCTCTGAGGGCCAGACTCAGGGCAAGGTGGTGTTGACAGTTGGGGATGTAGCTGTGTAGGATGGATTGTTGCCATAGGGCCAGCGGAAAGTCTGGATAGATGGAGGCATCTGGATAGCACAAGCCTGGAGGTCAAAATATATGCCAATAGACTGGAATATTGAATAGTAGCTCTTCTAGGTACGCTGCCTATTCAGAGCTATGTGATCGCCATATGAATTGTTATTGGGTACATGGATTTCCTTGGCCGTAATTACCGAGTTGCAGCCGTTGCGATATTGTCGGTTTGAAAGCTGGGAAAATTCATTCCAGGGTTAGGGTCAGGATATACTGCAGACTTTTGATGATATGAAACTCGCATTGAAGGCTTCTTTAACGGCCGGCAATCCATAACTGGGTCACTTTGCAGACAGAACCATGCTCAAAGGACGAAGTTGTCGTTTTGAACTTCTTCGATGGTAGCTATGCTGTAACGAGATCCATGGAATATTATGAACGTCACCCAACTTACCACTCAAGCCCTTCACATTGAACTACGGCTTCCTGACGCTACACCCGATATACAAATCACATTGCTCTGACGTGCTCTGTTCTGCTAAGTCTATCATTTCGCTGTCTCTTACGTTTCGCACCTTACGGCCAGCTAAGCTCAATGTTATCGCCCACCTGCTTGCTGTTGAACCACTCTACAATCTCAATTTTCTCTTGCACGGGTTCCGCACCATCCAGCACGCGGTTTCGAACCAGAGCCTCAGCAGCCCACCACACAATGGCAGACGCAAAGTTACGCGCAATGCATTGCCGCGGCCCTCTGCCAAAGTAGAAACTGTCCCGCAGCATCTCGGGCGTACACTCCAGCCAGCGCTCCGGCAGAAACTCGTAGGGCGTTGGAAATACCTCAGGGCTCAGATGCAGTGCATATGCTCCGATACCAACACTTGTGCCAGCCGGGATGGTAGGTAGACCGGGAACTTTGAGACCGCCGGATGGGACGATTCGGGCAAGACGGGTGGGATTTGCGAGTGCAAGACGCGCAGCCTCTTTGACTGCTCCTGAGAGATAGGGCAGCGATCGAGCATCAGTATCGGGATTCTGCACGATCTCTTCAAAAGCACGGTCATATCTAGGAAAGGGGAAGTCAGTTCAAGGAAGTCTCCCATGTGTATAGAGCCTACTAGGCAGTGAGAGCTCACTTGTCAGGAGCTTGAGCCATATGCCAGCAAAAGACGGCCAGGATCCGCGCAATCCCGTCTGTTCCCGCAAACATGATGTCGACTATTTGCGCGATAGTCTCTTCTCGCGATATGCCAGCCTTGAGCAGCCGGCCCTGGTATGTTGCCTTTTCACCCTGAGCTATGCTGTCGTCCACGACCTTGCCAGCGAATCTGTGAACGGTATCGACGCTTGTGGCAATTAACACACGATTCTTATCGAGTTTTGAAGCAAAATAGTCGACTGCACTGAAGAACCAACTTGGAAGATAGAAGAAGCGCCCGGCCGCAGCAAAACTGTCGACGAAGCCTGTTGCACTGAGCCTTTCGCTGCCGACGCTGTTGAAGCATTCCCCAACCAGGTACTTCGTCATGACGTCCATCGCCATGCAGCGAAACAAGTCCAACAGATCCACTGGTCTGCCCTCTGCGAGAGACTTTCTGCGTCCTAATTCAGACAGTGTCGCGTCGATGATTCCCTGCATGGCCGGCTTGCCGTTGTTAATCGCCTGCTGCGCAAACAGAGGCGCCACTGCCTTGGCCCGTACAGCTCTATGCGCATTGTCAGTGGCCGAAAAGATAGTCGGAAAGCCATCGATGTCAAAGTTTCTGTAGGCGGGATGCTTTGGAAAACCGCCATTGTCGATGTATATGGGAGGGACGGCCGCTCCGTCGCATATGTCGATTTCGTTGGGCGCAATGCGAATGACTGGTCCATATTTCTTGTGTAACGCTGCGAGGGCGCGACATTCGATGCCTGTCCAGACGATATACCAGTACCAGATTGGGGTGAGGCGAGCGATGAATGGGCCTGGTATGTGTCGAAGACGGTCGGTGGTCAGTCCGTGAAGGGCTTTGAGCAGCACAATCGAGAGGACAGAAAGTCCGATAGACAAGGGATTTAGAGACGCCAGGAGATGGGCAGCAGCTGTAGCATTGACCGCCATGATGGTTGTTAGTACTCAACGCTGCTGAGGCGGGCAGTTGTCGATGAAGCTTGAATGAACTGAATCGAGCCTCTTGTCGAGCGGCACGAATTGAGGGGTTCGCACTCCAGCGGCCATGCAGCTCGAATCCTGCGCACACTGGTATGTAGATTCCTCCATAAGGAACTCCGTGGCAGCAGCACATTTGCATTCCATCCCATAGTGGCCACAGACAAGTTTGAGTCAACCGCGTTGCCAGCCATGTATCATCTTCATCTTCAGGTTTGCCGTGTTTTTTTGAAGAGCGACGGCGACAAGAGCTATTGGAGGCTCCAACATACTGTACAGACTATTGTACAGACCCTTGGAGTGGTTCATCGACGGAGAGAGCAAGACTGGAGGGCAAGATGGCAAGCGACATCATCGTGAGGCCACCAACTTGCTCAATATATCCGCATCGCGCAACAAGTTGGTCCAGCTGCCGTGTTCGCTGACCCGGGAGCGTGGAATCGGCATGTCTCTCCTAAGCAATGTTGACTCGTCACAAAATCTTTCCGATCAAAATCCGCGTGGAAAACTATTTCTCCTCGATGCGACAATGACTTCTTGTTACATCGAATTCATTGCACACTGATATGGCAGTTCGAAAGTGGCCCCGGAGCCTTCGGTGCCGGCAGCGGAGCGATGCTTATTTATTGCACGGCAGTGCAACGAGATCTCATTTGGCAGTCTCAGATCCTTGCATCATTGTGCATGCGATCCTTGGCCCTTTCGCACCCCTGCTGCGCCGAGTCCATGGAGTTTTGAAGATTCCTCGGCATTCCGGAGGACCCCCGACGGCCGCTCCGTTGATTCCCCACCCTGTCCGGCCTCATTACAGTCCGTCTGCAAACTAACCCCAGGGCTGTTGCACATCCCAACCCTGACTCGATTCTTCAAAGCATGAATCAAGATATAACCCCTTTTGACATCTTTCGCACAGCCCGAGACCAAGGTCTTGCCCCTCTCAGGCCCTCGAGATGAAGCGATTACTCATCCCGTGGTATAATCACCATTCAACAGACAGAAAGAAAGCATCATTCTGATATATAAACTGGGGCAGACACCATCGTCCAGCGAATCAGCGTCTGATCCTCGGCTGACGTTGGATTCAAGTCCGAGGTTTAATATCCCGAGGGATCCCCATGCAATCGAAAGCCTTCCTCGTCTCTATTTCCCATCAGGTCAAAGATCAAAGAATCCTTTGAGAGGCTAAGCCCTGCGAAAACGAGACATCGGAAAGGCTACCTATCGAGACGACTGGGAAAAGAAACATGTCGACTCGTCGCTATCGGTCTGCCATCGCCTGCCAGACATGTCGGGTGCGCAAGGTGCGATGCAGCGTGTCCATGACGGGCGTGCCGTGTATTAGTTGCGAGCAGGACCAGACGGAATGCATCTTGAAGCCGAGACAGGGCAAACGGTAAGACCAGCGGCTCTCTCTCTCACTTCTCTCTCGGGACTCCGTAGAGCATATGATAGAAACCTTGGCATTTGTCTAATAGTAGCCGAATCGCTAACTGCAAGCCACAACGTCCCACAGCTCTCGGCACAGCAGCAGCAACAACACTACCGTCTTTCCGGCTCCGCGTAATTACGTTGAGAGCTCGGCAATGCGAGACACGGCTAGGCAGAGTAGAGGCCCCAATCTCAATCCCCATCCCTCATCGCCAGAGTCTAGTCCCGGGGGTGACGTCGTTGCACCACCACTCAGGGGCTCGCAGGCGCCGCTGGACACACCGGATACTAGAGCTTCAGCTGCGTCTAGTGACCCAAGCGCCGCCGACGAGGAGCAGCTCGGTGTGGACATGGTGGAGGCGGCGTTGGGGCATCCGCGAAGAGAAGGCCAAGTCCCGTACTACATTGGTTCGTATACCCCGGATAAAGATCATCCTGCTCTCCTGTACTATGCTTTCATAGCTAACTTGATCTCTACAGGCGAGCAAACAGGGGGACCAACCTCGACTATGCATATCTGCACAACTGACCACGCCATACCAAAGCATCTCCTCATGCCGGCAGCAAAGCAGACCATCCTCACCGAAGATGAAAAGGCCTTTCTCCGCAGCAAGGGCGTCTATTCGTTCCTGTCGGAAGCATCTTCCGACAGCTTGATCCGGGCGTATTTCCACCATGTCCACCCCATTATGCCCATATTGGAAGCTGACAAGCTGCTGGAGTATCATCGCTCAAAGCGGCTCCATGAGTATAATCTCATACTGCTATGGGGCCTTTTTACGATAGCAAGTAACGTGGGTGTAACAATTGTTTCCTGATTACATATTGTTGTATCCACTGACTGACTACGATTGCAGTACATGCCCGTAGAGGTATATGAAAATGAAGGCTTTGCCTCCCGAAAGGCCTTCCGAGCCGAGATGTTCTCTCGTGCAGTTGTAAGTCTACATATCACAAGTTCCTTTCTTCCATAGTGCTGACTATGGACATAGTGTGCATATCACAACGTTGGTGAAAAGAATAACCTGGTTCTCCTCCAAGGAGCTCTGCTTCTCGGCTTCTGGAATTCAGACATCGAGGACCACATGCAGCCATGGCAGTGGAGCGGAAAGGCCATCAACCTATGTCAGATCCTTGGCCTTCACCGCGACATCGACTCCGTCGGATACAACGCATCCATCACCGAGCGGCAGCGCTCGCTATTCCGCCGACTCTGGTGGACGTGCTTCTGGCGGGACCGCTGGCTGTCCGTTTCCCTGGGGAGGCCGTTGCGGATCAACCTCGACGAGTCTGACACGTCCGATCCTCTGGTCTCGGATCTTGCCATCGATCTCGAGGGAATTCCGGAGTCTGTCACCTCAGCCTACTTGCCGAGGGATCTGCCCCGGCTGGCTGAATACTGGACGCAGCTTATACGAATGACCAAGTTGCTGGGCAAGACTCTCACCACGTGCTATCAACTTCGACGGCCTAAGCCAACGATCGCCCAGATTGACGCTCTCGAGGCAGAACTGATGCGCTTGAATATGCCAGATCATCCGGACCCCATGCTCTCCAGACTAGCGACCTTTTACTATTACCATCTGCAGCTGCATTATCAGTCAGTTATTCTCCTTCCTCCACCTCGCCATATGATATCTCCTAACCCCGTCGATACAGAGCCTTGCTGGTCACATTTTATCGACCGTGTAGCGTGGAGTCTCCTTCGGATCTTCCCACCTACCGCCAGAGGGAATGGCAGCAAGAGATGCAGGGAAAGGCCATGTCCGCCGCCTCCAAGACGTGCAACATTGTCTATGCTCTGGCCCAGGGCAACTTCTTTTCCTATGCTGGGCCAATGACGTGCGTTATCCTGTCCCCTTTGAAGCTCTTCCCACTGCCATTCGAGTTGCATAGAACGGAACACTAATGTCATATATCAGACCAACGCTTCTCGTCCCTGCCATGCAAGTCTATCTCCTCAACTGCAAATTCGGCGACGCCCTCTCCCGCCGCCTCGGCCTAAACATGCTCAACATGTGCATGATGATCCTCGAAGAGCTCCAAAAGACATACTCGGTCGCCTCCGTGTGCCGAGGCATCTTCGGCAAGGCCATCCAGCAGCTCTTCCCCGACGACGCCGCCAGCATCTCGCTCACGCATTCCCTTCCCGAGCCAGGAGGCAGCAGTACCTTATCCCCGTCGTCCTCCTCCTCCGCCTTGCCTGTGGCTGCTGAGCAGCTTCCGCCCATGACGACGGTTGCAACGGATCCGACGCTGCAGCTGGAGCTGTTTAGTGTGAATGCGACCAAGGCGGATTTCATTGATGCGCTTACGGCGGAGGCGTCGATTTTCAGTTTTGTTGATATGTTGAATTTTGCGTGATGCGTGTATATAACTTACCTAGCATTGCTTTTCTTGTTTTTATACCACGAAGTAATCAGGTTGGAGTTGGAATTGGTAATGCTGGATAATGATGAGTGTCATCCGATATGGAAATGTATAGCACTTTACGACGGTTGGAACGGACTTCCTGGTCTATTTCACCTGTATCTTATTGAAAACTACCTTCTCCGAACAAGAACTAGGCCTAAGGTAGGCCAACAACGGCAAGGATATACTGGACATGATCTGAAGCAGCAGTGGATTTTATTCGAGAGGTCCTTTCAAATCGTTGCTATGGAACCGAATCAGTACCATGTGACCGTGTCTGTCATGCAGACAGGACATAACCATGAGCGCGTCTGGTGTCCTTGACAATTTCTGATACCCTAGCAAGCCGACTTTTCCGCCTCGATAATAACGAAGTCCGTCAATATTGTCACTGATTTAATCAAGAAGCATAGTATCATCACATATCTCACTTCATTCAACCAAAGAGCATTACGCTGGCGAGAAAGTGCGCGTGTTAGGCGAGCACTCAAGATATATATATTAACTCGCGATAAGCAGCCTTTTTCGTTTAGCCTCGTAGTTGTGCCAAAACCCAAGCCCGTTATACCAAAATCTTGCCAGAATCATGCATGCCCTTTCTTCAACTGTCCGTCCCCGGGCTGGAAACCTCAGCAGACTGAACGCCCCAGCTGTCCATCTTGGCCAGATTCCGGCGACTCGAGTCTCGGCTGAGAATGCCCGGGAAAATCATCGGATCGGCCCCCGAAATGTGAGCGTCTGCGGCGACGTTGGAAGTGCTGCGGTGAGTTCCCTCGGAGATGGGCGTCGCAACACCAGAGGGAGCTTCCGTGCCGCTCGCAGAAGGGATGTTGGCGCTTTGTGCCTTCAGGGCCAAATCGGCTTTGGTGCTCTTCTTTTCGGCGTTGGGGTCGTACGTTGCGTATCGGCCAAGTCTGAACACCACGTCAGTAAACCTCTCCATGAAAAAACGTTGAACCAGGTTCACTTACACCTCTCGCTCCGTCAACAGGGTGTGGTATCTGTACTCCTCTCTCCGGTCAGGAACATTCGTCTTGGCCATAGTGTTTCCCTCTCTGCCCGGCCTGTTAAAGTTGGGTCCCAGCCACTGCTCCTTCACGGCCGCCTCGTAACCGCTCTGCTTGACCGAGTTCTTGGCCAGCTCGCACATGTCTGTCGGGCTGAGCTTGTAGATCTGGGCAGCGACCGCGTATTCCTCCATCAGCGGCTCCTTTGTAAACGCGAATTGCAGCGGGTCGTCGGTCGAAAGCGACACGTTGAGACCCCTTCTGAAGTATTGAGGGAACGGGTTGCGGTCGTATGACAGGAACAGGGCGTTGTTGCTCAGGGGCGACATGGCCACTCCAATCTGTTCCAGGTAAAACACATACTGCAACAGTGGGACCTTTCGGAGCAGCACTCCGTGGCTGATGCTGTGGCAGCAGAGCGCGGCGCTGGCCAAATGCTCGGGGTCTCCGGCTTCAGCGCAGTGCGGCCGCAGGATCAGGGTGTTGAAGCCACGCTGCTTGCGCCACTGGTTGAGAGACACCATGTTGGAGAAGAGGTAGTAGATCCAGTAGTTATACGGCGGGTTCTGCTTCGTGTTCCACTCCTTCGGAACGGGGAACTTCCTGTACAGGCGCCTCTCAATCTTGCTCTCGTCGTCCACGCTGTCAAGGCCGACGACGCGCTGCAAAAAGATGTGCAGCTTCGGGTGGCTCGAGGGGTCCTGCGTGACCTCGAACAGGGGCTTGAATATGTTGGTGACGACCTGCTCGAACGACTCCATCAGGCCGTTGTCCTTATAGACATCGTACAGCCGGGGAATCTGGATCAGCCAGCGGACGTTTTGGGAGAAGAGCTTGTTGTCGACGACCCAGGCTGCGAGCTTGTCCCAGTCGTCTGGCGATTTGCCGTAGATGGAAAGCCGCCACTCGGCCATCTGGTACTTGCTGGCTTCAAGATCGGAAATGACCTCTTTGGTGAGCTCGGCCAGATAGCGGCCCTTGATGAGGTTATCCGTCTTAAGGAAGATTTCTCGGAGTCGAGACTCTCCAATGGGGTTATACTTCAGATTGAACTTGTCGAATCTGTGAAATGAGTCTACGTGTGCCTGTTTTCGAGTCAGTTCAGAACACCCACCCAGTGCTTCGGTTAACTCACGTGCATATCCAGCGTATCGATGCTCAGGTCATACGCCGTCAGGTTGATACTGGCAAACACCTCCGCAAGCGTCAAGTGCTTCCCGTCACGGTACAGGACAATCTCGTCCGGGTTCTTCTTCAGCTTGCTCTTGATGAAGCGCAGCAGGTGCTTCTGGTTCATGGAAGCCGAGTGGTGCACGTGGGTGTCGACCTTTCGGACGTTGTAAAAGTCTCGGTGCGGCACCTTCTTGCTGTCGGCCGTCTCCTGGTACTCGTTGAGCAGGGCGTACAGGTTGAATTTGCCTTCAAGGTACTGCAGGCGGCGGAAGGCGAAGCTCTTGCTCGGGCCGTCGGACGAGGCTGCCAGGATGCTGTCGAGGTCCATGTAGAACTGCCTGATGGTCGGGACCTCGAAGACGGGCGTGGTGGACTCGGCATTCTTGAAGACTTCGTAGACGCCGGCATCCGTCAGCTTGAACGTCAGGCTGTCGTCCCTGGGAGGCAGCGGCATGAAGTGCTCCATGTCAAAGACGTCTCCCGGCTTGTCTCCAGGGGGATAAATCTCCCAGTCCGGGCTGTCTCTGGGGTCGTCTCCGGGGCGCTGCAGCGAGAGGGCTAGGTATTTGCGTCTCAGGGCGATGATGTCCTGGATGCTCTTGGAGATGGAGCTCAGCTCTGCCGTGACCTGCGGCTGGGGATCGAGGAAGTTGATGTTGGAGACTCCCCTGGATGCCTCCGCTGCGAGCCGAGCAGTGTCGTACCCCGGGTTGGGAGCCTTGCCAACTGAAGCCTTGCCCACCGAGGCTGAATCGTCCTCGTCATACTCGAGGCTGGCGACTGGGTCGTTGTAGGAGTTTGCCTGCGACGGGTCCAACACGGTCGAGCCCTCCAGCTGGCTCCGCTGGTAGAACAGCTTCGCATCCGTCTGCGTCATCTGCCGCTCAACGACAGAGTCGTAGAAGGTGGTGCGATGCGGAATGTCTCGAGGCAGCACATCATCCTGGTTTTCCTCCTCGGGCAGCAGCGGCGGCGGAACATGAACCTCAAGCTCCCGGTCACTGTCCTCTGCGATGTGGGAGCTCATCTTGGCCCAACAAAATCACAATCACCGCAGTCTTTTAGTTTACGACTGAAGATTGGTGATGGGAGGACGAGATTTATCTTGGCTTCTTTTTTTCTGTAGGTTGTTGCGTCAATTAGAGTTTATTTGGGCAAACATAATATGTACGACTATGGAATGCACAGCAATCGCGATCGGGTAATCTGGCGGCGTTTCTGGGGCACATTTTCGGGCTGATAGCAGCCAAGATGCTGCAGGCCTTGAAGGACGACAAAAGAGCAAGTAAAATGACAGGAAAATGACGAGAAAAGACCGAGAAAAGGACGAGTAAGCTCAACGTACCGAGCAGATGACGATCAGGGTATATATTATTTGTAAAAGAATCAAGAGCATCCAGATATTGTGAATCCTGATGCTGCAGCACAACGGCAATAGCAGTAGTGGTAGATGTGAGCCGCCAGTTTGCGAAACCTTTGTAAGAGTGAATCTTTTGAACAAAAGAGGCTTCTTGAGGCTATATATATATCCATCATAACAAATCGATGACTACGCCGGAATGAGTCAAATCACCGGCGAATGACACACATAAACGCTGCTCCAGTTCCACTCCGGCCGGGTGCCACCGCGAAATACGGAGGGTGCCTATAAGCGGGGATATGCACCAACGGAGGTGATCCCCTTCAACCTCAAGATACCTTAACTGTAACTCCATCTCCATGCATCGCCGTCTGGAAGTAATCTTTCTCTTCATCTCGTCCCATTCCACAGAATCCAATACACCACCTCACAGCTTGGACGAAAGGATACCTCTTTATACGGCATTAGCAGCTGTACCTAGTATAATGCGTCGAAATGCGGCCCAATTGTCCCATACCATTCTCCCACTCGTTGCTTTTCTAAGTGCCGTGATATGATACATGCTTTCAGGGAGTGGTTGCACCTACTCCAAGTAGCCATTCGCCTTGACCCAGTCCGCCACATCCTGCCCATCACGTTCCACCCAGGAAATCTTAGATCGGATAGAGTCCTTGCTCTGCGCGAGCGACTGGTCGTAACCGTTGGTGTTCTTATCGCTGAAGAACTTCTCGACGCGGGCCAGCTGCTCCGGCTTGGTAAAGCCAGACGTCAGCAGCGACACCATGGCGGGGAGCATCGGCAGGTTGGGTGGGTGTCGCTTGTAGAGCTCCTCCCAGTTCTCCGTCATCCAGTTGAACAACGCCTCGATACCCTCGGGGTGGGTGCGCAGCCCAGAAGCGGGCATGTAAATGTCCTGGTCTCGGACCTCGCCGTTCAGGAGCAGAGAGAGAGTCCTCTGGATGAGCTCGGGGTCCTTGGCGCGGCCAAGGGATCGGAGGCAGGTGTTGCGCTCGTCGCTGTTGGTCGACTCATGGTACAGTTTGATGATGCTCTCGTACTAAAGCGCGATGTGTTAGTATAAGTCTATCAAGTTTCTCTAGGATGCTCAGAGCGTCAAAACAAACAAGCTTACCTCTTCTTTGCCGCCATACTTGAGGGCAATAGCAAACACGCTCTTACGGATGTTGGGGTGAATAGCCGACTTATCGCCGGCGATAAACTTGGTGAACATTTCCTTTGAGGCAGAAATGATGGTCTCGTCGCCGCTCAGGCCGGCGCTACCGAAGAGAGTAGCCTTGAACTGCTGCTCAACGTGGCCATCCGAGTCGGAAAACTCCCATCCAAGCTGATGGGCCTTGGCGCTGACGAGCTCCCTCAAGAATGCTCGAATGCCGTTTCGCACGGCCTGGTCCTCGAATAGCCAGGCAGCCTGAATCGAGCCAAGTCGGGAGATGATCTCGTTCCAGACGACAAACTCCGTCTCGGCATCGAATCCCTTCAGGAGGTTGAGGAAGCCAGAAGTCTTTCCGTAGCCGGAGCTGGAGAGCGCAGCAGCATCGGCAATCATGCCGGCCCTGTCCTCTGTCGTCAAAAGACCCTCCTTTGCGGCCTGGCCCAGCTTCTCCAGGCGGCTGGGGGTGTAGAGGGTTCGGTAGATTCCAGTGTGGTTTGCGTTGAGCTTGAAGAAGTCGAGGCTAGGCACCGGGAAGTCCTTCTCTCGTTCCTTCAGGGCCAACGTCTCATCGACGCCGTCTTTGGTCCTCAGGCCCAAGAAGACGGGGTACAGGACCTTGTCTTCCTCAGGCGTCGCGTCGCCGGTGCGGAGGAAGCGGTTCTGCTTGACGTGGATAGCATTTTCGCCCTCCTTCTCGGTAACAGTGAGGACAGGGTACCCGACGCTCTTAGTCCAGGCGGTCATGACCTCGTGGACAGGCTTCCCGCTAACCTCGGCCAGCGAGTCCCAAAGGTCGCTGGTCTGGGTGTTGCCGTAGGCATACTTCTTCAAGTATTTGCGAACACCCTCCAGGAACTTCTCCTCGCCCAAGTATGTGGAGATCATGCGGAGCACACAAGATCCCTTGGAGTAAGAAATGGCATCGAAGATTTGGTTAATCTCGTCAGCACGGCCGACTGGAACCTCAATCGGGTGGCTGCTTCGGAGAGAGTCCAGCGACAGCGCCGACTGCAAGTCATCAGTGACGTATGTCTGCCAGACGCGCCATTCGGGGTAGAAGATGTTGCAAGAGTACCACGAGGCCCAGGTGGCGAATCCCTCGTTGAGCCAGAGACCCTCCCACCAGTCCATCGTCACCAGGTTTCCGAACCACTGGTGGGCCAGCTCGTGCTGGACAACCTCGGCCACGCGCTGCTTGGTTGCGGCACCGCTCGCCTTTTCATCCAGCATCAGGTCGACAACTCTGTACGTGACAAGACCCCAGTTCTCCATGGCTCCCTGAGCAAAGTCAGGGATGGCGACTTGATCCATCTTGGGCAGGGGGAAGTCGATGCCAAAAGCTTTTTCGTAGAATGCGAGAGTCTTGGCAGCAAGGTCGACGGAGAAGCGGCCGTGATCGATATCGTGGCCCGGGGGAGCATAGACTCGCACGGGGACTCGGAAGTCTCGCGACTCGATGTAGTTAAGCTCGCCGACAACGAAGGCGACGAGGTAGGTGGACATGAGAGGAGAGGGGTTGAAGTGGACGGCCTTTCTGGTTCCGCCGGTGATCTTGGACTGGACCTCGGTCTCGGAGGCAACGTCCATGTTGCTCAGGCACGTCAGGTGCTTGTCGGCAATGAGCGTGACGGTGAACTTGGCCTTGAGAGCCGGCTCGTCAAAGCAGGGGAACGCTCTGCGGGCGTCGGTGGGCTCCATCTGGGTGCTCGCCAGGATGCCCTCGGTGCCGTCCGGTCGCTTGTACTTGGAGCGGTAGAAGCCGGCCATCTTGTCGTTGAGTTGGCCGGTGAAGTCGATTGACAGCTGCACCTTGGTGTCCTTTGCGAGGGTGTGGGAGCCAGCGAACTCGAACTTGGTCACTTGGCTGTCTTCATCGTAGGAAATGGCAGGCGTGGCACTGTTGAAGAGGAGCTGTTAGCACATCTGACTCGACAAAACAAGCCGTTCAGCAAAAGGACTGTGTCTTCGTGTCTCACCTAACAACCTGACCATCAGATGACAGCTTTGCGCCGTGGATCTCGAGCTCGAGGGTGTTGAGAGAGATGGAGCTCGACGTCTCGGCAACATCGAGGTCAATGACGACAGAGCCGTTGTAAGTAAGCTTGTCAAAGTCGGGCTCGACGGTAACGTGGTAATGGCGAGGCACGACGTTGGCGGGGAGCAGCTCGCGCTTCGGGGCCGAGGACGAGCCGCCCTCAAGACCAGCCCTGGCTCGACACATGGCGGAGCAGAAGCGCGCAGACGGTCGGTTTCGAGAAGGGCGAGGAGGAGCTGCGGGAGCAGGGCGTCGCGCGAGACGGAGGCGAGGGAGCGAAGGAGTTGGTGATGTAGAAGAGAGGTATAGAGGAGAGGAGAGAGAAGATGAAGAAGGTGAGAAAGTAGCAAGAGAATCAGAGAGAGTAGAAAAGTGCCTTGATCGAAGCAAAGGCGGTGACGATGTGTAAGAACTTGAAGTCAACGACGACAGAGCTGAAGCTGGAGCAGGAGCAGAGACACGACAGCTCCCCGACAGCCTGGCCTTGAGCCCCTCCAGTGTCAATGGCGGGGTCCCGGCGAGTACCTGTACTTTCCGCTGGTGGGGGGACAGCCTGGCCGCCCGGAGAGGCTGCAGCCACCCCATTGGCGATGTGAAGGTAGGTAGGTAACCTGTACTGATGTGATGCAGAGACAGTGGCAGAGACAGGGCTTTTGAAGCTGGTGATATCAGGCTTGGAGTTTCTTATTGACTGGCCTGTTAGGCCGGGCTTTCAATACGCTGCGGCGTCACGCTCTTGCATGCGCACGGCTATGCATGCGAACAGCAGCTCGCGCATCTCTTCACGCATTGCGCCGAAATTTTGCATTCTTCGGCGCGTCGCTGCCGAGGTTTAACCACCAGGGACTTGATGGGCTGATGCTTGATGCCTCATTCCGTACTGTATGGAGCCGCGTGTTCAAACGCGAAGAGAGAAACTCGTAACCTGGAGACAGCTTTACAGCCTCTTCTTCATCTGCCAAACAGCATTACGGAATGAGGAACGGTAAGATGGGAGGTGATTAGACACGCTCGGATGCTTTTTACCGTTTTACACGATCGATATGAGATGGATGGAGAATCAATGACAATTATGTAAAAATCGGCAGTATCGTGTATTCATGTGCATCAAGCCAAGTCATCCAGAATATTAAGGTGGTGTAAGAAAGGCATTGTCCAGACCAAGCCAAACCCATTGTTACAAAAGAAACTCATACATCCAAAACCCCGGCCTGGGCACTAATGTCATCGTTGAAATAAAGTTCAGTATGTGGCCGAAATGTGCACCCATATCGACAAAGCCGGTTCAGCGCTAACAATTGCCAAAGACCGTAGCTGGTGTAGGTGTATAATGTCCTCGCGTTTATACGTCAGAATGCCCGGTATCGTCTGGAGGCATAGTGGAAGGCGATGTATCCTGAAGGCATCCGGTATCATCTTTGCTATCGACATCCGTACCAGGCACAGCTTCCTCAGCAGCTGGTGTGCCTGGATGAACCTCTGCAGCACCATGGCTCTCGGGAGAAGTGTAAGATTCGGGAGAGGCAAGAAAAGCAGAAGTGTCAAAAATGGAAGAAGCCGTACACGACGCCGGAGTATCATACACCGTTGTAGGGTTATTGTAGCCGTCGAGCGATGTATAACTTCCCGGAGAAGTATGCGATGTGGAAGGGGCATATCCGGTAGAGAAAGGATAGAGCGCGGAACCCTCGTACGCTGAGGACTCGTAGAAGGATTCGGGGCTGGTGTACGGTCCAGCATCGGTGTAGTCGGTGAGCGAAAGGGAGGGTGTGGAAGCGCTGTAAGTTGCAGAAGTATCAGGTAGAAGTAGAGGAGAATGCGAAGAAGTTGGCCCAGCATTGATCAAAGATGGTACCACAATATGCTCAGCAGCTGGTATCGTGTTGTATGCTGAGAGAAGCGCAGGCTCGACATAAACCGGCGTAGCTGCAATAGTACCCGGGAATGCGTCGGCGGTATAATCCGCGATGAAATCTGTAATCTGGAAAGAAGATGGAGAGGCAGTAGAGCCTGAAAATTCAGTGAATACATGGTGACCGAGTGGAGGATCGACGTAAAGTGGCGTATTCCCAATATAAGATGAGGATGCAGTATAGTCCCAGGAGGCGGCTGCGGCATGAACTGGAGGTGCAAAAGAAGCTTCGTCTGACAATATAAGCGGCGTGTGCTCGGGAAACATTGATTCGACATAAACAGGTGTAGTAGCAAGCAGATTCAAGGGCGTGGTCGCAACGTAACTCGGAGATGTAACTGTAGCTACCTGCAAAGACGCAGGCGATATGTACTCCAGAGGAGCGGCATCGGAGTTGTAAGAAAACGTCGGTTCGGTATAATCTGCTGCCACGTTTGCTGTACCCGAAGATTCTATAGATGAATCATCTTGGGCTGCGGCCATCTGGTACTGAGAGCATGCAGCTGGCTCAATGCATTCCGTACAATAGCAGGGTGCGGTTGCGCCATGATGAGGGCCAGATGCAACAAGCCCAGCATCATTGGGCGCACGCTGTGATCCAGCCACAGCAACACTCTCGATCGGGGCCTCGATGGCCAGTTGATCCCATAACTCAGGAGCCACAGGATCTTCAGGATTAATATTCGGAACACTCATCAGCGCACTGCGATCATAGACTTGCATTGGCGCTGGCAGAACCTCCTGCACGTCGTCACCGTCGCTCCTATCGGCCGCCTCCAGAGAGGCCAGGTAGTCGGGAGGCGTACGGCGAAACATGCTTCTGACGAGTTTCTGAACAATCCTGAATCCCACTTTGGCCGATTCCGACAAGAATAAGAGCTTCCTCTGAAGCACCAGGGCAGTCTTGGCAGCACGGTAGATATCGTCTTTTCGAGGAACTGTCCCGGCCTCGTCGTTGATCACCACGTTGCTGAGCACCGTTGCCGTATCGACTAGAGAAAATATGATGAAATGGAAACGCCCATCGCGAAAGGTGAGGAACTTGAGCCAGTTGTCCAACACTTTCACCAGGAGCAGTGTCAAGTCAATAACTATCCGGCGAAGCTCCAACATTTCTTCCGAAGATTCGTCCGTGTATGTCTCCCTCATATGTGATCGGAACGGGTTCAGGAGCATCATGTATCCCATCGTGTAGTTGTAGTGGCGATGATACTCGATCCAGGCCTGTTTCTTGTCATTGGACGTATCTGGGTTCTCCAATGCAAAGATGGGGGGGAACCTTAGCATCCAGTCGTCAATCATGCCCTTGTACTCCATGAGCTGCTCGTGAGTTTTCACGTTCAATGGGGCAGAGAATCGCTCGGCCAGTTGATGGACCAGCTCCGTCTGCATGGTCATGTGCAACAAAGGGGAAAACTGCCCGTCTGGTTCGAGGGTCAATGAAGGGCGGCCGGCGCGGCACTTGCTGTGATCAATCAAGGTCTTTCGAAACAGTCCTGAGGCTATTTGCCTACGAAGCATCAGTGGGAATGTCTCGCACCGCGTTGACTCATGCCACCAGCAAAGAGAGAAAGGAGAGAGGGGGGAGGAAAGATGGAGGATGGGGTCGGAATTTCAGTGAGGCTTGAGGCGAAACTCACCAGTCCCACGAATCTATCACACACCAAGCTCTCCGCCGCATCTCCAGCTCAAAATTCGGCAGAACATCAGCATCTTTTTCTGTGTCAAATCCTGAAAGGAGGTTAGCCGGCCATTCGCATACGAGCCACTCCGGTGATAGTGCGACGTACCGAGCTCCTGGGCTTCCCGAACAGCCGTGTTGAACATATGGCAGCATTCTGTAAACATGGCTTCGGCTTTGTACCAGTAAACCGAGTGCAAGAGCCACAAAACATTGTTCCTGTGGTAGCGTCCGACAGGCGCCACGCCGTGGAGGCATCGTGCGTGATAATGGTAAGTCTCAGTGCGGTCCTGGCAGCTGGCGTTGAGCAGCCCCTCAAGCCTCGCCTGGATGTCGACCGGTAGATGCTGGCACGCACATGCGCACATCATCAGTAGAAGGCATGTCAAGGGAATGGGCAGCGCATGGTTCCTCTCCCTCCGTTTCCACCAACGGTCGTATTCGCGGCTAAAGTCGGTTTTGTGGATGATACCATAATGAGGATTGACGTTTCGGAAAAAGCTGATAACAAGAGCATCTATCGAGGGCAGCAGCAACACCCAGTTAGCTTGAGCAGCATGGACTCGAACCGAGAGACAGCGTCATTTACATACCCACGTGTTCCCGCCTCGGCAGAGCGTCCAAGGCACTCTGCAGTTCTGGACAGGTTGCAGGCGACCTAATGTACTGTTTTCCCTGTGGACGATGCCTGCGATTCGTCTATGCGAAAGGCTACACGTAAGCATGTCTTTTTCTTCCCACCAGTTGGTGATGAGCCAAAGGGGAGAGTGTGTTACCATTGTTGATTGCGTACTAGACTGGCCGGTTGCGTGGCCATCTGAACCATCTGGGCTCACACCGGCGCTGTCCTGCCTGCAAGATCCCTTCCCGCTGTCCTCGTCAAGATCAGACTCGGAATCATAGTCAGAGTCGGAATCGTCGCTGCTGTCGTAGCGTCTCTTCGAGCCAGCTCCCTGGCCTTTTGCTGTGACTTTGGCGGCTGCCTCAGTTGCCGTTGCACCTTTCACTTGGCCCCGTTCACTCGCTTTGGTTGCCGATTTCTCTATAAACCGACATTCGCGTTGCGTTGAGCGATTCTTGCAGTGCAAGCAGGGATAAATGCGATTACACTTGGTCGCAAGGGCACAGGTGAGCACTTCTGGAACACCGAGAGGTTCAGATCTGGATAATGGGTTGACTACTTACCTTCTGCTTCCGCCGTTGACACTCGGTGCACGAGGATTTGAAGCGTTGGACGGGCTGCTGCATGTTATCCATGGCTCCTCCTCTTGAACTGTGTGACCTTGCCGTTGCCTCTTATCTGCAAGGCGATAATAGAGAGGAGAGCAAGAAAAGAAAAGGACGATTATAGCGAGCTTAAGAACGCAAAGCCCGTATCAGAACCATTCACTGAGGTCGAGCAATGATGCAAGGATAAGGTAGGGGAGCCAAGAGGAGGGCGATGAAGAGACAGCGGAAAACAACGAAAAAAGAAGTGACACACAAATCAGCCCCAGCCGCCAAGACGACGATCAAACGGTGCAGATGGCCGGACAGGGGCCAGAAGCTGTGGAAGCGCCAAGAGGGAGAGACGCGACATCTGGATTGGCCTCGGGATGCAATTTCTGGAGCTGCTCGAGATTCGGATCTCGAAATAACGGTATAACGGTCTGGAGTGGGGCTGAAACGCAGCTGGGAAGGAAGCCGCGAGGGGGCCGCCCGGTGGAGCTGATGCAGCACGAAAAAGGAAGCGGACACTCACGTGATCAGTTAGCGGCGATTTCTCATCTCGAAAAAGCATTTTGACTGGATGATGTGGCCCAAGATTGGCTTAGTGGCCGTTGGCTGCCCCGAGCTGTGGGGTCCAGATGCACAGATACTCAGATGCGTTTTAGCGTGTGTGCGGAACCAAGGACGCGTACTGTGTAAGGTACGGGATCCAGGAACCTGGGAATACCTGAGGGACACTGGCATCTGACACACACGGCAGTAGTAGACAGAGCATGACCCGAGATGTACCCCAGATACCTAATCTGATCTGGAAATTGAATCTTGAACGTTAATTTGAATGGTGTCGTACGTGGCGGAGGTCATCTCAAGGTGTGCGGCAGTTGCCAGAGACCCTCAACCAGGTCTCGCCTCTGCTTGGTCCTAATGTGATGGAGAGAGAACAAAGCATCTCCGGTGACGTCCGTCGTTATCGAGGCGTCCGAGGCATCCAAGACGGCATCTCTTGGCATGCGGGAGGGTAACGGAAGACAGGCAGAAGAACAGTCTCAAGATACCCCTTGCCTATACATACTTTGCGAAGAAACACACAGTAGACGACATGCCTTCCCCCCTGTTCTCAGCCGCAGCCACACCGGCACTATCGGGCACCATGTTTGCTTGCCAACTTGCATTGTCTTTCCAACGGTTCCGGCTCCCAGGCATCCATGCTAGAACAAGTCGCTCAATCTCACACGCCGCGGGATGGCTCAACGGTCAGCACCAGACCTTAGGTAGATTGGCAGCAGAGTGACGTTGAGCGCATCCTGGAACTCGGCTTGCCATAGTGCGTTAGTCCCTTGTTCCGTGTGCCACCAAGACGAGGGCTAGGAGACTATCGCGTTGCTTTGATCTATGCGAACCGTTATATTTGATGGCTGTTCAATTTCCGTTAATTAATTCAGTGAAGCGGGTGTTACAGCATCCAGGTGATAGCCGCCCTTAATATGCGGCCCTGTAGCTCTGACAGCTCGGTAGTTGTGGCTGTCACCCGTGCAGTCGGTGTAAAGCAACCCAGCGAACTTGAACACAGCATCACGAGGCCATCACAGTTGACCGTTCTTTTCCTTTGGGTGTTTTGCTTTTATTCAGCCTCACTGTGGTCTGGATATCCCTGTCTGAGCTGTAATAGCCCCGTTGCAGGGTTTCACATCGTAACCGGGCAGTTTTCGACTTACATGTACCGCACCTGTATGCACCATGCAGGAAAAAGCAAAGAAGGCTGAAAGGCTCACACATCTCCTGATTCGCTCCCTCCGGCCCATCAAAGTGTTGTCTCATTGCTCGAAACCCCCTTCTATTTGTCCAATTGTTGGTGATCTCTGAGAGCTCCAACGGTTTCCATCTGGTGTGGCCTACTCCCATTGGCAAGCCACTGCGCTTTGCCTGCATATTCTCATCTCGCGTCCACGTACCGTTCAGGTATCAGCCTGAACCAACACAAACTTCACTCGCACTCACCGTCTTTCCGGAAACAGCCACCCTGAGTCTATCACTGAGTCTGGCTCCATCATGGCCTCCATTTCCGGGGCCAGAAGCGCACCCTGGCCCTGTTCGACGTTGCAACGTTCCGCCGCTGTCCCACCGTGACCACTATCCGGATTCTGTACGCGCTGCAGAAGGGGAAGTCGATGGACCAACAGCGCCAGCAGCAGAGGGGGGTAACTGGATGAGCTTGCGAGTGAGGTGATGGCGCTCATGATTTACGCCGGGCAGACGGAGGAGTTCTTCAAGCAGGCGGCGGGAGCAGAGGACTTCGTGACTCCGCAGATGGCGTTTAACGCCCTGGCCGACGTCCTGCAGTCTCTCGGTGATATTAAGAACGACAAGAGGTGGAGCCGGGTGCAGCCGCCGGAGACTTTTGGCCGGAGAAGCGTAAAGCAGCATGAAGCAACTGAGACGCCACACCGGATGATCAATGACCTCGAGGTAATCCTGATTATTGACCTGGGCAACATCCAGACTCCTTCGGGCCAGTATAGAGACCAAGATTGGAAGAGTATGCGATCGGAGGCTACACCAGAGCGGCCATCTGCTTCTATCTCCACCAGTGAGGGCTTCTATGCCACTCTGGGGGGTGTCCAGAGCTGAACAGCTCGACTGGATTCAAAATATGATGGCTCCTATGTAGACCATGTCCCGAGCAGCAGTTGCCAAGCCGATGGCTGCGTTTCTCGTGGGGATGCTGGTCGTATCGGACTGCATGTGACGGATAGCTCAGAGGATTTAATGCAGCAGTAGAAGAGGTGCATCCGGAGCGACCCTATCCTGGTCTTCACCGTTAGCAAACAAACATCAGCCAGTAAATGGTAGTGAAAGCTGCAAACTGCATGTATAGAGCGTACCGAGGACGTGGGTATACATGTACGACCCAGCCTTTGGACTTTTGCTTTCACATACCATTCAGAACCAGCTGGGCAGCGTCTATCCATCTGCCAAAGCGGCTTTCTAAGGACGGTATGATGTGCTAATTGACAGGAATCGAGACCTCAGCTGGCGCCAACGAGCATGAAGCCTCGATCTGTAACGTTTCAACCCTATTTGTTGTCATATGCAATCGCACCACTCAACCAGTCGTTTGTACTGTTGTTGTCAGGGCATGCTGTCAGTCCAGACCATCGGCATGGGTCGACGAAAGCTGACGGCTGCGCTGTGGCTCAAGTCAGCAGCTCATTCGTACTCGTCTACTGAGGAGCAAACAAAGCAAAGGCAGGGAGGAAGAGAGATGAGCTGAATATTCGCTTGCATCAATATGGTCAGATAGGCAGCAAACGTCGCCCTCCAACCAGCCGCAGTAACGGTATGCTCCGCGCCCACAACCTCCTCGCTCCAAGGCCAAAGCCCCAGCTTGCGCACCATGACGCCCGCGCCGTTCGGATCCTTGTGTAAAAGCCCGAGGTGTCTCATGCTGCCGGGAGAATCGTACCACTCAATCATGACCGAAGTACCAATCTGAACTAGCTCGAGTGACCGTCTTCCCTGGACCATGACCTGCTTCGATAGGTTACCCCGTACATGGGAGTAAAGCTTGCGGAAGAGGCTCAGGTCCGACGCTCTGCATGCAGCGTTGATCGCGGCCAGGAGCAGTCTTGGTTCGTGTCTCCTTAGCAAGCTAAACTCTTCGGTGCTGGAGAATGAAACGAGGATGATATGGTTGACGAAGTCGTAGAACACTTGTTGATAGTTGACCAGAGGCAAAGAGCGTCTCTAATGTCGACCAGAAGGGGCAATCGTCCCCAAGCTTTTAAGTCATCTTGATGAGAGCCGTCTAGGACCGATCAAGCATGCTGAGCGTCCAAGATTCGCTCAAGTTTCCGAGCGTACGCCTCTGCCGGTATTTCGACTAACCTTCTCTCGGGGGAATGTTATTTCATACCTGGAAGCTTTCTTTAACCCAATCGGCACGCAACCTGACTTATTTGGGCACACAATCCATATTGGCATCTTGTCGTGGTGTATGGCAACCTGCAAGGCTTAGTTTGTCGCTGACTTGATGTCCATGCCGCCTGTGTGCCAGCTTGAGAACGCCTTTAGCCCTTTGTAATTTTCCTCTTCTTGTCAATGTATCCAGTGAGATAATTCAGACAGGAGAACTGGAAGTGTGATAAAGCATATTGTGTTTCATTCCCTCGTAGCAGGAATCACTCTCGCATTGGGAACATTGGAGAAGCAGCCGGTGAGTTTCATGGCTTGCTAGAATTCATGAGGCCGAAGGGCGCGATTGAGTCATGGAGTTTGGCGGTAGAAGCTCACTGTCATAACCTCGTACCCTAGATCATGTATCGGGAAGCATTCAAAAACAAATTGTGGCATCAATTAAGTTGTTGCTTCCCGATCTTGCGAGAGTTACTATCAATCTAGATCTCTCAATACATTTTCTTGAATTCTCTTTGTTTTGTTCACCATTGATCTTCACTCTTCCACCAACGCAAGAGAACTTAGCATTGATGCAGCCTCAACCTCAACCCTAGCAAATTCCAGGACCAACAACAGAGTCGATGAATCAAGGTTCGACCAATCGACACAATTCTCGACAATTCCACATCGATTTCCGTGAGAACCAGGCCATATAAAATTTCATGTCTTTCGTAAACCGCCCCTGACAAATGGATGCTGGAGAAACCCACTCCGCCCTTTGCTTGACATTGACACGTTGGGCGGGCTTAGCGTCGGCATATGCACTTCGGCAGCGTCTTTATAGAGCCCGAGGTGCACATGCCTTATCCAGTACTTCATACAATGCATCAGACATACTATCCTTTCATTCATTCACCGTCTTTGTATTCGTTGGAGTCTCTACTGGCTATTTCATCTTGGACATGACGATACATATCCGCGAGTCCACTGCGGACGACCTCCCCGCCATTGCTCGCATTGCCTCGGCAGCGTTTCATCCCGCAACCGATGTCATCGCAGCCCGGCTGTTCCCAGCCCAATTGCAGGAACAGGAGACCATAAGGGATGATGACGCCTACTCATGGAGATATGCCAAGAAGACGGCAAGCCTGTCCTCCCCAAACTCAGTCATGGTCGTAGCCATTGATGACTCTCTTCCCGTAAACGATCAAGTGGTGGGCTTCGGCCTCTGGGACGTATTCGAGCACAAGCCCAAGTCAGCGATCAACACTCGCACACCAACGGATTCCGAAAAGGCGGCCAATCAACCTCGAACCGCCGTCCAAGAAGTGCCGCCACCCTCATTCGACCAAGAGGCGTATGCAGAGCTGCGCGCTATCGTTTCAGCCGACCACCAGGAGATGTTCGGAGAAAGAGGCATCAAGGACGTCTGGCGTAAGTTCTTACCCGCTCCCCCCCTTGTCTCCCCTCGCATAAATTCTCCGCTGTGTATTCCCTCCTCCCGTCCCCCTTATCCGAGATTGCCTAAACGGGTAACTAAAAGGGAGTGAACAAGATCTTGATTACCTCGGGGTGGACCCGCAGCACCAGCGGAAGGGCATCGGGAGAATGCTGCTTGACTGGGGGCTGAGCCGGGCTGCGAGCGAGAACAAGGACTGCTATCTGATGGCGACGCCGGCTGGGAGGCCGTTGTATACGAAGAGGGGCTTTGAAGTGGTAAGGACGGTCCCGATATTCGGTGTATTACACCACTCGATGATATTCAGACACGGAAAATGAAGATCTACAGCCCGCAGCAGGTATTGCTTTTGAGGAGAGTAGTACCTGTAATACACCCGACCTTTTCCACGATACTTGGAAAAACTGGAATGCGGAATAATTGATAGTCTGGTTCCTCGTTGCCGTTCGGCGCTGGACGGACGCTAAGAGGTGAAATCTGTCGGCCGAGAGCTTGGTGTTGAGCTCGGCATATTCCTCCGCCACGTCCGAGTTGGCCGAGCTTCATCCTCCTGCGAGCATCAATCTCAATATTCCTTTCCCTTACACTGCCATGTCTCAATTTCTCAGTGCCCTTGCATTGATGCGACCTTTTGCTGTGCTGTATGCTCGTATCCCTTGACGTTACTCAACATCGCACACACACTTATCTCTTCACCGTTTTGGAGATTCCGCCGAGACAATACAAGCATCCATCTCATGGACCAACCGCAGAAACAACAGCAACCTTACCGCCGCCGGAGACCCGCCCTCTCTTGCATTGAGTGTCGGCGACGCAAGCTCAAATGCGACCGGAAAAGCCCTTGCAGCCGTTGCATCTCGACTGAGACACAGTGCACTTACACCATCTACTTCCAGGACAAACTCCGAGCAAGGCATTGGCAGGATGGCCGGACACATGTGCCTTCTTCTTCGATGCCAAGCCCCTCAACTGTCTTTCTAGCATCGACCCCATCACATGTCGATACAAATGGCCCGAGTCCCGTTGCTACGGCTGCTAGTAGCATCAGAGAGGGATCTGATAATGCCGGCCGGACAATTGAGGCACGCGCCGCAGCGGAATCGGCACTTGGACCAAATGATCCGTCAAACGCACCAACTGCAAACGAGATCCAAATCCCGAATCGCCCCCGGCCCGTGGATCCCGAGCTCAATGATCTTAGAGGGCGGGTGCAGAGGCTTGAACGATCCCTGGTCCACGTCCCCGTGCATGATCTGACACAGGCCGGCCGAGATGTGCTCGCTGGTGAGTCGGGGTTGCCGGACGCCCGTATCATTTTGAACAAGACGAGGATCATGAGATGGAGCCATTGGGTTGGCATAGCAAAAGAGGTGTGTCAATAGAGTGTCCGTGTATAATGTCTATATCTCTCCTGAAGTAGTATTGCATTGACCGCTAACACTTGATCATGCAGTTCGCCCCCATCGTCTCCTGCTATGGGGCAATTTGCGGCTACGGCGATATCAACTCCTTTGACAACGCTGAGACGAGATCTCTAATTGTCGAAATCAGCGAGCTGCTTCAAAAGTGCAAAAGCGTAGCTAGAAATCTCAAGACTGGACGGCCTAGCAGATGCCTTTCCTCGCTGAGCTTTGACCTGACGCCCCCTATCCGCGAGGTAGCAGACAAGATGACGACCTTGTACTTTCAGTCCTTCGAATCAACGCACCGCATCCTCCATCAGCCGACCTTTTGGAAGGTGTATGAAAGGTTTTGGAGCAATCCCGCAAGTGCTTCGCCCAAATTGCGACTCCAAGTGCTTCTCGTCATTGCAATAGGTTCCATCTTGGTCTCTCATGGAGAAACCGATGCCGGACTCCGCAGCATGGCCCATCAATGGATCTACGCAGCTGAAACCTGGCTCTCAGGCCCACTGGAAAAGGACCGTCTCGACATCTCCGGACTCCAGATACACTGTCTGGTGATGCTGGCACGGCAAATCTTCTCCATTGGAGGAGACCTCGTCTGGATATCCTCTGGGTCGCTCATCCATCGGGCAATGCAGATTGGCTTGCACCGCGACCCCAAGCATCTCCCTAATATGTCTGTGCTGCAGACGCAATTGCGTAGACGATTGTGGGCTACGATATTGGAGCTGGTCGTTCAGTCCTCGCTGGACTCGGCTTTACCGCCGAGGATCTCCTTCGATGAGTTTGACACGGAGCCGCCGGCTAATTGCGACGACAACGAGATAGAAGAGTCGGTGACTGAGCTGAGGCCACAATCCAAAGAACAGTTTACTGGAACGTCCATGCAGCTTCTGTTACTTGATTCACTCCACACGCGGCTTCGTATCCTGAGCCTCCTGAACGGCCTGAACTCGGAGCTGTCCTACCTAGATGTGCTCGACTTGAGCACGGACATTACCGAAGCATGTCGCCGTTGGAACATCTTTGCCAGGGAAAACAAGGCGCGTGGAGTGACACCATTTCATCGGAACATGCTTGACTATCTTCTACGTCGGTTCCTGATTCCCCTCCACTGTCCATTTGCGCACAAAGCACGGACGAACCCGCTATTTCATTATTCGCTCAAGGTTAGTATAGATACCGCCCTGGCCATAGCCTCTCCGGAGCCGGATGAAGGCTTCTCCAACCTAATGGCGATCGGCGGAGGAATGTTTAGAGAGGGCATCCGGTATGCGAGTAGTATCATCGGTCTGGAGCTTCTCGCCCAAGTCGAAGCTCACTATATGGACGGAACCTTACATCGAAACGCACACTATCTTAGTCCCCTGAAGAAGGTGGTGGAGGAAATGACGGCTCTATCTTTGGAACGGATTCGTCAAGGAGAGACCAACGTCAAGAGCCACATGTTCTTATGCATGATCGCGGCACAAGCGGAAGCCACGGAACGGGGCGAATCTAGTGAGGTTCGTATGGTAAAGGGCGCGAGGGATAGCATTTCATTGTGCCTGGAGCTACTGCAGAACCGCCTTGGTGCTTCCCCTCTGGCAACTCCTGTTCAAGATTTCGAGTCCGTGAGCTTTGATGATAGAGAAGACTACACGTATGGATTGGGACTTGACATGGACTTCTTCTTGACCGATGTAGGTTTCCCCTAGTTTATCTTGACCCAGATATAATATGCTTCGCCAATAAGTCGTCGATTCAGCAAATGTTGATGTATGTAGCTGTGCATATACTCGAGACTTCTTCAAATAGCAAATGGTCGTGTGATGCCTCCACCGTTGTTCATGCAGACAGGAAAACAGCGGAAATGATTACTGTTTATAGAGAGAAAATGTGACCCCTTACATGCGCAATAATTCCGCCCTCGCGATTGACTGAGTCACGACGGATGTTGTGCGTGATACGAAAGGGATGCTCCAGTTGCACGGTGATCATAATTCTCGGCCGAAACGGCAGTGGCGGACATATCGCTCGGCAGTGCTTGGCGGACATCAAAATACCGAGACAATAGGGAGAATATCGGAGACATGACTTAGAGAAGAGATATATATAGAGCCTTTGTTCTTCGATTCTTGGCTTCATTCATCAACATCATCGGCCTCATCCTCGACACTGACCTGCAATCCTCGACTATACCAACTCAGGCTCAGCATCATAGCACTCTCAACGTCGCCTCAACTTTACCAATCTTACAAACTGCAATGGCCCAGATGAAGGTCCTAATCAGCGGCGCCGGCATCACTGGCAACGCCCTCGCCTACTGGCTCTCCAAGCTCGGCCACAATGTCACCGTCATCGAACGCTTCCCAGAACTCCGCACGACCGGCCTCCAAGTCGACCTCCGCGGTCCTGGTATCCAAGTCTTGAAGCGTATGGGACTTGAAGAGGCTTTCCGTGCCAAGTCCGTGCCCGAACAAGGCTTTGCCATTGTCGACAGCTCCAACAGACGATGGGCCTATTTCGGGGTGAACAACTCTGGAAAGGGGCTGCAGAGCTTCACGACCGAATATGAGATATTGAGAGGTGACTTGTGCCGTCTGATGCACGATGCCATCAAGGACAAGGTTACTTTCCGATTCGGCGTCTCAATTGACGGCTTCAAGCAAAAAGGCAACGGGGTCGATGTTGAGTTCACAGACGGCAAGACGGAGCGCTTCGACTTCATAGTCGGCGCCGATGGCATGGGCTCAAACACGCGCAAGCTGATGCTCGGTCCTGGTGTTGCAGACGCCCTGCGCCCCGTCAAGGGCGCTTACACGGCCTACTTCACCATTCCTCGTCCTATTCAGAAGGGCGAAGAGTACAACTCGACCTTTTACCTGGCAACCGGTCGACGAGCCATCATGACGCGGCGACATAGTCCGGAGGAGATTCAGATTTATCTACCTTGCAACACCCTCTCGGATAGAATGAAACAGGCTCACAAGGATGGAGTGCCGGAGCAGAAGAAGGCGCTGGCAGAGATCTTCCAGGACGCTGGGTGGAAGTCAAAGGAGATCCTGCGCGACATGTTCAACTCGGAGAACTTTTATTGCGAGCGTCTCGGTCTCGTCAAGCTTGACGCGTGGTATGATGGTAGAGTCGTTCTTGTTGGCGACGCTGCCTACTGCCCTTCGCCGCTTACAGGAATGGGAACGACTTCCGGAATTGTGGGAGCGTATGTCCTCGCTGGAGAGATTGCCCGCCACTGCGGAAATGCAAAGGGCGGAAAGGCTCCTACTGATGGCCTTGACGTGGCTTTCAAGACGTATGATGACAAGTTTCGGCCGTTCATCAACCAGGTCACGGACGGGGTTGGCGATGACAGTATCTTCTGGAATAAGATGCCTTCGTCGGCGTTTGCTGTTGCGCTTGTCAACCTGCTCTTGGGGATCGCTGCGTTTCTCAGACTGAACGTTGTTGGAAACTGGATTCTGAAGGAGAATGTAAAGTGGATGCTGCCCGAGTATGATGAGTTGAAGTGAGGTTGAGGATGGCCTGACTCTGAGGTTGCATATTGGCTGTGCAAAGCATACGAAAACCCTCATTTCATATTCTGGTAATACTAGTCTGTTTAGCAATGAGTTCCCTTTGTTATAGATTTAATCAATTCTTCTCATTGTATTTCCAGCAACTATCGATATATCTATGTTCTAATATACAACACAGAAGACAATGCAAGCTACATATCACTCCCCTTTAAATGCCTTGCCGAAGAGGATGATCTGAAGCTGGTCGTAGATAGACAACGCTCCAGCTCCAGCAACACCACGAAGAATATTCGCCCCAGCGCCATTAAACAGAGCCCGCACTCCGTTCTTCGCAACAATTTGCCTAGCTGCGTCAAACGAGCTCTTATACTTGACGGCTTCTCCCGAAGTCATCATCATGCGTCGTCGGATCGTGTCGAGGGGATATGCTGCAATGCCTGCAGCTGTGGTGACGAAGTAACCCAGACAAAACGAAGCCAGAAAGTTGCTATCCAACGATCCGATGAGAATGAGTGGCTTGAAGGAGTCGTACATGCCAAAGTACAGGCCGCGATATACAACAGCTCTAACGACGGAGGGAAAGAAACCGCGGTACAGCCCGACGATGCCATCTGATGCAAGGGTTTTCCGGTACACATCGATAAAGCCGTTGAACTGGTGCTGTCCCCATTTTGCGTCATTCGCCAGTCGAGTCCGCGTGTAATCGAGAGAATACACAAAGAGTTGCCCCGTCGCTCCAGCAGCACCTCCTGAAGCCAGATTCCCCATCATCCACATGGCATATCCATCACGATCCTTCTTATACCCAAACATCTTTTTGAACTTATCCCGAAACGCAAAGTTCAGCGCCTGTGTGGGAAAGTACCGAATCACGTTCGCCGTGTTTCCGCGCCAGAGGCTGAGAAACCCCTCGTCCGAGATCGTGCGGCTAAAGCACTCGCCTATGCCCTTGTATTGGCGGTCCAGGCGCCCGACTTTGATCATTTCGTCTTGGTTTTGGATAAGGAGCTTGACGCGCTCGATGGGGGCGGCCGCGGTCTTGGAGACAGCCGCAGAGACGCCGCCCATGAGGAAGTCGGCCATGAAGGGGGGCATGCCCATGACCGAGGGCTGTGACAGAGTTGGATGAGCCATTGTGAGCTTGTTGCAGTGAAGCGTTTCGTAAAGAGGATGAAGAAACGAAGTTGGTGTAGAGCAAGACAACCGTCTATGCTATAGCTGCCGGGGTTGATTCTAATGGAAGTCCATGCGGTCTATATACAAGCCACGAAGACTCAGAAGCCTCAAATAGATCTGCTTCTACCTCCTTCTATCAGGCGTTGTGACCGGGAGAGGCCGAAATTCTGGACGTCCGTACCGGCGCTCCGGATCTCTTTATCCGTCCCGGACTCCGTATCGCCGGGACGGAACGGGCTGCGGACTATTAATTTACATGCCCGGAAAAGAACGCGGAAACGGACCTTTGAATTGCCAAGACGATAAAAGGCGAGTGATTTATTGCGCTTTCCTCAATGATTGATAGTCCATGATACAAGTGCGTGTTCTCCCTCTCGATCATCTATTTCCCAAAAATGCTCATGCTGCCTCTGCTCCATAGCGGAGTAAGTTTGAAGCTCTTAATCCTCCACTGCGAATCACCCTCTTGCGCAATAGTTGCTTCATATCGGCACTTGACGATGAGGGCGGTGTCCTGAGACTCGGTATCGAATTCGTGTCCCTTTTTGACGTGCTGAGCTTCCGACAAGCAGCTGACACTGGCGCTGTCGTTTGTCTCATTGAGCGTGACCAGAAAGTTTGTCAGGGAGTGCGTTGTCTCTAGAGTCGTGCCAACCGCCTTCATACATTCGGCGGTGATGGCGGCGCGGCCATGAATCGGCTGGTAGGTCATGCCGAGGACGGAAAACGGGCTGAGGTCAAGGATGGCATCTTCGGCGAAGCAGGATTCGAACTGGGCGGCGTCGCCGCGGTCGAGGCCATCGGCGTATCGCACGAGGACTTCGATGGCCTCCTGTCGGGCGTTGATTCTGGTAGTGCAGCCCATGATTGTTGATTATCGCAGTGGCCGGCTCTTACTTCTCTATTGTAAAGGCGTTGAGGTAAGAGTCAATCTTCAGGGAGGGCGTTCATCAGACATCCCTTTGCTCTTTTATTTCCACGTCGGTCGTATTCCACGAGCGTATTCCAGCACTGCCAAGACTTTGCCGTTCCCATCTCGCGGCCGGTGCGCTTTTGGATCAAAGTGTAAGACAGTTTAACGTTGGAGCCAACCGTTTGCCCTCTTCCCGATATTGTCTAACCCGTCAGATCGTGTCTGACAATAGCAACGCTTGGTGCCTTTACCGAGCCAGAGCTCCTCCATTACTTTGCGGTATGATCCCACAAAAATTAAGCATATCTATGACATTCTGATGTAAAGGTCAAACCGGGGAGGTAACGATGACATCGGCCCTGAAGGGAGTCTGGGTCAAAGGGTGTGATTCTATTGTCGGCCATCTGGTGGAACTGCTCGGCTTGACCAAAGCGTCGGGTTTCACCATATCAGACGGATCGGAACGGTGGCCGAGTCATATACAATGATTTCTTCTCCCCCGTCTCCAATTCCTCTTTTTCATTCTTCTTCCCAGCATCAAGAAGTAGGATCACAAGCATAAAGGCGTCAGCCACAATATCCGGACAGCTGAGAATCAGTAAGACGCAAAAGCATGTAGCCGAGCACTGGGCCCTGAAGGCCGAGCACCGAAGCCGAGAGCCGCTCTCGCTCATCGCATCGCAAGCCTTCGGCTCTCACGCTCATACAAGTTATTTCTCTCGAACTCACGAGGCCATCCAAACTGGAACAAGGGCAGTGTCGGGCCCATATATCGCATTTCAGGCACAATGAGCAGCGCCTCTCCCAGTCTCGCCATCCCCTCTGAGATTCCCCGGCGCCGTAATGGCCGCCCGCAGGCCTGCGAGCCGTGCCGCCGACGCAAGGTTGCGTGTGACCACCGGCTTCCCATTTGCTCCAGGTGCATCCGCAAGAATACGCCACAGAGCTGCCGTTACCTCATCCAGGGACGGCTTGTAACACCAGCTACGTCCGCAGATGGAGAGCCGACGGTGTTAAGCAACCAGGGCCAACAGCCGCCGGCGACGGTCCAGGTCAAGGCAAGCCCGTCGACGCTCGAGAATCTGTCGCCCCGGGAAGAGAACGTGGGCTATCTCGGGGCCACGAGCTTCCCAGAGTTCTTCCGCGAGACCCAGAAACACCTCGACCAAGTAGCCGGGTCCGAGCCGGCCCGTGACGGTCTCGCCGGGCTCGCTGGCGGCGGTAAGCAACCGAGCGAGACCAGCGCCGGCCTCGCCCGGATGGCACCCGACGCAACCGCGTTCGAGGTGGCCTTATCAGTGCTACGGGCCATCCCGACCAAGGAAGCGGCGCACTTCCTGCTGAGGCGCAACGTGAATCCCAACGACGCCTGGTGCAGGCTGGCCTTAGACCGTCTTCACGCCTCGCTGTGGTCGACCTTGGGCCACTTTCTCGACGGCCAGCGCACCCGCGAGAACATGTCCCAGCTGGCGCTGCTCCTATTCCAGAACGGCTCCAAGTCGCTACGGGAGGACTTCACTGATCCCAACCAGTGGTTCGAGGCCTTTTCCGGGGCGAACTTCCGCTGGGAAGGCCTCGGCCTCTTGTTCACGTTTTGGACGTTTGGAGCGGCCTCCTTGTCGGAGAACGGCACTGCCGAGCAGCGCAAGTGGCTCGGGCACTACAATCGTAGAAATCTCATGCAAGTCTACCAGAATGCTGTCGTAAAAATCGTCGACCTCTGCCGGCTTTCGAGCTGCAACAACACGATGATGGTGTATCTGTTGCACATGCATAGTCTCACGGAGTCCCTCATCACCGGTGATACAGGTACGCTGTTCTACTACTTTCGTATTTCGTATTTGATGCCTGCCCAAGGTACCAGTACTTCTGAAAAGGCTATTTTCTCCTTATTATATTCTGCATAACACATGATCACCATTCTCTCTTGTCTAAACGCTCCCAACATGTCCGACTTCCCTCACGTCTAACAACTCCACCCAGGGGCCGAATTCTGGCGCCATCATGCAGAAGCTATCGCCTTGGCCACCTTCCTAGGCCTTCACACGCCTCAGTCGTCCAAGTCGATACCAGAGGCGTCGGTATCCGTCCAGGCCAAGCGAAGAGTCTTCTGCTCCATCTTCAACATGGACATGGTCGTCTCAACCCTGACGGGCCGGCCTCCGTTGCTCAGCAGCAGGTTGTGCTCGACGCCGCTGCCCCTCGACGTGAGTGACGAGTCGTTGCTCAACACCAAGGTTCGGCCTCACCGGCTGAACGAGGAGGGGTGGAATATAGAGGGAAAGAATCTACCTGCAACATTTCTGCGAGCCGTCTACATCATCTCTCAGATACGGAGTGAGATCCTCGAAATTGTTCTTCAAGCACCGCATGTAACTACCACTCACAACTTTGAGTAAGTCGACGTTAGCTGAAGCCGTCGGGCTCGTGTTCAAGAAAGATCATCAAACACTGACTCGCGGAACAGTGATTTACGGAGACGAGAGATGGAAGCTTATTCCCAGTTCCCTATCGGACTGCGATTCAACAACGGCGACTTCAACGATCCCGATGTTGACGCTTCCACTCTCTACATGCGGTTGATGACGCGGCTCGAGCATTTGAGCAACCTATTCTTCATCGAGCGGCTGTCTTACAAGGGAAGAAACTCTTATAGCCCCGATATGCTCGAAATCAGCCTCGAGATGATAACCCTCACCCTCTCCTTCTGGACGCAGCAGAACCGTCTCGAAGGCTTACAGGGAGATTATGAATGGCTTGTGATGATGCACGCTGCGCCTGCGGGAGGTATCCTGTGCATGGAGCTCTTGAAACAGCCGAGTGGGAACGAACCACCGACTGTTCCCACCATCACGAAGCCCATGATTATCAAGCAGCTCAGTCTCCTGGTCGGTTTCCTCGAATGGATTGGTCCGGGAGCTCCGGGAGCGCACTTGTGCAACAGCATCAAGACGGTGGTCGAGCGAGTGATGGAGCAGGCTCTAAATCCGCCGCCGAGACCCATCACGCAGGAAGAGTTTGACTTGACTTGGGACGTGAGTCTGTCGGAAGACATGCATGAGTTTAATTTCGAACTGCTGGATACCTTTGACTGGTTGAGGCTTCCACCAAGCGGACTCTAGCATTGAAACGAGAGACTCGGTACGAGGAATGAGCCTGAATTTTACATCACCGGACTACCTGTAAGTCTTGGCTTTCTATTTATCTTCGATCTGGATAGCCAAGTTGGAGTGCTTGCTAGCCACTCGCTTCATGGCCTATACCACCTCTTGCAGACTTCGTGGCTAGTTGCGAAGTCTTCCTTGCCTCTCAGTCAACCATTGAAGACCTTCTAGAAAATCACGGTACCATGTCCTGCTCACGGCAAGTTCTGGGAATATCATGCAGAAGATGTGAGGATATCCTGCATATGTATTCAACTTTTTGGGAACGCTGCAAATGGCTCGAGTCAGCATGTCCTTCATCAGCACAGGATCAAGGCTTCACGACGTCTCACTCAAATGCGATCAAGCTTCTGCTGAAAGATCATAATAGACCACCGTAATAGGCAATTACCAGGTATCCTTTTAACCGCAAGCCATCTATTACGAGATTCCATTCGCAGGATTGATCGGTGATGGCGTCAGTCATTCAATGTTCTATAAACAACATCACTTCCTACAGGACCGCAGATAATCTTCGAGGCTCAGACTATGCCGCTTCCTCTCGCGCGGAGGCCGATGAACTCCAGTGCGGGCCGCAACTTTAGCGCGAGTCTTCATATCGGAGACCTTGCAAGAAACCCGAAAAGCGAGGGTTCTCGACCCCTGCTGTTGGGGTACGATTGCGGAGAAGGATGCTTGAACGATCGAAATTTCGACCTGTACGGCAAAGAAAAATCCAATGACGCTGTATACGTAGCTTCTCCTTGTCATTTATGTGCACACCAACTCTTCAGCCAATATAGCACCCTCAAACAGCCACACATAAGCACCCTATTATCCGAAGATAATCTCAATGGCTGACACCCCCGCAACGAAGCAAGTCGTCCTCGTTACCGGCGGCAACCAGGGCATCGGCTTCGAAATCGTAAAGAAGCTCGTAGCAGAACAGCCCACATACCACGTCCTTCTCGGCTGTCGGTCTCTCCCAAAAGGCGTCGAAGCTATTTCGAAACTCGAGAAGCTCGCGGGCTCGGTTTCTCCTGTCGAGGTTGACATTACTTCCGATGAGTCGATTGCGGCGTGTGTGGCGCAGATTGAGCGCGAGCATGGCAAGCTGGATGTTCTGATCAACAATGCTGGGATTGGGAGGCATGCGGTCGAGGAATTGCCTAGCCTGAGGGCGAAGATGGCTGCGTTGTTTGATGTCAATGCGTTTGGCACGCTGGTGATGACAGACGCTGCGATACCTCTGCTGCAAAAGGCCGCAGACCAAGGCTCAGTCCCGCGACTTGTCTTCATCACCTCGGAGATGGGTTCACTGGGGAACACGCTCAATCCGTCGTGGAAGTATTACCAGCACAACACGTCTATACCGTACAAGTCCAGCAAAGCTGCTGCCAACATGATTGGAGCGTGTTATTCGACGCTGTATGAGAAGCAAGGGTGGAAGATTAACTGCTGCTGCCCCGGACTCCGAAAGACGGCGTTCAATAACCATTTGTCGGTTGCCATGGACGTGGAAGAGGGCGCTGTGAGGGCTGTTTACTTGGCTACGCTGGACAAGGATGGGCCTACGGGGACATTTACAAACATTGACGGGACCGAACCGTGGTGAACACAATCGAAACAGAGTAGCTATCTTGTCTGTAATCGTGGCCTTATTTAAGGAGTGGTCTCCAGCATCCCAGCAGATTCATTTACCTCTGTTCTGCACTACTATGACCACTGATATAACATAAAATTCTCTTTCCATATTAAGAGTGTTAGGATGCTGGTTAGCCAATCTGTAGTGCTGACCACACCCATCATTAATATCATTCCTTCATCCTCTCATATATCGGTCAAGACTCAGAAGCCACTCTGCCCCAGATAAGCAGCCATAACACCGCCATGACTCTGCCAACCTCCCGCATTCGCCGTATCCACAACTTCCGCCACATCCTTTCCCCTTTCCGACTCCAGAACCATCGTTCTCACGTTGTGCGTGCTCACGCCATAGCTGTACAGCTGCTGGTTGTCGGCGTAAATGACGGCGTTCTGCTGACACTCGGCCGAGCAGCCATCGCGGTTGATGCCGTTGAAGAAGACCCAGTATCCGCCTCCGTAGGCATTGACGTTGCTCGAGTCGTGGATATACTGGAAGACAGCCATGCGGCACTGAGCGTCGTCGGGGGCGCACCAGCTGAAATCGGGATCGCTGGCCAACAGGGAGTTTGTCCATGGCAGAGGCGTCAGGAGACCGGAGTTGTTGCCCTGCCAGTATGGCGTCTCGCTCTGCTGGAAGCCCACAAAGACGTTCTTTGCCTTGTAGACGTTGAGCTGGTACAAAGAGTTGTGCTCGCTGCCGATACCCAGCATCCAAGTGGCCCTCGTAGACTCGATCAAGAAGCCACCAGCAGTGGAAGGGTTCGCGCCATTGTCATCATCAAGATCGTGGTCCGCACTCCAGCACCAGCTGTTCTCCCAGTACGAAGACGACGTCGTCGTAAGGTGGGCGCACAGTCTCGCAGCCTTGCATGTAGCAGGATCATCGCAGTTGGTCTGCACCTTGGATCCCCTCGCTCCTCCGATGCGGAAGTGCGAGTTGAAGAAGCCCACGTCTCCGGCCTTCAAGCCGGCCATGTTCACCTCGACGAGCTTGCAGCCGGGGAGAATGTCGGCGACGGTGAAGAGCATGTCGACGAATTGGGCGACGCCAATCTGGCCGGGCTTTCCGACCTGGACCATGGCGACGGGCTTGTTGGCGTTCTTGAACTTGTTGCCGGTGGCGCTGATTTCGGACCAGACCTCGCCGTGGAACCTGGGGGGTCCATTAGCAAGGATGGACTATCTTTGCGGTCAATGCTGCCGTGACTTACCGGCTTCCAGGGGGGATGACGAGGGTATCGCTAACGAGATATGTTCCGTGAGGGAAGAACAGAACATTCTTGCCAGCAGCCTGGTTGATGATCTTTTGAAGGTTCCTCGTACTGAATCGCAAATTTTAGTTGGCGTTTCATCAAATCTATTGACCATTACTCACTCATCTGTAACGCCATCGCCGGCAACCGGCAGCCCGCGAACAGACTTGACGTTAATCACCTGGTCCACGCTGTACTCCTGGAAGGTTGGTGGAGCGACGGCATGGTAAGAGCCAGTGATATCGACCAGTGCCAGAGGGCGGGAAGCAGGGAAGAATTTGCCCTGCGCACGTTGACCGTTGGAAGGGCCGTAAACGTTGCCCCAGATCCATGACTGGCCGGGTCTGACTGATCCCTTGAGAACGCTTTTTCCTCCGGCGGTGACAGTCTAACTGAGGTGTTAGTTCTTTGCTCACTGATCTTATGTATGCCTTCCGCCTCTTCTGATAAGGGATGCAGCTTACAGATTTGACAGACTTGTCCACTTGGACGTTCTCAAGGACCATTGATCCCTGGGCTGTGGGTGAGGCCGCAGCGTTCCACAGGATGTTGACATTCTTGGCCGTCGAATCGATGAGAGCAAAGAATCCAGTGTTGTTGTTTGTAGTCTCAATGCCGACTTTGCACGACTCAAAGTGCAAAGCCTGGCCAGTGCCTTCAAAGAGCTTGTCGAGCTTCAAGCCAATGTCCTGGTCTGCAGGAGTTGACAACGTTAGTAACCAGAGTCAAGTACGTAGTGACTTGTAGAGAAACAAATCGTAAACGTACTTTTGAACGTGATGCCCTTGAAGTGATACTGCTGCTCGTTCATGCGAATGCCAACAGACCCGCCTTGGAACACAACATCGTTAATCATCAGAGGCGAACCTCCCTGAGGCATCGACAATCCAGTGTGCGCCACGCCTCCATTCGGCATGTTGAACAAGACATTGGTAAGCTGCACGGCCTGGCTCACAGCCCAGTTGAGAAGCGTAATGTTGTGCGCAAGGGGCACCTTGGTAGAGTCCAGCACAACATTCTTCAGTCCGATGTAAAAGTTGGTCGTCGAGTCATAGTTGGGGTCATACCCCAGGTAGAGGAAAGGGTCGGTAAAGTCGGGCGAGGCCTGGAGCACCGGCCTGTTGGTGGGATCACCCATGACAACGGTGTCGACATATGACTGGAGAGGCTTGCTTAGACGGTACGTGCCAGCCGGGATGTACACGACAGCAGGGGCGCCCGTCGTGCCCCAGGCGCCAGAGCTACGGTTGTCGGTGGCATTGGCATAGTCAAAGGCGGCTTGAATGGCAGCCCAGTCGTCCGTGACGCCGTCTCCCTTGGCTCCAAAGTCGGTCTTGACGTTGCGGAAGACTTTCCAGTTCTTGCCATCGGCAATGAACGGACTAATGCCGTTGTGCTGGATCTTCTCATACCAGTAACCTGAAGAGTGCCTGGCCTCGACGTCCTGAGCCGGTGGCAGAGGATCTCCGGCGACAATGGCAGCCAGGCCGAGGAACAATGACGCGAACCGCATCTTTGCAGAGGATAACAGGCGAGATGAGTCCAAGCCTGCTATATTTTTTGATATGTCCCCCGTGTCTTGAATCGCTTGCTAAAACAGCCGGCTCCTCTCTCAGTCACCGGATTGCCCATTCCCTTTTATACTCATCATCGTCCCTCGCCCTGGCAGAACCGGCAACCGGACGGACGGACAATTCGACTCCATCAACAATCACGAAGCAACAACAGACGTCAATCCAATCCCATCCATGTCGGCGGGTCAACCTTCTGCGGAGAAGCCAGCAAAACAAGCATGTCACGGTCGAACCATCCGGCATTCCCCTCAACCTGCTAACTTTCCCCCTGTCGTCGTCCGGGGAGAAATCACATCTCATCTCTCGTGCCAACGAGGCTAACGTTCCTTGATGGGAGGCTCTACCGAGCAACTCCAGCTCGTACGGAGGAGAAACCCGACATCTCGGCCCTTTTCCAACTGGCGTGCGGGGAGAGCCCGGGCTAGCAATGGAACGATGCAGGGGAGCACACTGCATTTGATTCCCCCTTGGTGTTTTTTTACCCCACGGAAACAGCATCGACACGGCAGGGATCAACCATCATCGAGCATAACTTCTGCCGACGGCACACAGCTTTGGGTGTCGTACTTTGCAGCTGCAGTGATTGAGATCCGGATTACTGCCCGCAAAAAGGAGAAGCTCCGTCATTCTCAATGCACCAAACAACTTTCTGGGGAACCCCACAAAGAGAGGCAAGTTGCATGGCATGGTAGCATTGGAGGCTGATCCTCTCTACCATCGCGTAGAGTGGTTGTGTGTTAATAAGGCACCCGGATGCAACACAACCAGAGAGCTCCAGCTGAGGCGCGAGTGCCGTGCGAGAGTAGTTATATCTGTGGAGTTCGCCCTTTCTTCAACCATTTTGGTTGCCTGTCAATGTCAAGTTTTATATTCGAGGTTATTACTCGATCCCGGAATGCTTGATGGTCGTTCTTATGGCGTATGGCGTATGGCTTGAATGTTTGATTGAACAACGACCTGAATCATGTGAACCGCACAACTGCGGTCGCAATGCTCAATCGAATGGTCTAGACAAAGAGAACGGCCTGATTCTGCCGAAAGATCGGACTGGTTTTTCAATGTATGCATCTTCCAAATCGTTCTGTGGATACAGCTTCAAAATCTCACTCTGCAGACATACGAAGCACCCATGCCCTTGTTTTCTCCGCCTTGCTTCCCCACGCCCCGGATCTCATTAACTCGGCCGCACCGGCAACGAAGAAACCAAACAACCAGAAAAAAAACCAGGTACGATGGCTATTATTTCCGCAAGCTCAAAAGCTTTGCACTAGCTTAACTAGCTTCTGCGACAAAAGTTCTACGTCGCCGGGGAATCTCGCCGTAATGTAGTTGTAGTTGTCATCCTCAACAACGAAGCTAGAGACACACAATATTAGCCGGCATTTTGAAAGTTGGAATTCAGGAAACGCCCTCAGCTGGACTTACGGGGATGGCATGATGCTATTCTTGAACTGTGCAGGACTCGCCAACACTTTTCGCACCTATGAGAGTTGTTTCTTCACGTCAGCATTTCAGCCCTCTCCTCACCCTGATGCCTCCCAGCATCGTTCAATTGTCAAAACTTACCGAGTCTTCGACATTCTCACTCCCAGCCCCGTACGTCTTGTAGTAGTCTCCCAGGAACAGACGCGTGCCCCAAAACGCGACTTGCTCGAACCTCGCCGGCAACGCCGTCGTCACGCAATCGCGAATGACGCTGCTCCCATCAGGATGCTTCGACTCTGACAGCACCATGACGCCGTGACAAACCGCCCCGACGGCCTTGTTGCTGGGCTTTCTCGTCTTGGGGAAGAAGTCTGCGAGCAGCTTGTGGACTCTATCAGAGTCAATGATCTGCCTCACGGCCTTGTCGTGTCCACCGGGGAGAAACACGAGATTGAACGCGTCGAGCGAGAATTGCTCGTCGGACCAGGACAGAGGATGCTTCCATTCCTCTGATTCAGCCATGACGCGATACTGTTTGACAATGGAAGAAGATGCGCCCTACAAAGCCAGTCAGTTGAAGCGTAACCTAAAGCGCTTCCCACAGGGCGCAAAGGCATACCAGAAGGCGCTGTGTGAGGCCTTGCAGCATTTTGGTGTCGCATTGAGGCGATTTGCCTGCTTCAGTCGCGAAACTGACGTCGAAGCCGGCAGCCTTGAAGGCTGTATAAGGTCCACAGGTCTCTGTGCGGATGGTGAGCCTCATCGCTCGGCGCGTTGCTACTGTCTGGCTGCTTACCTGTAGGATCGTGGCCATAGTCGGCCATCAAAAAGACAATTTTAGCCATTATAGTTGTGATCTGGGGATGTTACTATCAACTTGTATCGCTACCAGTATCAATTCTCTGCAATCACTTCTTCGGCGAGAGAATTGACTCTGAGAGGTTGAAGTAAGGTAGTGCAAGAGTGAATGACGAGATATCGCCACCACGGAAATGGGCTTGCTTCAATGCTACCCTGCAGCCACGTCAACGAGCCGAGGCATCTCTAATCACCAAACAGTGTCTTCATTATAATCAACATCATTAACATGGGATAACTAACAATACAGGGATACTATGGGAAATCGTACACTAAACACTAAGAATCATACATCGTGATCATGCAAGCATTACAAGCGGATTTCCAGCTTCGTTTTCCGTTTCCGCCCACCATTTCCAACCCATTCTGATAAGTAATCATCCAATCATAACAGTCATGTTCCTAATAGACAGAACAAAAGAAAAAGGTATCACTTATTTCTTCTTCTGGTTCTTGCCAGTGAGAGCGCCAGTCACACTGCCAAGTCCAAGACCGTCGAGAACCTTGTTCAACCCAAGCGTTCCGAGGAGGTTGTCAACTAATCCACCAAGGCCAAGGCCGCTCAACTGTATACCGTATTAGCGTATGTTCTGTAATGGCTTCAGTGAGATGATAGATGTAGATACTCACCAGCTTGCCGACGAGACCAAGAACACCGTTCAACAACAGTCCAACGGCGGCAATGATTTGGAACAGAGGCTCCGCCAACAGTCCCCAAAGAGGGTTGAGCTCCTTCTTGGCGTGCGGCATGCCCTCAATCTTGCTCTTTGCGTTGTCGATAGTCTGGGTAACGGTGCCAGTAAGCTGCAAATCAACTTGTTAGCAACCTCATTCTCAGCATTTTCCAAGTGTAGTCGTCCAAACTCACCTCCTTGAGCACATCAGCGAGATGATACTCCTCCGGCGTCGCCTCCTTGGTGCCCGCCTTGTGCTTAGCATTGCGCTGGATACGACCGTCGGGATCAAGACCGCGGATGGTGCCGTTGGTCTCAGTCAAGATCTTGCCTCCCTCCTCAATAAGGGGCTTCACCTCGCGCACCAGCTGCTCCTCATCGAGCTCCTCCTTGGGCGTCCGCTCAGCAGTGTTGATCTTGTCCGTGATCATCTTGCAGATGGGCCGGACCTTGTCGAGAGACTGCTCGATACAGACAGCCAGCTTCTTGGCCAGCTCGCGGTCTTTCTCGGCCGCTTCCTTCTTCTTCATGTCTTCTTCAGTCTCCTTGGGGATATCCTCCAGGAGGGCAACATGTCCGACCGCTTGGCCCTTGTAGTTGACCACATCACCGTCATCGTCAACCTCCTTGCCAGAGCAAGCGCTGATGTCGCCGCTGACGAGCTTGGCGATGATGTTGCCCTCTTCGTCGACGACGTTGCCGTCGCGGTTCACCTTGCGGCCCGCGTAAGGAGCCTTCTTCCGCTCAACTTCCTCCTCCTGCCAGCGCTCAGCCTTGCCGAGGACGTTTCCATTGCTGTCGACAACGTCGCCGTCCTCGTCAACGGAGCGGCCAAACAGCTTCTTGGGGTCACCCTCGACGAGTCTCCCCACAACATCGCCCGAAGGCGTGACGACCTTGCCGTCCTTGGCAATGGTGCAGCCAGACAGCTCAGCAAAGGGGCCTTCTTTCATGCCCTCTCGCTCGCCTTCGCTGACAAGCTCAGCCTTGCCAATGATGTCGCCGGACTCACTGAGAACGTTGCCATTCTTGTCGCACATACGTCCCACGAGAGATTTGACGTTACCCTCAACGACTCTGCCCCAAATGGCGCCTGAGCCGTCGACAACGTTGCCAGCCTTGTTGACTCTCTTTCCAGCCAGCGAAGACTTGTCGACAGCAGCTTCAGGCTCAGGCTCGGGCTCGTCCCAGGCCTCAGCCTTGCCAACGACGTTTCCGCGTCGGTCCAAGATGTCGCCATCTTCGTCGACGCGGCTGCCCTTGAGACGCTTGGGATCGCCCTCGACGACGACGCCGACCTGCCGTCCGTTGTCCATGACACGACCGTCTGCCTCGACAGTAGCATCGGGGAAGTTCTCGAAGGGAGCAAAGTCCTTTTCGTCGCCACGCTCCGAGTGGGAGAGAGGCTCGGCCTTGCCAATGACATTTCCGGAGTCGTCCCAGATTCTTCCCTCCTCGTCTGCTCTCTTGCCGATGAGCTTCTTGGCGTCACCCTCAATCAAGCGTCCGATGATGTCGCCGTCCTTGTTGACGAGGTTGCCGGCCTTGTTGACCTTGCATCCCTTGAGCTCCGAGAAGTCAATCTTCTTTTCTTCTTCCAGCTTGTCCTTCTCTTCTTGTGTGAGGTCTTGTTGCTCTTCGAGAGGCTTCTCGCCCTCCTTCGCACCCTCCGCAGCTTCGTCGGGCTTCTCTAGCACATCACCGGTGGTCTCGCCCTCTTTGGGCGCTTCCTCGTCCATGGGCTTGGGGACTTCCTCCTGGAGCTTGTCCTCGCCCTGGTCTTTGAAGTCCTGGCCCTTCTCTTGCGCCTCTTCTGTCTTGTCTTCCATAGAGATGGGGGCCTCTTCCTCCTTTCCGGTGTCCTTCTCGAGATCCTTTGCTTGTCCTTCGGCCTCTTCCTGGGGCTGCTTGTCACTTTGACTCATCTGGATCGTCGAGTCAGTGGTCGAACTTTGCTCCTCTGAGCTGGGTTTCTGCGTCCTACTAACCAGGTCCAGTCCCTGAGAAACGGGCTTCTGAAGGTTGCCAGCTGTCTCGACGGCCGACTTTCCCTTTCCCATGAGGTCCCAGCCGCCGGACTTTTGGTCCTTGTTGCCAGTCTCGGTGGTGTATTCGCCTTCGCCCTCGCCCTCGCCCTCCTCCTCGTGCTCTTCCTCGTGCTCTTCTTCGCCCTCATCATCACCCTCTTCGCCGCCAAGGTTGAGGAGGGCCTTGGTGAGGACGTTTCCGGACGAATCTAGGACATCACCTGAGGCTGTGACGGCGTTTCCAACGAGATCGCCGGACTCTTCTGTTTGCTTGATCTTTCCGATGGCCTTGCCGGAACGGTCCAGAATGTCGCCAGAGTCGGTCACGACACCAGCGGCAGACCGAGGGATAGATCGGACGTCGACTGTTCATGAGACTCGTCAGATGTGATCTCACGACTGAAGATGGCCGGATGGAAAGGGGTCGAATGACTTACCTGGGTTTGCCTTCTCCGTAGAGGGACTCTCCTTAACTTGCCAACCCCCCTGAACAGCGACTGGCTTTGGAAACGGCATGTTGATTCAAGTCTCAGTAGTTTCTGTATAGTCTCAGATTCACAAAGAATTGAGTTTAATCGTTCAAATTGAGTGTCATTTAAATATCACTTGAAGTGGTGTGTAGTTTTTGGTCGGTTGACACAATTAAAGCCATACTTTTCTTGTCTTTTCATAGCTATATATACACAGAGAGAGCTGACAAGAAATAAAGTTGCGGCCTTTCATCATACCAACTTCTATCAAACTACACAAGCTCGCACCAGCCAAACACACACACCGGCCTCAACCTACAAGGCCCAACATGCAAATCTCCTATCCCACAGCGTCACCGCGGTAATCTTTGATCTCGATGGAAAGCTGCATCTCATGCCGTCCGGATCGTAAAAACGCGTCATGACGCACATGAGACCCCATCTTACGTCTACCCAGCATGGATAACCCCCATATAAAGAGCACCATGGCTGGACGGGACACGCAAGGCACACGTTAAACAAGGGGATATCATATCACAATGATATCAGACAAGAAAGCCACGGGCAGTTTGCCAGCTCTCGGACAGGTTGAGAAGCTGTTTGGAGCTTACAATAGTGCGGCAGCTATAAGACTGAGAACAGGGATGACCTCCATGAGAGAAAGGGCCCGAGGGAGCGATCTTTCTCGTGAGCCAAGCCACACTCGCCACAGCTAAACTGGATGGGTGTCGTGTTCATTTATCATGTGGCGCTGGATATCGCACGTTTGAAACAGGTTTCTAATAATGGGGGAGTAGGGATAAGCGTGTGGCGGTTATGCACCCCTTTAATTGTTGGACGAGGATGCCCAACGTGCTCGAGGTGCTGCACAGTACTGTAGGGCTCCCGTCGGTTGCTATGACGATGATCGTCATGGAAATAGTGTATGCGGATGCGAAAATCTCATGTTCTCGGTGGAATTAAGTTTCGAGATTACACTATTCTCTTGTGGTTTCGTCTCGGACGATTGTCCATCACTAGACGACCCGGCCGAAATAACTCCTGAATGCGCCATCCTACCACCCGGATATCCAGAACAAAAACAGTCAATCCGTGTAAAAGAATCCTCTCACCGTTAACTTCTAAACACGGTGGGTATCTTGATGATCAGCTGGATGCCATCATGAGTCGACTTGACATCCAGGTACACCTCCGACGGGCTCGGTCCTGTTGAGGCATTCGCCTTGCCCGCATCATTTGAAGCTTTTCCTTCGCCCTTACTCTGCTGTCCTGATGTCTCCCCCTGTTTCTCCCCTGTTGACGGCTTATTCATCTTTCCAACGATTTCGCCTTTCTTGTTGTAGATGTTCCCGTCCCCGTCAATCTTCAACCCCCCTTCCAGATCACTTAGAGTCGGCTTCGTGTGGTTCTCAGACACATATCCCACCACCTCTCCCGCACTATCCAGAATCTCCCCCGACTCCGACACAGGCCGTCCCACCATGGACGGAAGATCGCCCTCTACCGACCCCAGCACCGTCCCATCCCAGTCCAGGATGTTGCCAAACTCATCGACAAACTTGCCCACCAAACCCTCGGCGCGAGACGCCAGCGACTCTCCGTGCTCTATGGGGTGTATGCTGGGGATCTGAATGTCCGGGTTCTTTGGTTTTGCGCTGCCGCTTTTCTCCTCATTGTTTTGAGTGCCGTTTTCATTGTTGTTGCTGCTAGTGTTGTTGGTGTTGTGAGAGTCTTTCTTGTCGTCTTCTGGTCGGGGCAACATGACGAGTCTGTGGCCTGATGAGCGTCGTCGTTCCTGTCGATCTCCCTGCTTTGGCGGCATATCCGGGCTCTTGGACGGAGACGGCAGATGAGGCATCATAACAATATGGCAAGCAGCAGTGTAAAGACAGTGAGTCTTCTGGTGTGAATGAGACTGAGATGGAGATTTGACTAAACCGAGGGCTTACACTGATGTAATTGCTCTATCGATCACACACAGTTACAAACGAGTTCCAGAGCTTCAATACTAGGGAAGCCATCTTCTATCGAGTTGCCTACAGTACAGTATCAGCAACAGAGCAAAAACAAGGCATATGCGTCATCATGTGCGGAAAACGAGGCCAAGGCCTGGGATGACGACATGCTCGCATCTGGGCGCCGATCGTGCCCAGATTCTTACGATGCTGCCGACAGGGGTTTGTCCACGAATTATAGAGCAATATCAGCCCAGCTCAACTTACATGAAGCAGCTAACCCATGCATGTGCCTTGTTTGTCCCAACTCTCTTACACCGGCTGCATTTTGTATAGCACTCCGTTAATAATTACAATACCTTGTAGATACAGTACCACGAATATAAGCCCTTCATGATAATACTTGTTTCTGCAGGCTTCACCAGCTGGAACCGCTTCTTCCGTCCACTTCTGTCTAGTTCCTCGGAACCCTTCCCGATCCATCCAAGGTCGAAGAAAGTCAACAGCCACAAGTGACACCCCATCCGCATGGCAGTGGTGGCGCAGCACTGTGGCAGCTGGAGCTAGAACAAGTTGTCGTACGGAGAATATCTGCAACAGACTGTGGCAAGTGTGGCTACACCGAGCTTGTGGGACGAGCTCGGACTACCTCGTGGCTGGTGAGACGCTGTGGCTGCCGCTTTTCCGCAGCCTCTGTATCATCGATATCAAAAAAAAATTACGTTGGATATGGAGGGAGAGGGAGAATTTCCGAATTATGGTCATTCGTGGTATTAACAGCTAGAAGGGGATGCTTCCGTCGCATCTTTATTGACAAGCAACTTTCGTGCAGTAGATCGCAAGAAACCCACTATGAAAAACAGGGCAGCATTCATCCTCCCGCATTGTAATTGGTTCAACTCCAATACACTAACAGCCCTTTCATTCTTCATCCCCTCATCCAAGATCATACAAAGGCTTTACCATTAGAACAAAAGGCAAAATAAACATGTGTAAAGAAAAAAAACCAGTGAATCGTAAAGAGAGCGTCCCAAAACCGTCCAAAGCCCCGAATTTGCGCGGCTTCGTGTCGAAAGAGGAGCGCCCCTCGTCATTAAAAAGCAGAGAGCGCCGTCGTCGGTGCAGTTGATTGTCTCAGTTCCTGGTGCCGTGAAACAAGAGCAACACCGTTAGCCGTGTTCGTGTTTTGTTTTCTATTAAATGCGGAAGATATGGGTGGTGGTGGTTTCTTCTTTGTTTGTTCGTCCCCATAACTAGCCGGTCCTGAAGAGAGAGATGCGGGTGCCGCATTGGTAAGATAATGTGCTACCCAGTAGGACGCGGATGGAGATGGAGAGAACGAGTAACAAAGAATAAACCTGGGCTTTTTTCTTTGGGTGCTGTTTCGTGAAAGGGAGGGAATGGAAAGATAGGTAAAAAAAAGGAAACAGGGGAACAAGTTTGACTTACAGCAACGCCAGCTCCAAATCACCATGGATCTTGGCCTTGAGCTGAATCTCAATATCCAAGTTCAGATCCAGCCGCAACCTCAACGTGTCGCTCTTGCCGCCATCGCCCTTCTCCTGGTTGTCCACGGCATTGTTCGTGACGCTGCCCAGCGTGTTCGTGACGCCGCCCAGCACCCCGTTGGCCGTCTGCCCGACCTGGCCCAGCTCGCCGCCCACGGGCAGCTGGTCCAGCGGCCCGGCGTTGGTCTGACCGCCGCGCTGCTGCTGCTGTCGCTGCTGCGTCTGCGTTCGTTGTCTCCGGCGAGGCTGGGGAGGGGGCACTGATTCGGTAGCCGAGTCGGAGCCGTAGTCTTCGGCGGAGTCGGTGCGATCTTTCTCTGCGGAGCGACTTGACATGTTTGCGGTTTGGTGGTGTTGTGTTGTGTTGTGCGGTTATGTGAGTACTCGGTGGTGGACGTGTGTGAGATGCCGTGTATAAGTGAAAGGTGAGATGAGATGGATGAGACGAGAATCGATAAAAGTCGAAGGGATAAAAAAGAACCCTCTCAAAGTAAAATAGGAAAGCCTGTTCTTCACTGGAATGGTATGAGTAAGTCTTCAGCAGCTATTTGCCCGTCCAAGTATATTCCAACGTCTCAATCCTCCAATTCCCCGGAGCATCATAATGATATACCCATTAATTCTCCACCACACGATCATCGACCCTGCCCGTCTTCCACGTTCTACTCATGTTCTTCCTCCTTGATTCAGTTCATTACTTTTCCTCTTTACACGCCTCACCTTCAGCAGCACCCCTATGAAGTCATCATGAAGCAATAGCTGGTATGTAGACCTGCAAGCTTGATCAATGGCTCCCCTTCTGCATGACACGACAAGGGTCAGCATCCTGCTAATGTTCTGGGACTATCCTTCTCCGTACTGTAAGGCTGTTCCCCACCAATTCGGCCTCTTAACCGTTTATTCCCACAAAACGGTCACCGGTCCATTCTTTACTGTGCTCTCACTTGTTAGATCTTCAGCCACCTCATCGAGATGAAGCAATAAGCCCCTGTTCAGCCACACACCATCTATCCCATCGGGGCACACAGTTGCACGCTTATACTCTTCGAATGACATTATCTTGGCCCTCCATGCATACTGTATATACTGTAATCCATTTCCTAGTCTCTCACATACTTGCTGTCCATGCCAAGCAACATCCTCCTCCTCAGCTTCACAGGCTTACACTCGTCCGCCCCCAAGTTATCCAGCATCTCATTCTCTGGATCCCAGTACACCAACCACCGTGGCTTGCTGCCGTCCTCCCCACGCTCGAGCTTCGCCACGAAGCACTCGCCATTCCCTTGCAGCGTCAACAGCGTCTCGTCCTTGCTCCAGCCCCAGGGCCCAATGACGTGCCCCAGGGTGTCTTTTCGTCCGCCGTACTCCACCGCGTGTGTGTCTTTATTGACGTATATCCAGTTGAGCATCGGAGGATCGTCCGAGATGGTGCTCACCAGCCCCAGGTGCTTCTCTTCGCTGGGGTACGTGAAGTAGTAGCCACAGAAGGCGTACCCCGGGAACTCGGTGTCGAGCGGGACGTTGACTTGCAACTGGCTTCCGTCAGCCCCATCGTCGTCAGCTCGGATGGGTCGCCCATGGTCGCCTTACCTTGCCATCTTTCAGCACACAGAAATCCGTCTCGTAGTCTTCGTCTTCTGATCCTTCTTCCACTATCGCCGTCAACCGAAACTTTTCCTTTTCCTTGTTCGCTGCGTTTGCCTTTTTCTGCGCGCTGACGGCCTGGCCCACGCCGGTGACGGTGGGTATCGCCGTTATGGCGAGAAGTCCAATGACCATGGTGTAAGTCGTCGGCCGGGTGTGTACCGTAGCCTGAGCATGAAGCAAACAAAAAACAAGCAAAGCAAAACAATGGTCGTTCCAGGGAGTTTGGTGGGAAGGGCAACGAGGCTTTCCGTACAATGACGTTTTTTATGGACGGACCGTGTGCGATTCTTCTCCCCATCTGTGTAGTATCCCGAAATAACCCTGGAGCCTATGAGGAAGTCTTGCATGAAGCCATCGAGATCCCGCGCCCCAACTGTGGGGGCCGGGCGGCATCCCAGTCCGATTCCAGCATACTGTAGACAACCCATGCTAGCCCCCTTCCCTTATGACTTCACTGGATATGACCTCGACGCCCATGGTGTGGTGTGAGCCCTCTCAGCAGCTTCCCCAGTTGCCCAGCTATCACAGGTTTCATGCCATGCAGTCTGATTATGCCCATACGTAAACTTGGAACGTCATATACGCCACCAAAAAGCAGGACAGGGGGGGAGTGCAAGTCAAGCTTGGCTTTACACCTCAGACCCCTTGCTACTGCTATCCAAGATTCTTTGTGATTTTCAGTTTCCTTATTTTTCCCTTTGTTCTATTTTCTCTGCTTTACCTGTTCTAGCTTCGTGTAAAAGTTGATTGAGACACATCGCAGTTGCGTCACTCGGCATCAAGGTAGTCCTCATGGTGGGCCGTGATCCGAATTGTCCTCTTAGAGCCACAAAAGCCAGCCGTCGCGGACCTACGCCTCATTTCGACATTGCTGTATTAACTCAAGACTTGTATCTTGGATTTACTCGGGATCCCAATTGATTGAATAATCTGATCTCTTATTGTCTCTCTGCATCTTCAGCTGCTTGACATCTCATAACATCTGTTTGCAACACCCATAAGCATCATCCATCATGTCTTCAGACGAGGTTTGTCTTTCACACTCACAGCCATCTATGCGCAACAAGCGATAATTCCGTCAACTAACTGCCATTTAGAAACCCCAAGACCAGGAGTTCAAGAGAGAGGAGCAGGAACACCAAGATGGTCAGGAGCACCAAGACAACCAAGACCAGAACCAAAACCAGCAAGATGACAACGACAACGACAACGATAACGCCTCAGACCACCAGCAAGACTCTCAGCAAAACGGCAGGACGGGTGAACTAAGCGAAGACAACTCTTCCGACCGCGACGAAGAAAACGAGCCCGCAACACCACCCGCCCCCGAACGTCAACGCTCAAGCGGCCGCGGCGCCCGTGGTGCTCGCGGCGGCGGTGACGACGATGCCGGCAACGACCGCGAAAGAACGCAGACCCAAACCAAGACGCAGGGCCGCCGCAGAAGAAGGGGCGCCCCGTTGCGCCAAGTCCAAGACGACGACTACGATGACGATGACTATGATGAGAAGGGACAGGGCATGGTGCCCCATCAGCAACGGCAGGGACAGCAGCAGATGTACCAGCCACAACAACAGATGCAGATGCAGCAGCAGATGCAGCAGCAGCAACAGGTGCAGCAGGGAGGCAAGAAGGACGACGGCAAGAACCCGCTCAAGCTGCGGCTTGACTTGAATCTGGATATCCAGATTGAGCTCAAGGCCAAGATTCACGGTGACCTGACGCTGGCTTTGCTGTAAGATGCCCCCCTCTCCTCAACCCTCTCCTCACTCCACCTGAATTGAGCTTTGCTAACGAGCGACTCGCAGTGACATGGATTGATTGTTTGGCATGCGTCGATTTGGTTGATATGGCGATTTCATTAAGTTGACTTTATTTACCACGCCTGTGTTCTGGTGGTGTCTTATTTCCTCTCTGCTTTTGCGTTTCCGTTTGTCACACTTAGTATAATGAATGAGGCCCTCAAAGGGGCATGTTGTTTGATCTGTACATATACATCTATATGTGTTTTCTATTATGTGCTTTGTATCTCTGTTGAGTCGTGTATCGGTTCAATGTACTCCGTATAGGTATCATATAATGTCAACGTAAACAAGAAGGTTCATCAAAACGCCTCATGAACGCACCCTCTAGCCGTGGATGCGGTTCCATACAGATTTATACCAAACATTGTGCTTCACCCCGTGCTCTATTCGTCCCGTTTCGTTGACCAGCGGCATGCACTGGAAGGCTTCGGCGAAGACGTTGAGACACTTGCTGCGCGCCTCCATGTGGCCAGTCTGCCTGCTGATGCCGCCGGAAGGGTCCAGGTTGATGTACTGACTGCTCCCTCGGACTAACAAGGGGCCTGACCCGGTCAACATGGAGACGACAAAGTTGAGCCCAATGTCTTCGCAGTTGAAGGCATCGTCGACATATTTGCGAATCTTGGTAACGGCAGGGTCATCGGAAAAGTAGTAGTCGAGAAAGGCAATGTGCGTAAAGGCGAGGTTCGTCAGCACCATAGAGTAGACGTCCTGGTGTGCCTTCTGGGAGCAAAAGTTATAGTCCCAATCGCCAGACGGGAGAGCCGTCGCGCAGCGCGCCAGCGCGCCCGTCATCCTGTCCTTGCCAAACTTGCGCCACATCTGAAAGACGAACTCGAGGTCATCGGGGCGGTAGTAGACATCGTCGTCAGACAGGAGAATGGCCTGAGTCCGGTATTCAGGGTCAGGCCACAGCTTCTCGTTGAGACTGTCGCGGGTCGGCTTGCGGTATCGCACAGGCACGCCGTGCTGGGAGACGAAGCTGTCGGGCGTCTTCTCGTCAAAATTGTTCCAGATGATGACGATTTCGTGCAGCGACGGAATTTTGGCGGCCAGCAGCGCGGTCAGGGTGCGGTGAAGCTCCCTGGGGCGGTGGAACGTCGACATGGCAATCCTACAGCATCCCTCATCAGTACAACCATATCAATCGCGGTTAGGGGCACCATCCACCCACGTGAATTTGTCTTCCAGCAGCCCGCCATATTTGGACTCGGCTGCCGCCCGCCATGACTGAAGCGGCCAAGTCACATTGGCGCTTGTCTGATTGCTGCAAAGAGGGTATCGAGGCCCGGCGCCCTTCGACTGAACCGAGAGGGAGATGGCTGCCGAGGGGCTCAATGGATTGGCGAGCAGCACAAAGGTGACGACGGATAGCGTTAGGGCCAGCAGGATGGTGGTGCTTCTCCTGAGGCGGAGAAACGACACCATTGAAGCGAGCATAACGGCGACCAGGCGTCACACCTGATCTGTCGATGGCGTCGCTGGTTCTGGACGGCCGTGGCTGCGGGAGCCGGGATGCAACTGCAATCTCAGGCTGGGACGGTACGATTGAAGCGGCTTGAAACGGGCATCTTGCAGCTCCGAGGAGAGCATTTGGACGGAAAATTGCTTGTGATGATGGCGAACAGCATCGCCCGTGATAGATATCACGTGCTCTTGACCGTACTGTGCGGTACACGAGACATCGGAGCGTCTCTGTCTCCCTGCTCCTATCCCACCAACTCCGTGCAAAGTCCAGGCCTGATACGGAGTACACATTGGCCGGGCACAGTACCTGGGAGTACGCACCAGAGAGCAGAGACACACATAAAAGCACAGGCACAGCTCCTCGTGTGCCGTAGCGCCAAGTCGCGGCGGTGCACGAGCACGGCATGACGTAGCGTCGGCACTTGACCGGGCTCAGCACAACAGCCGTGCAAAACTGTGTCTCGTCTCACATGCTACGCGCAAAGTAGCCGGTACAGGGCGGGACTTTGCCTAGTCGCCGTCGTCGCTCACCACGTTTCTCTCGATTCGAGCCGAAGACTCCGTAATTCAGGTCCTCGATGCAAGCAAACGGGAAGCCCTCGAAGCCACCCCTTGCGGAGCTGCCCGGCCGAGGCAACTTTATTTTCGGGTTTTCCTTCTGTTCCCCTTTTTTCCCACAGATCTGGACTGCTGGGGCTCCTTCTCAGGGTACAGGGCTCTTTTGGTTTCTAGAGCAGTTAGGGGGGCCTGGAACGCTTCAGATCTGCACATGTCTGGTTTGTTGTCAACTGTCAGACTTATTACTGCGACTGTGTCTGCGAGCAACGCGGAATCGATGTGATTATTCCTTCAGCCTGTCCTCCTGCCTTGCTTGTCAGCATACGAGCCTGGTTTTGCTGTATTCTCCAATAATTCCCATTCCTGAAAAGTATCTAATCTGTGCCTGAGAGATATGGCATGTCTTCCTCCATCAGAAGACTTCTGCCGCACGATCGTCTGCTGATATAAGCGGAGGTGACACAACACCACACCCGCGGACAATGTCATTGCCCCGTCTGATTCCATCTCCTCCTCGCTCTCCCTATCAATTTGTCTGCTAGTACTAGTAGTAATACTTTCTCCAAAGTCCAGCTCAAGCAACTAATCGAGTAGCACCATGCACCCAGAGTCAGCATCCCGGGCTCTGCAAGCCTCCGTGGGACGCGCCATGTCTCTCACCCGCACAGCTGGACCTCCGTCCGCATTCCTGCTTCGCGTCGGGCCCAGCACGCAGCCCGAACCCCGGCCTAGTGCCAGAATCAAGCTGTGCTCGAGAGCACGTCGCAGTAATTGCTCCGGCGCCGCTCGAGCCTGCGGAAAAGACGCAGCCCGGAGCGCAGCCAAGTTCCGTGTCTCGAATCTCTAACTGTCTCTGTGCTAGTCATCCCGCAGCCCAGCCCAGCTTGCAACGACTCTTCCTTCAACCCTCAGGCGCAAGACTGACCAGGGCCTGTGTCCAACAACGATCCGCCATGGATGCGGATGCTCCAATCACCCTCCAGCTCCGCCTGTCACCTTGCAGTCGTAGCGCTGCCGTGAAGCCGCTCAGCCATTTCCATCTGACGGACGGCGTCATCAAATCGTGAGCCCATTTGTGTGCCAAGCAACGAGCTTGCGTAGTCTCAAGTCCGCCTCTTTTTGCTGTCGTCTTCAAGTTTTTGGTGTATTCCCATTTTCCGAGTCCGAGGTATCGCACAGCTGGAGGTACCGCGACGGGGTTCCGCCTGGTACAACACCACCCACGCATGGCGCGTGCATGTGAATGGTACAAGCGGCAACTCGGCGCAGGTACCGACCAGGTATGCGATACCCCCTCTGGCCCAGCTGCATGTCCGCCAAGGAGACGGACAAGGGCGCAACTGCAGTGGTGTTTAAAGGGATGCACTGCAGAGACTGCACAGGACGTGTTCCTTGGGCAAGCCACCAGCTAAATTGCGTTTGAGGCGTTCCGTTCGAAGTCTCTTGGCCGTAAGACACAGCAGAGAAGGGGAAGAGGAAAAGGGGGGCTGCGGCCAGGCCAGTCCCATAATTTCTTTAGAGGTCAGGTAAAGTGCCTAGGCATACTCCGTCTTGAAGCCCGAAATGGTGCGATGTCGTAGACTATTTTTTCGTCTCTCTTACTTCATTTCAATTTTTTTTTTTTTTTTATAAAGAAAAAATCTTTTTGTCTTCTTTGAGCCTCGGCTGCCGGAGCTTGCAGTTGCGACAGCCCGTCACTGCGCATGACGGACAACAAGAGGGAGTCAAAATACAAATACTACAGGATAAGAGAGCCACTATAGGAGAAAGGCAACAAAGCCAAAAAGGAAAAGGGACAAAGGAGAGCACCTACTTATTCAGTGCTTCAATTTCTTACATCTCCGCTGCCGATCCCCGATCCTGCTCCTCTTATCTGCCTTAGCACCCAACAGAGAGGTTCTTGGTGGTTCTCGGTTCTTGGACGAGACTTGGTTAGACACACAGGCGCACAGAGCGCTAACCTGCCCAAGTACCACCCGAACCTTATTATTTGACGTCTCTGTCATTCCTCCCCCTTCTTTTCCCCCTCTCACATCCTCCTCTTCCTCTTCTTCCACTCTCACCAACTGCTTCTTTTTTCCTCTGTTCCTTGTCCCCTCCTCCTCCTCGAACCGCCCGCCATGCGCACCCGCAACATCGTGGCCCTGGCCGCCATCGCCCTCTTCTGGATGGTCTTCCTCTTCAGGCGGCACATCCACGAGCTGGGCGAGATCGCCCTGACATACAGCACCTTCTACCCGCTGCTGCACAGACACCCCGACATTCTGTATCGCCACCCGGAGAACGCCTCGTCCGTCGTCTCAGAGCTGGCGTCAGAGTCCTCGTCGACGCTTCCCCCCGTCGTCGTGCCCAAGATCATCCACCAGATCGCCCTGGGCAACGCCAGCGTCGCCAAGTATCAGGCCGCCATCTCCAGCTGCACCGACCTGCACCCCGACTGGGAGCACCGCCTGTGGACCGACGTAAACGCCACGGCCTTCATCGCCGAGTTCTACCCCGACATCCTGCCGCACTACACCGGCTACGCCCAGAACATCCAGCGTGCCAACATCCTCCGCTACGCGCTGCTGCACCACTCGGGCGGCATCTACGTCGACCTCGATGTCACCTGTCGCGTAGCCCTCGACTCGACGCCCATCGTGCGGCTGCCGTACGTCTCGCCTGGCGCCCACCCGGCCGGCGTCAACAATGCCTTTATCGCGACCGAGCCCAACCATCCCTTCCTGACGCAGCTGCTGGAGAACGTGCCCAGCCACGACCTGCACTGGGCGCTGCCGATGCGCATCCCCTACGTCGAGAACATGCTGAGCACGGGCTGCATGTTTTACTCCAACCAGTGGATGGCGTACGTCCGCGATGTTCTCGCGGGCCGCCAGAGCAGCAAGGTGTACATCCTGTCAGACGAGCATGGCGATATGGCGCCTCACATGCTCCGCGGCAAGGTGACGACGCCCATCTTTGTCCATGGCGGCGCCAGCAGCTGGCACGGCTGGGATGCTGCGCTATTCCTGACGATTGGCGAGCACTACACGTTTTACTTGGGCGTGCTGTTTATTGCCCTGACGCTCGTCTTTGGCGCGGCCTACTTCTACACCACGTCAAGGCGTTCATACCGCAGACGCTGCCGATTCTTCAGCTTCGGCTCATCCAGAAATAGCTGGTCGCCCACCAGGCAGCGAAAGCCCAGCATTAGCCAGTCCGTGGTATAAGGCTGGAATCAGCGTCCTCAATTTATATCTGCTTGAACATGCGACAGGTGGCGCATTACCAGATGCCGCTCACCCTTGTTTCTTCGCACATGTTGCCAAAGGATGCACCCGCAATCCATTGGCTTTCTCGCAAGCTTACTCGCACACTTTACTCTAATCCTACTACACCAGTAGTATTCGGCATTTATTTCGAAGCTTTAGAAGGAGAAGATACCCGCCTGTTTTTCTCCCGGCGACTTACACCATGGTTTTACACGCGACGAGGGGGCGAACCGGAACACGCTGGCGATGTTTTGCCCGCTCTCTTCTTGTCTTTACACATAGCGGTTCCAGGCGGATCAGTCACGATATGAGCACGGATGGCAACGACATACGGGGAGGTGACATTTGGCTTTGGCTACTAGCTGGCGTCTTTGGTCGGGGTTTCTATAGGAATTATGAAGCATTCCATCCTATAGCAGGGTCACAGAGTGTAATGATAGAGAGAATACCAAGAATATCCACAGGGCCTGCCTGGGTTAATGATAATTTACAGAAGCGGTTTCGCTTGATTTATCCGTCTTTGCTTTTATCACAGAACCAAATGTGCAGTCCATCACAGTCCGAGCCAGCTGATTTGATTTGGTCCAACATGAGTACATGAATAACATGCATGCTGGGTGCAGTTTACAGTCCCCACGGTCACCAGTCTCCCCCCCTCTCTTTGCAGTTGGTTTCCCTCTTGTTCGGCGGTAATACAGTCATGGTACGCCGGCGGTTGGATGTCGAAAGTCGTGGGCGTCATACTTACGACTTTACTAAGACGCCATGTACCTCCTCCTGCACTCGAGGCGGAATTCAGGCAAGTGGCTCGCAATTTGCACGAATGAGCATGCTTGCAAGATTTTTTTTTTTTTTTCCTGGCGGGGGAGGAGGATGCGTTATCTGCCATTGCCATTGTAGTCTGAAGGTGGTGCAAATACAATAGAGGTGAGGGGCTGTGCCTGAGATGAGGTAGAAGTAAGACGCCACTTGATCTGATTTGCTGCTTTATTTCCTTAGTTCTAGTACTTGCATTTGTGCCATTATCTGGAAGGATGAGTAAGATTGTTCAGGTGCAACGGCTGTCAGGAGGAGTTGCCAAAGATGAAGCCTGTTCTGCTCCCTCGAGAACTTGACACCGTCCGATGACAATACCGGATGAAAGCTGTACCTTTGAAGGATTGCAACTTTGAAAGCTACCTACCCAACTACTCTCATGTTGTCCGGAAAAAGAAAGGGAGGAAATAAACATAACGGAGTCTAAGGGATGTAACCGAGACCCCGAAAGTCAATCGAAACCGGATCCTCCCCCAAGTGTTCAGTGGCTCTCTTTCACATGCTTCTCGAACCACTTTTGAGGCGTAGCAAGAAAGTAGGTGTAGACAGATGCCAGTAAAGCCACCAGACGAAAGTATACTAGTGCTGAGTTGAAATCTTTCAAATGTTCTGAAACGGTCCAATTGACTGTTGATGAATATGGCTCTCTGTTGACGTTGATGGAAGGCGAATGACATGACATGTGAGATGTCGCCAGAAGCTCACGATTATAGAGTTGCACGCATCCACGCGGAGTACATGTAGTCATCACACAGCAATAGCATGTCGTTGAGTCGTTCAAGATCGCTATGAATCCTTTTTGTAGGAATTGTAGGGAGTATCAATCTATCTAAGACCACGCTGAGTCGAGAACGGCAACGCTTGAACCCGCTTGAACAACTTACAAGCCGACAACGAAATCAACACCTGAACACACAGAGGTATCTCATGCGAATACTTACATACTTCAAACAACAGAATCTACCGCTCCCACGGCACTTCAACCCCCAAGTCTCTAGCCACTCTCATCGCCGACAAAACACACCCCTCCAATAACACCATCCCATCCCAGCACCACGATCCCACAATCCAGACATTATCCCTCCCATTCGTCCACACGCCTTCATCTCCTGCCGCCTCTTTCCCAGTCCCCAGAACCCTCTGCACGGCGGCTCTGCTCTCCGTAGTCCGCAACGTCCGCGTAAACCTCGCCGTGTCCAGCGTCCCCTTCAACTCTGGCGCATCACCCACAGGACTCGTCCTCACGACCAACCCATCAGACAAATAGTGCAGCGTCTCCGTCTGAACAACGCTCTCGGAAAATGTCGTCCTAAAAGCCATGACCTGGGCGTCTCCGCGGCGGTACGAGCATTCTCCGGACGGGACGTGAGTCTTTTCGGGCATGACGGATAGTCCTGATGCGAGAGGGGCCGCGACGGTGCTTGTGACGGGGACCGTAGGAATGACGCTCAGCAGAGGCTTGGCCGGGTTGAAGATGGCGGCGGCGACGTTGGGCGACACGGCGAGCACGACGCGGTCAAAGACCTCCTCAGAAGCAGCAGCAGCAGCATCACCATTGACGCTCTGAGAGCGTATCAGAACGCCTCCATCAACTCGGTCCACCTTTGTAACACGGGTCTCTAGGCGGACGTCTTCGATGCCCGCCGCCAGCGTCGCCTGGACGCGGTTGATGCCGCCACGTGCCACATACGTCTTGCGCAGAAACGAGCCCTTGACGAATTCCGTCACGTCACTCGCCGGGAAATCCAGCATCTCGGCGTGCGAGCAGCTGCAGATGATGCTCAGCACAGGCAGTAGATAGTACAGCGCGTAGGTCTGCGGCAGCCGGATGCGATCGAGGTATTGCCTAAACGACTCACAGCTGCGGGCGCTGCCGTTCTTCTCCTTTGCCACCGACCTCACATCCAGATACGCCTCAGCCTTCATCATCCGAGGTGAAAACAGAAAACAGGCCGCAAAGAACCAGATGTGGCAAAGCGCCAAATACAGCGTCTGCAGGATCGATTGCACCGACCCGCGCCAGAAATGCGGCGAAATCAGCAGCATCTCGTGCAGCCTCTTGCCATACACAAAGTAGTTCCCGGGCATCGTCTGGACGGCCTCAGGAGACGGCACCTGCGCCTGGGCGGCGGCGGAAATGCGAGTAAAGACCCAGATGAGCTGGATCTGCTGAAAGGGCACGCCGAGGTGGTCGTACATGCGGCACAGGTTGGCGTAGTAGCCGCGGCAGAAGCTGCGCGGCGGGATGTCGATGCGCTCGGTCGTGCCACTTTTGGCGTTTTTGATGGTGACTGACGCGGCATCGAGGGAGAACTTGGGAGCCTTGGAAGTGAATGTTAACAGATGATGCCTTCACTATGGATACATCCATCACGGATCGTGCATCGTGACTGACCTGTTCAAAGAGCGTCACCTCGTAGCGCTTCTGCGCGTCGTGATGCAGCAGATACGCTGTCGTCAGGCCGGCCAGGCCAGTGCCGATGATGGCGACCCGCGTCTTGCACTCGCCATCGGCAGCTTTGTTCCGTCGAGACGGCATCTCTTCCCTATGGTTGTTCAAAAGCGCAGCGAGATAGGGCTATCCAGGTGGTCCAGCGAAGGTGATCAACTGAGAGATGGCCTGTTCAGCTCGTCCGCCTCGTATGCATGAGTGTTCTTTATAGATGGAACTGTTCGTGTTCCCTTTCCGAAATCAGAAACAGACTTTTGAAAGAGTGAAACGTATTAGTATATGGCGATTTCAGGACATCATCTGATGATGGGTTTTGTCTCATACCTTATATTTCAAGGATAAGAGCATCGGCCGCATGACGGACCCCAACAAAAGCTGCTCAATCGCCCTTTCTGATTGGACCGGCGAGGGCGTTTGAGACTCCCCGGCGGGCCACACAAGCCCGAGCTGTAAATACTCCGTACCTCCTCGATTATAATTTCCAGTGTTATTTCTTACCGACTATCAGCAGAGAGAGGCGAACATTTTGCACGTGCTAATCCACTGCATGTTGCTCAAATATTTGCCGATTTTACAGGGGCATGACAGAGTGAGAGGTCTGATATAATAGAGAAGAGAAATGCGTATTACTATCAATGCAATGCAGTCTTTCCCATCAGCGGGTGGCTTAGTTCTAGCGTGTAGCTGCCGGGATTCACGATGACGGGAATGACAGAAATGACATGCAGCCGCCAAAAGACATCAAAGTTTAAAATGTTAATTCGGACCCTTGATTTTTTCTGTCGCCGTCATGAGACGTGAGAATCTTATTCAAGAAGTACTACGACGACAAGGACCAGCCACTTTATCGTGCATCTGCCCCCGCCAACAAAACCACTGCCGTTGCACTGCTCCATCACTTTCAACCACATGCATCCACCAAACAAATCCCAATTATCAATGATCTGGCCTTCACTCAGCAGCTTCGCCCTCGGCTTCATCGCAGGATGCCTCACAATAATCATCCTCCTGGGCATCGCCGCCCTTGCGCTCACCCGCTCCGGCGACATTTACGGCCTCGGCCACTGGAAGCTCAACCTCAGGACGCCCTTCCCTTCCATGTGGATGAACCTGGGCTTCTGGTAATTTCAACTCCCCTTTTCCCTCACAGAATCATCAATCTTACTGATCTATCGATAGGACGCGAGATGACGGGACTACCATCCAGCACTTTGACGAGGCCGCGCGAAACATGCTCCGGCAGCTCTTACAAGCCGCAGGCCTCCTCTCCAGCTCAGCATCCGTCGCCGTTCTCGACGTCGGCTTCGGATGCGGCGACCAGACCGTTGCACTGGCCGAACTCGTCAACGCCTCATCACGACCTCACTTTCGCTACGTGGGCTTAACCCTGAACGCCACGCAGCTCCAGGAAGCCCAGCAAAGACTCGACGCCGCCCTCTCCCATTCAACTCAAGACCCATCATCATCCCCATCATCCTCATTAACAACCTCGCTCAACCTACCCGAAACCTCCTTTCGACTCTTCCAAGCAGACGCAGCCCAACCCACATCCTGGTCCCCCACCGTCCTCTCCTCCGTCACCTCCCTATCAGACCCATCCTTCCCCGAGCGCTGGCTCATGGGCCTCGACTGCCTCTACCACTTCTCCCCCTCCCGCAAACCAATCTTCACCCTCGCAGCGCGGGACCTGCACGCAAACGTCATGGCATTTGACCTCATCCTGAGCGACTCCGCGTCCTTCTGGGAGACTCTCGCCGTGCGGATACTCGGCTTCGTCTTGCAATGTCCCTGGCGAACGTTTTTGACGGAGAGCGAGTATAGGCAGCAGTTGGTGGAGTGTGGTTACGATAGGGACCAGGTCGAGATCCGGGACGTCTCGGACCATGTGTTTGGCGGCTTGGCGGGCCACTTGCGGAAACAGGATGCTGTGCTGAGGCCCTATGGCATCTCGTTGACGGCGTATGCCTTGGTAGGGAGGGTGTATGAGTGGTTTGATCGGACGAGGGTGCTGAAGGGGGTGGTTGTTGTGGGGAGGGTCAAGAGGAAGAGTCAGTGAACAAATGATTGCCATCACATGGAGTATACTAGCATTAAATACACATGATCGGTCAACTTATGCCGACATTGTGGCTTGCTGTAATATACGAGAGTGGCCCTATAATGAGCCGCATTCCTCAGATATCGCCGGCTTCCAGAACCACAATAAGCTTATATCAACGCCATTCAACTCACTACAAGCCTCAATTAACCTCCAATATTAACTATCCAAAACCACATATGAAACACCAATGCCCCAGATCAATGGCATTTGCTTAAAGTCAGCTCAACATGGCAAATAGTACCACAGCAATGGCACAACATCATGCACCAGTCATCGATCGCGATCGACAACCCCCATGTCAAATCAGACACAGCCACATCACCAATCCAACACCACCAACGTAAAATCACCGGCATGACCGGACCCGACATAAGAAGCGTGTGGGGTTTCATTGCTCCCCTCCTAAAAGCACAACCATCCCCGCATCGTGAACTGATGGATGCTCGCGTGTCTTACTTCTGCATTCCGACTTAGACACTTCATCGTCATCGACATCTGGTGGTTCAATCCTTTCGTCAAGGTCTAGACACATGTCGATTGTGAAGAGCATCACGCACAAGACACTCGCTGCACACGGCTTCAGTCTTTGGGATCATCTCTATTGGTATCATGCATCTAACTCTATGTTTCCCTTTTCTGACTGGGCATCTCCAAGACATCGCCAAGATGACGGCCCGCGCAAAGAAGCACGGTCCACGATACGCGATCCCGTCGAGCTAGAGAGAGAAAACCACTTTTGCAAATGACCACTCATACGCAAGACAAATGACAAAGATTCTAAAACATTCCTCTATATCAAAACCCAGCTTTTACTCGGGCTTGGGCAGCACCATGGGCTTGGTGCCCAGGCCGTTGCGGTTGCGGAAGAACAAGACGCCCTTGCCGTGGCCCTTGGCCTCGGCGCTGGGCTCGACCCAGTGGCACATGCGAGCGCTCCGCCACAGAGCGCGGATGAAGCCGACGGCGCCGTCCTTGACGTCGGAGCGGTAGTGCTGGCCCATGACGGGGATGATGGCCTCGGTGGCCTCGTCGGCGTTGTAGAAGGGAATGGTGGCGACGTAGTGGTGCAGAACGTGCGTCTCGATGATGCCGTGCAGCAGGTGGCGGCCGATGAAGCCCATCTCGCGGTCGATGGTGGCAGCGGCGCCTCGGACGAAGTTCCACTCCTCGGCGGTGTAGTGAGGCAGCGAGGGGTCGGTGTGCTGGAGGAAGGTGATAGCAACTGAGACAGAGAGAGACACGGTCAGCAGGCAAAGTCTTGTGAGTCAGTTTGCGTCAGAGATATCAACTTACCGAGCCAGTGGTTAACCCAGAGGTACGGGATGAAGTACCAGATGGCCATGTTGTACCAGCCAAAGGTGTTGCCGAGGTAGTAGAGGGTGCCAAAGGCGAGTAGCAGGCCAATGTCACTGAGGACGATCAGCTTGGCGTCCTTGGCCTCGTACAGCGGGCTGCTGGGGTAGAAGTGGTTGACACCGCCGCCAAGGCCGTTGTGCTTGCCCTTGCCGCGGCCCTCGCGCTGGCGCTCGTGGTTGTTGTGGCCGGTGATGTTGGTAAGCAGGTAGTTGGGCCAGCCGACGAGCTGCTGCATGACCAGCATGAAGAGCGTGTAAGCGGGCGTCTCCTCGGTCAGCTCCGACAGCTCGTGAACCATCTTGCCGATGCGGGAGGCGTGCTGCTCGCGGGTGCGGGGGATGAAGACCATGTCGCGCTCCATGTTGCCCGTGGCCGCGTGGTGCTTGCGGTGCGAGATCTGCCAGCTAAAGTAGGGGACCAGCAGCGCCGAGTGCAGCACCCAGCCAGTCATGTCGTTGATCAGGCGCGAGTCGGAAAAGGCGCCGTGGCCACACTCGTGGGCAATGACCCAGAGGCCAGTGCCGAACAGGCCCTGCAGGATCGTGTAGACGGCCCAGAGAGCGCCGCGGACGGGCGTCGATGGCACCGTCTCGGGGGTCACGTAGTTGTGGAAGACATAGAAGGTCGTGGCCAGGCAGACGATGTCGCGGAGGATGTACGCATAGCCCTTGAGGGCGGAGCGCTGGAAGCAGTGCTTGGGGATGGCATCGCGGATGTCCTTGATGGTGAAGTCGGGCACCTTGAACTCGTTGCCGTATGTGTCGACAAGGCGGCCAAACTCGACCTCCTTGCCGTCGGCGCCGTTCACATCAACCGACGACAGAGACGACAGCGACGTCGACGAGGCCGAAGGCCGGGGCGAGTCGATGGGAGACACGACAGCAGAGGACTCGGTTGAGTCCGTCACATTGCGCCGGAGGGGCACCTTTTCAGGCAGATTCAGCGCGGTGGAAGCCATGGCGATGCTCAAGGTCTGTCTCTCAGAGAAGACTCGTGGCTATTCCCAGTGCTGAGGGGTGAATATGAAGGAGCAAGAGAAGAGAGAAGAAAAAAAGATGAAGAGATGGAGAGAGCACAGCTCGCTACTAGTATTACTATCAGATAAGATAGGCGGCTGGTGAACGGGCCTACAGGGGGAGGAGGAAGGAGAGAGACGAGCTTGACGGGGAGTAGCCCGGTTTTGTCTGTCCTGGGGGGGGGCGTGTGAGAAGGAGGAGGAGGAGACGGAAAAAGAGGAGATGATGGTCAGGAGAAGAGTCTGATTGGGATGTGCAGAGACATGGACGAAAAGGGGCGGCAACAGAGGCAAAATCGACTGACGGGCCAGACCGAGCAAGGCGAGAAAAAAAAAAGAAAAACAGGCAAAATCAAGCCCAAGCTGTTAGCAACAAGTCATGGCCCAGCCCAAATCCACGCCCAGGCAAAGCCGATCTGCGCAGATTCCCTTACCAGAGTGACTTGTTTGCTCTCGCTCGCCTCCCACCCACCGGCTATGGCTGGCTCGGTACGCGGTACTCCGTACTGGATACTTGGGACATGCAGTAGCAGACGCAGTGGCAGCCGCAGAACGGCAGCTGGAGCCCTTTCCTTGGCTGGTAGCTCGTCTCGTACGGGCATGAAAATTTGTTGGGGCGGACAAAATTCGCGAAAAAAAATCGAGAAGAGCGGCGTGGGGCTTTGGGCTCAGCCTGAGGAAGATGACAGGTACCGAGTACGTGCTACACATGCCTTGAAGGCATCAATGCTTGATCAATTCACTTCATTCCTTTCTACCATCTCTATTCCTGAGGTTTCTTCTCCTTTCTGCTGCTCAATTGACTGGTTTTGCCGTGATTTCGAGAAAGGATCCTTATCGTTTCATGATTTCTTCTGGATGCCCCCTAGAAAACGAAGATCCATGAAAAAAATTCTGCCAATTGGAGACGAGCTTGACGCCAGATCTGGGTCCGAGCGATTAAATCGGACCCTGGATTGCCCTTGGCGGGGCGGTACAAGGTACAAGGGACGATGTACCTTGAGCCGACCGCTGCATGTGAACAGGGGGAGCCGCTTCAACGATGACCAGACAGACAGCCACTGGGCTCAGCAATTGCGAGACACTGACCACACTGGCTTCTTTCTTCGCATCACTGGTGAGGCGTGTTTCTGCCTCCCAAGCCTTCTGACTTGCTTCAGACATCATTCCTGCGTATGGAGTTTCAGCAGACGGCGTTGCCGTCGCCATCACATGAAAAAGGCAAAAAGAACAATTCGGAGGGCTAAGATACGCCATCTCCGATACCCGGCTGCAACATGGCGCCCGAAGCTGACCCAAAAACTCCTGTCAATCTAAAAGCCCTCAAACGAGCAACTGCTCTGAATATCATCTCTCATCTTTAGACATGGATTTTCGCAACCGTGCGGATCACTTCACAGCCTGATTGGAAAAAATGCTGCAAACACGTCGGTACCAGCCCGTCTAAGCTGGAGCGCAAGTACCGCTACAAGATACCGTAGCATCGAAACACCCCCAAACCGACCACGTAGCCCTGAGCCTGCAGGAAGAGAGGAAAACCCTGCATGAGGGGATAACGCGGGCGGGCGTGACGGGGGTGGCTGGGCTGAAGGAGCCTAAACAAGATTTCAAGATAGGCGAATCGTTTTCGAGCAAGCCGGGGGCTGGCAACTGCGAGAAGCAACCCTCAGGTAAATCCTCCTGTACGTGCTGTCGTTTGTCCCGTAGCGTATGTAGGCTGCTGGACATGTGAAGCCGAGCCTTGTTTGATGGTGTTGTGAGAGGGCGAAATTGACTGCTACCAGCTGGACTGGTTCTGCACATGATTCGCAGGTTCTGGATGATCTGACCCGGGTACTGGTAATCATTTGGATAGGTACAGGATGATTGAGTGCTCAAGGAAAGCGGCTTTGGGTCGTTTCTCCCTGTGCCAGGCTCGCTCCCAATGCTCACCATCCTCCACCGTCCAATCACCCAGTCAAACCACCAGTCTTTACGCAGATCGGTTAACCGCAGCGCCAATTTTTCCATTCAAGCGAACAGATAAACTAAAACATGCCTCGGGACATGTGAATGCTGCCTCTTCACCCTCCCTCCACCTTCTCTCCATCATCTCCGTCTATGGTCCCGAGCTCTCCTCATTCTTGGTGATTCCCACCCCCGGCCCCCTTCGGCATCTCCCACAGCCGTGTCATGTCACGCAAGAGGACCAGATCATGTAGGCCAACAAATTGGAAATCACGACTGATTGGTAGGCCAGATGAGAAAAGATGCTCTGTTTCCCTCAATCTCGTCGGAATTCCGCATCGATGGAGATGCATTCGGTGGCGACCGTATCCAAAATCTCAGGAGTATGAGTATTATATCTCGTAGATTTTTCGCCCCTCGGAAAGTTCCTATCTGCCATTGACCTCAAGGTTATGGGCCCTTCCATACATCATGAACATCAGCTCAACTGTCTCGCATCAAGTTTTCCTCAAACAATCCCATCATCCAATATACCGACAGCATCATCCATCAACTGCAAACTTCCATACAAGCCTCGCACACAAAGCCACTGCATCAGGTACAAAGGCGCAGAGTAACCACATCTCGTCTCTCCCCCACATCTGTTGGGAATTTTGTTGAGAGGGTCCCGGCAAGGGTCTCCCCTTCTCCCCTTGTGTGCCAACCCTCCCTTGGCGGCCTTTGTCGATCTGGGGGGGCCGCAGCCGCCGCCGCCGATTCGCCGCACGAGAAAAACCCACGTGCTTTTTCCCTCTTTGGCAGAGGGCGTGTGTTGGCTTAGTAATTACGTTCATTCTCATTGGTGGGCTTTCCCGATTGATAACTGCACAGTCTGGTCGTATTGAGACTGTTTTGATACACTGTATTGCCATCCTCATCTTCCTCACCAAGTGGTCTGCAGAAGAACAGGGCATTACGTGCCTACAACGAGACCTACGCAGTATTTGGAGAGTGTGTGATCAAGACCGCGTATCATGTGTCCATGTGTGCTAATTGTTTCCGGTGTCTAATTTTCCCTGCAATCCGCTTGCTCGCGTAGAACTTGCAGCATGTACAAGTACGGAGTATAGAACGCACCTGATCCTCTGCATGAACAAGCAGGGGATAGGTAAGAGAGAATGCATCAAGTTGCTTTCGAATGGGCTCATGGATGCCACATCGTATATTTGCCTTGCCGCCCAACACGCATGCCTTTAACAGACGAACTGGAGTCTCACGAGATATTGCTCAGAACAGAAGGTGACGAGATGTGGCATCCTAGTTGAATGCCTATCCAAATGGTAGGATTCGAGTCGATGGCATATACCGACGGTCATTGCTACTTCTCTATAGGCCAATGGTCTAAGGCTAGCTTCTAAGGGATGCCAAGTTTACTCGTACTATAACATACATCTTACTCATACTCTAGCAAAGACATGTCGTGTTAGACTACCTGCATCAGTCGGCTTCTCAGTTGAAGAATGCCTATCCAATGAACAGGATCCGAGTTGGCATTATCATTACCAACCAATATCTACTACGAGAACTATCCTCTGCTATCAATGGCATACACCAAAAGTCATCGTTACTTTATACTTCTCCGTAGGCCAATACCTAGTCAGATGCTAGCTTCCAAGGAGATGTCAAATTCATTCATCTTACTCATACTCTAGCAAAGACATATCGTGTCAGACTAGCTACTATATCAATCGGCTTCAACAACACGCAGCTCAAATATAGTCAACCTTTCTTCCACACTCTCGGCATATCGAAGCCGAGACAAGCCAGGAGCTCTAGCAATCGTAGTAAAAACGTAGCCTCATCATCAACGCACAAACAAGCTCATCTCGTCATCACATCGTGCTATTCATTCCAATCCGTACACCACGCCAAAGAGTCTCTCAACATCAAGCAAGACAACCAAGCAAACAACGCAAGCCAGCGCATGTCCCCAAAGCTCCCATCCACCACACCATCACCAAGGCACCATCCTCCCATCCATTTCAACAACAAGCTGCAACCGCTGCGGCATCGCATCAACCCACATGTTCACCCTCTCCTGGCTCAACGCCGCCCACGCCTCCCTCGCCGCCTTCTTCAAGGTCTCGTCCTCCCACCCCCTCTCCTTTTCTTTGTCCTTGTCCTTTTCCTTCAGCAGCTCAGACGTCCACTGCTTGTTCGGCGGCCACAGCGAATCAAGGGGGCTCAGGTCCGGGCTCTCGCCGCAGCTAAACGTGCACCGCAAGCCGTGCATGTCCTTCCACTGCTGCGCGAGGTTGATCTTGCTCGCGCTCCCGTGCGCAAACACGTCCGCGTCCTCTTCCAGCACAAACGCCATCGGGCCCGACGCCGTCAGCCACGGCTTGACCACCTTGTCGAGCACCTTGTCGCAGTAGTCCGGCATCGACATGGCGCCGGTGCCCTTGGGGCTCGTCGAGCTGTCGTAGAAGACCAGCTCGCTCTTGAAGCCGTAGCCCACCGCAGCCCATGCGTGCAGCCTCCTGATGTCGCGTGGCCACGCGTTGGTAGGCTCCTGCTCGCATGTACTGCACAGCTTCTCGCCCGCCCTCGGCGTCAAGCGCATCTTGCCGTCGAGCCCAAATCCAAAGTGCAGCTCGCCGCTGAACCGCACGCGGCGCCAATCCTCCTTGAGGGGATACGCCTGCAGAGCCTTTCGAGCAAAGTCACTGCGCTTCTCGCGATGCCTCTTGAGCGTGTTCGTCCGCCCACAGACCAGGCACCGGCGATACGACAACGTGCCCATCGCCCGATGCAGCGTCCTCCGGTTGCACTTGACCTCGAGCCCGGCCTCCTCAGCGAGCCCGCTCCAGTTGAGGCTCACGTCCTCGTACTTGGGATCCCACAGGATCTGGTCCATCTTGGCTATCTCGGCGTCGGCAATCTTGCTGGGCCGCCCGCGCGTCTCGCCCCATTCCGGGTCGTCACGCTTCGGCACAGGCGACGCACTGAGCGCGGCGTAGCCCTGCGATCGCGACAGGTCGAAGTGGCGGAAGATGGCTGACTTGTTCACCGGCAGGCCCTGCGACTCGAGGTAGGAGATTGTGCCGCGCACCATGGCCTTGGCCGGGGTGTCGCCATGTTTGTAGCCTGACGGCATAGGCGGTTTGTCTGGATCGATATGGACGCTGTAGCCGCCGCAGTCACTGTAGAGCGATGTAAGTCGAAGATGTCTGGGCGTGTGAGAGATGCCAAAGTCAAAGGTGTTGGGCTATTTTTGTCCGGCTTGACCGTCGAGACGCTGGTTGCTGGCGGTTGACGGAGCGTTGACGTAAAAATTGCCCACACGTACCCGGCACGTGACTGATGCGGTCAACCTCACCTCACGTTTCATCAAGCATAAATTGCATCTGCATGAGCATCTGCTGTGCAATGTGAATAACCGCCATCTCATATGAAGATAAACACGTGAATTTCAACACTTCTCATTCTCTTCTACCATTCAAAGATCAAGAAAAATAAAAGCTCCGATAGAAGCATGATATTGCAAGTTCAACTCAATCATTATGTCCGCTTATCAAAGCGAACTAAAGTGTCAACTATCTGTCGAGTTTCCAATTATCGCGAATGGCCAGCTTCAGTCATGCCATGCACTAAATAGATTCCTCGCTCAATCCGTCCTTGATACAAATATTCACGCCGATTTTGTTCAGAGCAAAAAGGAGGAAAAAGTGATCCAGTAGAGAGAGGCGTGCTCAGCGTTTGCTCAACCAAGGCTCCAGAATGCCACTTATTAACCCTGAACCAACGCCCAACCTCACGTAGCCAACCCTTGTCTCCATGTCTATGTCTTGATATACATTACCACCAGGAGTAATCTGACCAAAAAATATCGTGGGGCGTAAATACTCCGGGGGCGGTGGAGGCCCCAAGATGGTGTCTCGATGTGCAAAATGGAATATGGAAAGATGAAAGGACAAGAAGACGACAACGGAGCGCACTGCTTCTCTATGTCTTGGTATAGCAGAAAGATGAGAACAAAAGTAAAAAAGAGGCAATCGCTTAGTGCTTTCCAGCATCGCGGACGCTTTGCATAAATCGATCCTCGGCGCCAACTTCGCTCAGTGCTCGTGTAGACGAAGCGCCTGCGCTAGTCTTGGACAAGACAGCCATCACTTCATCGGCAGTCTTGCTTCCCAGCAGATCCATCTCTCGGCTGAGGAGAATGGCAACGGCCGCCCGGACCAGAAGAGTGTCGCCCTCGAAGACGTACACATCCCACAGTCTCGCTGCTTCGTCAATGGCCAGATGCGCAGTAAACAGGTTGGTGAAGATGGTGGCGAGATAGTGGTCGAGCTGGACGCCCCGTACCGTCTTGGTCAGGTGCTCGTATAGGGAACTCGACTTGGCCTTGAGCGATTCGAGCACGAGGTGGTATGCTGATGCTTGCGCGCCGCGGTCAAAGGTGTAGAAAGATAGGGGGAGAGGTCGGTTCAGGACGTTAGCGAGGGCGATAAAGGTTGATTCGGGGTTCGGTAAGTTGAGCAACAGGAGGGCGGCTATGGTCTGTTTGGTTATGAGTTAGCATGGATTTCCGCGTCGCTCCAATGCCCAGGAAATAGATCAAGGCGAAAGATGGCCACAACTCACATTGCAGCCCGACACGTAGCCAATGTCGTTTCTGTACATGGCATACGCCCTCAGCACATCTACCAGGCCCTGGTGCAGCGGGCCTGTCACTTCAAAGATGCGAAGCTCCCTCCACGTCTTCTCGGCGACGTCTTTGCGGATCTGCTCAAACCACTTGACCCGCCTCATGTCCTCGGCATCGCCCCTGTCCGTCTTGACTCTCTGCTCCAGCTCTTCTGATCGGGTCAAAGCCGCCTTGAAGGATGCCTCCGTCAGGCCAAGCTCGTTTCCAATCGCCTTGGCCCATACGGATCGCCGACTGCGAGGCGCCACTCCCTTCCACCAGAGCTCTCTCGTTGCCTTCTCGCGTATGGCCTGGTTCCACCGCGGGAGGATGTCATCTTCCCAGATGTGCATGGCCTTGTCGGCATTGTTGTCCTTGGACTCGGCCTTGGTCTTTCGCGCTGCCTCCCGCCGCTCCTCCGCCTTGACACTGGCGGCCATCATCTTCTGGTACTCGCGTAAATGGCGCCGTTCTTCGGCAGGATCCTTGGGCGGCAGCCAAGACGGTCGAGTGCGGCTCAGGACGGCTTCTTTCTCCTTGGAAATGGGAAGCGGGTCAATCATAATGTTGGAGCGGCGCAGCGGTGGCAGCTCCGCAAAAGACGACTTAACACGCTCCTTTTTCTTGTCGTAGTCCACTTTTGCCGAATGGTTCGGATTCCAGGTGTTCGGCCGCGGGATGATGCCGTGTTTCTTGGCCTGAATTTGCTCCATCTCGTCGGCATGCTCCTCCAGCTTTTCCACAAGATCCTTGGTATCCGCGTTCAAATCGGCCAGCGCGACACTCCAGCTGCGGGCCTTGCCGCTGAGGGGGCTCGGGAGCGGTCTGTCGCCGTCCGTCTTCCAGGTGGGAGACCGCAACGAGCCCTGCGCCTGGGCTACGGGAGGCGTGCCGTTGCCGACACTGCGGACTCGGTTCTTGCGGCGGTCGGGCGATGGCGACAAGGATTTGACAGAGGGAGACCGGCTGATGGGTCGCTGGCTGGCTGGACGCGGAGAGATGGGCACGTTGTCGAGGAACAGGCCGTCGGGGATGTCGTCGTCGTCATCGTCGTCGTCGCATTCCTGCTCCAACTCCGAGGTGGACTTGCGGTCTCGGCTCACCTGCCAGCTGCCTCGACGTGGGCGGGAGGGGAGATTGACATCGCGAGGATCCAGCGCCATGGCCGGGCTGGTGCTGCGGTGGCGGCGCGACTGGGGGACCGAGGACGTCGAGTATCCCTTGGTGAGGGTCGTGGGCCGCGGGTCGGAGACGGTCGAGAGATTCGTGCTGCGCGGGTTCGAGCCCGTAGAAGCGCCATTGAGGCTGGGAAAGGACCGCTTCGGGCGTGGTGCTCGTTTGGCCGAGGCGAGGTTTCGCGGCCCACGAGAGGCGTTGGAGGCAGGCTTGGCCTTGGGCGTGAGGCTGTCGTCGCCCAAGCCAATGTCCTCGAAGTGACCGGCGTCTGCCAGGACGCTGGCATCGTCACTGTTTAGCGAATGAAAGGACGACGATTTGCTGCTCTTGGACGTGGTCATGCCGGGAGGCGAGTCCGGGCTCATGTGGCCGTGGATCGTGGCGTGGTTAGCGGCGGATTCCAAGCCACCGTTGATGATGCCGATTCCAACGCCATGATCGCGAATCATTGCTGCATCAACAGGGCGTACCAGCTGCCCTGATTTGTCCCAAAAAGGTGTCGGAGATGGAGAAGGGTGTAGATGACGAGACTGTGCTGATTACGGCGTGGGGACTTGCGCAAGATATGTCTTGAAGATTTGAAACAGCGGCCGTATCTTCGGAGTGCTTCGAGGGGTAATAATAACAGAGCAACAACGGAAGAGAGGCGGAAGAGGGCGGAGAAATGAGCGTGAGAAGAGAAGGCAGAAGAAATAAAAACGATTAAAAAGAAGAGGGAAAAGAAGAATAAGACTGGCAAAGCGACTGAAAGCTGTGGCTGCTTCAATGTTTGTTCTAACGAGTGTGGATAAGGCAGGATGGGATTCAAAAGAAACAAGCGCGGTAAGGCAAGCAATCTCGAAGGTGGGAAGAAAAGAGAGACGGACGAGACAATATGCAGAATTGCGGAGGATCGAAGTGAGTGACGAGCCCAGGAGGCGCCAATCGACGGCTTCAAACAAGGAGGGATGAGGTGGTGCAGAGAATCTGAAAGTACTCGGTACTTGAGCAGCTGCCCCGGCGTCAGGTACTGGGTACCTAGTACTGCGATGGCCGAGGCAATCTCTCTGGCAGGCGACAGCATCCAGGCGTTGAAACCGGTGGCCGTGGGTGGTGAGAGTGCTAAGGTTAGAGTGGTGACGGGCTGTGCAAGTAGGTAGCCGATACCACCGCGGCTCCGTCGCTGGATCGCAGGCGGGGAGTAGCGGTACCCATCGTTTCTGCTATCATGCAGCGGCCCATGGATCACCTTTTGGATCAGGGCCTTAGTAAGATTGGCCGAACCCAGGACCTGGACAGACGGATGGATCCAGTGCAATTCAGGACATGGAGGAATCAATGACTGAATGCTCCTGTCATAGGTATGCAGAGATCAAGTAGAGACTACATTTGCGCTTCCAACAAAGTGCCGAGCCGAGATGGTGTGCGTCCCCCATGCTCGGGCACTTACAGCTGTTTGTATTCTCCGAGTTCTTACCTCCCTTGCATCCAGACAGCTTTACGAGCTACAGTACCTGTATCTTGTGCTGCGTTACTCCCGTTCAGGAACACATGAAAAGAAAAGACACTTTCGAAGAAGCTTCATGGTTCTTTTCTTGCCTAACGCATCGGAAAGCCAAGACTCGACTGCTGCAATGTATCTGACACACGCACAATTAAGCATCCCATGCTCGCAAAACAGCCGGGGGGCCTCCCGCGCATCGATTCACGCACAGTGAGTGAGCCTATAGTAGCGAGGCCTAGCACAGTGTGAATACTCAATACCCCTGACTGAGTGGAGATGAGGTTCAATCTCGGCTGGTTCGGGGGGTTGCAACCTGATCCTTGCTGGTGTTATCAAGATGTGAGCATGCAGACCGGGCGTGTCAAGTTGCGGCGGTGATTCCAAGCTGATAATGCCTGTCCTTCTCTTTCTCACAGGAGTCATACGCATCTCCCAGGCACGGAGTAAGGGTTGTAGTCAGAACAAGCTTTCAGGAACCGGAATAGCCTCACCGCCACCACGAGGACAGAAAAGGCCATGGACATCAGGATTTTTTCCTGATCCAGTTGTCGAAACAAAACCCAAATTGCCACGGCCCGCTTTCGCTTGTCTAATAATAGCAGTGGCAGTTTTCTTTTTTTTCTTCTTTTTCTGGGTTCCGGCATGCCCTACGATACCCTGGATGAGATGCTGCGAATGAACTGCTTCTATTATTAACTACATGTTCCTGTTGCCGTTCTATTGTCTTCCATCGATCACAACCATGTTCAACTATCCGTTTTCAATTCTCAGAAATTATTCTCAGCCCCTTATCGGAAATACGTACTATCCATGAATGCCTTCAGCATTGCTAGCTCCACAAGGACATAACCGAGAGGAAGCCCCTTCATCGACGCAGCTTTCTACATAAACAACAGCAGAATAAACGCTATATAGAGTAACTCCTACTATCCAAGAATCCATAACGGAGTATACAAGACATAACAATCTTATTACTACATCTATTCAGTCACTGTGTAATTGGCATCCCGGTGGTCTCAAAACAAGTGCGTCCTTGCTACCCTAAATATGCCAATACTCTACAGCAACAATCGTGTATAGTATTACGAACAGGTCCAAGAAAATGCTGTGTGAATCCAGTATGATTGCCTATCACACATTGAGCCCTTGCTTCCTCCTCCTCTTCGCCCTCTCTTTCATGGCGTCCTTATGCGTGAGGTCACGCATCACGTTTTTCGGCCGAGTAAAGAATGGCCCTGGCAAAGCGTCGAATGCAGTAACGTTGACGATTGTATCCCATATCGGACCACTTCTTTTTCGCGGTACTAGCTGATGGCGATCTTTGTGAGCCTTCAACCAGGAGCCTATGCGATGTTGCGACCCGTCTGTCGATCTGAATGGATCATCATTTGCAGGGGATTCGCGACGGGATCGACGCTTTCTTGTCAACCGAGCCCTAGTTGCATCCAACTCGTCTTTCAGTATACTAGTAGACTTTAGAGATGGCGTAGGGTCAGCGCTGCTTGATGACACGGCTCCTTCAGGGTTCAACACTGGACAGCGTGGTGCGGCATCAACCAAGTCGATCGTTTCGGAGGACCCATCGAACATGCTAAACATCTCCTGTTCATCTCTTCTCAGCTCCGTATCGTCTTCGATTTGAACCGCGGACATCCTGGGAGAAAAGTCGAGGGTCACCGTGGAGCAAGACCGCGAACGCACACCCCAACTATCATCTCCCTGGTGCCGAACTTCCTGTTTGCATTCCACGCCATGGGACAAGAAAGGAAATGATGCGGTTGACAGCTTCGGATCGACACAATGCCGACGGCTCGCTTGGGCATCTTCTCCCATAAGAGACAAGTGACCGTCCTTGACAATCCTCTGCTTCGTACCCTGGAGAGCACCATGACAAACATCATCCCTGCGTCTTTCCATCGAGTCCTCATTCAACCACTTTCCATGTGCCCTCGATGCCGTTTTCGTGCGAAGTCGATCTCTATCATCCGCCTGTTCGCGCTGGCGAATCTTCATCTCCCTGCCTCTGCGATCCGTCATAGCCGGCTGTCTGTTCGTCTTGTTTGTGGAAGGCTGCCTCTTCCATCTCGTCGATCTGTTCTTGCCTCGTTTAACAGGCGATGGAACGACTTTCACAATTTGGCAGTCAGAATCGGAGTCAGGCGAGGACGAAATGGAGATGACGTCGTCCGCCGGAGCTCTTGCGCTCATGGTTGCTGTTGTTTATGCTTTGTAGGCAGTCGGTGTCGTCTTCTTCTAACTTCTTCTCGTGAGTATGCACCAGCGAATATTGTTGGGGACTCTGCATTAGATACCAAGATACTTGGCATTTCCATTGGTCGACAACGGAAAACAAGGTCGTTGAAAACTGTAGAAAAGCATAGAAAAGAGAAACAAGATGGCCCCGTGAATCCAGCTTCAATGTGAAGAAGAAGTGACTCTGCGCAGGCCCCCGCATGTGAAACCCGCATCGGTGCGTGCCCTTTGAATCAAGCATCACATATTGCTCAATAACGACCGATTGGTTGCCCAAACGCAACGCTACAATATGCTTGTTCATGGCATTGTATTTCACGTTCATGCGTCTATGGTATCGCTACATCCCATATTAAGCTTCTAACTCGTCGAGATCCCAGGCGCCTGAACATTTTTGCTTTTATCGTCCAACTTCCCAATCCCTCACATGCGCTCTCGCCTCCGTGGGGCCGCCCTTATGATGTCGTCGACTCTCAGGAGAAGCTGTACCGGAGAGATTAATTAGCACCTTGCCATTCATGGCAGCCAATTCGGGCGGGGAATAAGGCCGTAGAAATGTATCCTCTTACCTCTGCTGCCTCACTGGCAGATGACACAACCGCCTTCTTCAGCTTGTAGCTCTCAACAACACCAACTTCACGCATGTCTACGATGCCGCCACCAGGAGTCATCAAGTCGAGACCGTACGTGGTGAGGCCATCGTAAATGGCCTTTCGCAGGCGGGCGACCAGCTCGCCAGAGTCCAAACCGGCGTTGTCGGCCAGGATGGTGGGCAGCTGTCGGAGCGCAATGGCAAAGCTGGACACGGCCACCTGCTTCTTGCCTTCGATCCGCGTGGCTGCACCTTCAACGGCCTTGGCCATGACCATCTCCGCACATCCACCACCGAGCGTTGTCCTGGGCTCAATGACAGTCTGCGACAGGACAGCCAGGGCGTCGTGCAGACTTCGCTCGGCCTCGTCGAGCAGCTGTTCTGTCGCGCCACGCAGCACAATGGTGCATGCCTCACCAGCCGCAACTCCTGAGAACTTGATGAGCGTGTCTTCGCCGATGATGACCTCCTCAATCAAGTCACAGTGGCCGAGCTTGATCTGGTCGGGGTGGTCAAAGGTGGAGGCAATCTCGCCTCCCGTCACAAGCGCCAGCCGCTCGATGCCGTCAAAGTCGGCGTGTTCGATAGACATGATGCCGGCATCCGTGAAGAGCTGCTCCGGCCAGTTGTAGATGAGCTGGCGGTTGATGAAGCAGTTGATGCCGTGAGCCTTGATCTTCTCCACCTTGGCCTTCATCTTGTCCTTCTCCGCCTTCTCGAGCTCCGCCAGCTTTCCGGTCGAGCCAACCTTGACACGAGCTCCGAAAATCTTGACCTTATCTGTGTCCATGGACGTGTTTGCGACCAGGATCTTGGCCTTCTCCAGCCTCTTGGGCTGGTTTACACCAATCTTCTTGTCCAGGATGAAGCCCTCATCCAGGTAAGAGTCGCTCAGCTTTCCTCCGGCCTTCTTGATGATCTGGATGTGGCTGAGGTCGCTCGATTTCTTCAGACGGAGGATGGCGTCGACGGCAAGCTGGGAGAAGTGGTCTCGGTCCTGCGCCAGCACCTTGGAGCTCAGGGTCGTCCGCGCAATGGCAAGGAGGTCCTTTCGGAAGGCTTCGGGGCTCTTGCTGTGATCAACAGCGGACTCCTCGAGGGCCTTGAGAGCAGCCTGGCTGGCTATCCGGTAACCCTCGATGATGGTCTGGGGGTGGATCTTCTTGTCGACCAGCTTCTCAGCCTCTCTCAGAAGCTCGGCAGCCAGCACGGCGACAGAGGTCGTGCCGTCACCGACTTCGTCATCTTGGACCTTGGAGATGTTGACCAGCACCTTGGCGGCGGCATTGTCGAGGGCTATTGACTTGAGGATCGTCGCACCGTCGTTTGTCACCATGATATCGCCAGTGGAACTAGATGGAAGAAAGGGACGGGTTAGGGGCTGAGGGGCTCGCCGGGAATTTGTCATGAAAGGGACGGGCACTCACGCAGACTGAAGGATCTTGTCCATGCCCTTGGGGCCGAGCGTGCTCTTCACCAGGTCGCCAACTGCGATGGCACCGACGAAGGCAGCCAGACGCGCATTCTCACCCTTCTCCTCGGTGGTGCCCTCCTCGAAAATCTGGGTTGGGAAGAAAGACTGTCATGGCGGGGAGATGGAAGTGTTAGTCCAGCAGCTGGGCAGCAGAGAGACGGCTGTACAGCAGCTCTAACGGCGGGGACATCAGCGAGACATACCATGATGCAATTCCGGTGACAAGAGAACAAGGTAGCACAAGTAGAAGGTGAAGACGAAAGAGAGGCGATATCAGGCTTGAGCTGACGAGAAGCTGCAACTCCTTGGTGCCTGTTTTTCCTACCAAACGCCGAGCTCTCCTTTCCGCTACCTCAAAAGAGCCCATCCAAGAACCCCCACCATGGAGACGCGCACACGTGACTTGCCCCTCTATCGGAGAATTCCCGGCTCTGGAACATCGCTTCTCCGCCGCACACTTTGGCCAAAGTTAGAACAACAAATTTGCGTGTGGTTAGGGACTCGCCGCCAAAAAAATAACCTCCAGGGCTGTAGTGCAGACGCCGTAACCTGCGCAAAACACCCGCGATCCGCCCATCCAACGCCCCGGTCGAACCTCCCAAGTCTCTCTCGCTGCTCCCCTGCTGGAGACTCAGAAATCGACGCCCGTGAGCCGCTCTCCAATCCTCAGCCTTCACCGCGCCGAAGCGGGGCAATCTCGGCACCCCTCCTCCATCCCTTCACATCATGGCGCCCTCATTCGACCAGCTGCGCGAGGCTGACCTCGACGACGACGAGTTCAACGAAGATGAGATTGACATCTCTGACCTGCGCGAGAAATTCGAGGTTCAACTGGAGCTGGGCTACGACGCCTTTGTGGTCATCGATGGCCTCCCCGAGGTCACCAAGGACCAGGCGCCCAAGCTGATCAAATTCTTGTTGAAGAAGCTCAACACTGTCGGCAAGACCAGGGAAGACCTGATTTACATGCCCCTGGATGCCGAGGGAAAGTCGCAGCGGTAAGCGCTTCTATTTTTCTCGCTATTATATGGTCGTTTTATAGGGCATGTTTTTTTGACTCTTGTTGGGGGAATGGACTTTAGCTTCGCCTTCGTGGAATACTCTTCAGCCGCTGAAGCCGCTGCCGCGACACGCCAATTGGACGGTGTTCCCCTGGACAAGAAGCACACGCTGCGCGTCAACAAGCTCACCGACATTGAGCGATATGGCCGAGAAGGACGAGTTGACGAGACATACGTGCCCCCTGAGATCGAGGAGTTCCATGAGAAGGAGCACCTGCGATGGTGGCTTAAGGACCCCTCGGGCCGTGGCCGAGATCAGTTCGTCATGTACCGCGCTGACTCCGTCGGCGTCTTCTGGAACAACGAAAAGGACCAACCCGAGAGCATTGTCGATCGCCAGCACTGGACCGAGGCCTTTGTCCAGTGGTCACCTCTGGGCACTTACTTGACCTCTGTCCACCAGCAGGGTGTTCAGCTGTGGGCTGGGCAGTCCTGGTCGCGCGCGGCCAGATTTGCGCACCCATTCGTCAACCTGGTTGCCTTCTCCCCGAATGAAAAGTACATTGTCACCTGGTCGAACCGACCCATCTCCATCCCCGAGACTGGCCACCCTGCCCTGTCTGTTGACGACGAGGGCAAGAACTATGTCATCTGGGACATCGAGACGGGTACGCCTCTGCGATCATTCGCCAACCTGGATGCCCCCAAGGGCGAGGAGGGCAAGCCTCCCCCAAAGATGCAGTGGCCTGCGTTCAAGTGGTCTGCGGATGACAAGTACGTTGCCCGTCTGACGCCTGGTGCTTCCATCTCCGTCTACGAGCTCCCCCGAATGAACCTCCTTGATAAGACTAGCATCAAGATCGAGGGCGTGGTGGACTTTGACTGGGCCCCGGCAACTCCCCAGCGCGAGGGTATCAAGACGTATGAGCAGCTCTTGGCCTTCTGGCAGCCTGGAACCGGCAGCAACCCCGCCAAGGTGGGCGTGATGAGCATCCCCTCCAAGGAGATTGTGCGAAGCCTCAACCTGTTCAACGTCAGCGACGCCAAGCTGCACTGGCAGTCGGACGCGACATACCTTTGCGTCAAGGTCGACCGACACTCCAAGTCCAAGAAGTCGCAGGCCACGACGCTGGAGATCTTCCGCGTCCGGGAGAAGGGAATCCCCGTCGAGGTTGTCGACACTATCAAGGACACCGTCATCAACTTCGCATGGGAGCCCAAGGGCGACAGGTTTGCCCTCATCACCACCACCGAGCCTGTCGGCCCTACCGCCGTGCCTCCCAAGACCTCTGTGTCATTCTTCTGCCCCGAAAAGTCCAAGGGCCCCCATGCCGGCAACTTCAAGCTGCTGCGCACGCTGGACAAGAAGAACAGCAATGCCATCTACTGGTCACCAAAGGGTCGGTTCGTCGTCATTGCCACGATTGCCAACCAGCAGAGCTCGGATCTCGACTTTTACGACGTTGACTTTGAGGGCGAGAAGGCCGAGTCGGTCAAGGACCTGACTGCCAACCTGCAGCTCATGAACACAGCCGACCACTACGGCGTCACAGATGTGGAGTGGGACCCCTCAGGCCGATTTGTCGCCACATGGGCATCGGCATGGAAACATGCGGTACGTGCATTTCTCCCCCTTCCGTTTCTTTCCCCTGACTTAGCTCGCTAACACGTGAAACCAAACTAGATGGAAAATGGATACCACATCTACGACTTCAAGGGCGAGGCTCTGCGCGAGGAACCCGTGGAGAAGTTCAAGCAGTTCGCTTGGCGACCACGCCCGCCGACGCTGCTGACGAAGGAGGAGCAGAAGCAGATCCGCAAGAACCTGCGCGAGTACAGCAGGGTATTCGAGCAAGAAGACGCCGATCGCGGTGCGTCAGCCGATCTTGCCGTGGTCGAAGCGCGCCGCCGCGTCCTGGACGAGTGGTATGCTTGGCGTGCGGAGGTGGAGGCTGAGGTGGCCGAGGAGAGAGAGATCCTGGGCCTGCCTAAGGATCCTCACGCCGCTCTGCTAGAGGCCAAGACCAAGGAGCTGGCGGAGGCCGAGGGTGCCAGCACGGAGAACGACCGGGTGATTGAGGAGATTGTCGAGGATGTGCTGGAGGAGAATGAGGAGGTGGTGGGTTGAAAAGGTCGTCTGGTCTTCTCTTTTGTCTACATGAAGCATGGGCATACCGGGCGGGAGTGGTTTGCGTGTATGTATGGGTAGATTCCATCGGATTTTTCTTCTTTTCTTGTTTTACGGAAAAAAATGGCACAAATAATGACGAGACTTAGAAGAGGCCACGGTACTCTTTGTTCTCTTTTACTCTCAGAGTGGTCACCGAGTCACATTCCGCAAGGTACATACATGGCTGTTCTGGCCACGATGCCTCCCCGTCCACTCCGTACCCCGTACTGTGTTTTGAGTGTGTGCTCTTCGTTACCTATGTACCTTCACAGTTCTTGATAATGGTTGCTTACCACTCCTTCGTAATCGTACACGGACGAGGAAAAGCATACGTATGCCGTAACCGGCCAGCCCGCGACCGGCAATTTTAAATAGCCTGCGTTAGGTTTTCATCTATTTTTCCTCGTTTCTTTTGGTGGGCTGCAGGGAATGCAAGGCAGGCTCTCGTCGCACTCGACCACCCATGATCTGATTGGCACCCGCGGCTGCAATTGGCTGCTGAGCACGTTTGAGGATCCAGCCCTGGTTGAAGCCCGTGGCGATACGCGGAAGTGCGTCGCTGACAGGTACCGACGAGTCGTAAATACCTGGTGATGCAACTGAGGCAACGCTGGGCAGGAGGTACCGCAGCGGGCGGAGAACTCGGCGAGCGCGAGCCTGCAAGTACCGCCCAACAAAGTGTCGGACTAACCCACAAACCCGCACCACACCATCTCTCTCTCCCGGTTGATCTGAGCCACTATTATCCTGCTCTGCCTCTCCCTCTCCCGTCTCTGTCTCCCTCCCAACCAGAGTCCTCGCACTTCTCCTGAATCTGCTCCCTTGCCTGGACCACACAGCCAACGTCCGCCCCTCGCCGCAGCGATCGACCCTCGGGATACGGCACTTCGCACCAAGGAGACACGCATAATTGTGGTACCACCGTCTGAGGGCGAAGGGGGTTAAACACAGCCAGAACTGAGCGAGCACTGGCTGGTGGAGCCGAAGCCCACGATCGAATCCACAGCCTGCACCACTTTCTCCTCGTCACCATTCGCGGGGAATCACAAGCGGTTTCCGTTGCCTTCGAACTCGACTGAGCTGCGACTGCGAGTCATTTCAGCGACTCTATTCCTCCTCCCTTGGCCGCTGCGCGGGACTGGTCCTGCCCAGCCTCTCTTTCTCGACGTCGTACCTGTGCTTCTTCTAGCTCTTTCCTCCCCTGAGGCCCGAGCGCTCGAGCGAATTTTCCTTCTCCTAGATTCGGGCTGGGAATGGCTTCTCTGGCACCGCAACAGCCTCTACCTCTCCGCTGGTAGAGCCATAGCCTGCAGCTCCCCATGTGATCCGCTCTCCGTCGCTCCGGTACCCCGACTTTCGTCTCGACCATGATGCGGCGACCCCCGAGCCAAGGACGATGGTCCTCGTCGCAGCAGAAACTCCTCCTGGCTTTTGCCTTCATCCTCTTACCGTGGCTCCAACTCGCCGATGCTCAGCAGCAGCCTCAGCAGCCCCAGATCCGAATTCACTCACAGAGAGGCGACGCGCCCCTTGACAAACTATCCGATGACGCCAACAACCGTTGGTACGCAGCACAAGCCGCACCAGACGTGCACACCGAGGCAAGGTTCGACACCATCAACAAGAAGCAAAAGCAGCAGCAGCAGCAGTCGACCGCTTCGCCCCAGCAACAGCAGAAATATCGACGAGCCCCCTATGACTACGCCAGCAGGGACAAGGCCCAGAATCGATATCCGCAGCACCCTATCCGCGAATCCGAAAACCTAAACTACGTAAAAGTCCCTAACGATGCGAGCGCCCTCGCAACTTTAGCTCCGGCTCAGCCCGTCCGAGCACCACACACCTCACGACATCACTGGCCTAGTAGCAGCGCCGCTTCTGGGCTGGCATCGCCGCAGAATGCGCGGAGTCTGGAGGACTGGGAAGTTGAAGACTTTGTTCTTCTGGCGACCGTCGATGGAGACCTCTATGCCAGCGACCGAAAGACCGGTCGGCACCTCTGGCACCTCGAGGTCGACCAGCCAGTGGTTGAAACCAAGCACTATCGAACAAACAACTCCGTTCTCGACGACGACTATCGCCCCGTCGACCACTACATCTGGGCCGTCGAGCCAAGCCGCGATGGAGGGCTCTACGTATGGATCCCCGATTCCGGCGCGGGCCTCGTCAGGACTGGCTTTACCATGAAGCACCTCGTCGAAGAACTTGCTCCATACGCCGGCGACGAGCCGCCCGTCGTCTATACCGGAGACAAGAAGACGACCATGGTCACCCTGGACGCCGCTACCGGGCGCGTCCTCAAATGGTTTGGCTCCAGCGGCTCGCAAATCAACGAAGCCGAGAGCTGCCTCCGGCCCAACGCCTTTGACGACAGGGACACCACAGAGTGCAGTTCCATGGGCACAATCACGCTGGGGAGGACCGAGTACACGGTGGGCATCCAGAGGCGAGACGGTCGCCCCATCGCAACCTTGAAGTACGCAGAATGGGGACCCAACACCTTTGACAGCGACCTCTACCAGCAATACCATGCCTCGTTGGACAATCACTATATCACCAGTCAGCACGACGGTAGAATCTACGCGTTTGACAAATCTCAGGCAGAGAACGACCTACCCCTCTATACCCACAAGTTCTCGTCTCCCGTCGCCCGGGTCTTCGATGTCTGTCGACCGTGGGATGCGAATGCGGGAAGCAACCCGGAGCTGGTAGTTCTACCCCAGCCTCCGATTCCAGCGCATGATGAGAGCACCGTCAAGATTCGGAGCAACAGCATCTTCCTCAACCAGACTGAAAGCGGTGACTGGTATGCGCTGTCTGGCCGTGCATATCCGCTCATTCTCGATGCCCCCGTGGCCCAGATCTCGCGAGACGACTGGTGGGATATGGCCCATGCGTTTGATTCCATCAACCCTAACAAACTCTCCAAGGCCCTGGTGGGCACCCACTTTCTGGATCCCGTCAGGAGCACCGGCTACCACCAGCCGCCAACGCTTCCTGCTGGTGCCCTGGACGAGTACTATGAAGACTTGGAGAACGCCTCGAACAACGCTCATGCCGTGACCAACACCGTTCCGGAAGAGCCCACCATTATCACTAAAGTCAAGGCTCTTCCGCAGAGTGCAGCCAACAGCGTCATTGACTTTGTCAGCAACCCCATCCTCATCATTTTCCTGATAGGCTCCCTGATATACAACGAAAAGAAGCTGCGACGCTCGTATCACCGCTTCCGAACTCATGGCACGATCAAGGATGTCTATCCCTTCTTTGTCATCGAATCTGAAGCCGGAGACGAATCTGGTGATGACAAGGACGGAGTGTACTCATCTTCGCCGTCTCCACGCACTCAACCCCAAGACCAAAAGGTGGACGACCACCTCCCTAAACCCAAGGTAGACAGATCTGTTGGCGAGCAGGACAAGGAGAAAGACAAGGACAACAGGGACTTGCAAGACCTTCCCGACTCTTTGGAATCGAGCAACAAGACGGCTGAAAAGGCGGATGTAGCCGGCCCTGACACACCGTCAACAGATGCTTCCAATGGTGCCGCACCCGAGAAGAAGAAGAAGGCTCACCGAGGCCGTCGTGGTGGTGTCAAGCACAGAAAGGGTCGGCCCACCGAAGGATCCCAATCTCACGAAAACGACCCGGCTCTCACTACAGTGGACGAGGCTGTCAGCAATGCGAAGAAGCTTGGTGACCGGCCCAGCTTGGAACCAGATGTTATGACCATCTACAACGACATGCAAGCCGTCACAGGTTCTGTCATTAGCATGGGCAACATCGAGGTCGATACAGATGTGGAGCTTGGCATGGGCAGCAATGGTACCGTCGTGTTTGCCGGCAGATTCGATGGCAGAGACGTTGCCGTCAAGAGAATGACGATCCAGTTCTACGACATTGCCACACGAGAGACCAAGTTGCTTCGCGAGAGTGACGATCACCCCAATGGTAATTCCACTAATCATGGTTTCCTCCATGTTCTTTGCTAACGTACTTTCTACAGTCATTCGATATTACTCACAGGTACAGCGTGGCGACTTCCTGTACATTGCCTTGGAACGCTGTGCTGCATCATTGGCCGATGTCATCGAGAAGCCGTATGCCTTTAGTGAACTGGCTAAGGCTGGGCAAAAGGACCTGCCTGGCGTATTGTACCAGATCACCAACGGCATCAGCCACTTACACTCTCTGCGCATTGTCCATCGAGACTTGAAGCCTCAGAACATTCTGGTCAACTTGGACAAGGACGGCAGACCAAGACTCTTGGTGTCGGACTTTGGCCTGTGTAAGAAACTGGAGGATAGACAGTCTTCATTTGGAGCAACGACAGGTCGAGCAGCTGGAACGTCGGGATGGCGTGCACCCGAACTGCTTCTCGATGACGACGGACAGAATCCCGCGGCCATCGATAGTAGCACGCACAGCGGATCTCACACCATCCTCGTGGGAGACCCGAACTCGCTGTCTAACGGAGGGCGAGCTACGAGGGCCATTGACATCTTCTCCCTTGGACTCGTCTTCTTCTACGTGCTCACCAACGGATCCCACCCCTTTGACTGCGGCGACAGATACATGCGGGAGGTGAACATTCGAAAGGGCAACTACAATCTCGATCCATTGGACGCTCTGGGCGACTTTGCCTACGAAGCCAAGGATCTAATTGCGTCCATGCTCCAGGCGGCTCCCAAGTCAAGGCCCGACTCGCGAGAGGTCATGGCCCACCCTTTCTTCTGGTCTCCAAAGAAGCGTCTGGCCTTTTTGTGCGACGTGTCGGATTCTCTGGAGAAGGAAGTGCGAGACCCTCCTTCGCCTGCTTTGGTCGAGCTCGAGCGACATGCGCCGGATGTCATTAAGGGAGACTTCTTGAAGGTGCTCACGCGCGACTTTGTCGAGTCGCTGGGCAAGCAACGCAAGTACACCGGGAACAAGCTGCTTGATCTGCTGCGCGCTCTTCGCAACAAGCGTAACCACTACGAGGATATGTCGGACTCGCTGAAGCGCAGCGTGGGCTCACTGCCCGATGGGTATCTCGCCTATTGGACGGTCAAGTTCCCGATGCTGTTGCTGACGTGCTGGAACGTGGTGTATAACCTCGAGTGGGAGAAGACGGATCGGTTCAGGGAGTACTATGAACCTGCGGGGTTGTGATACGAAAGAGAAGGCATTTTGTTTGTGTTGTTCATTTGTCTGCTCGAAAATGAATAGGAGCCTTTTTTGGGATTTGCATCGGAATCGAGAAGGGAAGGAAATGGAAAATGGTGAAAGGGAAAACGAAGTCAGTTAGCGGGCATGGTTATTCATGGTATTGCTTCAGCTACCTACTGCTGCATGAAAAGCGATGTTCTGTTTTCTTTTTTCTTCTTTGTATAGTAGCAGTTCGAATTTATCGCGATATACATCATAACAATTACACACCTACCTACCTAGGTAGAATATCCATGGCTAATTGAATCTCGATACACAATTTTGTCATAGGCTCCAAATGAAGTAGATTTCTTCTCATTTGCTACATGTAGTATTGACAAGGTAAGACAGCACAAGGCAGCTAACCAACATGATGAGTTGATATCATGCAGACGAATCCAGGGAGAACAAAATGAGTTTGCCAACCCCACGCCTAGCCAAAATCTTTTCCGCTTCCACACATACCGCTGCTACTACCAAAGGCCAAAAAGAAGAAGACCACCTGAGAGTGTCAAGGGAGATATAAAACTCCCGCCGCTATCCGCCGCCCGAAAAAATCAAGAAAAGTGAGACAAGGAGAGCCAAGATGCAGACATGACGTCTGTCTTCATCCCCACTGCACCAGGATCTGCTTCTTGCCCTTTTTGCCCTTCTTGCCCTTGCCTCCCGTCGCCTCAGCATCATCCGCAGGCTCGGACTCAGCCGCTGCTGATGACGACGATGCAGGGGCAGCTCCCCATTGGAAGTTCGATTCCTGCTGGCCGAAATCTCGCCTCACGCCGCGACCCTTGCCATAGCCAAAGATGGTCGTCTGAGGTTTGGGCGCTGCGGGAAGTGCCGGAAAGGCATCTTCGGCGCGTGGATTAGGCGGTGGGGGCCCGCGAGATCGTGTTGTTGAAGAAGATGATGAGGCCGTCCATGATGGAGCGGAAGAAGCGGCAGCCACGCGTGCTGCTGTTGATGACGAGGACGACGATGAGGGCGGCGGCAGAGAAGGAAATGCGGACGATGACGGCGCCTTAGAGGACGATGAAGCCCTAGAGGACGACGCCGCTGGGACCCAGCCGGGAGGGCCTCTCAACGTGTTGGGTGCTGGACCGCCTAACCGAGTGCTATTCTTCAGCTTCAGGACCCTCGTTGAGTTTCGCTGGGACGGTGCAACAATGGTGAAGCCCGAGTTCGCACCCGCGGCGCTGGCCCAGCCGCTGGAGCTCGACGTTGCACCTTGCATGCCTCCGAGCCCAGGCAGGCTGGGGTAGTCCTCGTTGATGGCGCGCCAGTCCTGCCAGGCCTTTCTAAGGCCATCAGCTTTGGACTTGTCGTCGAAAAGATCGGCCAACTCCCGCACTAGAATCCCCAGCGCGTTGGAGGAAACGTCTGCAAAGAGGGTAAAGAAAGCCTCGACAAGCTGAGGTGCGGTGAAGCCTCCCTGGCGATATGTCGAGATGTGGCTCCGGAAGGTCGCCATCTTGTGAGAGTCATTGCCCAGCAGGTTGGCGGCCCGCTCAATGACACTGCCGTGGCGAACCAGCCGGGCTCGCTCTTCGGCAGAGAGGTTGCTCGTATCGGCAAGGCTGAGCGCCTCCATGCCGTCCGTGGGAGGGGCGGGGCCGGTGCCCGGGCCAACACTCCGGGGCCGTGATGTCGTAGCGGTAGCATTCCGGGTAGAGGAAGCCTGAGCCGGCGTCGGTGCGAGCGTGGGTGTTGCGGGAGAGCTGGAGGTGGTGGCAGCGGGAGCAGGGGCCGACAGCTGACCACGGAACGTCCGATTGGAGCCTGCGGGTGCTGAGGCGATGGCCATTTGCCGCTGGAACGCAATCTCGTCTCTCCGCAAGGGCAGGGCCGACGTCACGGTTGGCAATATGCTGTCTTCATTGGGGTCTCTCCCTCTGTTTCCTCTTCCTCTAGCCCGTGATCGTCCCTCTCCCTGGCCGCCGCTACCAGATGCAGCCCCGCCTCCCGCGCGTCTCTCATGCTGATACGACTGGCGAATGTCAAAGGCTGAGATGTCGACCAGTCTAGCATCGCGGCCCACGTGTTTGCCGGCATGCTCCGCCAGGTGATGTGCCTGCATGTCCAGCTCCGACTCGAAGACAACAAACTTCTTCTCCAAGCATCCTCGATCGGGGCACAGGAAGTGGTCCTTCTTGAAGTGCTTCTCCAGCTCATCGTAGTTGAGGAAATAGTGCGGTTGCCTCGAGTCTCGTCTATCACAAAGGAAGCATCGCTCGTGCTTCATGCGGCAGTGCTCAAATAGCTTGTCGTCATCGTAGAAGCGCTCGCCGCAGAAGCCGCAGAGAGGGTGGCCCTTGAAGCCCGTCTGGTCCGCAGCACCAGGCTTGTCGTCGCCGTGGCGCATGTGTCTCTCCAGTTCCTTATCCGTGAAGAGCTCATGCTCGTGGGTGAAGACTTTCTTGTTGCGTGTGCAGAGGTCGCACATGCGCTTGCGATGCGCCGACTTGACGTGACGATGCAGATCGGCCCAACCCAGGCCGGCGAAATCGCACGATCCGTCAGGGCAGTTATACCGCAGCAGGAGGACGGTGTCGCCGACAATCTCCTCGTTGGTGTACTTGATGCCGATGCTGCTGTCGGTGGAGGTGAAGTCGCTGTCTGTGTAGGCTTGGAACTTCTTGTCGGCATCGTCGGTAAAGATGACATACGCGGCTGGTGTCTGCAGATGGAATCCTATGGCATTAGTATGGTCTACCTGAGAGCGACAAGGGTTGGACAAACGGATCATCAACATACACGGCAGTGGGCACAGTCCTTGGTCTTGTACAGCGCCCTCATGCGCAGGCCGCAGATATGGCACGTCTTGTGGTTGCACGGCGCAATCGAGTGGTGGGCAACGGGGTTGGCGCAGATGAAGCAAATATCGCCATCGTCGTCGTCATCGTCGGCGGCCGCGGGTTGTAGCTTGGGAGCAGTCGCTGCCAGCGCCTTGTTCTCCTTGTTAACAGCAGCAGCCTCTTCGGCAGGTGAAGCTGCAGCAGCTTCTGTGCCCTTCTGTCCTCGTCCCTGTCCGCGATTGTTGCCGCCTCGTCCTCCTCGCTTGGCACCGCCTCGAGGCTGGCCTTGGTTTCCTCTACCTCCACCTCCGCCACTTCCTCCGCCACGGCCGCGCCCTCTAGAGCCGCCTTCGCTTCGGCCGGTGGTTGATGTTGTTCCCTCAGCAGTCGACATGGTTCAATCTATCTCGAGATGCTGATTGCTAATCGGAAGAGGAGGGGTTATTCGAGACGAGGCAGGCGTCGCGGGTCTCCGTAAGAGACCAAGACTCGATACGTTTCGGAGATGCTGTCGAGGATGCGCTGGTGGTTTCCAAGCAGTTTCTGCCTCGCTCCCAGAGCAGAGCAGAGCTGTAGTGGTGGTGCTGGTTGCTGCTCCACAGAGGAATTGATCGACGTTGAGACGAGACCGTGATGAGGGAAAGAAACGAAGCAGAAGCTGCCGCCAATAAGTATGTGATGAATCGATGTTGAGGCTTCGCAATGACACTATAAGTGACGGAAAGAAAAGGAAAGATTGAAGTGATGCAAAGGTGAGCAAGTCGAAATTGTCACAAAGTGTTTGGTGCGGATTTTGTGGCCTTGTTCTGCTGATTAGCCCCTCCAGCTGTGCAAACGGGAAGGCAGGCCGCACCTGTGGTTTTGTAATGCAATCAAATGGCAGGTGCTGGAGGGGCTGCTTGTATGTAGCTGAATTACCCTAGAGTGAATGGGCCAATCACCAGCTCCGGTTTGCCCGGCAGTCCGCCTTGATATGGATGACTCAGCGTGCTATTTACCAGAACTCTGCCCTTCTGCGGTTGGAGTAATTTCGCCTTGCAAAGTGGGAGTCATTCGGCCAGCTGCTTTCATGAGCAAGGGTGTCTTGGGAATCACCGCGGTGACTGAGTCGGAGGACAAGGCCTTTTGTAATCACAGCAATTCTGGACTATAGGGTCCGTAGAGGCCATGATCTGTCATCGTACGGTATCCCAATGATTGCAGCCAAAGTGCGCTTAATAAGCTAGTATTCTTCGTTTTTGATATCTGATTTTCTTTCCCGAGACAGAAGGCAAGGAAAGAAAGCCCAAAAGCCAATGACCCAAACCACAGCTAGAAACACCATGATTCGATGGTCTTCGTCTGTCCTTGATCCATTTACCATCCGTTACCCGATAACTTTGATAAAACCCATGCAGAGTCCATTTCTTGCTTGAAACCTCGCCCTTCCCCTGCTTCACCTCCCTCCAGCGACCTCCATCCCAAACAAACAGTAACTGTACCTGAAATGATGATAGAGAAACCGGCCTTGATAAATCGAAAACCTCCGGAATACGCCACCGGGCGCCAGAACCCCACTGCCTTTGATAAAGGGTGCTTGCCCCTATATTGGCTGCTGCCGGTTCAAGTAAGGATGATGCAAATAACGATGCTGATGATGATGTGTTGTAAAGTCGGTGCCTTGTATATTCCAACGCAGACGCCGTTTACTCCTCTCCGACGGGATAGAGATGGCTTCCAATCTCCTTGTTCATCCGGAACATGTCGACGCGAGTTTGCTTGAATACAGCCTGCATCTTCTCGTCGCACAGGATCTGGCGCTTGTCCTTGGGGTCCTGAAGATCGTTGGCCTTGATATGCTCCCAGAGCTTCTTGACGACTTGTGGGCGAGAAAGCTAGCGACAGGACAGTCAGTACAATGCCTTCCAGTGGCCTCACTCCCTAGATCAACACAATTGCCCTCGTCATTGCTTACCTGGGTTTCGCCGCACAGCTCCGACAGCGTGGGACTCAGCAGGAAAGGCTTCTGGAAGCCGCCGCCAGCCTTGCGCTTGGGCGCAGAGTCGCCGCTGGCGTCCACCTCGCTGTCATCGTCGTCGCCAACCTTCTTGGTGCTCTTCTTGCGCGGGGCCTTCTTCTTCTTGACCAATCGCGCCTTATCGCCCCTACCGCGGGTGGTGCGGCCCTTGGCGAGGCTGTTTTCCATCTCCTGGAGCTGAGCGGCCAGGCGGGCGTCTGCATCCTCGGTAGACGAGGACCGCTTGACCTTCTTCTTGGCCGGCTCGGGAGAGGCGGAGAGGCCATCGTGCTCCGGCGAGTCGGTCGTGGCAGAGCGCTTGTTGTCGGCGGCCTCGGGGGTGACGGAAGGGGCTGCGTCGCCCAGGTCGGCGCCGGAGACGGCGTCGAAGCGCTCCTCTATCAACCTCTTGATGGCATCCTAGAGTACGCGCAGCAGGTTAGTCAAGAGCCGGGATATAGCGTATGCAGCGCTCGTGTCTCGCATGCTCGTCCGAACCGCGTCCCCCATGTTTGCTTGCTTGCCTTTTGCTCACTGAGGTCTTTCCCGCCCAGCGCGGCCTCCAGACCCTGACGAATCTTCTTGCGCGAAATGGTCAGGAGGTCAGCCGTGGCGAGGATGCCGTCAATGATGGCGGTATAGCGCTGGTTCTCATCGGACGACACTGTGGATGGGTTCCTTGTTAGCCATGCAATGTCACCGCTGCGGACATCGGAGCTAGAGATTGGACCTCGAGCGAACAATGACAGACAAGGAAGGTCGTCACATGGGAAAAAAGATAGCGAAGAAAGGCCTCTATGACGTACATGGGAGACTCATGTTGGCCGCTTGATGCACAGGGCGCCTTGTCTCGTCCGTTCTGGTCTCTGGTCGGGCTCGGAGTTTGTCGCGCGAAAACGGGGTGGAGCGGCGCGCGCTACACGCCAGCAGACAGTCTGCAGACGACCGGGGATTTGAAGAGAGAGGATATAGCGGACGGAAAAGAGAGGCGACGAGGCTGAAGCACAGAGACGGGACAGACGGAAGCGCGCACCAGCTCTGCGGCCTCAGAGCATAGCCTGCAAATGCGGTTGGAGCGAGAGGCGGATGGCTGGCGGTTGGAGCTCTTGTTTGCTTGCTGCTTTTTTTCCCTGGAGTATCAATCCTTGGGGTCTCTGCACGCGGGGCACGATGGCCGGATTCGTACGACAGAGACTACCTAGTAGAGGGTGGTGAATGTGTAGGGTGGAACGAAGAGACAAAGAGCAAGGGAAGAGACAAGTTGGAGATGAGCGAACAGCAGAAGCAAAGAGAACAGGAAGCAGAGCGATGGGCGCAAGCGAGGGCGAAAGAAAGGCGAGGTCGGGCAAGGCTGAGATTTTAGCTCTCGGAGCGCCAGCGATCGAGTGTCGAGGTTGAAGGTTCCCTCTAGCTGTACGTCTGCTGGCCGAATTTCTATGCGCTGGCTGGCGGATTATCGGGTCGGTACGTTGCGGGTGTTGCGATTTAGCGGATAAAGGTGGATCACGAGGCTCCCAGAGATGCTGCTCTAGAGACGCTTTAGCGTCAGGTCAGCCCTGACGGAGCGCGCAGGGCGCCTGATTGGGGGGGATTTACAGGGGAGTTGCACCTGTAGGGACTGGGCTGGGGCTCAAGCTGGACTGGATGCGACAGCTGGAGGAGCCGAGGAGAGGCCAGGGCGCTTGAACTGCCGACGGTGCCTGGAGATGGGCTGGATGTACCGGGAACGAGTGTCAGACGAGACAGGCGGAGAGGCAATAGACAAGAGGCAGCTACCTGTAAGAAGGAGAAGAACTGAGACTCTGTGAATAGAGGGAAGAAAAGAAAAGAGAAGCAGAGGAAGGGAAAAAGAAAGGGATCACCAGATCTAAGAAGCTGGAAGTGCAGATGTCAGTGCGGTCACGGGTGCAGCAGAGTCGCAGTCAGCAGGTTCGTGCAGTGATGGCGGTCCGCGACTCCAGTCGACGTCCACTGTGCTAAGCGCTAGACGGTTGCTGCATCAATTGACGCATACAAGTTTGATGCTGGACCTCATTCTGGATCAATATTCAAGGTTGACAAACAGTTGAGATGGTCAGTGGATGTCAGTTGAGAGCCACCTGCTGTTGCCCTACCTGAACTGTTTCAGCGCCATCGCAGTTGGGCCTATTGCCGAGTTACACACGCAACAGGGGAGACAGAGCCCTGATTCGACGATGCCACAGCTTTGTGCTACGGGTGGCTGGTCGGTGAATTGCAAGCTGCATGGTAGGAGACGTGTTGCGTCTGGCTAGCTGGAGCCTGCATGAGCATGCCATCTCGCGGCTTGATGTTACGTGTACATGCAGCAAACAAAAAACATTGAGTCAATCTGATGCGGTGATACTCGACTATAGTACAAGTACATTCAATGTACCTAGCACTTCACCACCACGGCTGATTCCCCTCTCTTGGTGAATCGTACACGGAGTCAAGCACGCAGGTACTTGCAAATCGGCTCTGCCCACTGCGGCGCACCCTTGTACATCCACATGCCCGGCGCATTGCCCGTCTTGAGGCCCTCGATGGCATCTGCTACCTGCGGTCCCAGTCCTTCCTTCTTGAGGTCCTCAATGGGGTACAGATATGTCTTGAAGGAGAACAGCACAGCCCTCGTCTTGGGTAGTCGGCTGACTGTTTGTAGCTCAATGCGAGCATATGTCTGTATATCATGATATCTTGCTCAGTTCAATGTTCTCAGGATACACATGCAGGTATATCATTATCAAAGGAGACATGCAACTGACCTTGCTCATGTCAATGTCTTCGGCTTTGAGCCCGTCGCCGCTCATGTGCCCGTCGTGTCTATTATAATTGAACAAGTCGCTGTGCGTTTGCATAGACCACTAATAAATGTCAGCCACTCTCCTCTCACCTCCACCAGAAGTACAGTGATTCTCGAGGAACTCACATTCATCCGCTTCACATTCTTGCCCACTTTGATCCTGCTAAAGAACCGCTCCATGCTCGGCCCGATCTTGTCGTACGACGGCACCGGCGCGTGTATCTCCCTCAGCAGCCCCCCGACCTTTGTCGACGGATCGAAACCCGACGGGAAGCAGCACACAAAGGCCACGGCTCGGTGCCCCTCCGGCTCTCCCATCAGGAGGAACATGTCCTCTTCCACAGTCTCGGCCAGCATCCGAAGCGCAGCCTCTGCTTCCTCCGCGTGCTCGGGGGGCGTGGTGGGGAATGTCCGGCCGGTGACGAGGTTGTCAAATTGCCGGTCCTGGTCTCGGAGCTGGAACATGGTCGGAAAGCGAGTTGGGAGATAATCTCGGAGGAGGAATTGGTGCAGCTCGCGGACGGCTTCGAGGCCGGAGAGGAGGCAGGCGTGGACCGTGTGGCCGTGTCGGGAAACGAGCTGCCGGCGGAGGGAGACTCTGTCGAGATATTGCGAGTCAATGGTGATTAGCTCCGAGGGAGAATCAGCTTGCAGAGCTGTTGATGTGTCAGCCATGGCGCAAATATGTACATTGATGCTCGAATGTAAGTGGGATGCTCACCCATGGTGATGTGATAGATGGGCTTGAACGGCCGAAACTGGTTGGGCTCGACACCCTTCCAGTCCAGGTCCTTCAGCGGCTTGATCTCTAAGACGTCTTCGGATGTCCTTGAAGGTCGATTGAATCCGGATGCTTCTCCATTACGACGCTGTGATGAGGCCTTTTGTGGATGTGAGGCGATGTTAGTCGATGCCATAAGTCAGGAAATCGCAGCAATGAGTCTTTAATGGGAATCTTATACAAGCATATATAGTGTGCTGATGACGACCAAGGCAGCCCCAAGCACTATCACCATGGGAGACATGGTGAGCGTGTTATAAGGCAGATGCTCGAGAAGTGAATCCATGCTTCGAGTTGCTGAAGAACAGAGGAGGACGAGTGAGAACCAGGCATCGAAAGACGTTGAAACACGCCTCGGACGACTGTAGCGGTTTCTACGTCGTACCTGCTTTTTATCTTCGCATATTCATGTGCCCATGTATCCCAGCTGTCGTCTCTGTGGTGTTGGAGCTTCTGGGCTAATCAATGTTTCTTGAGGGCGTGGATTCCTTCTCTTCTGTCCTGCCCGATCTAGGCATTACCGCTACACAGAAGCTAAAGCCACCATCTCCGATGCTCCACAGATTCAACGTCAACCCCGCCAATCCAAGTCTCCCCATCTTCTTCCACCTTCCAGTACACGAATTTTACTTATCCGCGGATCTCAGACTCTTTATCTTCCTATCAGATGCATATCAACAACGTTCTTGTACCACCGAGTAATATGTCAACATCCAACTCGCACCTAGTCTCTGACGCCCTGCCTCTGACGCCGAGAAAATTGAACGGGCAAACTCATAAGTTGCCGAAGGATCGAATGCGAGGATGATAGTCTTCCCTGGACCTATCATCTGATAAGGGGTGGCACGGTGTATTTGATATCTGTGCGTATTCAGTGTATATGTATGTATTGATGCTACATGTGTTCAGTGTCCGAAACGCCATCCAACTCCTCCACCGATAGCCTGCGCCATCTACCTACATGTACGCTTGGTGATCTGTGCCTGCAACAGAAAAGAAAAATGGGAAAAGAAACATACAAATGCACACGTATCAATCGTTCCTTGACCAATCCCACCAAAGCTCAACGACCTCATCCATCGCCTCCTCTTCCCCATCCAAGTCCATGTCCGAAGCCCCGTGAAGCACAAAAACCTGCCGCAAGCTCCCGTCCACCTCTTCCGCGTCAATCAGCCTGTAACTCTTCTTCTTCCCGTCGCCAGCCTTCTCGCGCATTTTGCCCATCGTTGCTTCGTAGCCCATGGCTTCTTCCCAGGTCGCCTCTATGAGGTTCAACTCAGATTGGGTAATACCATCTTGGTAGAGGCTGATGCTATAGCCATTTGCCAGGATGCTGCTGTCTCCGTCAAACTTCCAGCGCTGGAGGAAACAATCGCCGCAGAATTTGGCTATCTTGGCCATTTTGTCGACGGGAGCCTGATGCCACGACTTCCAATGATGCAGACTCAGCGGGAACGTCCCGGACTCGTAGAATCCACTCAGATCGCCTCTCATGTCGAGTTGGTGTAGTCCAGGAATGGCGATAAACTCTGTCTGCGTATAATTCCGTATGCAGTCATTCAGCAACCCGTCTCCTTGCCTGGTGATGCTATCGGCGAGACAATCCTCGACGTGCGAGTCGAGCTGCTGGACGAGCGGCATGCTCATGAAGACGCCTGCGCCTCCGTAGGCCATATAGCCAAAGTATGCGACGGCGCCCTGGCTTTCCGTGAGGCCGCCTATGTATGTCGGTTCGGATGCGTTGTGGGAAGCGAGGAGCTGTGAGATGGAGTAGGGCGAGGGGAAGAAGGTGTCGTCGTCGATGATGGAGACCCACTGGGTTTCGTGAGTAGAATAATCGATGAGGTCGTGGAGGATGGCAAAGTGCTGCTCGTTCACATCAAAGGAGCAGTTCCAGGGCCGGATGGTTGTGAGGCTGATGTCGTGGGCTTCGTACATGGACTCTAATGCGTCTAGTTCGTCGTCCGTGACGGAATCATCGACGACGATGGCGAGGAAGAGAGCACCGGTTCCGGACATCCAGTGAGAAAAGTGAGGCACCGAATCTTGGAGGCGGGAGAGAGTCGTTGCTACGCCAAAGATGACGTTCGACAGGTCTGCTGCTGGGAATGGCTCCGACACCTGAAGTGTGATGGGCTCGCAGGATTGAGCTTCGACGGGCGAGTTCGGTGAGGAAATGCTCTTGCATTCGTCGTCGAGATCCAGGATATCCGCTTTTGACGGGAGCAATTGATTGTCAACTTCCGTCACTGAATTCCGTAAACTGACGTCTTGACTATAAACCGCTCGGATACATCGTTTTAGATAAACGATGTTGCGAGTCAAGCCGTACTCTTTGCGCCTCAGATAGTCCAGCTCTGAGGAGCACTGCTTGACTGCGTGGAAACCATCCTGCGCCGAAATGGCAAGGCCTATGCCAAAGGGGAGCTCATATTGTCTCGTTCCTTTGTTGTGTTCTTGCTTCGCAAGAAGGGTCAGCAGGAACACCGTTGCTATAATGAAAAGAACCGTTATTCCTCTGTGTGAGATGGGTGAATGGCAGCGCGTGACGAGCATTATGGAATCATGCAGCTTTCATGATACTCATTTGAAGATGAGTTGGACTGGTGAAGAATAGTCGTTTTGATGCCTAGGAAGTTGCAATATCCAGATTCAGATCTGCTATCAAGTTCCTGGATTGGGATTGCATCACACTGGAGTTATACCCTCATCGCCTCCTTGGCAAATCCAGTGTATCAGGGGAACATCATCCAGGGATACCCATACTAGTAGCGTCAAAGGGGAATTAGTATCATCTTGCTGCTGGTGCCCCTAGAAGATAACAACTTGTATTCGCCGATGTCAATTTTTGCCATCAGATGGTACGATTCTGGCGCTGGAAAGCCGGCCGTCTGTTAGGCCCCATACGTGCGATGCCCAGAAAAAGGACGCGTGTGTGCCGGCGGAAACAGAGCCGTGATAGCCGGGGTTAGACATTGGACCAAAAGCTGTGTGGGCTGGACGAGCCAGAAATTTAAATCTAGGGAAAAAAATTGGAACAGTTTAGCGATGAAAGCCAAGACGACGATCAAGGGTCAACAGAAACTGGGGAAGAACGGCTTCAACGGTCGGCAGGGACAGATCTTCGTGTCTCCATAGGTATGGTGTTCATAACAGAATAATCTCATTGCATGCATCAGGCCCTACTGCCGAACGACTTGACCTAGGCAAAGGCCAATATTTCGCCATCAGATAATACATCCGATTGCCAAAACTATGTAGGTATTCATAGATTGATAAAGAAAACCAGCAGTGTTTTCAAACCTTAGCTGCACATATCGCAATTTGGGGCACAGAAAATGCCGGCGGTGACGTGCATGTACGCGCAATCAATAGTCGAGTGAAAAGGGGGGCCCGCCTCGATTGTGATGTTCGCTCCACACTCAAATGACGACGCTCGTTTCATGCACTCGACGTCGATTAACTCCTTTAGACGAGACAACGCGATTCGAGTTTTGCGTTAATTTCTAGACTAGATTCTTTTTCTTCCTTTAGTTGACCAAGAACTTCTCTGGATTTGGCTTGACAAGAGGACTGGCAAGTAGTAATTAGTAGAAAACCTCCATTGGGACATCCCCTGCCAAAACGAACATCTACGCCCATTTCACTTGTTGCCATCCCTTGACGTTTGATTGCCAGCTATCAATGAGCCCCGGCAGTGACTCCATGCCAAGAATACTCTTGATCTCGTGCTCTCCGTCCAACACCCATTTCTTCAGCTTGGGCTCGAAATCCCTCGACATGACTTCCGTCTTTAGCTTCGAGATCCAGCCTTGGCCTTGTTTGATGCTTGTTTCGGCGGCTGTCTGCAGGTCCTTCAGTTGGGAAACTAGGTCCTTGGGAAGACCACTCTTCCCTGACCTGTCGCGCGCTTTTTCTTTCTCATTGTGGCTCAATAACCATTGAATTGCCAGTTTGATCGCGGCCGTCGTGTCTCGGAGCATCGAGATATCGTGCATCGAGCCCAGCATTGAAACTGTGCCTTCTACTGAAGACTCTGCATCGTGTGATGGTGGGCTTCGCTGGTTTTCGAGAGTCAACTTGAGCGCGCTAATAATCTGGAACAAGGCATCAGAGATATCAGAAGTCCGTTCAAAATCGACACACAGAGACATCAGTGTACAGAGGAGGCTAATGGCCTCAAAGTACAAAAGCTCCGGTCGAGTCATTTCATCGTCGGGGCCAGCCAAAAACTTCGGGAAGGAGTTGCTAAGGCGAGCCAAGGTCTCGATGAAATAGATATGATCATATTCCGCGCTTCCTGCTGAGGCTTTGAAGCTGGCTGGAGGCTTGTAGGTCAGCAGCTCGTGGAACGCTTCGGCCAGCAAGGAGAGATGGCAGCGACGATTCTAAACGTTTCGCGTCAGTCGGCATGTCGCACGAAGACAGAACAGATCAATTGCGCTTACTGAAGGGGCTGGTCCGAGCCTGAGATTGAGATGCATTGGTCGGACCGTACTGCTGTTCCAGGATGGAAACGAGCCATAATCGATAGTCGCGATGAGCTGCGCTTCATCAGCTACCTCGCCTGCATATGTTGTCAGTGTATACTTCGTCGAAAGCTAAAAGACAAGAGAGGGGTGGAAACGTACTGAATCGCGGATCGGACTCCAGCTCGTGCGACGTCTGCCCCAGGAATCTCTCAATCCTCCGCGCCTCTGTCAGACTCATTGCCCTGGTGCAGCTCATCCGAAGACGGTCAATATACTCGGGAATCCCCATAACACTGCTGTAGCTTCCCGATTCAAATGCATCTATCAATCGTCGGGGCATCTTGAGCTTCAGTGATATCTGGTAATGCGACTGAAGCAAATCCATGAGGTGGCTGCCCCAGCTATCATAAGACGACAGAAGCGCAGGGGCAATTGTTGATAGGCGATCGTAGAATACAGGGCCGAGAGAGTCGATGATGGTGCGCTTGACGCCGATAACATCCCAAATATCGCTGGCCCTGTAGGCGGAACCGAGGCGGATATGTAGCTGCGTTAGAACAAGAGACAGCTGGCTATGGCCAGGGTTCTGAGCGAGCTGGTCATCCAGGAGAAGAGTAGCACGTATGAGATGGCGCCTGGCCTGTGATGATAACGGCTGACTAGTCTGCGTGGAGTCGTCGAAAGCAAGGCTCAAGCTGCAAAACGCAATCAACATTGCAAGTTCTGGGAGAACCTCAGTCTTGATCTTCGTGTTTACATTGTCCGCTTTTGTGACTGAGTCGTAGAACGTGGCGCTCGCCTTGGATAGCTTTGAGAGGCAAGTCTGGCATAATGCTGATTCTACAGTACCATGGCAGACAGTGCACTTAAGAAGCTGACTCTGGTCGCGGGATTTCGTTTTGCGATGCGTCAAGAGCAAGTACTGCGTCTTTAGTGCCAACAATTGTGTGCTGGCTCCTTTGAAGTCTGTGAAAGCGCCGCCGGCCAATTGAGGTAAATGCTCAAACGCCAGGTACTTCAGACCGGCTACATCCAGACTTTCCAGCAGCAACTTGATGTCATTGAAACACGCAGGGCTGGTATACTGATCGTCGATGTAGTGAATGAGCTCTCGAAGCCGTAGCGAGGAAGGGCGACCGTCTACCAAGTCGCTTTCATCCTCGTGGGCAAGCTGAAATACTGCCAATACTCTAGCCAGTAGAATATTACGTCTGTACATGGGTCGCATGTGCTTAGACGATAGTAAGTCAGCAAGTAACTTCTGGACGACGGCGGTAGACCTAAGCAGCATTGGAGTCAGTAACATGCAGCGAACTGTCTCATTGAGTTTAGGCGCCGTGTCTACTCACTCTGGATCTGCATCCTTGATGTGGCTTGCAGCATCAATCAAGTGCCGCCATACAGCAATATCGGATGCGAGCAAGGTGAGTTGACCATCCGCATCGCAGTCAGAGAGACATTCCTTGCAGAGGTTGAACACAGCAGGCCAGTCACCATCCCGCCTGAACTTGGCAACAACGCGAAGGGCGACCTCTTTTCGGCCGAGGCGGAACTGTGCAGCGGGAGAGAAGACAGGACTGGAGATGAGTTTCTGAAAGTCTTGGGGACTTCCATGGGTCTCGACAATGTCATACAACAAGAGAGTCTCTTCTTCTGTCTTGACGCGCCTAGGCGAAGCTTTGGCTGATGCCCCGTTTGAGTCTGCTTCCAGCTAAAGTGATAGATACCGTCAGAAACGAATATGACCTCTCCATGTGTTAACAAGGAACAAGAAGGAGCAGAGATTTACCTGTTCTGTGGCTTGGGCAGCTCGCTCAATCTGCTTCTGAGCCAAGGTACCGTAGAGTTTCCTCTTGTCGGGAGAGGTTTGAGGACTCATCTATGCAAAGCTTTAATATGCTGATGAAATGGAAGCGCCCAGAACTTGCTTCAGGGAAGTGACTTACGGAAAGTAAATGTGTGACCACAATGTTCCAGAACAGCATGTCCCTGTCCTGTGGAAACGAGCGGTCGATAATGGCTGCAATCTGCATCCCGTTAGCTCCTCCGATACATGTTCCAACAAGAGGAGTGAAAGGGCAGGGATACCGGGGGGTGCGTACCTGTTGAGCGCTGGCTAAGTCCCAGTGAAGCAAACACGATTCTAGACATCGTGAGGCTGCAATCTTGTCCTTTGGGGCAGCTTTGACGCAGCGTACTCTTAGCGGCCCGAGAGTTTCGGCGAAATCATCCGGGTCCATCAGATTCGTGGTGGCCCATTCCATCAGATCAATGGCATCTACATCCTTGATCGTGGTGCCCTCATTGACAAACTTCCAGATGGCCGCAACGGCAGAAAATTTGGCGGTCGGATCATCAAGCTGGCTCTCGCCACAGATTTTGACAAGCTGTCAAGGTGAACACTTTTGGTCAGCGGTGTGACTCATGCCGGCGTCGAACTATTTTGACTCTAGGAATCCAACGCTCGAGGTCTGTGACAGGTGAAGCTCTCACCTCGTAGTACTGCTCGTTGAGCGTCTTTGCCCGCTTCTCGGCCAAGCGTATCACCACCGGCCAGTTTCCGTCCTGAAAGGCTGACTGGAGCTGGAGATCGACTCCATTCTTGAGGCGCGGTCGTTGGCGATTCATGAGGAGCGCGGCGTTGAGGCTCTTGAGCGGTCACTCTGAGGCATGAGAATCGTTTGCTGCGGTTTGGAGGGGTTCGGACTGGAGAGGCGTTGAAGATTGGGAGCTGCACAAGGCTGGCCAGCGCAGCCACGATTATCCCACCAAGTGTGGCTGGGAGGAGCTGTGGCGTTTACGAGGCTGGCCCTGCATCTTCGCATCTGTCCGATATCACGTACGTACCTTAGGTATAGTACAATACCCTAAAAGGACATTGAAGGGAACAGAATGGGATTGACATCTCCATTGAGTTCCCTATTTTCCCTGAGTATGACAAGTATAACGCAGTTGGACTCCTTTATTCTTTCTAACCCCCCCTTACTCTTTTTTTGACACTTCTGTTCTCCATATGTTCCTGATAAGCGATGAATGCGACTTCGAATACGACCACACATACCTACTAGGTAAGGTACCAGTATTTACAAGTACGAGCTACCCCGATAACACCGATCCTAGTGATTCCGGAAACTTGAAATCAAATGCCGGCCTCGTCTCCCGCAAATTCGGACAATTTCTACTGCTATAGATCCCCGAGAAACATGACGTCTTTAGATTCGTACATGTAATATGTATGGAGTAAGGTTAGTAGGGCATAATCTAGTCCCTCGAAAAACGAGGGACGCCAAAATGTCGCGCGGCGGTGTGGTGGTCCACCCAATCCCGGCTTATCTAGGTAGAGCATGACAGATCATTGACGCCTCCTTGGGCTTTGCTTATTACATGTATGGTTAAGCCGAGAATGAGGCATGCTTGTTACTAACGACCTGTTTCGCCTTCTACTTCGCATCTCATTGACTTACTTTTATACATCAATTGTTTACATCGGTAGGCAAGATGCCCCAGGAACGACGAAAAGGTCGGATCCCCAAGTCCGAGTACGACTTGATGCTCGTCAAGCGGCGGAGATTCCGTCCCGCAAAGGCCTGCTACCCGTGCCGGCGACGCAAGGTCAAGTGCAATCTCAGCCAGCCCTGCGAGAGCTGCAACGTCCGTGGACACCCCGATCTCTGTGATTATACGACACCCCCGCAGAGCAAGGCTGCGAAAGCAGGTGAACTACTACCCGTTACAAGTGAGCAGAAAACTTCACCAAAAAATACGGCGAATGGCATGTCTCAGGGGCTCTATGTGAATCCCGTCGCGCCATACGACACAAAACTGCACCTTGGCCCGGATTCACTTCCCAGTCTGGTTTCCAAATACCAGAACCTCAGTTCTCAGCAGCAGCAACAGGGCCGGAACGATGTCAACATAGATGCTTTGAAGCCGCCGACCAATCCACAAACTATTGTTGAACTTCTATGTCTGCAAGATTCGAGTACCATCTCGCCGTTTACGAATCTGTGGAAGCCGGGAGATGGCCCTGAAGTCGTTTATAACGCGCTGCCTGACGATGAGGCAATAAAGGGGTGAATTGTCATCGACCTCTTCTTGACTTCATGATCAAGGACTGACCATAGACAGCTATGTGCTGTTCTTCCAAAGCTCCCTCTTCCGTATTTTGCCTTTCACCATTAGCTTGACCCAGTTTGAAGCTACCCTTTCTGAGTTTCTTGACCAACGGGCCAAAATTCCTGTAGAAACCTTGAGGAAGCCTCCCCCAGCTTGCATACCGACCTGGTTCGGACTGCTATTTGGCATACTTGCATGCGGCGCACAGCTTGGGTCAGATAAAGAGTCGGAACTGATCAAAGCTCGTGTTTTCGGTAAGGATCCAGACCAAGGGTATCACATCGGCGGGCTAATTAACACACACGCAGCATGTTGTGCATTCCAGTGTTTACGGCTGAGCAATTTCATCTCGTTTCCTGATATTGCCACGATTCAAGCCCTTATATTACTCGTCAACTTCCTGCAGAACCAGGCCAATGCTGGAGCTTCATGGTCAATGCTAGGTAAGATAGCCGGCCTGGATCTAGCTTTGAAACCTACATGTAATCATTAGAGCCTATACTTAACAAGTCCGAAGGCCTTACTATACGTCTTGCGCAGACACTCGGACTTCACTGCTCTCCAAGCCCTGATATCATCGCCCCAGGTCAACGAGACGAGGCCACTGTCAAGTATCACATATGGTATGTCAAACCTCATCACTCAGCAGCAGAGGGGCTGATAGTAAGCACGATTGGCTAGGCGATGTTTGATATGGCAAGATACCTTAGTCTCGCTATTGTACGGGAGACCGTCTTGCATTACCGTTCACGAAGACGTCCCGTCGCAACTGTCCTCGTCATCGCCTCACCTACACTCATTTACGACGAGCTGCAATCATCTTTTTATAACGGCAAACAAGATTAGCCAAGAAATCAACAGAGCGACATTCTCGGGTCACCAGTTGTCCCTTGCTGAGATCAACTACTTCAGAAAGACAATTGAACAGATTGTCAATTACTCAACACCTCATCTTCGGGACATCGCAGCATGTCAAAATCGTGATGAATGTATCCAGCACAACTTTTTCCGCGCGTTTGTGGACTCGGTCATTCTCTGTCTTTGTCGTCCAGCAGTTCTCTCCCACGGCCACGCGTACAACACAGAATTGGCGGACATCTACTTCAAGCGCTGCCGCTCAATCCTGCAAATTTACCTCGAATTGCTCAGACTCAATTGTCCGATTCGGCGATCATGGGTCTTTGTTCACGTTACGCTCAGTTGCGCCCTGACTCTCGGGCTTGCTGCTAATACGAATAACGATGCGTCCGACAAGCTTTTCCTCAAGGAGTTTCTGGAAACCTTTTCACAAACCAATATCTTTGCTCATGTTCCTTCCTATCAGAATGCGTTGCACTTGCTTCGGCAGTCAATGAGCACGAGTGAGTAAAGGCTGAGCTTGTGAGTTTCTCAGAATCTTGGCAAAATGCATCAAAACTTCTGATAGGTATCATTTAGTTGCTACCTGCCTTCTCATCTTCTTTTTGGAGGTATCTCGGCGCGCTTTCGCCTGATCGCCACTTGAATAAGCTTCCTGGGTGGTCTTCAGGCAGTCTCTTGGACCCGATGAAAACTTCTCTTGCTGTTGCGCCCTCTTTCTCGACACCACTTCGGAATACGCCTCGCCTCCGCAGTTCAGGGAGAAGGTACTCGATGATATCTTCGAAGCTACCCGGATTGGTAACGTGGGCCAAGTTGAAGCCATCCACTCCAGAAACCTCAATCCATCTCTCCAGCTCGTCGGCGACTGTTGTCGGACTGCCTACTACCTTTGCGCCGAGACCGCCAATGCTGAGATACTCGACAATTCTTCGCTTGGTCCATGGGAGATTGTCTGTTCCAGGCACAGTGTCTGACCATCTTCTGATGATAGACTGCAATCTCGGAGAATTAGTGAAGCGGAAATCTTCATCGTCTGTATAGCCTGAGAGATCAACCCCGGTCCATCCTCCAAAGAGGGCCAAGGCACCTTCTTGGTCGGCATATTGCAGATAGCTTTCTTTTTTGGCTCGGGCCTCTTCATCCGTTGCTGCGACAATGATGTTGATTCCCACGATGACTTTGATGTGGTTTGGGTCTCTTCCCTCTTTGCTTGCTACCTCACGAATATTGTTGACAGTCTTCCTCACACCTTCTGGAGTTTGGCCGCCGACAAAGATGGCTTCGCCATGCTTTCCTCCGAAGCCATTTCCAGCCTCAGATACTCCAGCCTGGAAGAGAAACGGTGTTCGTTGCGGAGATGGCTCGCAGAAGTGAGGACCAGGCACCTCGAAAAATTTGCCCTTGTGGTGTATCTGGACAACGCCATCGGCGGCGATGTAGATGCCATTCTCGCGATCCTTGACGACCGCGTCATCTCGGAAACTTCCCTCCCACAATTTGTACAGGACTTCCATGTACTCATGAGCAATGGCATATCTTTCGTCGTGGGGGATTTGCTCCTTCAAGCCATGGTTGCGAGCTGCACTGTCAAGGTATGATGTGACGATGTTCCACGCAACACGGCCGTCGCTAAGGTGGTCTACTGTAGATAGACGCCGAGCAAGCGCATAAGGCTTCTCATACGTCAGGCTAGCTGTGACACCAAAAATGAGGTTCTTCGTGACGGCTGTCATTGCAGGAACCAGGTATAGTGGATCATTGACTGGAAACTGAGCGCCTGCTGCTAGAGCTGGCACAACGTTCGCAGGACCCTTGTATACATCGTATGGCCCAAGGGTATCCGCGATGAACATGGCATGGAATTGTGCCTTGTCGAGGAGTTGTGCCAGATCTGTCCAGAATGAGAGCTTTGTGTACTGATCCGTCTTGTTCCGTGGGTGTCGCCAGAAGCCAGGAGAGAGATGGCCCGGGGTGTTCATAACAAATGCGTTCAGGATCATTTGCTTCTTTCCCTGAGCTTGCCCTTCGGCTGCCGTGGTTGGTATGTTATCGCCCATTGTTAATCGGTGCTATTGCTTGACAAAGCTTCGAAGAATCATGCACATAGTTGCTGCCTCCACCACTCCTTGTCAGGACATGAAGGCTTTTAAACAAGAAGCGGGAATAACGTTCCATATCTTGACAAATTATCCCGACACTTCGTTTTATCCTATTGGCTTTTTTCAATCTTCGAGGATGGAATGCAGGAGCTTCTTTTGTCCATTGTTGCACGCGAGGCGAGGCTGATGTTCCGCTATAAAGTCGTCACACTATGTGCAGAGCACGCAATACACACCATGATCTCACATCAACGGCCGATCTCGCATAGAGATTCATATCATCAACCAGTCAGAAATCGAATTGCAATCGAACTATTAATCCAAAAACCATTTAGCCGGGTTCCTCGTCGATTCGCAATCGCTTCACGCCTTTTACGCGGCAATAGTCGACGTCCGCTTGTCGGCCATAGGAGTGACCCTGTCTCGCTTCATCTCAACACCACAAGGACTTGCAGGTGCAATTCTAGGCGGCCTGCTGTGCTATTACCCAGGCATTGCAAAACCTAAGGAGACGAAAATAACGTCATTACTTCCTAATGCAACGTGCTGGATTTATGGGCCGTGGGCTTGCAAGGTTCCCCGACAATTGGGAGACTGGAGATAGAGAGAGACGAAGTGCTTGAAAGATAAGAAGCCGACCAACTGTCGGCACTTGATGGTATAAAAGAAGGTGTGTCTGTGCATTCCTCTGTGGGCTACCGGAAAAGGGATCCTTGTCGAGGCTTCAATACCTTTGGAGAGATCCTGCTTGCTCCGTTGTGTGAGGCCACACCAGTTCGCAGACAAGCCATAGGCCATTGATCCAGTCCTCGCCATGTCGGTTCAGCTCGGAGTCTCTGGAGTGCCTGTCATTCCTCAGGGCACGGCATATGGCCTCCTTATTGGGCTAGGAGTGGCCTTCTGTGGTGTCATTCTCGTCGCAATCAAGGTCCAAAGGGCGTATCTGTCCGAAGACTCGTCGACATCAGAGATGTTCATGGTTGCCAATCGATCAGTGGGGAGAGGGTTAACAGCATCGGCGGTGTTTTCGTCATGGATGTGGATAAATGAAACGGTGTTTTCAGCTGCCTTTTGTTACAAGTTTGGCCTGGCCGTCCCTTTTGTAAGTCATGGAGCAAAGTTCACGCATCATATCATGTGGCTAATGACACGTGCGGCTTGCAGTGGTGGGCTACAGGCTTGTGCTTCCAGATTGCCTTGATGGCAGCACTTGGTGTATTGGCCAAGATCCGAGTGCCGTATGCCCATACATCATTGGAAATTATTCGCATGCGTTACGGGAAGATTGGCCATGTGGTTTTCATTATACTCAACATCACAAACAACGTCTTCGGATGTGCATCTATGATCCTGACAGGATCACAGCTCATATATGGCGTGTCTGGGATGCACTTTGTCGCAGCTACCATACTGATCCCACTTGGAGGTAAGGATAGTCTAATGTGCCACTCTTACTACACATGGGATATTGCTGACAGCACCAATCATTGTATAGTGGTTCTATATACAGCAGTAGGTGGTCTCAAGGCCACCTTCTTGACGGACTACCTCCACACCGCTGTTGCCTTGATTCTCATTATCTACTTCACCTTGACTACTCTGACCCATGACGCCGTCGGCGGCCTTGGAGGACTGTATGACAAAGTCATGGCAACGGCGTCCGAGAACATGATTCCCAGAAACTATGAAGGATCGTTGCTCACCATGAAGTCAGTCGACGCCATCATCTGGGGCTTGATCTTGAAGTTTGGCAACCTTGCCCTCGTCGTCATGGTAAGAACGAGATCTTAGAGAATCTTTGCACTCCTCTTCCACACTGCATCCGCCGCTAACTCTCCCTCTTCTTCTTCAACAGGACACGGCATTTTGGCAAAAGTCTTTTGCTACAGAGGTCAAGGCCACCGTGCCTGGATATAACATTGCCGCCATTGCTATATTCGGCATCCCCTGGGGCCTTGGCACGGTCATCGGCCTCACTGCTAGGGCTATTCACAATACTCCGATCTTCCCGACCTATCCCGGCGAATTTTCCCCGAGCTTAGTGAACGCAGGTTTGGTAATGCCATATACCATCAAGGCCCTCATCGGTGACAAGGGCATCATTGCCTTTTTCGTCCTCTTGTTCATGGCCTTGACGAGCACTGTCTCGTCATCCATGATTGCCGTTAGCAGCATCATATCATTCGACCTTTACAAGACGTACATTAACCCGAAGGCGTCTGACAAAAGGATGATGAGAGTCAGCCACCTGGCCGTCGTTTTCCACACAATCTTCATCACTGGCATATCGCTGGCGCTTAACTATGGGGGCGCTGATATGACATGGATCGGCTATTTCAGGCCCATCCTCTCTTGCCCTGGCATCATACCTCTAGGACTGACCCTGGCCTGGTCAAAACAGACGCGACTAGCGGCAATTGCGTCGCCAATTCTAGGGTTTCTCACAGGCCTCAGCGTCTGGCTAGCCACGGCTAAGTCCATGTACGGGACTATCAACATTGCAACCACAGAAGCGAGTTTTCCAGCACTCTATGGTGCGCTTGCTTCCTTCTTCTCTCCGGCTCTTTACTCGGTAGTCATATCTCTGTACAAGCCGGAGTCGTTTGACTGGCGACGTTTTCTGCTTATCGAACTGGCAGAGGCACCTAAGGCTGATGAGAGTGAATCGTCAACCCCGCCAAGTGACGACGAGAAGGAGGACAAGGGCAAAACGGGGTCAAGCGAGTCGCAGAGGAACGGCATCGTGGTTTTGGAGTCACCAAGCGAGAATGCTTCTGTGGCTGCTCCCGATGCCGAGAAGGCAAACACCGTCAAGGTCACAGAATGGCAAACTATCGGCGTATCAGCAAGTGGTGATGACAACTTGATTGACCTCGATAACGTGCAGCATCCCTTTACAGAGGAGACGTTGCAGGAGCTGCGCCGTTGGTATCGCATCGCATGGGCATTCTTCGTCGTAATTGTTCTCATCACGTTTGTGGCTTGGCCGATGCCCTTGTACCGCAACTACATCTTCACCAAGTCCTTCTTCTCAGGTTGGACTACCGTCGCCATTATATGGCAGTTCTTTGCATTCTTTGCGGTAGTTCTCTACCCCCTGTATGATGGCAGGCATGCCATTGCCAAAGCATCTCGAGGAGTTTGGAGGGCGATTGGCCGGAAATTTGACAGGACATGACCGGATGAGCGGCATGACGCCGCTCGATGAATGAGTCTGAAAGTAGCCTACCCAGAACGAAATCGATACTAGTGCTTATTTGAACCTTGTTGTCTCTGTGCCCCTGGTCTGAATGCAAGTCCCCCGTTCTACGCAACGCTTGCATGCGTTTATTTTGAGACGTTACGCATAAGGCAGGTAGACCAATCGCGATTGTGGGTCTATGTTCTATGAGAATCTGACACAATGTTATAGTAATGCTCCGTGATTTGTGGTAGCTTCCTGAACGAGTCAGTACGTTTAAATGATGGGTCGATGGATTCTCCACCAGTATACTATGACTTTAGACTTGACAGAATGTCCCTGGTGCTACAGACTGTACATGTTCCTTTGCTATTTCTGTAGCCCTAGGTATTAGTGTTTCTGGTAGATGTAAGAACATGCAGCGACGCTCATGTGATCCAGACGACAACCATCTGATAATGAGCTTAAAAGGGATATTCGACAACTGTAGCCAATATGTATGTTATATTCATTTATTCAACTATGTGCAATTCGACAGAGAACCTATGTACAGTGAAGATATAGAGAAGTGAAGTCAAAGGACCATCACCGTTGCCGATCTACTTGACAGTAGACATTTAGCACTGGCCGTTCTCGTTGCAGAAGTGCCTAGAAAACGTCAGATGTAGCTCTTGGTGATAAAGACACAGGTGATCACTTACCACTCAATGTTGATGGTTCCGAAAGGAGCATTGTTGGTGAGCTGGTTCCAAGCACCGTGAGACAGATCAATGCTGTCGGCAGAAGGGCAGCCAGGGCAGGTATCCTCAACAGTGGCAATGACAGTTCGGCCGGCGCCGCCAACACCGTCGTTGCTGCCGGTGTTCTGGATGAAGACCTTGCGGCCGCAGTACTTGGGAGGGAAGCCGTTGCCCTGCCAGCTGGGGGTGAGGGCAACAATCAGCTCATCATCACCGTGCTTCTCGCCACAAGATCCGAAAGCACCCATCTGGTCGTAAACAGTGCCAGTACCGAAGTGCCTAGAGGAATCGATGTCAGTACTTCTGAGAGTCTCGCTGTTGAGTATTATGAGTATCAAGACTTACTCGGTTCGCTTGGCCTCAGGAGCAGATCGAACACGGGAGGGCTCAGGGAGAGCGCTGACAAGGCTGGCGGCAGCAGCCAGGAGAACAACGGCGGTCTTGGCGAACATTTTGAAGTGCTGGTATCTGTTCCTGGAACTGATAAACTGGAGTAGCAGAGAAGCTGAGTTGTCGAGACTGATGATGAGCTGTGATGAGGCAGGACTGGAGAGGATCGAGAAAGACAATGGCAGAGACGGCCAGGCCTATATATACTCATTTCTCTCACCCTTGGCCGACATCCTCTTGCCAGCTTCTCCGTCTACTCATCGTCATCGTCAGATGTCGTTCGGCTATCGCCTGTCTAGGGATCCAGTGTCTTCGCGAACAACCCCAAACCCGGCCAGCCCGACACCTAGACCATCCAGGCCCACGATGTGTTCGGTGTAAGACCATGAATTTTTCCGCTAATGCTTTCCAAAGATTTCCATTTCAAGACGCGGAAACTAGGTACGACAAACGAGCCGTGGTTCTGGTAAGCACTGGAGGGCCGCCTTTTGCCTCAAGTAGAAGCTAGGTGATCGGGCGATGGTGTTTCGGGAAGGTCGAAACACAGCCGGGTTCGACTAAAAGCTGGTTTTCCCCGTAAGGCGCGTGTTGTTTGCGTAGTAGACCAGGCAGAAGCAAAATCTGATTCCAGACCACGCCCCCCTTGGCCCGGATATACTCGTTTGAGATGAATTTGCCTGCATTTTTGCTGCTGTTTTACAGGGGGCACGTGGTCTGACGGCTCATCGATCGTAAATCTCATGGATGCTCATGGGTTGGAGATTAAAGCTGACTGGTGGATTTTCACGGCTAGCGAGTGCTGGTGAGAGGTTCCTGTTCCGGTCAGCGAAGAAGGCAAGGCTGACAGGTAGTATCTGCAATGTAAGTAATGCGGGTGGTGTCGCATGGCATGGAAGCACTTTTACGTACATTGAAATGCGACGCAAATATAACTCTATACGCTGGACTAGGTCTAAACCATAATAGTTGACCATACTTTAATCGATTGTATATCTATATTAGGCAAACACCCTTTTCTTCTTCCGTTTGGCCAGGGGAAGGGAAAGCTTTCAAGGCATGAATAATTGCTCACGTAGAGAAAGAAGCTTCCTGAAGCGTCAAACAATGACCTGATGAAAACCGGCTGTCTCCCTGGAATACTACCATGTTTTGACCGCACAAGCAGCAGAAGAGGCCTCACCGGTTCTTCTTGAAATCCGACTCTTCCAATCAAAAACCCTGCTTATTTTGTCGTTCTTTTTTTTTTCTTTTAATCGTACAAGAACTCGTGTTCGCTAATTCTGTCCTGGGGTAAGGTACTCCGTACGGATAACTGAATTACGCCTCGGCGAGATACGAAGGCTTGAAAGACTTTTTAACAGTGATAATAAATAATATTTGTTATTATTTCTTCTTTCTCATTTTTCTTCCCGGTTTCAATGTCCCAACTGCTGGTTGGGTGAGGACTGCGCCGGGGCGCGGAAGCATGCTCTTGTGAGATTTTGCCTTCCGAAATAGTCAATTGCACTTACAAACGTTTATGGAATCGTGGTTATAAATCGGGTTTGAGGGACGGGATAACACACACCGGGCAATAGCGTGTGATGAGGCTTCAAGCGGGCTTACAGACATAGACCGTTGACGGATATCCGAGAATGCAGGGCGGCTAAGAGGCTAAACTGCATGCATCGTTTTAAGAATTTGTACGAAATGCTACTTGTATGCAGTCAACTTGGAATTGGCTAACTTCGATGCTCGGTGCGTTCTTTGAGTCAGTGTTGCTTGGTTATCCTCGTAGAGGGCTCCAGTTCGCAGTGAAGTTGCAAGTTCTCTCCTGTTCGAAAAAAAGGATTGGTTGCAAGCATACGACTCGTAATGCCCGCGAAAGTGATCTTGGCATTTTCCAACCTCAGTGGTATAATTCGAGATGAGTATATCGGCCGTTCTCCATGGAGTACAAGGACTCCATATTGCAGCTTCAAAAGTCCACGGATCACAGATTCCCCTGAGCTGTGGTGGGTGAAACATTCCGTATTAGCCATTACCCCAGCCAGTACATGTAGTGAGTGGCAGCGCCTCAGGGGCGTCGTACACTCAATACTACCTAGTGCCCATCCTTGCCGTACTTTGTACGCTGCTATCGATACGGCAAGATCCGACCTCTTTAGGCGCAGACTTGACGTGTCAACTGGGGAACACGGCCCGGTTTGTTGCCTACGACGCACTTTGTTAGAAAGTTCAGCATTCCGTAACTTGGAAGACGCAAATCGTAACACAGCCATTGTTGTCTTCTTCCCAATGCGCGATGCGAGACAGAGAAGTAATATTCAGTCGGTAAATCGTCAGCCAGAAAATTCATGCGATGCCCCCAGCCTATCATTAGTGGCGGCAGTTATTTAGGCAAATTCGGGGTATGCTGCTGACGTTTCGCCGAGACAGGGGTCATTGTGTCGATCCGGCAGTGGTTGCGATGACCCGGTGCCACAACATATACCATATTGCAAGTTCTTACAACCTATGTAGGAAGCATGAAGCTGCGCAGAAGAAGAAAATTCAGACTCGAGAACGATCGAGAGGTAACGGAAGGTTTGCAAATGTTGCTTCAGTGGGGGGATATGCACATATGTCGCCAGTGGTATGATCAATTGAGGCATACTTTACTTCCACAACGCAAGAGGCAATTGATGGGCTGAGACCATGCATGGACGCGTACCCTGGAGCAAATTGTAGAGACACGAGCAGAAACTGAAATGAGAGAAGAGATGAGTACCAGTAGGATCATGGAATATAGAATATCGAAGAGGTTCTATGAGACACTAAGTAACAGGCTCTCATGAATGCTTGCATCATGAGATCGAGGCGAGTTGGCAAAGGTTTTCGTCTGCCTTTCCATCAATAACTTGAATATGAAATAGTATACTGGAGCTGTGACGTTTGTGCAAGTCCAGCAGTTATCAACGCGCTAATACTCGTAGAGGGTGATGCAGACGAGCTCCTTTACCTGCCCACTCTCGCTTGGATTCAGCTGGCAAAAAAAAAAAGAGAGCTTCACTTTGTCGCTGCGTATGAGAGGACAAATATTGAACAAATTGAGAGGATGAGCTGTTGTTACGACCATGCTTCAAGCCGTTGCTGCCCGTTGTCCCTCGCTTGAATGCTCAACATTCTTCCGACACCGGCGTCCCAACCTCTGCCGATGCAAGCCGGTCACGGGACCGGAGTTTCTCCACAGATTGAAGATGATTAGGACGATAACATCACCAAGACTTGGAGCTTGCACCGACATCAAGCGTCTTCGATTTCCCTCAAGTGTCTGGCCGCTTCTCATCAGCAGCTCGCAAACTCTTATTTGGCAAAATATTTTTCACCTCTGTAAAGAAATCTCGTCTCACACAACCATGGCGCCGTCCCTCCAAACCAGCAAGTTGGCCTTCATTGGCGGAGGCAACATGGCCTCTGCCATTATCGGAGGGCTGGCCAACCAGGGCATCGACAAGCAGAACATTATCGTGTCCGAGCCGTGGGACGTCAACAGAGAAAAGATTGCGGCCACCGGCGTGCGGACGACGACGTCCAACGTCGAGGCCGGCCAGGACGCTGACCTCATCATCATTGCCGTCAAGCCTCAGGTTGCCAAGACGGTATGCGAAGAACTGGGTGCTTCGTGGTCTCATCGCTCTACTTTGCCGGTTGTTGTGAGCATTGCGGCTGGCATCACGCTTGGCAGCTTGCGGGAATGGCTCAAAACCAGCGAGGGCAAAACGGCGCCGATTGTTCGTGTCATGCCCAACACGCCAGCGCTCGTTGGCGAAGGCGCCTCGGGACTCTATGCCGGCGAGGACGTCAAGGAGGAGGAGAAACAGCTCGTTGGTGCTTTACTGGACAGTGTCAGCAAGGCCACGGAGTGGGTGGACAAGGAAGAACTGCTCGACGTTGTCACTGGACTTTCTGGTAAGTCAATCGCTACCTCATTTACACATACCGCACTCTCTACATGGGGTTTAGACTAACAGATGCACTAGGATCTGGACCTGCGTACTTCTTTGCCATGGTTGAGCATCTAATTGCCAGTGCAACTGCTTTGGGCCTTCCGAAAGAGCAGGCTACTCGATTGGCCAAGCAGACGTGTCTGGGAGCCGGCCGGATGCTTGTCACCTCCTCAGACGAACCAGCTCAGCTGCGCAAGAATGTCACGAGCCCAAATGGAACCACATACGCTGCTCTGCAGACATTTGAATCATTGAACTTTGACGAAATTGTCCACAAGGCCGTTAAAGCTGCTACTGACCGAGCTGCAGAGTTGGGAAAGTCATAAATGGAGATCTAGCATGGAAATAGAAATACTCATTCAAAACTTCCAGTTACAGGCATTATCAAGTGAAAGTCAACCATCATAAAGACATAATCGCATACATAATGTTAATGGAACAAAACAGGCAAGATCATTTGGCGCCTTTTTCGGCTCTGTCCTCCTCGCTCGAACCTTGTGTGGAAACAGGTCGACCAACAACATCCTCAAAGTCTGCCATGACCAAGTCTTGCTGTAACGATGTGTCAGAAAGAAACACGTGAACTGCTTCAATCGATAAATAGAAGGTGTTAGATGCGACTTACGGGACCCAAGAATGTCTTTCCATAAAAGAACCAATATATACCAACAACTATGCCAAAGATACCAATCACAACGCAGACGTAGTCTACATATGTTGTTAGCCACCCCACGTTCAAAATGTAAAAGTATAAGTGCAGTCACTCACTCATGTTATTGCCAGTGACTGGAAGAAAGGTGGGAAAGCAGAAGAACTATGGCAATGTTAGCTACATCATCTGGATATGCCAAGGAGCGTATTGCATGAACTCACCACCGAAGTCACAACCACATAGAGTGCACCAATGATATTCAGCAACAGACCGAAGGTCCTTCCAAGTTTAAAGGGTGTCTTTGCAGTCTGGTAGTGGTCAAGTACTTTCCGTCCACGGATGAGAAGGATAATGATGGGAATGGCATAAGACACGTTCAAAAAGATTGTGCAAGATGCAACATATGCACTGAAAGCGACGACGGGTCCCAGATACAAGAGGCCGAAAAGAATATTGAAGACGAAGCAGAACATGATGGTCCGAACCGGCACGTTGAGGCCTGACTGGATGTGGGCAAAGTAGTTGTGGAAGACGATGCCGCGGTCACGGGCCATGGCATAGAGCAATCTGCTAACGCTGGTGATGCTGGCGTTTGTACCGTTGATGAAGCAGACGCTGAGCATCAGGCTGAGGATGGTGGCGGCGGCTCGGCTTTTTGTTGCTTGAAGGATGAGCTCGACGATGGGCATGCCGGTGGGAGTGGCCAGGACAGTATCGGCGTCGACGAGACAGAAGAGCATGACGAGGATGAAGGCAAAGCCCCTGGGAATTCATGTGTTAGCAGGAGTCACTGGAGAAAGCATATGCTAAAGATACTTACGTGACGCCACCGATGACAATGGAGTACAGCATAGCTCTAGGAGCGTCTCGAGCAGGATTCGGCATCTCTTCTGTCATGTGGAGGACAACGTCGAATGCAATAAGCGAGAGAGCAGACTGCAGGAGACCCAAGATCCAGGCCATGCCGTCAGACCAGCCAGTCTCGTTATTGAAGTCAGTGAAGACAAACTCTGCGCTTGTCTTGTCTGACATGGAGAGCAGAACAATGCTGATGATGACGACGCCAAAAAGGGACCAGTACACTGTATTAATGACAGTTAGGAATTATGATGGCATTGCGAAAAATTTCTCAAGTTCCTTGGGATTGGCTTACAGGCAGCGTCGTTCCACTTGCCAAGTATCTTGTTACCCCAAATGTTGGCAACTGTCGTAAAGACGAGGACTGCCACGAAGATCCCATATGTCCTCGCCGCGGTGATCTGATAAGCTCCGTTTGATGCCACCACTGCTGCGGCGGAAATGAACTGGGCTAGATTGTCTGGTATTAGCAACGCCTAGAGCATTCAATATAAGAAAGTAGAAAAGGGGGCATCTTTGTCAACTTACAGCCAAAGTAGTCTTGCACGGTGACTACGACAAGCCAGCCAACAATGTTGGCCCAACCAACTACAAAGCTCTTTGGTATTGTCCATGGTCAGTTCGTTGCATCTTGATTCAGGAAGATAATGAATGCAAAACCTACCACCGGCTTTCGCCATCTTTCCGTGCAAAGGGCGTAGACAAAGTGATACTGCCCTCCAGCCGTTGGCCAGATGGAGCTGAGCTCGCCAAGACTGGCGGCCACGCAGAAGCAGCACAGGACGCAGAAAATGAAGCCGTATAAAAGCGCGACGGAGCTACCTGATGGCAGGACAAGACCTATTGAACCAGCAAGAGCAATCCAAGTGCTGTATTGCGAGTCAGTGATACTGAGCTCTTGCTCCTGCGGCGAGATGTATCACGATGGAGACGTACTTAAGAATGGCGAAGGCCATTGCCATGGTCGAAAGGGTTGATAGACGGGGCTGAAGAGCCCCATCCCCTGATGCTGCTGCCTTGGTTCCGAAGAGGGTCATTGCTGAACAAGCCTATAGAATTTGAAGAAGAAGAGAAGGAGACGGGCAAAGAAGCACAGAGGGAGCCGATGAAAGAGAAACGAGGCGGTGATGGGCCTGATTTGTATTCACCGACTGGCCTTGAGTCTCTCAGTCAAAACGCCGGAAACTCTGGAAGCGTCCTAAAGGACATGATCTCCGGCGCCCTGTATGCTCCGATTCTATCAGAGGCTTTTGGCGGACTACCATCCATTGGTTAGCTTGCACCTGGGATATCTTGCATCTACAATCTCTTTGATAACGATGCTGCAGCTCGCTGAGGCTTTGGCTCAGTGACACACTTGGGGTGGCGATAGCTTCGCGAGCTGTCTGGAAGAAACCGATAAAGGGCGTTGCGAAGTTGCCTATTCAGGCAATTTCACGAGAGACTTACAAGTGCGTTCCCCAGAACACGAGCTCCCGGTCCGCTGGAAAACGCGGGGTAGGAGGACGCCTATCTAGATAACTGCCCTAGTTAGCCTCCCCCTTTTCTCGGGATCCTGCCCAAATGAGCAAAAATGTACCAAGGGCGTGGGTATGGGGAGTTGGAGATTACTCTTTATCTGTGCGGTCCGGGGCGAGCTCCAAGTCACTATGGGCATGGGATATGCAGCTTTGTTAAGGTACTACCAGATAGCAGGGGGGATTCGTACCAGCTAAGGTACTCTACAACAGGTGGAGTTCTGAGCGGACCGCAACGTTTGTTCCTACTTCCGTGATTTCGGTAACACGGTAACACGCGGGCGTCCTTTCTACAGTTTGGGGGGGACGCCACTGGGAAGGGCCTGGAACAAGGCGGAGTTGCTCACTGCTTGTCTTTCTTTTGCTGTTGATGAAGGAGAAACAGGAAAACAGCTGCATCTGCGAGTGTGCTGAGGGATACGCCTATTTTATATATTCTGCATTATACTACACATGTGCATGTCTCCCTGATGCACACTCCAGGGGGTTGGGCTAATAAGAGGCTGTTTTGGTGTTGTCGACCAACAATATGTTGCATTAAAGCTGCTCTGGCGGAGACTCCTTCCGTTTATCCTACAATAAAGCTTCTGAATTTGTTATCGATGGTGTAGTATCTCGATACTCAATTCCTCGTGACTCGTGATACTAAACTAACGTCTTGCAAGTTGATTCCGGATTCTGGGGAAGTGGGCCGATCGCTTGCTCGGCAGACAGCTCCTGTGGATTTCCATTGATGATAGCTTTCGTTTACTTGTACTATCATTACTGGTTATCTGGTGATACGCCGAAGAGCTGGCTCTTTGTGGCTACCGGGTGGAGCGGTTCGTCTTCTTTCTCCCGCTTTTGCATCGATACGACAAAACCAGCCCGCTTATATTCTCCATCAGGCAATTTTGCGAGAAAGCAGTTACAACGATGCACAGTAACAAGGCTTCATCTCTTTTGCCACTTATCAATTTGAGGGCGTGAATTCTCAATATATTTCCGTTTTGGAGGAAAATACACAGGCTGATTGTACGATAAATGTATCTCTATGACCTGATGTTCGACTTCACAAGCTTTGCAGAGAACCAGCGCGACCCATCTCTGTCCCACCGATGAATTGTATTAATAGTTGAAGCGCGCTCCTTTTTGTCGTAGACATGGCCTACGCGTCGCTCTGTGATCCTTTCCTTACCTACAGTTCTTTCCTGGCGACGGAGGCACTGAGATTGACATTCAATGACATCCAAGGACGGTTATTCGTGGACTGAAGCTCAAGGCCTTCGGGCCGGAGTCCCCTCAATTGGAGTAATCGAGCCGCCTACCAATGTTAAGAGTGCCGACACGGTCTACGATGTAATTGTTGTGGGCGCGGGCTACTGCGGTCTTACAGCCGCTCGAGATGCCAGTCTAGCAGGTAAATGCCCGATGCGAGATCGACCATTGCGAGAAAATCGAAGACTCTGACCATATATCTTGCCCCATCCACTAGGGCTGAAGGTGCTGTTGCTCGAAGCACGCGATAGAATCGGTGGTCGGTCATGGTCATCCAACATCGAGGGCTATCCGTACGAAATGGGCGGGACTTGGGTCTTCTGGGGGCAGGCGAACGTGTGGCGCGAGATTGCAAGATACGGCATGCAGGACGAGCTGGAGATCTCCTACGACTTTTCCAGAGGCATCAACAAGTATTTGCTATCGAGTCCACAGGGCGTCCAGACGTTTACCCACGAAGAAGAGGTAATGTCAACAGTAAAAGTACAGACTCTGAGAGAATGCTGACCATGGCCATGCGCACTAGGATGCACTGATGCAATCTGCACTGGCGAAACTCGTCAATGTCGATGGCTGCCTCGGCCGAACCGTCGTCCCTTTCCCTCACAGTGGCGTGCTCACTCCTGAGGCCCGCAAGTACGATCACATGTCCGTCGCCGACCGTCTCGCCGAAATCAAGAATGACCTCACCCCCAACGAGCGGCTGTGCGCAGAGGCCTTCGTCCTTCTTTGCAGCGGAGGAACGCTGGAGACGACGAGCTTCTATGAGTTCCTCCACTGGTGGGCCCTGAGTGGCTACTCCTACGAGGGCTGCATCGATTACCTGGTCAAGTACAAGTTCCGCGGCGGCCAGTCGTCGTTCGCCATCCGCTTCTTCCGTGAGGCTCTGGCTTCGGGTAACTTGACATACGCCTTCAATAGCCCGGTGGCCAACATCCAGCACGGAGGCGACAGTGTGCAAATTACGACGCGTGCCGGCAAGACGTACAAAGCGGCCAAGATGATTTGCGCCATTCCCCTCAACGTCCTGAACGATGTTGCCTTTGATCCGCCGCTGGCACCGGGACGAAAAGCAGCCGCTACCACTGGCCACGTCAATCAGTGTGTCAAGGTCCATGCTGAGATCAGCGACAGAGACCTCCGCTCGTTTACGGGCATCAGCTATCCGCACAACGGGCTTCTTTACGGCTTCGGAGACGGAACGACGCCGGCGGGCAATACGCATGTGGTAGCGTTTGGCGGACAACATAACCACTTCCATCCGGAGGAGAACCTCGAGCATACAAAGGCGGCGTTCCAGGGATTCGCGCCTATGAGCATCCAGAGACTGGTGAGCATCCGCGGCATAAATAAGCGAGAAGGCCATGGGCTAACGTGACCAAAAACAGGTCTTCCACAACTGGTCCAGGGATGAATTTGCCAAAGGTGCTTGGTAAGGATCAATGACATGTTCCATGCACTTCCACCTTGACTCGTGCTGACACGTCATTTACTCGCAGGTTCTTCCCGGCTCCTGGTTTGCTGGCCACACATTTGAAGGACATGAGAGCAAGAGAGCGCAACATTGTGTTCGCGTGCTCCGACTGGGCGCTGGGTTGGCGAAGCTTCATCGACGGCGCCATTGAAGAGGGAACACGCGCAGCGATTACTGTGCGTGGTGACTTCGCAGGCCGGGCCAAGTTATAATAAGCTGGTATCGAAGGCTACTTCGAAGACAGACAATAAGAGAGAGAGAGAGAGAGAAGAAAAAGAAAAGCTTAATGCATCAGAACAAGCGGAATGACATAGAACCTTCCACAGCATCACATAATGAGGATTGGCCGTTGCCGAGTGACCACTTCGGTCCATCTTTGAGAGTCCTGGTTTGCCCAAATATGTTGGAGACTCTGGACAGCGATAGGAATAGTGCCAAACTCCGTGCAGCTGTAGAGGCTCTGCAATCGAGTGGAGAAGAAAGCTCGGTGCTCTGGCAAGATGCTTTCGGCAGCCGCTACGAAGTACGTCCAGACGAGAGCGTGACAGCCGTCAACGCTTGGATCCAGATCGATGACCGTCTCTTTAAGGCGTTCCACCGATTGGATAGACTCTTCTCGGGAGATCAGGTGCATGGCGCGGTTACGGTATAAGTCGCAGGCCTGTTTGATGGCTTCCTTCATCACGGCGACGTTGGCGTATTGCTGGGGGTCTTGGCTGAGGGATGGATACGAAGACATAAAGTCCAGATAGTAGTCGGGTTGTTTCGACAGAGTCTGTATGCCTTTGGTTTCACTGGAGAGCGGGAACCCAAAAAGTTCAAACCTGGAGGACAGAGTTGTGACGTTAGCTAATTGACTTCCCACTGTCTAAGCGACGAGCGTGAATCCCTACATTCGCGTTTGTTCTCTGATAAATCCTCTTGTGGTCGATGATAAAGAGTGCACAGAGTCAGATGACTGCGCTAGATTCGACAAAATTTCCAGCAGGTGCACGTAATTATTGGCGCCCGTAATCGTCTCTCCCACTAGTAACACGAGAATTGTTGCCCATGTTGATAGACTGAAAAGTCTCCTGGGCTCGAGCTGGAGTGAATCGCGGAACAGCTTCGATAAGATGGCGTGCTGGCCTACTTCTGCGGCCATTCGCATCTGCGGTGCCCTTTGAGAGAGATGGAAGGCTGCGATAACGGAGATGGCCTGTCCCACTAGCTCGTCTTCACATGCGAGAGGAAGCAGTATGTCGCGATAGCCATTTCCATGGAAGTCAAAGACCACCATTTTCGGGGCGATGAATTCCGAAACTGCAATCTCGTCAGTAGCGATTATTACCATGGCGCCTCTGGTTATCGAAAGGCGGGTTCTTACAGTGGTTGAAGAAGAGCCTGGCTTGGGGAGACACAGCCTGAATGGCGCGTTGCGGGTGATCAACTTGAGTCTCTCTTGGTACAAACTCCACATCGTTTTCTCCCCTCTCTGATGACGACTCTGTTTCAGTTGCCGGGATGTCTGGGCGAGCAGGCCCAATGCCAGGCTGGTCAGGCGACGCCTTTGGAGGACTGGCGGGACTCGCGCGAGAAGTAGACACCTTCGTTGCCTCGGGCGAGGACCCCGATTGCTTGCTGGTCACGGTGACCCATCGGTAGCGGTTTGGTGCTCGCTGACCAGCTTTGGCGACACTTCCTGCAGTACGACCCGCAGCTGTTGTTGCCTGTGAGGGTCGTGACGGGAGGCCATTCTTCATATGCGAGCTGAAGCGACACTCAATGCCTTGGCCGGAGCACTTGATGCCCTTTTTGCAGCACTTGAAGCACTCCGGCTCTGTCTTGTCGCATCGCACTCGGCGCGTGCGGCACTCGAGACAGCCTGCATGTGGTTTAGAGTCATGATTTTCGCGCTAGACATGTGGGAATAGGAGAGAGTTGAGACCATGGGATGATGGAGAATACTTACCGTTGTTTCTCTTGGCCAGTGACATTTGGCGATCAAATTATGCCGGCTATGACTTGGGAGCTGAACAGTGATTCTCTTCTTTTCGCCGTCAGAATGAAACAACTTTCTGAAGAACGAACCCAGTTTTAGCGCTATCGAAGAATCGAAGGCGTTCGTACATGCTCCGATAAGAGCTGAGAGGGGGGACGACTCGATTTTCAGGCGAAGTTGACAAGGGCAAGGGCACCTGAACCAGGGGGGCGAATTTCGGGCCTGTTGATAGGTAGCTGGACCAGAGAAAATAACGGCGCACGAAAAGCACGGAATAAACTGTACAGGCGTGGAAGATGGCGGAATGCGGAGACTCTTCAGCTCTGTGGGGAGCCATTCAAGATGGATGTCCGACAACCATTGTGCTAGTCCCAATGGACGCAAGATGAAGGGTTAGGACTCGGCCCGCGGCTATAGACTGCTTTGCTGGAGGGCCGGCATAAATCGACCATGAAGGCGGTATCACCGTGTCTGTAGGTATTGAGTGTTTTTGAACATCCTCTTCACACTCGGATAATGGCGCTAAAACGAGGGTGCGGCCGTTTCTTTGTCAGGAACCGCACGCATGGGTTAGACGTCGCTCATTGTCAGATATCGGATTCCATCGCCCAACAGCATGTTGCTGATGTCTTGGACGCCACCGAAGATTATGGTGATGACAGCGGCCGGGTATACGGACCATTGCGATGCTAGTTGGACGGGCTGGATCGAATGCCGGTTCTTGTCAAACCTAGTGCTTACCAGTCGACCGACTTCATGCATCGACGTTGGAAGAGTTGCTGAAGTTAGATGCGCGTCTCCCTGCTCCTGAAACTGGAGCGTTGAAGCAGCAGGCACATGAGCAAACGCACGAGGACTGCGTGTGCCTCAACCATATGGTCAGCCCAAGTCCGCCATTTGCGCCGAGACAAACACATTATCAGAAGCACCCCAAGGGTTCCATTTGGATAAACGAATGGATTTGATATGCATTTCATCCTTCTGCCTCACGCATCTACCGAGTCCTCATCTTGCTTGAGGACCAAAGCTAAGCTCGCTGAGTAGTAGCTGAACCCCCTTTACACCGTCAACGTCGTGTCGTCACGTCCATGATAGGGTCCAACGAAATGTTTTCATTGTTAGGGCTTGTGCTGTTCACACCGTATTGCAAATCGCGCAGCAGGGGCCGCAAAGCACCAGCTTTGAGGATAATGCCTGCACCGTTACTAACGGTTCGAGCAAGATGAATCTGTTCACAGTATTAAGATTCGCCCACGGCGGGAGAGATTCGACCTGTATGTTGGACGGGGTAATCCCGATGGCTGGCTGCATCATTATCCCGAAATTATAGACGCCGGGCGAACCTATGCCACCCGCTACATACTACCTGTCGGATCCAACTCAGGCGGTCGCATTCCACGACATGTAGGTTGCTTCATTTCTGCTGTAAGGTACTCCACGACAGGGAACCACGCAGTTGCTGCCATCGGTGGAAGGTTAGACATGACCAGAGTGGGAAAGTTCCAATCCTGACCATATTTCGCCAGGAGCGGTAAACTTTACCTCAATCTCTGCCGGGGAGTATCTTGAAGCTCAACATGCAGTCATCTCTAGACCCAAGGTCGTCTTCGGCATCAGTATTAGAGTAGCCGGATCGTCCGTATAGAGGATTACAAGTGTGACATTGAGCGCCGCAATATTGGCTTAGAATGCACCGAACGAGCAGGCGGACGGCGACAAGTCCAAAAGAGTTGTGTATTCTTCATCGGTGATGATTCAGTGAGCGGCTATCTGAGCTCTGATGCCGCAACCCCCGCCTAGCATTGAGATTACTGGGAAGTAGATGTCGGTTCCAGGCTTCAAGATTGTCAAGGGCTTCGTGGTGGTAAAGTGGAAGACTGAAACCTAATCCAGGAAAGTGCCAAAGAAGATTTTCCATCTGTAACAGTGAGAGATTAGTCGTAGGAGTACTTGGCATCGCTGCACTCCTTACAGATTTGGTACTTGACTCGCCAAGGGGAAGACACCTGACAGCATGGCCTTGAACCGCAGCTTGGCAACGACGTTAACTCCACCTATTGCTAAGTTACTTGCTTTTGAACTGGACAGAAGGAGCAATGATTATGGATCTCATGGAAATTTTCACAAGAGTTCAGTCCTCTGTTGAAGTGCGATACAACAATTCTACTCCATGGCTTCGATGCCGAGGGATTATTCGTTATAGTGTAGTCTAGCCAACAACGGGCTATGACCTGGATGACGAAGCCTCTCCATGATCTTCGCCGGTGGCATACCCATCTTGAGCTTATTCAGAGGCGCGGAAAGGTGAAGTGTGTGAAACCGAGCACCATGCTTCTGCATATCTGGGAAATAATTTGTTCGCCGTAACGTATCGAGTATAGCTTATTGTTCACAATGGGCTACATGCAATACCAGATTGGCTGCAAACTGTTTGGTATTGATTCTACATTGGTAGATTGAACGTAGTTAACAGCTTACAGTGCCGGACACGAGCTATTGAATGGCAACTTGGCTTGAGTCTCGACAGGTGTATACCATAGACTACTTCTTATGCAGTTGGCCTTCTGTTGGCCTGCACTTGGTCGTGGGACCGTGATGAAAGCGAAGGCCCTACTTTTCACGAGGTATAGTGTTGTTTATACCGAAATCTCTTCAGCGAACTGCTGCTGGTTGACATGTTCAAGGTTATACTTTCAAACAGCAAAGGCCCAGTCAAGTCACCTTTTGTTCGCCAACATTAAATCAGCATTGATAAATCAAAATGCATATCAGGTTGAAAGGCCAAGGTTGCAGATTATGCCGTTCAGGATAACGATCAACCGCATGTCTTAGGATGCGAAGCTTAACACAAAAGTTCTTTTGCTGATTAGTTTCATCATCGCTGTCGGTTTTACCTGACAAATCCTTCTGACAAATCCTCCTTGGCTCAAGCGCCGACCGTAATCAGGTTGGCCGATTGAGATGCTACTTCAATCAGTTGATTGCATGCCAATCTACAGCATTTGATCAGCTTGGGTTTCAGAGCGTTGCTCAACTCCTTCGCGCTTCGATACGGGGTTCAATCGCTCAACTCCTTCGCAGTATAGGACGGGATTCAAATGCCCAATCCTTCGCGGTAAAGGACGGGGTTCAAATGCTCAACTCCTTCGCGGCTCGATACGGGGTTCAGATCACAGTTGTGTTCTGTATCCCGTAGATGAACGAACAAAGCGAAATACTATCTACAATTTAGTGACTCGACGCGAACGCGTGGGCGGACATCCTAAGCGCCGAAATCCGCTTGTATGCGTGATACTCCGTAAACTATAAGTTGGGAACAAGTTGTCTCTCCTTTCAGTGAATTGCCAAAGCCTGGCACATCGTTTTCGCTTGTTTTTCGAGGATACTATACTTCGGCGTTGTTGGCTTACTGAGCGTGGTCACTACTCTACCTCCAGCTCGGCTGTCCACTATCAGTACAGTGCGATCCGGTCTCCGGGCTACAAAGCAAGTCAACGGTGTACATACTTGGACAATATGAGTCTAGATTTGGTTCCGGAGAACTGGAAGCAATTGACCTATGTCGATGAGCTTCCGGAAGATATCGGCCCCTTCCGGAAGTTGTTGGAAGACTATAGCAAAGTGCCTCCCAACAAGGTCGATGAACATCTCCTCAATGCGGTGGGTATTTTCCACGCTCTCTTCCCCACTGCTTAAACGTTTTGGCCCTTGTACTTGTATCTAACGCCCCGTGACAGCGTGACAAGCTTTGGGAAGTGGCCATGTACCCCTGCATCGGCCGTTGGGGGTTTCTAAATTTGCGTAACATGCACGACCATCATTTTCTTACCGCATTTGAACGATTGAAGAGCTCGGCTGGCTCTAGTCCTGCTTCAGGATCTTCAGACGCCCTCCTTGACATCGGATGCTGTGTCGGCCAAATACTGCGAAAGCTGGTGCAGGACGGGATTGAGCCGACACGTTTATTCGGCACAGATCTTCACCCAGAATTCATTACCATTGGCACGGAGCTATTCAACGACGCAGGGAGCGGCTTAACCTTTGTAGCTGGCGACATGCTGAATCCCGATGACAAGGCTCTGCAACAGTTGGATGGGAAGATTACACTTGTGCATGCGGCCAACTTTTTCCATCTGTTCACGTGGGAGGAACAAGTGAAGGCCGGAACACGAATAACGCGCTTCTTGCAGCCAGGGACTGTTGATGCCATGGTTTTTGGTAGGCAAATTGGCACTCACAAGCCAAGACAGATGGAGGGAAGAATGAACTTTTTTCTGCACAACCAAGAAAGTCTGCAGAAGCTGTGGGATGAGATTGGGACGAAGACCGGGACTCGATGGCGGGTGGACGTGACTATTAATGAAGACAAACGGGTGAATCTTCCTGGATTTGGAGAAGAGGACGTATATATCTGGTTCGGAATCTATCAACTTCCACCGCAGTAGGATGAGCTAGCTGTTTGGACACTGAGAACTCTTTGTATTCCTCTTGTCTCTCCCCATATCTATGGACCACCTAGCCTTACATGCCGGGCAACTAAGTACCACAGAAGCTCTTATGTTCAAAGAAGCCATATGGAGACATACCAACAATTGGGAGAGCACGTATCGAGGTCAGTGCGCTTAAGCGATGGAAAACAAAATGTAGACGGCGCCTAAAGGTTCCGTTTATGACAGTGGCAATTGGTACTGTCCTGCATCTGCCGGAGCTCGGTTGTCGTCGGCCGTGCAGCTTGCAAGTAAAGTATTCTACTAGTAATACCCCTTCAATTGACTTCATGCCCATTCTGTCGAATCTACCTCTCTCATTCTCTTCTATGTAATGCCTTTTTTGGAAGAGTGCAAAGGCAATCGGGAAAAGTTGCCTCGTCATGGGTGGACACGACTCGGTCGGAGCAGATCTCCCTTAGTCGCGCGCCCTTGCGAATCGGGGCTCCGTACAGGGCGCGATCTGACACGAAGAATTTGAGGACAAATCGATCCACTTTGGCAGCGCTCGTGAAGGTCATCTTGTCCAATTGTTGTCGATTCAAGGACGTTCAAGCATTTATTATCTGTCCGTGCCACTCTGATGCCAAATCTGAGACTGGGATGAGTATGTCACCGGGGACGGAATCCAGAGCAAACCACGGCCAGATAATATCCGACACCTATAATTCGAGCAATGATGAAGACAGTCGGCATCATCGGCGGCAGCACCGACTTGGCTACAGTTGAGTACTACAAGCTCATCAATGCGCACATTAGAGCAAAGCTAGGCGGCTTTCACACCGGCGAAATCATCATCAACTCCATGAACTTTGAACGAAGCGCACACTTCGTAACCAACAATCTCTGGGACGAAGGAGGAGAGTACTTGCACGGAAAGGCATTGAGCCTGGAAAGGGCGGGAGCCGACTTCATCATCTGCGTCTCGAATACGTGGCACCGAGTTTCTGAGGCGTTCATGAAGGATGTCAAGATCCCCCTCTATCACATTCTTGACCCGACAGCGGAGGCTATCCTGGATTTGAAGCTGCAGACTGTTGCATTGCTGGGAACCAAAGCCACCATGTCATCAGACTATCTGCCGAACGAATTCAGAAGCCGCTTTGGAATAAACGTCATCGTACCAACAGAAGAAGAGCAGAAATATGTCGACGATGTCATCTTCAACGAGCTCGCCAAATCTCAGTTCACAGAGGTGTCAAGGCAAGGGTATCTGGACATCGTGGACAGGCTGGTTTCTCGAGGCGCGCAGGGCGTCATCTTGGGATGTACGGAGATACCGCTACTCATTGAACAGAAAGATCGGCCAGGTGTCCCGATGTTCAACACACTGGAGCTGCATGCTCGAGGCGCGGCGGAAAAGGCGCTGGCGGACTAGCGTGAGAGCTATTCAGACCATGCTACTCGAACTCTTTGCCAATGCATGGATTGAAAATCTCAAAGGAGCTTCAGCGTCGTCGGACATGGGCAAGTGACTGGGCAAGATGAAGTGCGAGTGTCCGGGTGCTGGTTGAGCGTTTCTGGCTTTGGCTACCTGTATTCATTGGAGGACTATACTCCATGTCCACTTGCATTGCCAGTAACACCACATGTACTTTAAAGCATGGAAAATAGCTTACAGCGCATAAAAGCGATTCTCTCGGATATCTTTCCCGCCCAATCAACTGAATAGCCAATGACAATCTGATACTGCCAGCCACCAATAGTGCCATGGATGAGGTCCTCTCAGACCTTTTCTTCGTGCTTCACGTTGGCTTGCTTGAACTCCTCCAATCCCCCAACTTCCTTTGCTCGTGCTACTTTCTCTTCGAATGTGCTTACGGCATTCGCGCTGCGCCATGCCGGAATATCTCCCTCGAATAGCACGTCAATCTCTTCTAGTGACTTCTTCACGGTTTCGGGGTACATGAAGTAGACGTGGAACACCATGGCAATGCAGAAAGTCCCGAAGATCATGTACGCCTTCCACTGAATGTTGGTAAAGGCCGGCGGAACGAAGAAGGCTAAAGCAAGGTTGAAACTACCCCAAGGGTCAGTATGGAATAGTTGTAATCACCAATGCCGAATACTTACGCCCAATTACCTGCAGCAGCCAGACCAACTCCCTTGGCTCGATACTTTAAGGGAAAGACTTCTCCGCAGTATATCCACGCACCGGGGGCCCAAGTGACTCCTACATCATACATTAGTCAAGGTGATGAGAATCGACCTATAAAGTTTAGCTCTTACCATCTGCAAGCGATGTTAGTTACGGCTCCATGGGCAATCGGGGCAGGAATTGTGACTTACAGACTCCGACGAAGATGTAGCAAAGCGCAATCACGGCTTTTGCAGGAGGCCCACCGATCTGCCACCTCAGGATATCGTTTCCTATCCAAGCCTAGTCAGCGGATAAAGCTGAAGAAATCAACGACTGGACGCTCACCATCAACACTGTCGACATGATGCCCATAAACAGCCATGACGGCACCGACGATGAAATGGATGACACCGCAAATGATGGCGCCAACAATGAGCAGCCATCGGCGACCCATGCGGTCAACGACAAAGAGGACCCCCCCAGTTGTGACGAGGAAAATGACATATTGGATGATTGAAGACGTGAGGGCGGTATTTCCGGACTATCTCGCGGTCAATACGTACTTCCCGTGGCGGTCGTACGAGTGACACTCACCATGCCAGCCATATTGAAGATGTACACAAGGTAGTAAAGCATCACATTACCACCGAGAAGCTGCTGCCAAATTTGTGCACTGACGCCGACAAGTGTGCGTCTCCACATCTTGGGAGCGAACAGTCCCAAGTAGCCGACCTCCTTCGACTCCGCGGCGATCCTCGCGGCTTCTCTGACTTCTTCTAGCTCGGCCAGCACCTCGATATTGTTTCGGTCGCCTTTGGCGTGCAGGTTGGCAAGCACTTCGTGGCATTCTTCCCAGCGATCTTTGGTTGCAAGCCAGCGAGGGGACTCCGGGAAGAAGAAGAGGGAGAGGAAGAGGACGGCTCCGGGAACAGCTTGCAGGCCCCATGCAATGCGGAATGCTGCCGGCCGGTGAATGGAAACTGAGCAGCCGTAAGAGATAAGGTACATGATCAAAATGCCTAGGTAACTTGTGTTAGCCACTTCTCTGTGCAACAGCTATCGTGAGCAGTCTTACCCCAGTCAATGGACCACTGCTGAATGCCAACGACTCGTCCACGGATGCGAGAGGGGGCAAGCTCGGATAGGTAGACGATGCATTGAGAGGACGTTATGCCGATTGCAAGGCCAGAGACGATGCGACCAACGACGAGATGAGCGACGTTTTGAGCAGAGCACTGTAGTACAGCTCCAATAATCCAGTCCACAGAGGCGATTTGGATGGCCAAACGACGCCCCAGACGATCAGCAAGCCATCCGGCTAGAAGAGAGCCGACCAGAGATCCGGCGGACATGGATGCCGTGATGCCGCCTTGCTCAGCTGAGCCCGGGTGGTTGAAGAATTCGAGATACTGGTCGGAGCCTATCCAAGCACTCATGGAGCTAATTTCGAAGCCGAAGATCATGCCACCGATGGTGCCAAAGGCGGCAAGCACTGCAACCAGAAGTACATCAGTGTTCCATTCCTTAGGGGCCTGTATACCCTCCGTCCGAATGTATATCAGCAAGCAACACTAGGCGACCTGGAGACGTACCGTATATGTTCCAGATTCGATACATTTTGGCGGCTTTTCTGTGCTGCCCCGTCTATGTGTTCAGTTTCAATCCCCCAACATGCCTGAAGTGAAAGAGCCAAGGTGTTCATGGCCTCACGATGTCTTTATAGAGTTGCGAGCACCGATCAAGTATGGAAAGCGATCAAGGCATTGGTGGAGATAATCCTGGTTGTGGCCGCATAGAAGCGCACGTATCGGCATCGAGAACGGGCAGCTGGGGTACAGGTACGAAGCTGGATGCAGGATCACACTGGCAAGAGGGTCAGGATCTGTGAGGCAAGAGGAGTAATGAATGTTCCAAAGACTTGTCCCCACATCCCGCAAGTTCTCAGCCCCTGTCTTGTTATTACCCCAGGATCGGCATGCAAGCAGCCAGGGTAAGATGATAGCGTGACGATATTCACCGGGTACATGGATGATTGCAGAAGTCAATACGATTTCTTCAACACCAAGAGTCAGAATGAAGAATACAGGAAGGCTATGTACTCAGTAGGCCAAGGTCTTGGCTAACGCTGCTTTGTATTCTCCACGGACGACGGCACATGGGAGATCTCAGGGCGTTCAAAGACGCTTCTTACATAGGATGCAGCTCGCCTTAATGTTAGGTACATAGCGGTGCATCGCGTACATCACGCATCATGGTTGACCAGAATAGTTGTATGATGGAGAGGGACTAGGTACATACAGTACATACATACCTCCAACCTACAATGTTCTGCGGAGAGACACGCTCGGTAGATGTGCGCCAACGCGGGAGGCACATCCATTTACCGCTGCATCTAGGCCTTAGCTGCCTGTCCAGCAAAAACGGTCGGACTTTTGCCAACGTCATAAAGAGGCAAGCTTCGGTGTTATTATCCGCTTTAGATATCCATGTCTCTATTTGGTTGTGAATTGACACGGGCTATCCTTGCGATTCGCTTCCCTGCTTCACCAGTCTCGAAGAGTTTGGACACCCGGCTTTCGGGTTGGAAATAGAGCGAGCCCAAGCAGGATTCTCCGCACCACCCCCGCATTAGCGCAAGGGAACCTCTCTATGAAGGAGGTTGAACTCACGATTTACTCGACCGTCATTGGTACGCATATTGGCCATCATGCAAGGCTTGGGAAGAGTTGCCTAGGGTCTTTGCGTGTGGAGACGAACGGTTGCGGATGTGCAAGCCTTGAAATGTGACACAGTATCTGGTTGCAGGGTGAGATTGGGACTCTAGATCTACAAGTACATGATGCTGGTGATATATAGCAGATCTGTGTATGCAATATCATGATTGCCCATGTGCAATCCAAGCTTCCTGTAATGATTGGACGCCTTGGGTCGTCGACAACGTCGTAACCCGTTCGATCCGTTGTAGCATTCGGATCAATTCAGCTTGCTGTTCGGGCTTCTTCAAGCTTTGGCCGCCTGCAGACTCGGCGATTAGCAATAAGACGCGTTTTAGAATGCTGGCACTTACAGATAATTAAAGGCTGCACTGCATTCACAAGAGCGCCCGCATATCGATCACCCAGGGCCTTGGTCATGCCGCACAGCTGGATGGTATGCTTCAGAATGTCGCCCTGGTGTGTGTGTTAGCAAAGAAGCGCATGAGCACCACGAGTCATACGACTCTACAGGTTCCGTACTTCGATGGCTCTTGCAAACTGAAGAAACCCAATGCCGTTTGGACGATGTGGATTATGAAGGGCCAGGAGCACTTTGACCAGGTGGTAGAACTGCATGGCAACGACTAGCAATGTTAGCCTAGGAAAAGAGTACCTGTAATGATCGGCGGACGATGCTGCTCACTATGCCAAGTACAGAGATACAACATCTCTGGGAATGCACCGCCATCGTCGATGACATAGACGGGATTGAATGACTCTGGCAGCGAATCTCTCCACGCGTTTGTTTCGTTTTGCAACTCATCCCAGCTACTCTCGTCTACGTCAGGACCCCCTGGGCGTCGAGAAAAGCAATAGTCTATCACTTCCGCCGTCAGCATGGTCATCTTCTCCGTTTTCACATGATCGGTATCTCCCCCCCAGGTAATGTCGACCTTCCATCTACGAGGGCGAATTGTGGTGGGCTGTCCTGTCGCAAGAGCAACCATAATCTCTTCTCGAAAATAAGTCCAGAAGGCCGTCCTTTTAAGTGCCCGATACCCAATATTCTTTCGATTGTGAGTAAATAGTGACGAGCAGCCCCGTAGGTGACTCTGCTGATCCGTTTCGTAGCTCATCATTTCGTACATCCGAAGCACCACAGTGGATATCGGCAACGCATTGTCAAGGGTCGTGTTTGGGTCGGCCAAAGCTGGTATGAGGCCTTTGACACTCAAGTCATGGTAGTGCACAGCGCAGAACTCGTCACAGGATCCATCCAGGCGGTTCAGGTGACAAGCTGAAAAGCCAAGAACAGCGTGGAGCAATATGGGACAGCTCATCGCCAGAAGGGGAACAAACGTTTCGAATTGCCGTTGGGGATCATTCACATCGAGCTTCAGAATTTTGTTAGTTCCGGAACAAAGCAAGGGCGATTATTGTGTATATACCCAGCAAGCCAAGTTATTGATGTAGTGGTAAAGAAGGCGAGCAACCATAGGGTCTCCAAGTGGCTCCGTTCGACCCTGAGTATAAATGGCTGAGCCAGAAGTCCTCCTGTGAATGAGCGATCTGACTGGGTCTATAGTTTCCATGCTGGCACCACTTGCTATGGAGTGAGGAGACGCAAGGTTGGCGGCATACCGAGATGATGCCGAAGTCAACATCGGCGCTGCATTGTCTATCCCTGAATTTGTGAATGGCATATTATTTGACGGCTCTTAAATGCAAGTCAGTGTTTAAGAGTTCATATGATGAGTCGATAAAATACATTACCATTTGAAAACTGAGAGAGGGGAGTGTGAGGAATCCCCGAATGGATCGCCTGAGGTGGCAATGGCATGTGCGCGAGATGCTCCTCATCATGGTGATTGGTGACATCAACAGAGTGAATAAATGTGACTAACAACAGTTTTTAGTGTATTTCTTCTAGCCTTTGACAGAATCAAAAATATGCTCACCCTCTGACGGCGTGTCCAGCCAGACATGGTCTGCGGAGAACTGGAACAGCCCATTACCGTCCCCGCGGTGGGACGAGTTGTCAACAATGTCATATTCACAACTCCGGTGACCGACTTCGCAGTGCCGGCATTGTGGCTTTCTTTCATCGCCTTCGTCATGTTAGTAGCGGAGGCATAGCTTGGTGAAATGATGTCAATGGTTGGACCAACATTTCATATGCCGCTTCCGACATGTAATGCTTTCCGTTCCATTTACGATTAGCTTGGATGAAGGATCCAGGGCCATTAACTCCACTACACTCACCAGCCTTAAAAGGAAGTCAGTAACCATGACTATTATCATTCCATCTTGGAGTTCTCACCAGTTCTGACCCGCCGGTGAACCTCTTGCGCTGGCGCCATGATTGCAACACCTTCACGACGGTAAACGTTGGTTATGTATCATGGGCATAGCCCTTATAGCTACTTATGGGAAGCCTTGCGTGCCAGTAAGAGATACTGAATCCATGTATTAAGGGAGTGAAGACGATATGGGAGTTCTGGAGAAATTGCGGGGGAGGTGATGATAGGAGTTAAGGTTAGTCCACGGCGCCCACGTGATCGAAGAATCGTCTTTATTAGGTACTTGTATTGGATGAACCTCTACTTAAGGTAGGTCTTGAAGGAACTTCTACGTCGATAACCATGTTCGATTGTGTGGGTGATACCTAAGCTTTCATTTCTCCAAATTCAGTATGCATCTTTGTTAACTTTTTGAGGTTCTCAAGGGATAAGCCGTGAAATAACACTATCAAGGCTAACTGGAGATAAACTATCATTAACATTGTGTCGCAAGATATGCGTACCAATCACTCGACATTTCATGCGCCTTCCCTTCGCTCATCAAACACGGCTTCCACCATCTTGCACCTGTGTGATAGTACTGTCAGGCGCAAGGCTGATCTTCTTCTTCGCAAGACTTGCTTTGACGGGGTTCTTCGCCTGAAACAAGTCTTCGATTTCTTCCAAGCTCCAACCCCTGGTCTCAACAAAGAAGAAGTAGATAACAACGACACCAAACGCGTCCCAAAAGACATAAAGGAGATAGTATTTCCAGCCAGAGTTGGCAATGGCAATTGGAGGCACATATGTGTTCATGACCTTGACAGCATTGTTCATGAATGCGAGAAACGCCATGCCCTTTGCTCGAGAATTGAAGGAAAGCACTTCGACAGGATAGAGCGATTGCATTGGAGTCTATTGTTTGGTAGGATTGGTCAGCGATACAGCAAGGAATGGGCTGATGGAGACGGCGTACCCAAGCAAAGGCAAAAACAATTAAGAATATGTAGAGAAACGCGATGCCAGTCCCCCCAACCGCGGGTCGTCCAGCCTGGAGTGCAGTACAGGCTGTGATGATGGCAATGGATACTGACATCCCAGCGCTGGAGAACATCAGTAGCTTTCGACGACCGAGCTTGTGCACAACACTGAGCCCACAAAGCGCAGCGACTGCCATGACTGGAGTTTGTATCGCGTTCAACAGCAGTTGCGTATTAATATTCGTGATACCAACTGTCTTGACTGTAACTTGTATGTCAGAGGGGGAATTGTTGCGACGAAAAGCAAAGAAGGCATACCCATCAGAGGGAAATAATAGCTCGTCGGGGGCAAATCGAGTTCTCCAAACCAAGCGATACAAATAACGAGGAAGGTCCGATACCGTGCCGCTCTTGTATCAAACAAGCATCTATAGTCCCACCATCGTTTATCTGACCCGTCCATTTCGATAACTTCAATCATCTCTTGCAGCTCGAGGTTTGCGACGAGGGCATCGGGGTCTCCATCTGCATGATACTTGACGAGCACAGCTCTGGCTTCACTTATGCGTCCTTGGCCGACATACCTGGCACCCTCATCAGCAACTTGAAGACACTGGGAATAAATAAGGATAGACATACCATCGGGGGCTCTCGGGGATGAAACAAACAGCGCAAAGGATTATAACAGATGGTAGGCCCTGGATAGCGAGAGGGAGTCTCCATGGGTAAGATAGCTTTGTTTTGGCATGATTCAAGCCAAACTCCAGCCAGGTTGACACGATGGTTCCGAGGAAGAAGCAGGCTTGATAACCACCTGTCAGTTGGGCTCGGTACTTGGGATAAGACATCTCGACCACATAGCTGGGACCAGCCGTTTGAACAAGCACAGCTCCCATGCCCAGGATGAAGCGGCCTCCCATGAGCATGGAGATGTTTGTGCCAGCAGTTTGTAGGATAGCGCCGATTACACAAATGGCCGACCCCATGGCCATGCCAACTCGGCGACCATATGTGTCCGAGCAAGGACCGGCGAAGAAGCTGCCGGCTATATTTCCGATTACATAAAGTGCGGCAACAAGACCTTGGTTCTCGGTGGTAATGTCGAAATACTTGGTAAATTGAGGGATCGCGGAAAGGCCGCCTACTTCTAGTTAGGAAGAATACAAACCATATGCGAGTTACACATTCAGCGCACCAAAGGTGTTGGAGTCGAATCCATTCGTGGCTGAGCACAGATATCCGACAAAGATACACCCATATAGCTTCAAGAAGCTTTTTCGAAGGACGCGAGGATTCTCCCGGAGCAGCGCAGCTTGCATACGGGACTCTGTCATGCAGCTTTGTGTGGTGACCTTAAATGGGTCCTCATCGTGGACAACATCATGAGCAATTCCATTGCCCATCACCTTAGGGCTATCCATGGTGAAGGAATAAAGACTAAGCATAACCTGCTAGGACATTCAATGAAGACGAAGGCCGACGTTTTATCTGGCTCTCTCGGTGAAGAGGGGCCATGTAATTATATGCTCCTTCCAGCCTAAGCACGAAATGCACGGCTTCTCCACAACCCAGCATCGCTTCCCCAGAAATTGCTACTACCAGTGATTGCTACCCCAGGATCGATGTTTTAGATCTTCTTTCTCCGCACTTTGGCCGTTGTCATTCTCCACTCGCTGGCGGTGTACGACAAGGTTTGTTTGCACATCATCGAACTCTTAGGTTCGGTAAGCGCTGAATTCTGAAGTTAGCCGAGGGAACCACAAGCACAACGACCTGTTTTGGTTCGAAGAATAACCCCCAAGGCTAATTCCCTTCAGGAACCTTGGAGTGGATCAGGTGATCGGTTAAACCATCTCTTGAGGCAAACAGACGAGAACTACTCAGTACTGAATGAGCCAGTTTTCTTGGCTGCGGTCTGGATCAAGATAAGAGAACCTCATTCACATTGATCGATGATTCATGCGACTGAGTATAGACCAAATTGTGTGCATTGTGGAGATAATTTGTTGATTTTCCTACCAAAATGCGGGACTACATCGTTGGTCAACGACTTTATAACTCGGTCAGAGGTGGTCACTAATATTCCATATGTCCTTGTAGATGGAGAAGTCCAGCTGGCTAAACTACAAGATGCTAAGATTGGTCTCGTTCAAACTTTAAATAGACCGAATGTATGTTACAGCTATGTGTTTGACCTCCTCACCGCTGGCAACATCAACGAGTTCTACCATCGTGAACAAATGCATGCATATTATTGCGAGTGCCATAGATTGGAATCATTGGTTCGTCAAACGTCCCCTACCTTCCGATCCATACTGAGTACAGAAGATACACTCAATCTAGTACAATTGCACTTTGCCTCCCCCTGAGCACATACTCTCTATGATAGCCAAGTCATTCAGGGCTTCCTCCGGACTAGCCCGCTTCTCTGGCTTCCCAACCTTGACAGCCTCCAGAAAGGCTTTGATCTCAAGCTCCACCCCTCTACTTTTTATAGTCTCCGTCCTACTCTCTCCAGCAGCAAGATCGAGAGACAATGTGAAGCCGTCAGGGCCATCGGTCAGGTAAAGGCTTCCTTTTGATCCAACAATCGTAAGCTCAGTAGCTCGTCTCGTCGAAGCAAATGACATCGATATCGTCCCAGTTCCTCCACCACTAAGCAAAATGCCAGCATTGAGAGTGTCGAGAGGTGGAAGATGAGGCAAAACCTGACGGGCAAATCCTGCCGTCTCGACAACCTCTTGGCCTGAAATGAACCGAAGCATGGCTGTCTGGTGCACACCGCCATCAAGCAAAAAGCCGCCTTGATACTCGGGAACTTTTCGCCATGGAGTTTCATACCATTTCCCTTCGGGAGGCTGATGCCGCCAAATTCTGAGATGCGCTTGGGTAATCTCGCCGATGGCTTTCTCGTCGACTATCCACTCGCGGCCCCGTTCAAACTCGCGCATAAACCTAAACTGTTCCGCGATGTTGAAAATGAGTCCTCTGCCTGCGTATGACGTTTTGTAGTCGTCGATTAACTCGCGGGCGGTTGCCACATCTTTGGCAATTGGCTTTTCACATAGCACATGCTTGCCGGCCGCTAAGCAGCGTCGAACAATCGATGGCTGTACCAAGATCGGCAAGACAATGACGACCGCTTCAATGTCGCTACGTTTGAGCAAATCATCGAGCGTGTGTCCAGGATTGTCTTCCGAGTAAAGGTCAAGATTAGCGACGCCAAGCTTCGTTGCCTCCGATACAAGAGTTGATGCAGTGGCCTTCGAGCGAGAGTAAACAGCTTTGACATTAGCCTTGTTCAGCACAAGCGCGGGCAGGTGTTCTGTAAGAGACTGGAGTCAGCATCGTGTATGCCAGTGGTCGTTACAAACCGTCACAAAGCGTTGACTACCCTCGGTGGCAAATATGCCAGCTCCCAAGATTGCAATACCAGCCATCGCGAAATGTTTAAAGGGCGTATTATTCAGCTCGCACCGAGTGAATGCGCGTTATTTGAGATCAGGATGAGAAAAGGATAAAACAGCAAGGCAAGCCTTCAACCCGAACTCTGGCGGGGGAAGATATATAAATTACGCACTCGATCAGCACCCACTTGAGCTGTTCGGAAACGAAACTCCCTCGCCTTGCTACCGTACTCTGTATCTAGTCTACCTGTTTGCGTATCTGGAAGACATTGAGGGTGTTCCCGGCTATTATCGAATTCGGTTTACCCGAATCATTAGCACCCAATTTCCCCGTGTTGGACGATCTTATCCGGCTGAAGGTGAGCTAATGAGAACGAACTATTCGCGGCTTGTTTCCGAGGCCAGAAGACCACGACACCAAGGATTATCGACGTAGAAAAACCTGCAGGAAAGGTATCATCCATATGTATGGGTTTCTGGACAAACGGTAGAGAGTTATTATATTAGGATAGAGCTATTGCGCTAGCCACCAGCTTTTCATGCGGGGCTCGGGGTGCTTCACCACAGAATAAATCGGGACTCGGGTTTGCTGCTCTACTGATATCGGAGTCGGTCACATCGCAAATACCTAAGTGTCAACCCCGCATTTAGGCGGATCATGCGCCCCAATATCAAGGACGTTCGGGGCTGAGATAAGAGCCACCTCTCCTGTGAAAGGGGAAAACAGCTGACACGTGATATAAGTGCCTTCATACTATGAGAATGGCGATCAAGCCAGCTCGTCAACAGCGACTGCTGGACTTGGTCTACAGTCTTTTGGACACCTTTTCCACAACTGTATTGCGTCAAAGCCGTCATGTCTTTCAGTGCTGGAGCGGAAGGATTATGGCCATAATTCAAATTGAGAAAGCATGAAGCTCCTGAGTGGTACGTAAAACTTCCGCGCCATGGGTGGCTTGGGGAGAACAAAGCCTAGGAGAGGAACACGATTATTAAACATCCGTCCTTCTTGTTTCTTCGTCATTACCAATCAACCGACACCATAACGGAGCAACCTATTTCGACTTGTCGGCAGGCAGATAAGACAATACTGTTTAACGCAGATGTTGTCATGGAGTGAAGTAGAAACTTTGCTGCCTCCGTTAGCAGATAAAGGTAGTAGTGCAGAAGTACCCTCAAACTGTGAAATGGCTGCGCTATACTTGTTGCGGGTAACAGTACCCTTGCAAGCTGTTTCCGCCCTGTTGAGAAAGGGTAACTAAGAATTCAATTTCCATCATGTACCAAGGCAGGATATCATCGGTTAGACGCCTCGCAGGGAGGGAGCACAGAGACACATGAACAGAGAAGCCGCCAATATCAAGATAAAAGGATCTAGTCCCCGAAATATCAGAAGGGGCGAAACTCTTCTCACTCCCCTAGTGCATTTGTCTATTGTTATGTGAGTTATTGCCCTCTCGGCCCTCATGCCCAAAGTTTTCGTCACGTTTGTCATCTATCTGCTTTAGACAGTTATACATGACACCCGCAATCATTTTGTGGAAGCAACAGACTGATTTGAGAATATATCATCAGGCTTAGAAAATGTCTTCCATACGATCCAATATACTTGACACCATTGGAAACACGTCGATCGTGCAGCTCCAGAATGTCGTTCCATCGAATGGAGTTCATATCCTCCTGAAAATGGAGAGCAGCAATCCAACGGGCAGCATGAAAGACCGCATGGCTCTTGCAATGGTTACAGCTGCCGAGAACGACGGGCGTCTCAAACCTGGCGGCGCTGTTGTCGAGTACACCGGCGGAAGTACCGGCGTTTCACTTGCATTGGTCTGCTCTGTCAAGAAACATCCACTGCACGTGGTGACATCAGATGCCTTCTCAAAAGAAAAGCTAGACCACATTAAGCTCCTCGGCGCCGAATTGACGCTGATACCAAGTGACAACGGCAAACAAACCGAAAAGCTTACCAAAGACATGATTCGCGAGGCACATGCGCTGGCGGAAAGGACTGGGGCATACATCACAGCTCAGATGGAGAACACCGACCAGCTTACCGCCTATACAAAGCTTGCTGATGAAGTTTACGAGCAGACAGAAGGTCGAATCAATGCCTTTGTACAAGGTGTCGGATCCGGAGCGGCTCTCCGAGGGGTATCTGAACGTCTTCGTCAACTTGACGATCGAATTCGATTCGTTGCTGTCGAGCCAGAGGAATCCGCTGTATTATCTGGCGGTCCCTCGGGAGCTCACAAGATTGATGGCATAGGAGCTGGGTATGTTGTGCCATTGTGGTACGATGGCATTGCGGATGAGTTCCAAGGCGTTTCGACAGCAGACGCCAGGGCAATGGCACATCGCTTAGCACGGGAAGAAGGGCTGTTTTGCGGGCTTTCAACTGGAGCTAATGTGACGGCCGCATTGCGAATAGCAGAGAGCCTCGAGCCCGGATCAACCGTGGTAGCTATTGCGTGTGAATCCGGCCTGAAGTATATTTCGAGCTTTCGTCAACATATGGATGCTCTGACTTAAAAGACAACCCCCATAATGAGCTATAACCGAGTAGATAGATGGGCTTGTCTAGTTTGTATACAAAGTTCACTAACAATTGAGTATCTCTTGCTATCCTGCTACGTTACCCCAATCATCCTCTATCCTCCGAAGCCATGTTTCGGCTTGCTTGAGGCGGGAGAGGTTTGCCACTATCAAAGTGAGTGCAGTAACTAGGCGATGGCCGATATGAAAAGGAAACAAGAGACAGCACGGCAAGAGAACATACGCAAACATTCAAGGTAAGGCCATCTGTGGCGGCCTGAGTAGCGACATAAAACTTAACCAACACTACATTCCGTGACGACTCCTCAGCAATTTGAGGCTCCAACGCTGGCTACCTGAAGGTCGGGCATTAGGTTAGGGTAATCCGTTGCAAGATCCTGATACCTTGAAGGAGCAAGGGCGCAATGGCAGTAGGCTACATGCACCATCACTGCATAATTTCACAGCCATATATTCTGGGCTTTTTTTTCTTCTCCTTTTCCTTTATTTCTCTTTCTTCGTGGCGTTATCTAGAGTGTGTGGTCATAGAAACTTTTGGCATAAAAAAGGAAAAGAACCTAAGAACGAAGGCTGTCAGTATCTTCAACAAGCTCACCAACCACTGGCAGTGGCTCATCCCTAAATGAATCATAAGACATTTTATTTCTCGTGCCCGACCCTCAGAAACTGGCCAACAATCAGCTTGTGCAGCTACAAGGGCCGTCATCCTTGACCCGGTATGGAAATTGAGCATATTATATCCAACGAGGAGGAACCTGTCCACTCAAGCAAGCTTCCAAGGCCCCAGTGATAGGAGGCGAGGGTATTTTCTCTGCAGCTCTCTTCGTGTACTCATCAACATGATGATTATTATTGAGGTGGGCTTCCCCTCCCTCCGGATGAAGATGATCGGATCATTCAACACGGGGGACATTGTATACGTATCCAGTGGCAAATTCTATGCTTCCATTGACGTAGTGCCATGTGACATGATGATATGGTACAGGTTCGACGGCGCGAAATCCTTCGATACGGAGTGGCCAACATTGTATGAGCCAGTGCAGCTATCTAAGCAGAAATCGCTATCTATCTGGGTTCTTTCACCGTAGCTTGAGACACGAAGTCAGCGTCAATCCAGCCCGTCTGTACCGAAAAGATGGCCAAGGAGAACATAAGCAAGCCTCGTATACGGCCCCTTATTATTATACGAGCCGTCGGGTTTCCTTCATGGATGCTCGTATCAAAACCGACACTCTCATGGAGAGGAGGTGCTTCATGCACGCCAACTTTGACAACTACCCTAAAATGAAGGAGTCACTCTTGAACTTCTCAGCCTTAAATCCCGTCTGCCGTACCGCTATGAAAACCGATGTAACAAAGAAAAAAGGGGCCCTGTTCTCGTTTCAACCAACAACTTCTTGCCTCCTCTGTACTTGTTATAACCTCATCTGGTTGGCATTGTGGAATGATTGGCTACCGGGAGATTTTTCATCGTTGTTCTGACAACCAACACAAGTGCGGCCAACATCTCGAGATGGACCTTCAACTTCGTGAGATCTCGTTGGTGCCACGTCCTTCTCCCAAAACCGTGCCACCGGGTCACTTATTGCAATAGGCAGTACTTCCGCCTTAGCATGGCTCGAGACAAATCATCCTCACAGGAACACTAGCAGTAGCCGCGGCAGGCATTGCCCGCATTGGTGATGGCGCCGCTGCGGCCGGGCTTTTCATCTGCTTTGTATGGTGCTGACGGAAGTTTCCACAATTGAGCCTTACCGACTAATTACAGATGAGGTGCAAAGACGCCTGGTCAACACCATATCGACGCGGTCAGCACCCAAGTGTATGCAACCAGTGCGACTCGTACGAGTACGTTGTCGCGGCTGTCAAAGGTGCAAATGAGAGCACGGGAAGCTAGTAAAGCGCCGGGCGTGCGAAATGTCTTGTGCGATTTCATGGCAAATTGTAGCACCTAGAAACGGAGCCTAAAGCATCGTGTAATGCGGAAAGGTATTTACTGCATGCTTCGCACAGATAATGGCATTCTAGTATCTTACTGCAGAGTGCACAGCATCCCAACCTTGCTTTGGGCCTATAATCCCCGGCATGTGGGCCAGTGTTATTCGAGGGCCGTCCGTTCCGTGCCTGAGGTTGTGGACGCAGGTGTTTACCATTTGCCTGAGGGGTAAATTCGCCAGGATGACTTTTTGTTCTAAGGTGTTTAAAAGCTCACATAAAGGTACCTACGGAAGGGCCGCATACTCATGCCGACGTTAAAGTTGACTCAAAAGTTCTTTCTTACTTGTAGTACTACCAAAAGTGGCCGATCGACAGGCACGAAGCGGCACCGAAGAAACGGAATATGGGTGCTTGTCTCATCTGATATACTCAGCCTCAGCGCTAGGATGGGGCGAGTTCACGCGCTAAGAGCAAAGCACACCGCTGATTGATGCGTTCGTGAGGCCACCCCTGCAGATGGCGGGCAGCTCAGGCTGAAATTAGCAGCGGACGTAGCCTAGGGCGGATGAGCCAAGGAAAAGAAGGCGTCGGGTATACTTCGCCATCAAGCGTGGAGAGGCAGTGGTCAAAAAAAAAAAAAAAAAAAAAGAAAGCAGTTTGGTGGCTTTTGTAAGACGTTATGGTGGGTGAGATTCGTCATGACCCCTGGACTCTCAGTCAACCAGAACTAAGATATTTCCAGCTACGTCGGGCAGTAACGCAGAGACGACTCAGTCGTGAAGGACGCTGGTTGCGTGCTTCAGGAGCTTCGAGTACGAGGTGCTTCGTCCAAAGTAGGAAGTTACTCTATTGAGAGCGTCTCTGAGCATGGATCTTTCTATTCGCCTGTTGATCTGTACCGTGCCGTTCATCCCAGCCCTGTTCCTGGCGGCTGAGATATCTCGTTCCGTACGCCTGTCTGTTCCCTGCGTGTTGCAAGGGCAGTGCTCGTACACGATGGCAGAAGCTGTCAACTTCTTCATGAGGAGCAAGCATGCAGAGATTAAAATTAGCCGAAGGGCAGCGGCTCTGGGTTCGGTGTGGATTCTAAGCAAACACGAGTGCTAGCAGCTCGTAACCATCAGAAAAACTTACTAGCATTGGGTTTAGCTCTGGGCCCAGACCTATCATCTACCCTTACGCATAAGCAACTCGAGCCTCTGGAGCCAAGGGTCCAGGCAGCCTGGGGGCAGACTGGCGTGGTGGTTGATGGATCCTTAACCCTGCCCATGAACTATTGATAGTGCATAGATGTAAGCCGCAGTTGGGTGAAGCCACAGAGGAACTAGGCCATCGTCGGGGAATTTTAAAGAATATGACCAGGAAAGGGAAGATGAAGCAGCAACTGGACTATCAATATCATTGCGTCTAAATATATAATCATATTACTACCACTCTTACCGATATATATCTAGCGGCTTTCCCGTGCATAGTGCTCCATGTCCCCCCAGTGCCACACCATCACCACGGAGTACGGAGTACATTGACTGGGTTGACAACAGCTTAACCCGGCCAAATATTGTGTTTCCCTTCTTTGTCCTTACTCTATTTCAACTTCTATTATCCAAAATGGTCAAGGTGAGCAGTCGGAACTACTCAGAAAAAAAAATGTGCCGTACTAAGCGAAGCCTTCAGCTTTCTCTCGCTGCGCTTGTAACATGTGCAGGCCTCGTGGCCTCTCTACCATCGTTTTTGACTCCTCTCGCGGGACGATCCTTTGATGACTCCGATACCGTGAGCATTGAGAGCCGCTCAACGGGAGGCAAGGTCGCCAACAAAGCTCTTGCTCGATTCGACAACAGCAATATCGAAGATGGCATGGGCAACGGAACCGACTGGTATCATCTCTATTTGGGTAACGGGACAGAGGCTGCCGGATGGCCCTCAAAGGACAAGTGGGTATCTTTTGAGGATATGTAAGTTGTTGCGTGGAAGAAGCGTATTTAGTGCAGTTGAGCTTACGCTGAAATAGGTTCAACAATTACAAGCTGCAAATGTATGTCGCCTGTCAATTCCTGAACTGGCGACTACCCAACAACGACATAGCCGAAGTGGTACGTTGATAACCGAGATTTACTTGTCCAAGGGTCCGTCGCTAATCATCATCATCTACAGGAGGCTATCTACGACGGCATCCAAATGGCCGCGGACGCGAGTGGCGTTGACCACCGCCTTATCCTAGCCATCATCATGCAAGAGTCTCATGGATGCGTAAGGGTGAACACGACGAATCTGGGTGTGCGGAACCCTGGCCTCATGCAAAACCACAACGGGAAGGCGTTTTGCAACGACAACAAGAAGCTCACGACGCCATGCCCCGCAGCGACGATTCATGAGATGATCCGTGAGGGTACTGCTGGCACTACCTCTGGAGATGGCCTGGCTCACTGCATCAACCTGTCTGGCAACGGCGATGTCTCTGACTACTACCGCGCTGCCCGCATCTACAATTCCGGTTCCATTTCGAAGACGGGCAACCTGCAGAGCAACATTGCCACTCATTGCTATGCTAGTGATATCGCAAAGTAAGTCGTATTCGAAAAGATGCAACGTGGTAACAACATAGACGAGACTAACACGAAAGTATAGCCGTCTCACTGGCTGGGTCTATGCACCATCAACATGCACCTGCGACGACGATCCTAAGAGCTGTGGCGTGGTAAACCATTGATTGCCATTCAATTTCTTCTTCTCCTTTTTACTCTGTTTCAACTCAATCTGCTTTTCTGATGGGACGTGGAAAGGACATTATATACCCAAGCGTTGCTATTTAACAATTTTCCTTTTAGTATGCTACTTGGCTACGGTTTAGACGGAAGCAAGGCGCAAGACGTGGCTATAGTGTCATACCTCGTGATCTTTTATCTACCCAATCCCATAAAGTTTCAATCTGAACTATATCATTCTCAAATTGCATTTCTCAACACACGCTGTTGGTGGCCCGGGGATGGCTGGTTAAGAATTAGAGGGCTATTTATCATCTTGCTAGGCCAATATATCGTATCCTCCCCAGCCCGTTTTGATACAGTAAACTGGGACCATCCCCCTCTCAGTAGGGGGCATCAGTATTGGGGCGTGGCAAATCGACCACGTTCCCTGTGCGTGTAACTTACAAGTATTTGACACTTCGGGATGGGAGTCTGCCTATGCCAAGAAGAAGGGCATGTGCAGCGTTGGAATGGAGAAAAGCATGTCAAATCAGTTCGTATAGTTGACTTCCTCTCTGTTAGTAAAGGCAAATATAAGCTCTTGCTAACCGCCAACAGCTCTGATAGAATGGTTGAAGTCGCCCCAAGGAAGGAACTAGAACGTGATACGCAAACACACAGCAATATCAATTAAGGGAGTTACTAAAAGAACAACGAAACTGGGCTAATTCGGCGCCTTGAGACGTCTTCACTTCATCTGATACTATGCCCATTAGTAGTTAGTACAAGGTTCTATGGCTTAAGAAAAATTAAAGGTCACTTCTGCGCTACGTATAGAGATAAGCGATTGCAATTTGGGTGTGGCGCTGATGAATTTAGTACTTGGATGTTTGCTGTAATAATGTTGTCAGCGACGTGTGAGGGTTTCCCGCTATGCAGAGTTATTACTCACATCAGCTTAGAGCACGTTCGAGACCAGAACCTCATACGCCGGGAGACCGTTTCGGTCAAGGGCTCTACCCTCTACTGTGTTTGTCAACCTTTCGGTCCTGGTTGACTAATAACCTGATGAAATGATAAGAGCAAGACTACTGCGAGCCAATGCCGCTTATTTCCGCAATGACACAGAAAACTTTACTGGTTTCGGCCCGTGCGTGTATTGGCGCCGGCAGTGGCTCAACAAGCGCGCAGTTTGCCTCATTTGTTGAGCCAATCATGTCTTCTCTTTGCACACTTTGCCTTTAGTATCCGGCAGACGCTCCCATGAGTTCATTGACAGAAGCGAGAGGCGTGGATGATCTTCCACAGGCACGGTCATTGGTTCGAAAAGTGAATGGTTAGGATGACTTAGCCGCTTCTGTGCTCTGTACATACGCCTTGAAGAAAAGCTAAAGAGTATCTTTATTCACATATCTCCAAGTCATGACGTTTCACGGCACTGGTGGGCACGCCTCAAGCAGCCCAACACGATTTATCGTTTTTTCGGCGGAATTTCACATCAAACGAACGGAAACAAAAGAGACTTCCCGCTTCTCCTTTTCTTGAATAATGGATCTTGAGCTGGTTCCATCCGCATGTAGTCCCACAGCTGGCTCTTTGAGGCCGCGCCATTGGGGACGCGATCCACCAACAGTCGGAAAATTTTACGTTTGTGGAACATGACTCGAAGGCTTCTAGAAATTTTCTCGCCGCCAGACAAGTGGCTGCAATACCTACATCACCGCACATTCACGGTGTCATCCAAGGTTTTCCCCAGTTCATCAAGGATCAGGTGGATATTTTAGCATCAGACTCAAACGATCTTGCATTGCGGGGATGATCTCTTTTTTGCTGCTACAAATAGACCAGTCGTACAAGTCGTTGGCCGGATGGATTCGCGGAGAGCATAAGCGAACGGGGTGAATCGCGTAACGGATTGTCGACATCCACCCAAGATAGGCAGTCCTCGGCATATCGATGGGTCCCTTTTGAGAGAGTTGCCCCTAGCCTCTCATGTCCCGAGCTCTGCCTCTTAAATACCCAATCTGCGGCTTCCAGTTTTTCTCCTCCTGGCCAGCCCACTCTTTCCCCCCGAGAGCAGTGTGTCCGTAACCTCTATCTGAAGGGAGTTTGTGTTGTGTCTTTACTACTACCTACCTATCAACTCTACGGCAACTCATCACCTGCGTCTTCAACATGGCCGACACCATAGCCAGCACCCATAATGAAGCCTACGGCCAACACAACTCAAAGGGCAGCGCCGAGAAATATGAGAATCAGCAGACTGAATCAGACGCTGCAGCCGACAATGAGCTTTTCGGAGAGACAAGCGAGGAGCTGCAAAACAGTCGACTGAAGCAGATTGCAGCACAAGGCAACGCTCACTTCCATCGACTCGGCTGGAAACGCCTGGCTATAGTCACCATCGTCGAAGCCATTGCCCTGGGAGCTCTCAGTCTACCGGCAGCTTATCACACTCTCGGAATGTTTCCGGGCGTGTTTCTTACCATTACGCTCGGACTGATCACCATTTTCACCAGTTATCTCGTGGGACAAGTCAAGCTGGCTTATCCCCAAGTCTCCCACTATGCTGACGCGGGAAGACTCTTGTTTGGACGATTCGGTTATGAACTCCTCGGCGCTGCTATGGTTCTCGAACTCGTCATGTCAGTGGGCTCACACGCATTGACTGGCAGCATTGCTCTCAGCACCCTCAATGGGAATCACGTCTGTTCCATCGCGTTTTCGGCTGTGTCGGCTTTCATCCTGTTTCTCTTGGCCATCCCGCCCTCCTTCACCGAGATTGCTATCCTTGGCTACATTGACTTCGCGTCAATCATTATTGCGATTGGCATAACAATAATTGCCACGGGAATCAAGGCGAGAGATGCACCAGGCGGACTTTCTGCGGTCGAATGGTCTGCATGGCCCCAAGAGGGAGTCACATTCTCCGAGGCTTTCGTGGCCGTCAGCAACATCATCTTTGCCTTCAGTTTCGCGATTGGCCAGTTTTCTTTCATGGATGAGATGCATACTCCTAAGGATTTCATGAAGTCAATCTGGGCCTCTGGAATTGCTCAAATCGTCATCTATACCTTGACCGGCGCCCTGTGCTATGCATTTATCGGGCCGTCTATCCAGTCTCCCGCTTTATTATCGTCCGGTCCTCTTATTTCCAAGATTACGTTTGGCGTTGCGCTGCCCGTTATCTTCATCTCTGGCTCTATCAACTCGACAGTGGCGCTTCGATACCTACATGGACGACTTTGGAAGAAGTCAATCATTCGATATGTCAATACGCCTAGGGGCTGGGCTTGCTGGATTGCGCTTGCAGCGTTCCTGACGATCGTCGCCTGGGTTATTGCCGAGGCCATTCCCATCTTTTCCGACCTCCTTTCCCTCGTTTCGGCCCTCTTCGTCACTGGGTTTTCTTACTGGATTCCTGCCATCATGTGGTTCAGATTGCTTTGCAAAGACAGCTGGTTCTCTCGAAAGAATATTCTCATAACCCTTGGAAGCATACTGGCATTCATCATCGGGGCTGTGGCTCTTGTGGCTGGTACCTACGCCACCATCGATGATCTTGTGAGTAAAAAGGCTCTCCATTGGCTGCCCTGGATCAAGTCGACTAATATTATTATAGATTCGAGAAACTTCCAACGGAAGCACCACACGGCCATTCTCATGCCGACGCTGATAGCATCAATTAGAGCGTACACATTCAACCTGATGTACAATTGATGTCTCCGCAATCCTAGAGTTCTGCGTTGTAATTGTAGTATATAGCCTTTAATTGAACCATTCATAACATTCAGGGAGAGCTCGAATAAAGCTTGAGCAAAAGATAATGCGTACATTCCGAACCAGGCATGCATTATGAGGCCGCACATATTTCCTGTTACCTAGCATCGTATCCAGACCCCGCGATATCCAAAGTGTGCTTCGGACCTGTGAACCATTTATGGGCATAAAGAAAGTAGTAGAGCAATGCGCCTCCCCACACCGTACCATTGACTAGTGCGGAGTAGTTCATGACTGATGCTGTGGTGATGTTAATACTAGGCCTCGTCACCATGGGAATAGTTGAGAGAGGAAAGCTTACGATCAGGATTTGGCCCTTCCGTAGGGAACATGCATAACACGGTTGAGAATGTCAGGTACAACAAGGCAGCAATCGCGATACCGATGCTGAACTGTCCAGTATAAAACGGCCCTGGCCGGAACTTCCCTCGGCCCCAAACCACACGGCACATGATGGGTATTGCCCAGGCGACGTTATTGCCGGCAGCTGCAAGGGAAAAGAGCGCATTGGCAGCAGCATTGTTGATCAAAGAGAGCAGACCGATGATGATAGCCGCAATGCAGGTTGCCCATATAGTCCTCAATGGCTGGTATCCAAACCTTGTGCTGATTTCTCGGAGGACTGCAGAAAACGGCAATGCGCCGTCGCGTGAGAATGCCCACGTTTGTCGAGACGCTGCTACAACCTGGTGGACGTCTCCGTCAGCTGGACGAACCCGACGGAAGTGTAGAAAAGGTAAGGGGACTGGCTGCCACTTCCAATCATCAACATACAATACTGAGACCCATAAAGAACTGCAAGATAGACATGGCTGACATAAAGCCTAGGGCGCCGCTTTTCCCTAGCGCATTGTAATAAATCTGCCCAATAAAAAAACATCAGAGAAACGCTCCCCCGGAAAATGTGGAAGGACATTCTTGCCTGGGCGATGGGCTGGCCAAAGGGCGTGCTCAATATCTCTTCAAAGTTGTCACCAGAGCATGCGGCGAGCACTGCTGTCACAAGGAAGCCGAATATCCAGCAGCCTCCAATAGATGCGAGTATCCCAATGGGCACAGCCTTGGTTGGATTCTTGGCCTCTTCACTCATATGGACGCAAGAGTCAAATGCCCCGATTGTCCAGATTGGCGACAGCCAGGAGAGCATAAAGGTCCATCCAGACGGCCACGCTGTCTCGTTTATTGCATGGCTGAAAACATATTTTGCCGAATTGATCGGGACATTGCGTACTCGCATGCTGACCGGTAACGCTATGATTGTGACCAGAATCAAGGCAAAATTGGCGATGACAAACCAAGTCTGAAGATGATGCATGATCCTCCCAGCCGAAGATGCCAGAATACCGTGGCACAGGACTGTTGCCACAAATATCGCGTAAAGATGTCCTCGGCTGGGGGCCCATTCCCCATCGCTACTGATTGTGCCAAGCGAAACAATGAACGATGCGAATCCATCTGAAACCCAGTTAGTTGGACGGTAAACAAGCTGTCAAACCGGCTTTCCCTTACAGTCAATGGAGCATATTCCTCCAATCAATCCAATTGTATTGCTATATCCGACGAGAAAGCTCAGTGGGTTCTTATATCGGTCGGCTGCGAAGTAATGTGTCCACCAGTACAGACCGCCAGACGTAGGAAGCGAAGACCCAAGATCGGCCTAGGATAGTTAGAAGTGTTATTGAAAGAATGCCGATTATGATTTCTCATCTAACGTACAATAGCTAATCCGACGACGAAGATGAGAGCACTGGCAGAGAACCATCCCTACGTCTGTCAGTAGCTATACTGGCGCTTGGGGAACACAAGATGCTTACTCACCCATACCATGCCAACCGGGCCTGCAGGAATTGAGAACCATAATGTTGCCGAGATCGATGGGAGCAGCCCCATGATACTGAAAGCTATAGCAAACACTTGAATACTGGAGTAGTGGCGTTGAAGTTCCTGTCTGTATCCGATGCTTGCTATATGCGTTCAGCCTACCAGTCAGGGCACATCATCAGCAGGATTTCATCGTACCCAATTGTTGCGTATCTGCCGCATTGGCAAGTGTGGGATCGTAGTCAATCAATTTCTCGACCACATGATGTTCATCTTCCATCTCACCAGCAACGGCTTTCAGATCCTCACGGAAGTCTTGAGGTGCCATCACTGATATCAGGCTCAAGCGCTGCTGCGCTACAGGTGGATGTCAGATGGAAATAAGTCGTTGGTATCCGATTTGGATATACTAATGCTATTTAATCGGATGTTTCAGCACAATCCTTATATACTCTACACATATACGCTGCTTCAATTCTTATCTGCCTTATAAAGAATGCGGCTTCGGATTCGGATTGATTCGGATTCGGACTCCCGACCTTGATATCTGAACTTAGCCTAAGGCTATCTCGCCGCCCCTTGTCTAGTCAAACGCGGGGTCTGGGGGAATAGATAAGCAGAGACCATTAGATCGACCTTTATCTAGATCTCTTCAAGTTTAGTGGTCTGCTTCTGGAGTGCAAGAGCTGCAGTTGAAGACAGAGGGTGTCACAATGTTGCGTCCTTCCCAGTGAGAACAAAACCCCTCGCTCTCACGACGTCAAGGGTAGCACAGATCTTCATGCATGCCCCCTATTAAGCTCAAATCATTATAATTACGAGTTTATTAGGTAAAATGACCGGTAATGTGACTTGGGAAGAGTTCACTCTGGGGTGGTAGTAGGCGAAAGACTGTCGATTTGGGGACGTAGATGGAAAGACCGGACGCGCGGAGATGGAGCACGACGAAATACACTAGTTCTTTTTGACAAAATGAATGAATAAAGAATCTAGAAATCTATTAAAGCGCAATTACTATAAAACTGGTGGACTTCAGTTTTTTTCGATTTCAGGTTTTAACTCGTTTGGAGCAGGAAGAAGCAATCGTCCGCTATCATCAGACATGTAGTGGCGCTGTGGGTCCTTTTGTGCACCGAGCCCCGTACTGCTATAGAATCTAGCCTCTATGTACTACTATGTACTCCATAGAGCCTAGGGGCTGATGCGAGTAAATAAAGAGATTTATTGGTGAGGCCGGCATACCATAACTGAACCATGGGGAAGTTCAGCTTCGTCGAGCCCAGCTCATCGAAAGCCAGATACGGTTGCAAAGCTCATAGTGTTGCCATCGACGAGCGGTAGCTGTCTTTTCAACAACATCTCTAAGCGACTGCGGAACCCTTCCTTTCCTAAGAGATTTGAGACCGCTTCTTTCTGTAAATGCTGGGATTCACATCGGACCCATTGATTGCCCGACAGAATTCGTTGATTCGCCTCCTAAATGAATATATTCTGCTTGCCGGTTTCTATTCCTATTGAGATCCCCACAAATATATTGAACTTGTTTATCTTCACTATTACCATTCCAATGCTTGTGCATAGTGTTTTCTGCCATCTCCTAGAAATTTCAACATTTGGGAGGGTCAATCCGAGAGCCCACGTAACTTCATGGATTGTTCTTCCAGAGCCAGATATGAATGAACCTCGCATATTTCGAAGACTACATAGATAGTCAAACTAATTTAAAAAACGGTCCACCTGCGTAATAGGGCTTCACACGACTGTGATTGCGTGATTGCAATTACTTTCAATGTTGGTTCACATTCATGTCCAGTGATCACATTCTTCTACCTGCTTATCAAACTAACCCTTGGTGGTTCCAAAAATAGTAACCGATTAATACAACAGTTCGCCATATTGTTATTTAAGAAACGTGGTGATTGCCTCAAAAAATTCATCGGGTTTCTCAATCCAAGGGAAATGTCCACAGTGGGGGATAACAACAAGCTGCGACTCAGGTATACGCTCAGCTGTGATACGCGAGACATTCTCTGAGCATATCGGATCATCTGAACATCCTAAGCAAAGTGTCCGAGCCTTGACAGTATGGAGTGCTGCATAGAGGTCAAGAGGCTTGAGCTTGTCAGCGGCAAGTTGCGATTCGTAGACCCACCACGAGGGCACGCCCATGGCCTTCTCAAAGATGGCATAATGTTGCTCCGGGTCGGCGGGATAGAACGATAATCTCACCCGTAAGCTCTGGAACCACTCGTCCTGGGACTTGAACGTTTTAGTTTTGGCTTCCTCGAGTGCTTCCACGGCCTTTGCAAATGCTGGGTTGTTTTTCCGATCCTCCACAAATTGTTGCCAGACGCGGCTGTCGTCGTAGCCGTCGAGCCAGTGCGTGACGAGAACCAGATTTCGGACGGAATTTGGATATCGTTGAGCATAAGCGAGTGCAATGGTACCTCCATTCGAATGGCCCAATAAATCGATTGTTTCTTGTCCCAAGTATTTGCGCAGATGCTCAATGTCATCTGCCATATCAGAGGTGCTCATCATTTCCACCTGTTGTGGTCGCGCGGACGAGCCCGAACCGCGGGGCTCTGGATAGATCATGGTGAACCGATTCTCGAGAGGCGATAAGCCAATCTGCAGATATTGCGAAGAAATTCCCCATCCAGCTGCTTGTACCACGAGATATGGCCCAGACCCTCGCACCGTATAGGTGAGCTCGATGTCTGGTGCGTTGAATTTGTGAACGCCAGTCGTTAATTCCGCCATTTCCTGAAATGCTATCCTGGAACGTCGTGCTTTATTGAGGAAGCTGAGGGGTTAGCTTCTGGTTATCGTTCATATTGACATAGTAAGCATCTGACAAGAGCTAGAATGGTAATACCTGAGGATCACACAATTGGAGGTGGGATGTACACTCGATAGACAGAGCCCGTGACTTTGTAGGCTACTCTTTATCGTGATAGAGAGTTGTTCAAAGAAAGCCGACTTGCCCAGGTCTCTATATATTCGCAGATCTGAGGCATTTGATCTCTTTGTAACTAGCCGTTGGCCAATGAATGGCGTTTCACTTTGATACCAGGTTTCGAAGTGTCCAAAGGATAGTCTCGGAATGTCACACCACTTTGCTTACCTTGCAGCCTTAAGAGGCAGGTAATCAAGGCTTTACGTCACTTGTTGCATTCATAGTTTCCTTCTCATACATCCAAAACAGACATATTGCGCGGTTAAAAAGTCCTATGCCATTGCAGTGCTAGGTAGACAAACATAAAACCCTTGAGATTTGCTACTCCCTGGAATGTTCGTTTTCGAACCAGGGTATGAGACTCAGCGATGGACACTCCAAAAAAAGGGACGGTGGCGACTTCTCGAGGCTTTCTATACCTATTATATGTCCTTCTCATCTGGTAGAAAGCCACCCATTTTTCTTCTTCATGGCTGGCCCGATTATGTAGCATTGTGGGGAGATCTTGCAACGCGTTATCTAGTACCAAGGGGTTATGGTGCTATTATTCCCGACTGCTTGGGGTTCGGCGATAGTTCCAAGCCTACCAGCCCAGAGGACTTCCATTCGATTGGATTTACTAGCGACTTGAGAGACATGCTGGATGCCGAAAGCGTCAAATCATCGTTAGTGGGCATGACTGGGGGGCGGGTCTCGCTCATCGCTTCTACGCTTATCATGCTGAGCGCTGCTCTGGGCTCATCATATTCAACGTTGCAGCAGCCCCGCAGCCTCAACGGTCTCTTAGCTTGGAGCAGTGGGCTTCAACGACGATAGCATCAATGGGCTACTTCCCGGCGTGGTATTGGTATCTATTTTGCGATCCTATTCTTGGGCCCTCGCTCCTGAATCAGCACATAGAGTCACTATTCATGGCACTACATGCGGAACCGGAAGCTTGGATGAAGACAATCTGTGCTGAAGATGGACTCAAAAGGTGGTTGCAGCAAGACGAAAAGGGCCACGTACAGCCATACGCCACTGATCAGATGCGAGAGGAGTTTATCAAGCGCATGACCCGAGACGGTTTTGAGAGCCCGCTTTGATACTACCGCTCAAGAGTTGATGGCCGTTTCGATGAGCTAGACTTGTAACTCCCAGCAGACCGATACAGGATAAAGGTGCCATATCTATTCGTGGCAGGAACGCGGGATGTTGTTTGTCGGGCTGAGGCAATCAAGATCGTAGAGAATATTGAACTGGTTCCTCAGCTGACAGTGAGGGGAAGTAGATGCCGGACACTGGTGTATGCTTTCGAAGCCAGATGAGGTTGGGAAGATTGTTGTAAATTCGCTGGACGATACGTATCGGCATTAGGAGAAGCAACTACGTTGTATCGCAATTCAACGAAGTGAGTGCTATGTCCGGTTAGAGTCAGCTGAACCTGTAAGTGGTACATTGCTCGTATACCGCTGAAACAAAGGCGATGTCAACTCTCAGTGGATAGTATAAATGATCAAGATCGTTTGGAAGAATAGGGCCGCAGCTATTGATCCACACATTGATGTGAAACTTGGAACAAGAATAAGAGAATTTAATCAACACGGTGCCGTCGCATCTGAGGCCGAACCATCAACGCAGTGTTTCTCTAAGATGCGAATGAATAGGTCTATGCCTCGTACATTTTCTCTTCGCTATTTGTTACATAGCAGTGATGTGCGTATGGTCGGCAGTGCTAGCGTAGAGCAGCTATATTTCTGCTCCGTTTGCCTCTACGAACCCTTCATGTTCTGTAAAACCCACACTCTGTATAGTATCAAGGGCAAAATCATTTGATACGCAAGATGTAGGGCGAAGCAAAAGAGCATGTAGTCTACGGGTACAGAGTCTTGTCATGTCAAAAGTCGCCATGGCTCTTGGATCCAAGCGCCGTAGCGCCGACCAACTATCGCGAGCCCTGCTCAGCAGTACGAAAACAGGCTTCCATTAAACCCATGAATACCCTAGATTGCCTAGCTAACAAATATAAATTCCGACCCAGGTCAACTTCGCAAAGGTCGGGGCTCCCAGCGTTCACAACGATAACGGGAGGAGCTGTGTTGGTGGTCACTCGTGCCACCTAAATCCATGACCCCCATACCCCGGAGCTTGACCATTGAATAGCTCTCCATGACATACTGTCTATCTCTATGTGGTAGTTAGAAGTCTTCAACAAGCTCCCCGTCACGCTAAATCGTTCTCTTGCTCCCAAGGATACCACGCGTGAAAAGTAACAGCTTTTATCTCCATTTATCGGCGGTAATTCTACTGTGAGAACTGGGCAACTCGCTTGAAGGCAGCGCATGCTATTCATACGTTGAGCGTTTCGCAACCGACTGATTGCTTTCTAGAGACCTTCACGGAGGCTACATCTTATGGCGCCAACACTGATGATTTGAGCACTATCTGGGAGAGAGAAGGTAGTTTTGAGATCGGTTCTTCAAAAGTGAAGTTCAAGAGTTACCCGCACCGGCTTCGTTATTCTCACTTCTAGACCACAAACACTACTTTACGTGCGTCGTTGCTCCAGAAGACAACCCGAGATCGTTCGGCGCCTCGGTTACATTTGGCCAGCATGTCATGCCACTCTATCTGATTATTAGCACTGGCCTGCAGACAGCTAGTACTATCAAATAGTCAATGCTTTTTTCACCCAGATAGACAAGAATGAATAGTAATCAATCACAGTCAGCTAGCCATCAATTGGTGCGGAAGGTCTTACTAAACCCATAAGCTAGAGACAATACTGATCCTCAGCTTACACGATCCACATGCTATCAACTTTCTGGCCGCTTCAGTTGTTATGGTGGGGAGTAAGACGCGTTCACATCCGGCAATGTCAAGATATTGAGGGCGCCACATCGGCACAGCGCTCCCGACCGTCAGGATAAATAGCTTCCCTTCTCGCCTGAAACGGGAAAGTATGCATATGATCTTTGACTTACACCCCAGCTCAGTTCATTACGCTAGAGAAGCAGAGCACAATCGTCCTTTTATACAGACTCTTCATTACGACTACCTTGGAGATGTCGCCATCATCGCCAGCTGCCTATTTTCATGTCAAGAAAATTGCCATTATTGGCGCTGGGCCTTCCGGTCTGTCCGCTGCTAAGTATCTAAGAGCACAAAAGGCCTTCGATTCTATCGTCATATATGAACAGCAGAGAGATATCGGAGGCATATGGAACTGCTCGAAACATCTCCTCGGGGTGGCTCCGATTCCGGAACACAATGACTTGGGTTCGCCGAAACATTGCGTCAGTGATGACCCAAGCATAATATCGTCGCCATTATACCATCAGCTATACGCCAACATTCCTTTACCATTGATGCGATTCTCTGATCAACTCTTTCCTGCAGGAACCGCATTGTTTCCGTCCATTGATGTCGTGCGAGAATATCTCCTCAAGTATGCCGAAGAAGTCATGGATCTCATCCAATTTGGGGTTCAAGTGGGAAAAGTGACGCCGCTTGCAGAAGGCAAGGAAACCACCTGGATGTTGGAGGCAAAGTCTATAGACGATAACCGCATGATCAGAGACAATTACGACGCAGTGGTTGTTGCGACGGGACACTATTCACAACCTATGATCCCAGAGTTGAAGAACCTCGCAGAGTTTATGGAGACGTACCCGTCTATCGTCTCACACTCTCGTGACTATCGGTCACCAACATCCTTTAAAGACAAGAAGGTCATCGTTGTGGGGAATGGCCCATCAGGTACAGACATTGCTTTCCAGATTAACAGAATTTCGACGGGGAAAACGATGCTTTCTGTGAGAACTCCAACGCCTCCACCAAGACTAGCATACGTGGGATGCGAAGAAGTTTCGGAAATCGAGGAATTTCTTGTGGATGAACGAGGGATTCGATTTAAAGATGGAAGAATTGAAAAGAACATTGATGCTGTCATCTTCTGCACAGGATATCGATATGACTATCCCTTTTTACACGACCTGAGAACAAAGCTCATCACAACTGGCCAAGGGGTTCATGGGCTTTACAAGCACATATTCTGCATCGACCATCCCACATTGGCATTTTCAGCGCTCAACATGAAAACAGCACCTTGGCCACTTTCCGAGGCCCAAGCGGCCGTCTTTGCCGCCGTGTGGTCGAACAGCATCCAGCTCCCCGGAACTGAGGAAATGCACAGATGGGCCAAAGCTTTATACGCAGAGCAAGGGGAGCGATTGCATCTCTTCCGGACGATCACTGCCGATGGTCTTTACATTAACGACCTCTACGAATGGGTGAAGAAGTCAGCTCACAAAGGAAAAGAGCCGCCATTTTGGACTGACATTACCTATTGGCACAAAGCCACTTTCCCTCAAGTCAGACTAAAATATGACCTCACCGGTTGTAAAGCAACTGGACTGGAAGAGCTCGGCTTCTCTTACGAGCCAGATTGGAGAGAAAAATAATCAGATTTGACGACTCCGTACTCGCGCGAAGGGGCAGATGATAAGTGACATTTCGGCATTCGGAACTGGACGAAAAGTGTGTTTGAGTCATGGTCTGAACGTTTGTATTAATTCCGAACTTATCGCTTTCAAGCCAAGAGCGGGAGGGTCGATGCCGTGGATATCACAGCGTTGATAATTCTACAATAGCTGACATCGCTCTCAATGTTCAGATCATTTTGATTCCACACAGCCTCAATCATGTGCTGAATGAGGGGGATATGGCTTGAGCGCTGGCCCAGTTCCCGTCTGGTCTCAGCCAAGGTGGCCAATATCTGGAGACGCTGCTCGTCTTCATTGGCCTCGCAAGCGATTATGAATAGCGGCCACGCACTTTCGCAGAACCCAAGAGTTTGCAGCAGCAGTATGCCCTCTCGCACCAGTCTTCTGTGGGGAAACGAGGACGTCGAGATATTCGCGACCGAGCGATTCAGATAGATCAACGCAGCATATCGATACAGAGAAGTCATCATGTCCTGTCTGTTTAACAACGATCCACAATTGTCATGGAAAGTGCCATATTCTCCAATGATTCCGTAAATGCTCTGTCGAAGTTGCTGAATTCGTTCCATGTCGGTGTTGTTGTAGGGCATGTCGTCATTCGGATCAGACGATGGCCGCTTACAAACGGTTCGGACGAGGTCCAGCGCATCCATAGGGCAGGTTATTCTGTTAGAAGCCTATCGTCGTCCCCTATGTTAGCATCGTTTTCAGCGTACAATAAAACCTTTAGAATAAGAACGCTTACTAGGAATCCATCGACTGTGGTATTGTTCGGCCGTATCGCTTGAGGACCTCTGCAGAACGAATCGATGGTGCTTCGTTCCGCCCAATGCCGCAAGGTGAATTCTGAAATGACTTCGTGGTAATAGATCCAATCCATCAGTATCGCGCAGTCGTGCTGATAAAGGCTGCGTGATTGTGAAGCCGCGAAGATGATCTTCTTCGCACCGCAGAGATACAAACGCCACAACACTCCGGGGCTGGCAGTGTCGCAAACCTAGCTCGATCAATACCTGGGACTAAAGTACTACTAGGATACTGGAGAGAGGTGTATATACTTCACACTGATACAGGAGCATAGTCGCAATGAGATTTTGCAAGACGTTGTCTCTGTCGGATTTAGTCAAGTTGACCTGTAGCATCGAGATGAGGCGCGACTTGTGCCCTTGGCTCTTGGAAGGTCCCAAGAGCAGTAGAGAGGACAGCGCGAATATTCCCTGCATAACTAGATTGACGGATGACCCAGAATTGGCCATTGCCGCTCTCATGATATAGTGAGCCAATGATTCATCAATTATTGGTGACAATATCCGCGTCTTTGTCGCGTTAACTAGGTATGCCACTGCCATTAGACGGAGAGACACGTCACCGGGCGTCTTGTTTACTGACAATAATCGAGGAGGATTCTGTTGTCTTCCGATACCAGAGATGGTGAAAGGCATGATAAATGATATACTTGGAAAGGGCGTGGATGATGTCCTATGCCTTGTCGTATCAGAAAAATAGCTGATGTGCGGGAGAGGTTGAAAACGCGTGTTGCTTACCAAGGTTGCGCTTCTCCTGTAGTGCGTCCGACAGTGCAACATCCCAGGACGAGGTATTCAGAAACATCGTCCCTCGTTCGCGGTATCGCCTAGGCATTTTAGCCGTAGTCGTTACGAAATGGTTGACTAGAGCACGCCGCTTGTCTCCCTCTCGTGGCCACGACAGCTGCATGCCATAGCCTTTACATCGCTGCAACGCCTTTGAACAATTACCACACGTAGGTCTGTGAAGATCACAGCGAATCTTGCGTTCTGGTGCGGATATTCCCGGTTAGCCAGTAGACTGCGGAGTGTAGGTTAGATGGATGAACATACCTCGACATGTCCAGCAGCCTTTGATGCCCATCTCGTGTGATTAATTCAGGCGATGTGTCTTGACGGGGATCCAAGGTGCCAGCCGAACCCACTCCATTATGTAGCAGTACAGAAGGTAATTGCGACAGGTGAGCTTATGGCAGTGATCCAGTTTAAAGCTCGTTGCAGCTCGTTCGGAGTTAGAGCGCTTACTAATGGCTAAGCACTTGGAGTAAATTCTGAGAAAGCAAGTGGCAAGGCAGTTTTCACGCTCTAGAGGTATCTACACACAACCCAGGCAGAAGCAGTACCTACATTTGGTAGAGAACGGCCGCGCAACCTTTGAGCCTTCCATTTGATGCTGGTGTCCTGGGATACTCAACAGGTACTCCTCAAATATATCTTGTGCATTCAGGGAGTTTACGTGAAACGTTAACTTGGAAGCCATCTACAACGGAGCAATGAGACCCTGCTAATAATGCGATTCAGACCTTCGCTGCTTATTTAGAGGAATGTACAACCCCTATATCTCACTGAGTGCTTCCCAGTCACGTATTAAGGCAAGTATAAGGGTAGCAACAGTCGTTTAGGGCTTGTAAAGCTAACCAGTACAAGTACTGTCGTGGACGCCGTTGTATTACCCGGCACCGTAATGGTCAAGCATGAATGAACCTGTCTGTTTTCCGATTGACCAGTCACTAAGCAATCCGCGCGACTATCGACAACGTGCCCTTCACATATGAAACCTTGTTCTCTCCTCCGGCCATCTAAGCCTTGATAATTCGCTGACTACGAATCCTTTGAGGTCATTCCGATTATTCGTAAAGCTTCAATGGTGAGCTGTCTCAGAGTCTTCCTCTGCGTACGCAAAAGACCGTCGCCGTCGAAATTCAACCCGTCAACGAGATCGGCTGCCCCACTCCCGTTGAGAGCGGCCAGGTGAATCATCAGTGCGAGTGCTTCGGCAGGCTTGCCAGCTTGCAGATTGGCATTGCGCTGGTCAATCAGATCTCGTGACGCGACCTGGATTCTCTCAAACTTCTCACCCAAGATCTCCTCATACATGTCCGCAATATCGTTCACGGTGGCCCGAACTTCCGCAGTGGGAATTCGCTTGTTTTCCGTCTTGCTCTCGTCCATTTGAAGCACCGCAACGATGGCATCTGCCAGAAATGGAAGAGAACATCCCGAAAAGTAGTTTTCTCCGCCCTCCACGAATGTCACTTTTCGATGTCGTGGGTCAAAGATGCCGAAAGCGCCTTCCAACCATGGATCCATAAATGCACCAGGTACGAGTGTCGTGAAGCTTGTAGGTCCGCCATCTTCAGCCAGAGATAGGAATTTTCGGGCCGTCAGCACAGGCGAGCTGTCTTCAGGCCAGTTGCCACCTTCCGTCAACAGCTTAACAGCTTCCGGGTGTAAAATGTCTCCAGAATACTCGGATGGGAATATGCGACGCACGCCAGCCTGCTGCGCGGCTTTGAGGAGCAGTTTGTCGATTATTTTCGACGCAAAGCCGGAGAGGAAGGACAGAATCGCGTCGGCCCCGTTCACAGCTTTTACAAGCTCATTATGATCGAAATAGTCCACGGGGATGATCTTTGCTCCCGGAATGGAGACAGATTCACCGCCGACCTTGATTCGGGTCAAGATGGTAACATCAAAAACTGGCTCTGTACAAGCCACGATGGCGCGGATGGCATGGTCAGCGACGTAGCCACGGCTTCCGGCGATGACAAGTTTGGTGAAAACCATGTTGAATAAGAACAAGCCAAATACCCCTTTTAAGAAGATGAGAAACGAATGGCGTCTAAGAATAAGAGGTTACAGCTGTAAATAGAAATGTCGAGCCTCCAGTTCACCTGCGTCTTTTATACCTTTGTATTATACAATATTGCGTCAATATCATTTCCTCTTGCTCGCAGTGGCATGGTGTTGGCAGTAGCCATTGTTACCTGAATTTGAGAAACTTTGACCGAGCATCTCAATTACTGTGTGATCGGACAGCTATGACATACAGGAAATATAAACAGAATGGCTGAATATCACCACCAAATTGTAACGAACTGGAAATGAGGCGTTTGGGGTAGGCATGAAGTGAGCACCTGGTAACTATACGGAATGGGCGGGGCAATTACTACCTATCACCTAGACTACCTAGGTACCCAGGTTCTGTGAGCTTATAAATGGAGTCTGACAAAGTATTGGCAATTATTCCCGAAGGATGCAAAGGATGCAAAGGACGCTCGAATGACAACCGCCATCAAAAAATAATTGAGTTGATTGATCATCATCATTGTCCTGCGTGCGACAGACACATCAAGTTCAATGTACTGGATGAAGGAATAGTACATGTACCTATAAATAAGGAAGCATAAGGTAGTATCCAAGTGCAATACAGTGAAGGCAACACTGCAGAACAAGCCATTGCGAAACACCTACTCCGTACATCAACTAACAACATTCGAGATTAAACTATAAGATGGCTCACCGAGTGGCTCTGATTTTGGGTGCTGGACCAAACGTTGGGTTCAGCGTTGCCAAGGCATTCGCAGCGCAAGGCTACAAAGTGGCGATTGCTTCGCGGTCCAAAAGAGACGACGCGGACATTAAGCAATATCTCCATATCCAGGCGGACTTTTCTGAGCCGTCATCGATCGAGAACATATTTGCCACGGTGATCAGCGAACTCGGTCATCCGAGCGTTGTGATTTACAATGGTTTGTTCTTTTCCGCCTGCTCGACATTACAATGCATCAGAGCAGAAAATTGACATTGCTCGATAACTCAATAGCTGCTGCATACAGCCTGGACCCGGCAACTACTTTGCAGCAGCAAATCGCCGCCTTTCAGCGCGATAACAATATCAACATTGTGTCCACATATGCCGCGACCCAGTTAGCCATCAGGTCTTTCGCTGTTCTCCCCCCGGATTCATCCAAAACGTTCATTTATACCGGAAACATGCAACGCTTGATGGTCATACCACCTTTGCTGTCCCTGGGAGTTGGTAAATCTGGATCTGCACATTTGATACACTACCTATCAGAAGAGCACAAGAAGTCCGGCTACAAGTGAGTTGCACAGGGTAGTGAACTTGAGGTATTTCTGATAGCTGACATGATTTAGCTTTTACTTCGCGGACGAGCGCAAATTCGACGGAAACCCGGTATATGGCGCTATCAGTGGCCCGGCCCACGGCGCTTTCTACACGGAGCTTGCTGCTCAGAAGGCTCAAGGGCCATGGAACGCAACCTTTGTCAAGGATAAAGGCTATGTTGCTTTTCCGGAAGCTGTGGTATCCGGGTTTCCGGCCAATAAAACTTGAGTATGCCAGACGTCGAACTGAAGCTGCGGATTCAAGGATCACGCAAGCGAATGGGTACGAGTTGACGAAACAATGCTGGGACTGTCATTACCGATCTGTATGGCTGCCTATTTCACCTCATACTGAGTTCACTCATTCTACTTGGAGAAAGCTTAAGAATTCTATTTGCAAGCTTGAAAGATCACAACCCATTATGTAGTAACCTCTCCAACATATCTGTTCCCAAAGCTATACCATCTTGTGCCTCTCAAGTCCCCACCACAGTATGCCCTGGCAAACACCCCCTGTCACCGTCTATCAGCCGTCAGGCTCCGACGGTCTTCAAAGCTTCCTCTGTGATCCGCCACAATGATCGAGCCAACTCACTGTTGCGCGACTTGTCGGATCCCGGGTTGGTCTTTCCAGGTGCGGTCAATAGTTTACCTTTGTATTTCTCGGGCTCATTCACAATTTCTTTTGCAGTAGCGCAGAAAAGCTGAGTCAGAGCACCTTTTTCAGGGCTCTTCATCACCATCTTCAGCACAGGCTTCAAGAAGCCGGGAAATACGCTCATGCCACCATCGGTAGCGACGGGGCCGGGATCCACTGCCAAAGCTGTGATCTTGACATCTTCTTCATCTAACCGCCGCTGTAGTTCCCTCGTGAAGAGGAGGTTTGCTAGCTTACTAGCGCCGTATCGACTGAAGACAGTCTTACGCGAAGTGTAATCATTTGAATCAGTTGTGCCAGGATCGCTGAGATCTTCCGTGGTTGTGAAGTTGTTGTGCTTGGGTGCAAACTTCTCGGCAACTGAGCTTGACTGTGAATTACATGTTTTAGATCAATGATGTCAAATGGTGGGTGTGCGCAAGTCAACTTACGGTCACGATACGGACGTCAGAGCCAATTGCCGATGCAGTAGCTTTCAAAAGTGGCAAAAGCTTTGTGGTTAAGATGAAGTGGCCGATATGACTAGAGTTTCGCCCATTAAGACAATGAGCGTGGTTCTCGAGGGAGAAATGGTTACTTACTTCACAGCTATGGTAGACTCAAATCCTTCCGCAGTCGTTGTGAAGTCGTCCGTTGCAATGCCGGCATTGTTGACTGGAAGGAAAGAATGTTCAACATAAAATAACGCACAAACGTGGAAAGCGGAACAGCTCACTCAGGATATCCAATCTCTTTTCCCAAGATGACATCAATTGCGCTGCCTCCATAATGTTGGCTGGCCTCGACAAGTCCAAAGGTAGCCATATAACACGGTCCTTGGTGATGGACTGGTACTCGGAAAGGATGCTGTCAATCGCTTGTTTTGCTCTGGGTTCAGATCGGGCTCCCAGATACACTTTTGCACCATGCAATGCCAGTTGCTTAACGATCTGAAACCCGATTCCTACGCTATAATATGCCACAGCTGTTAGTTTCGCACCGAATCAGAGGCAAAACGTGCTGGCGACGCACTTTCCTCCCGTCACCAGCGCAACTTTGCCAGTAAGGTCGGGAATTGAAGTATTATTCCACATGGTCGCCTGATGATACTGTTCTTGGAGTTGCTTTGCTTTGAGCAAAATAATAATAATAATAATAATGATAATAATAAAATGAACTGATTTGCGTAAGACGGTTCATTTGAATGCAATAAGTCTATTTAAATACAATACTAGCACGACTTTCTGCAACTGTAGCGCATTACAAACGTTGCGGCATGTATTTTTCTACCTCGGGGAAAGTTGCCATCCTTTTGTCAGATGTGATCGATTTCCAATAGTTGGTAATAAGAGGAAAAGGAAATACTGGTTTTCGGCGCCTGAGATTGTAAGTACTAGTCATACCACGCCCATCGTGACCATTTCAGCAGGTGCCCTCTTTCGGAAGCGAGCGACGATCTTATTGGACGTCTGGGCTGGAAGGTTTCGTTCGACCTTCCAAGTGCATGTGTGCTCTACCCGAGGGCTACGAGAGCTACGTGTGTCGCCGAAATGTGCGGATGCCCAACAATCAAATCAAGTCACATATCATCTCAGCGGAAGCGAATTTATTGACTCTTATTAAGAAGAGTCGTTATCATACTCTACAGGGTGCTTTTCAGCGTGTCATGGAGTACCTACTAGAAGGCGAGTTCGGAATGTGGGGCGAAGAGCAGCTGCAGGGACACTGGGTGGTCAACGTGAAAGTATGTGCTGTGTTCTAGAAACCTGTCAAGACACATACCCAGAACAAGCGGCTTCAGAGAGTAAGAATTATGTACAGCAAGATGAAATCGCTATTGACAAGGCTCCTGCAATCGACCTCGGTGTTACTTCCTGGCGAGACACGAGCTAACTAGGGATGTGTCCGTCCACGAGTTACCGCTTCCAGTAGGCGTTTCCGTCAGAATATAAGTGCTATCAAATGAACCGGCACCCCAGCCAGCATAGCCAAGATAGACATCTGAGTTCTGGTTGAGGTACTGGATCTGTTGGCACAAATCTTGGATGCAGGACTGAACATTGCCACCGCCGGTTTCCGTCAGAATAGCCTGGCGGTTGTTCTGTCGAAGCCAAGTGGCGAGAGGACCAAAGGCGCCGTCGATGTTGTTTGTAGTGCATTCGGCGTGAGTACCGGAGTTGTCCGAGTCTAAGTACTTGTGGACATCGAAGATTAGATTCGTTGTTGATCCATCAGGGTTCGTTACCTGAGACAGGGCGGCTGCACTGCCATCGGAAATAAAAGCTGCCGCAGATTGATAATCATTTCCAGGCAGAGAAATGTATTGCGACGTAGCACCGGCGTTGCGGATTGCAGTGACGACCTCTTGAACCGTGGCAGCCCAAGTGTTGATGTTCACGTCGTGGGGCTCATTCATTATTCCGAACCACACCCTCGACTGAGACGCGTACTTCGATGCCAACTGCGACCAAAGACTGGTAAACTGGGCATTTGTAGGGCCTCCCTGGCCAATGATTCCACCGTTCCATCGAGCATAATTGTGGATGTCGATGATGCAGTATACACCGAGAGACAGGCACCCCTGAACGAGCTGATCATACTTCGAGATACTGGTGGAATCGAGAGTTCCACCCAGATTGTTGTTTACGAGGTACTGCCATCCGACGGGTAGGCGGAAAATAGTCATCCCATCATCGTTGACGAAGTGCTGCATCTGGCCGATACCGTCCGGGTAGTTGTTTGCCCCAGTGAAGTTCTTCAACGGAGGATAAACCTTCGATGTAACGCAAGTGCCACTGTAATCATACATTCATCAGCCACTAGATTCTTGAGAGTGTAATCAGGGGATTGAAGAAAACACCGCCGCCTATCAACTATGCCTTGATAGTGGCAGACCGGCGGTGTTTTGCAGCCCGCACAGCTATAAATCATCCGCCCAGAATACTCAGCCCGCAACACTATGCAACATGAAGACATACTCTGTGGTACATCCGAAGTCAAAGCCCGCGATGTTAACGCCAGCAAATCGAACTCCAGAGCTGGTCGGTGGAGGAGATGAGGTCGTTGAGGTGGCTCTGGTGGTGGTGGTTGGACCGGAGGGGGGTCGGGTCGAGGTGGTGATACTAGTGGCCCCCGGAATGCATTGCGCATAATAAGGATTGAGAGTAGAACAAGCTGATCCAGGAGCACAACTCGTAGGTCCGCTCCAACCAATACCTCCACACTGTCCCCAGACAGTCTGTTGTGCAGCAGCGCCCCCGAAGAGTATCGACGCTGCAAGCAGCAATGGAGCCATGGTCCTGTTCATCGTGTATGGCGGGAGGCAATCAACAGACAGACACTATGGGCACTGATTAATGATAGATGAGCAAATTTACTGATGACTTGTGTCTTTGGGAAAAACTGATATTGGGATATCAGGCCAGGGAGGAGGCGAAAGTTGTTGAAAGGCAGTATGTTGAGGAGAAATGACACACCTTCTTGTTGTCCGATTGTAAAGCGGCCTGGTGTCCTTGGATTGGTGCAACAGATTGCGTTCTAACAAGAAGAATTTCAGAAAGTTCTTGCTGGTTTGATGACCAAGCACCTCTACCGGTCAACGACAAACCTAGTTTTGGGCAATGTATTTATATCTGCGCAGATGAACCACCCCCAGACATGAAACATTTTCCCGCATGCCTTGTAAATTGGCTTGACATTGTCCCTTGCAGTGTAACCTCTAGGAGCCTCGTTGGAATACCTCCATAACGGCGTAGGTGACGAGACCAAGTGATGGTTGGCCCGAGAACTCTATTAGCTGTTCGTAATTTGCTGTTAAACAATGGTATTGAGCCTGAATAACTTGTATTCGGCTCTTTCGCCTGCTTGATAGCCACCGGGTTGCTCCATCAGGATTTCATCCAGGGGCACTAGGTTGCTTATCCGATCTATATTCTGAGGCAAAGATTTGACCCAATTCCCTGCAGGGTTACATACCACAAAGGTATCAAATTTGAGCTGAGTCTTCGCTCCAATCCATGCGGTATAACCGGTCGGCAAAACTCCTGATGCGACTCACCCCACCGTACTAGAAATCCAAATCATACCTGCTTAATGAAGACCATACCATTCAGCCAAATAAGGTTCATGCGTCGCTGACAAGACAGTAAACAGTCATGCCTGCTGCTGGATTTATAGCCTAACGGATGGTGAGTGTCTCCTACAGGCTTAATACATCTGGCAAAGGTCCGTAGGTTGGCGAATAGAGATCCTATGCTTCATAAACTGATGGCACTCGGGATCCCAGACTTGTGGGTGTATAACAGCGGTTTCACGGTTGCAGATTGAATTCGTCAAATGGGCGCCTGTTAATGGATGGCATGTGTCCCTTCTAAAATGCCGAGCACCTGTGATTCAATTCTCGGAGTGAAGGTTCTCCACACTTTGCATACCTTACAACGGACAATCCCAAAGCATCCAATCTTCCTCTATCTGGCATCGGTTGGCTTTTCATAGATCTAGTGATTTGTAGAAGACAATCGTTCAGCTGGCGGCAGTTGTCTGCGTACCAAGCCGTATAAGTAACTTACGAAGCGAGTAGTGGCAAGATTCTGTAGAGACCACGATAGAATTACTCGATCCTTCGGTGGTGTCGATACATGTCACTGACTGGAGGTCTATATTAGCTCGGAATTACACAGGTCGAATAGGTCCCCGGCGTACTTATCTTCAAGCGCAGGTGGTCTTCTCAAAATGGCCGTCCGCAGATGCTCATTTGCTCAGCAACACCAGCATTACCTAAACATCCAATTCTTAATCACTTTGGCTGCACATCTTCACTTACTGAATGTCATCTGACCAATCGTCAACGCCTTTTGTACTTCCCTCCTATTTAATAGGAAAGAGTCTCAAGAACACTTAACAGTGACAGAGGGATAGTATGAGCCATGCTAAAGACGACCCAAGGCTCGGTTCAATGTCATGCATGTTGGAATATATTCATCTATGATAATTCTTTTTTATATATCATTTCTAGAGTCCCTGTTTCACTCTGTGGATTTCCGCTGATCCCTATAACGCTGGTTTGCGGCCATTATATATCCCAAGCCCGTGAATGGCATTTCTGGTTTTCTCATGAATATCGACTCTTCGCTTATTTGGTGATGTCAATAATAACATTGTCGCCATATTTGGCCTTGATTTTGTTGATGTTCTCCTCCGTCGTCCTATTTGAATGTTAGACATATGGCACTAGTACTGGAGCGAGATATCTTGCTTACGTGAAGGAGAAGACAGGACGACTGGAGGGAGTACAAGGGACAGTCTGGTTGATGAGGGACTCGATGAATCTAGGACTGGATTAGTCTTCACATAAGCCACTGGGGAAGCGGAGTGCCATACGTTTCGAGCTCGTTGACAACATCCTCCTTCTGGGGACGGACCGAAACGGATTGCTGCGGAAGTTGTTAAAACGCGCGTGAAGACTGTTGGGTGAAGTGGATGACGACTTACCAAAGCCATTGTGAATGTTGAGTTAGAAGAAAGGGGATCTTCAAGAAATTTGTAAAGTTTGAATCGTTGATGTGTTGTGATATGGAGCAAAACTTCTCCAGAGACTGTTCACCGTGGGCTCTTTTATAATTATCTGCCCGTACTCCTGAGGCACGCTATCCGCAAACTGGGATCATACAACATTGACGTGGTAACCCTTGAACCACGTATCCATTTCAATAAGCCACATTGGGCAGCAGTATCTACGTGGCAGCATGCAGCGCCAATAAGACATGTAGCGCGCAGCAATAGGTGCATTTGCCAGCAATCATGCGGCTGTTGTTCATACATGCAGAATCCTGCAGCAACTAGCATCCAATAGGTTTCGTTGATATGACTCGCCTGCGACTCGCTTGCCAGTTCCGTGGCCCGCAAGGCCTCTTCCCCCTCTCTGCTTTGGCTATTGGGCGTTAAGTCGCCACTTCGTCCAGGCCTGTCAGTTTTACGAGCAGCAGCATCCCGCATTCGGGGAACATATCACATTATGTGAAAAGGGTTCATTCGTCGCCACAGAGGGGCCTGTAGACGCCCGCCTGCGTTCCTCTTGTGCGTCGAAGTCCACCGGTGCCTGCACACAAGTCCTGCAGCTAACGCGTCTCCTGAATTCTTCACGCCTCAGGTGGAGATGATGGCGATGCAGGGATAATGCCCAGATGCGGTACTTTTCATCACGACTCCAACAGGAGTGATAGACCTACGAGGGGCTCATGGATGGCATCCCGAAGAGGTAGCCACTTGAATCTGCCCTTTCTACGGAGTAGAGTTCACAAGTCCTGCGGGAATGCATGATTTGGGAGAACTGGATTTATAGGACATGGGTCCATGTCAAGTCGATTGCAAGTACTTCGTGGCGGTATATGAAACGAATTCGTTGCTGGTTGGGCTGTGAAGTGGCCCTACGTACCTAGTGTGATGTGACGGGCTGGGATGTAACCACGCGCCAGTTCGAGTATAACCGCCACAAAGAATAAAACCTGCGCGCGGTTGATACGAAGTAAGCAGCTGAATGAATGATGTGGGCTATCTGTCCCTCTCTGTGATTGAATGGCTCTGAAGCAAAAGAGAGTCCTGCGTCCGCTCACTGAGACAGCTGAGCACAAGATCGCGACAAGCTGGATTCAATTACCCCACTGCGTGCAATGTTGTATGCTCATCACCGGCACCGCCCCGACGTGGTTTTCACAGATCCGTACACATCGATGTGAGACATCAACTGCTTGACTCGACGCAGATAGCCAGCCGTTATCATACAACTACAACTATGCACTGCAACCACCCTAATAGCGGCATGGCCCGGTAGAATTGTTTTAGATAAAACAGGCGTTTCATTCCCTATAACTCGAGCTGTTCCGCGTCTTCATAACACTTGCAGCTCTTGGAGCAGCGACCGATCATGGGTTGCTTGCTTCGGCATGAAGTCAGCGACGCCAAATTCGGCGAGAGCGGACACTGTCATTCGGAGCGGAGTATTGTCGCATCTCTGGAAAGCAACCCCTTTTCCTCGCGCCTAGACTTGGAATGAACTCAGCATGCTTTGACATTTGGTCCTGTAGTTGAGACGGCGTACCGGAGTCGCTGAGATTGCAGACCGGAGCCGTGTGGTTTGAGGGCGGGCGGTGTTCCAAGTGCCTCCTGCATCTCATGATATAACCTCTGCGTCACGAGTGGAAACAATCTACAGAAATGATGCTATGATATGATGACTCAATTGCTCTTGGAGACGTACAGCCTCTCGAAGCATATAAATTCACAGGAGCCAAACCAAATCTTTCAGCTCAATCTTGTAACGCTGTTTCACACGAATTTTTATATATACTATTCTTTAAAAGAACGTTACCCTTGTACTCTTTGTAGCACATTCATCTCGCCATGGGCATCCGGCATAATGGTCGATATTTCCCCACTTGTTTCGCATCTTGTAGCATCCCTAGCTACTTCAATGCGTCTCTACCGGATAAGCTAAATGCCATTCGCAAGGCGGGATTCGACGGAATTGAGATGTCTATGCCGGATATCCTGACATATGGCCAGCATCTCAATGGAGAAACTCTCAACGATGATGATTTTGATGGCATTGTCTCTATATCCGCGAAGATACGAGACTTAGTGGACGATTTGGGCCTTCGCATTCTTATGTTACAGCCATTTTCGAGATTCGAAGGGTGGTCAAAACTACAACAATCCGATGAGAGAGAGGCAGCCTTTCGTCGGGCTCGCGGATGGATAAGGGTTATGGAGGCTCTGGGTACAGACATGTTGCAGGTAAGGAGAATGGCAGAATTCGGGTGTGCTACAGCTCACATGTCGGCATTAGGTGGGATCATCAGATGCTGACGGAATCTCCTCCTCGTTGGATGACCTCGCCGCGGACCTGAGAGAGTTGGCCGACCTGTTAGCAGAAAAGGGATTTCGCCTCGCATATGAGAACTGGTGTTGGGCAACACGTGCTCCGACGTGGGAGGATGTGTGGCAAATAGTTCGGAAGGCGAATCGCTCTAACTTGGGCCTTTGCTTGGATACCTTCCAGACTGCGGGAGGTGAATATGGTGACCCAAGCACAGCGTCAGGAGTCATCGAAGAAATCGGGAGAGAAGAGTTGGATGCGCGGTGGAAGCACAGCATGGCGGAGATGGCGGATACCATTCGCGGCGATGAGATCTTCCTGCTTCAGATCTCGGATGCATACAAAGTGACTCCGCCTCTATGCAGCAATGGGGATAGGCCAAGGTGTGCCTGGAGCCATGACTATCGTCCGCTCCCTTTCGATGGAGGCTACTTGCCGATCCAGGACGTGTTGGGTGCTGTACTTCGCACAGGATTCTCGGGCTGGTTATCGATCGAGGTATTTGACTCCAAGCCGAAAGAAGGGATGTCGCTGCAAGATTTTACCAAAGCTGCCATGGAATCCCTACATCGCCTTCTGGCTGAAGTGTAAGCAGCTTCGGCCCAGAATTGCCAGTTCAATAGGCAGCATTGGACAAGCAATCTTGGTCCAACTTGAAGCACTTGAAGGCCGAGAGATTACTGTGCGTTGGACGAGTAGGGCCTTAAGCATCCAAGGCGAGGCGCCGGCATGGAACAATAGCTTACGACGTAGAGATGAGCTTATTATGCAATATGCGCCGTTCCAACAAAGACCTCTCGGTGCCAGATGGCCGACCAACCATGAAGGTCATACTCGTATCCATGAATGCTTAGGTTTGTGTTCGTTAACAGTGAGGGGAGCAAGGCCACATGGAGTGTTCCACTCTGCGATCCATTGCAGTAAGCCAAGCAGCTGGCTCAGCGCTGCTTTACCGTGCAGCTCTGCTCAGGTGCGGCTCGCATTGCTCTCTACGCACTGTAGCTCAAAGCCTACCGTGGTTCACTTGCATACCTACGGCAAACTTCTTCTTGGAGAATCGCCTTCATTGCACGATTTGCGCCGATAAGTGAGAGTATATCTGGAGGGGTTTCTGGCATTGGCAAACAAGTGCTACGTGTCACGGAAAGCTGCAAACACTGATGCTGGCGTACTGGTGACGTCAGCCCTTACTCGCAAGTGAAGTCCTCGTTAATCGTACCAGTTGCCAGTTCTCACATTGAATGTAGAGTAATACTGGAGTAAGGGCTTTAATCTACCAGATACCCTGATAAATCAAAGAGGTTTCCCTCGCGCAACTGAGCTATGAGATTTCTCTCACGCATGCATCTCCGCAAAACGACCAGGTCCTGACCGCAGAAGATGCGTAGCCGTACGCGCCGCATCTCGACGACAATCACCCACGCCATCCTGGATGGTAAGGATGCCGAAGCGAGCCAACAGAAGCAATCAGCTTGTGTGCAGTTCCCACGCTCTATGCTCAATTTTTTCTCCTTGTGGCATTTAGAGCTGATGCTGTTCCGACCCAACGATTTCCTCGCCCTAAGACGAGACGTGTGGTATCTGGACGACGAAGCCTATGCACAGTCCTTCCAGACACAGCACAATGTCCCGCCTCCGAGGCCTGAAGAAGACCAACGCGCCTCAAGCCTTGTCCCAATGGGAACCCTCGGATACAGTGGTTCAACGTTCTTCAAGACTTCGGATGGCAAATTCCTCATCAAGTCATTGGATCGACATTTTGAACACCAGTTTTTCATGCATGAACTACTTACACCGTACATAATCCATATGTGGGAAAATCCTGGCAGTCTTCTTGTGCGAATCACCGACCTCCTCTATGTTCCATATCCTACCTTGGGCGGGTTGCTGGGCATAGAACCGACGCACCACGTCGTAATGGAACATCTCCTCTATGGCATCGAGACGGACGGTGATGCTGCTCGCTATGAGACCTATGATCTGAAACCGGACGATTATTTTTTTCCCGAACGTGACATTGCGAATGGAAAGCTCGCACCGCAAAGCATCAAGAACAGGCTGGTGGACCAGTTTCCAGACCGAATTCACGTGTCGCAACAGGCGACGGAGGAACTGTTGGCTTTATTGAACACGGACACGGAATTCCTCGCCGACTCAAATGTCGTGGATTATTCGTTATTCCTTGTGCGTTACGCGAGAAGCGGAGAATCGCGCTTTGACGCTTCCGATCCCTTTTCTCCCGAAACTTCAACGGCGGACAGACGAGCAAATTCTTGGAGAATGGGTGTTGTCTCTGCTGATGGGCAATGGGTTTATCGCGCTGTTTTGCTGGACTTCTTCTGGGCTCGACACAAACTCCGTGCTAAAGCCATGGCTGGTCTTGTTGCAACTTTCAATACATGGGCTGGACATGGCCCCATGACAATTACTACAGAACCTTTCGAGTATCGGAGGCGATTCATGAGGATGGTCCAGAAGCTGGTTGGCGAGAATGGAGTCGAAGAGGAACACGATGCTGAAAGGAGCGCGGATTGCTGAGTCTGATACCCTAAAGTAAATTGCGGCCTACCAGATATCGCACAGTAGACGAAAAGAAGCAGGGTTTATATTTCTTACAAAGTCAGTCATCAGAACGGCGACTCATGTTGGGCAGTAACGCTAGTAGCGTAGTGATGTCGCAACGGACAGTCAATCGAAAAGCACGAAGCCGAACTCTGCTGGAGCACAAGGCTTTCGTACGCTGAAGCGGTTATCCATCAAACTTGCCGTCTCGCAAGGCCCTGTGAGAGATTATGGACTGATGCAGCAAACGCTTTTTCAGGCGTCGCTCCTCAGGCTCCATACCGCCAGATTGTAGGCTACGAACGGCAGCAAGGATATTGGTAATAGTTCTGTAGTACATTTCTCGTATACCTAGTAACACGTATAGGAAACTTGGTAGTTGTTGATGAGCAATGATATGTACCTACGATTATGTGATATGTACACTTTAGTAAATTAAGGTACGACACCCACGATCGTTAGTACCAAATGTATTCAATAAGTGCTAGAGCTATGTACAGGCATGATGGACCAGGCTCATGGCCAGGTAGAAATCAATGTGCTATTAAAGGAAGCGTAGGGGGAGGTACAGCTTAATCAAGATTGAAAGCAACAGTTAGAGTTTCTCAACGGATAGAACGAGAGGTAGGCATCAGCATTAACGATCGCAGGCCAAGCATGTGTTCTTGCGATTTGATGAAAATATGAGCATAAAAAAGGGAACAAAGGATTGCTTCAATTAGATGAAGATGACGATGAGATGATTACAAGCTGAGTAAAACATATGTCATTAGCAACTCGGATTTTCGCTGCTACACGTTGCAATGTAACTCCAGGCAGTCAGTGATCGACAGGCCTTCACGTTCATCAGCTGCTGAATTAGTACGAATGACTTCATTCATTCTATGACGGCTAAGCAAGTGCTCAGCTTTGTGATTGACACTATTCTGCAAATGAATTTCGGAAACTGATATAAAGGTCACCAAGACCGCGCTACTTTATCATAGTTCTCGTTCTACGATATCTCTAACTTCACAGTCGGCGTGTAAGGCTCCAGTTAACAATTTACGATATGGGAGGACACCGCAACTCTTATGGCTATGGTGATGACGAGTATCACTACAGCTATTCCTCTACACCTCCCCGGAGTCGGTATCCCGAGTTTTCTCGCAACCTAGACAAAGACCATGTTAGGACAGCTGCACGACCAGACAGGGGACGTGAGATTGGATATAATGACAGGCCAGCTCGACGGCATTATGACGACTACGGCGACAGGAAACAGCACGATGAAGCAATGTATCGCCGTGAGGATCGACCATCTCGACATCGTGGCCGGTCATTGCATAACGAAGAGGATGCGGAATACCGATGGCGAGGCGGCCGTCATCGCTCTAGACCCAGCGTGCGTGCTCACAGCGAGCACCGCCTCGTAGAGGCAGCAACAGCAGGTCTAGCCGCTGGTGTTACAGAGGTTGTGCGTGCACGACATGATTCGGATAGGGGTCGGCGAGCAGTTACGGCAGCTATCAGTGCTGCAGCCGTCGATGCACTTGTCAGTAAGGGGGACGAGAGGAACAGGGGGCGACATCTTGTGGAAAGTGCTGTTGGCGGGCTATTGATCGATCGGCTGGCCAACGGTCGTTCAGCAAAGTAGATATGCTAACGACCAAGTGCCTACATTCTGATGAATATATGTTCGCGTAAGAATCCCAATCCACGTTATTATACATGAAAAGTTACGACTATGCTTGGAGAGAAAAGACGCTTCTTACTGGTACACTTTACCTTCTCAAATCCTATGATTCTCAAGACTTATGTACTCTGTATTGCAAATTTACGGTAGATACAGCTTCCCATATAAAGTGAAATTTGTTTGCTACAGTCGGTAAATTTCTCTACCTCAGCATGGTCTCTCTATCGGCACCTTACAGCAGTTGACTTGGGAGGCCTGAATAGTCTTCACAACTCTCGCTCAGGTACCTTAGGCATAGATTAAGTCGAAAAACCTATCAGGAACCGTATTGCCATGCTCCCACCACAGCGGCAGCTGTTGTCACTGCTGCTGCAACCCTACGTTAGCCATTTTTCTTTTATCTAATCGGGGCCCTGCGTATATATCCTTTAGAAGATAGAGAATGCTCAAGTGTCTGGTAAGGCTTTTCAAGATGCAGCGGTTGCCAGATAGTTTTCGCTTCGCGTTGTCACCGCGAGCTCGTGTACCGTCGGTATCACTCGCTGTGTGATAATAACCTACCGGTACTGTAGAAGGATAAAAAGGTACTGAGCGACTACTGCCAACGAGGGAAGTAACTGCATTGCACGCACTGTAGAGGTTCGGCGCATCGATCAGGACGTGATCTTACGAGTTACCCGTGTGATAGCTGATATTAGAGAAAGTCTTGGTATCTGAGATTAATACCTGATGCTGAAGGTCGAGATCAGCCTACAAGTCTTCATATAATGTCTAAGACTTCGTAGAGTAGCCTTGGTAGGCACCTTCGTAGCAGCTAGAACAACTCACGGCTTTAGTAGACTTTGGCCATGCTGTAATTATTGCGAAACTAAGTAGAAGGCGAGATGATGATGGATTCAAGAGTTGCTACGACGCCGAAAGCCGCTGTCAAACTCAGGAACCTCATCAGCGATTGTGCCGAACTCCGATCAAATGCTACCGGGAGCCGCCACCATGCCTTCTGCGGCGAGCCAGTCTATGGGGCTCCCCCCCCGACTGCTGCTCCCGAGAAGCAAGTTTGTGGGGTAAACTGCCTTCTTCAAGCTAGCTGGAATGACGACCTCTCTGGGTATAATGTCTCCATTGCCATAGCAGCTACAGGATTTTGTACGGAACAGTAGTAGCCGGGTAACTGGTTGTAAGTCTCGAGTACCTGGTAAAATATGTATAAATATAAGCTGTCGAACATTGAAGCCGACAATCCGGTCCGCGGACTGCTCGGCACTTCCTCTATCTCTTCAAATTCATCTTCTTCAAGATGCTGCGGGAAGCCTCCTCATTAGTTGGCCTCTGTCTCGCCCTGCAGGTAGCAGCCTTTTCCGAACCCTTGATCAAATTTGCCGCGCCCGATCTTGTCCCTCATGGGGCTTCTCAAATCGTGGACCATGCTTTCGCCTCCTTCTCGTTCCCTGCCCATTGGCTTCCGGATTTCGCAGGTAGGGCTGCCTTGCCAGTTGACGATGTGTTGTGAAGCTAAGCCCCGTAGGAAATAACAGCCATCCCAACCTCTTCTCCCGTGATATCTTGGACCTGTTGTACAGAAAGACCGGGAAGCACCCTTACATCCGTGTAGGAGGCACATCTGCGTGAGCTCGAGCTTTCTGAATGAAGATGATTTGAAGATGATACATTGCTGATGCTCACTTCAAGGGATCGCACATACTACAACAGCTCACAGAAGGAGTCGATTTTTGTGGAAACTGGGGCGAATGGCATTCCATCCGCAGTGTATGTTGGTCCAGTCTACTTCGAGGCCTTCCACAATTTCCCAGGTTCATTATGGAGCTTCCAGGCCAATCTGGCCAACAATGCTACTTGGGGCCTCAACAACACCCTGGAGGTATGCGAACAGGTGATGAATACACTCAAAAGCAGCCTCATAACTTTTGAGATTGGGAATGAGGTTGATCTCTACCCATGCGCAGTTCGGCCATGCGACTATGACATCCACGATTATCTCCAGGAGTGGACCACGTATGCGGATGCAATCTCAGAAAGTGTTCTCAGAGGAAACCGATACGGCTTGGACGAGCAAAAGTTCTTCCAAGCCCTTGTCTTCGCAAACGCGGAGCTGAAAAGTTTTACCACGTCGGTTGTACTGCTTATGATATTGTCGGACGATCTGGAAGCTAATTCGAGCAAAGACCCAACGCGTTCAACGGAGGAATTGATTTGACCAACCATGTTAAATCTGTTTCCCTCCACCAGTAAGTCAGAACAATGTCACGCCGCGCGATTCTTACTGAAGAGAGAACAGCTATGCAGCAGGTAACCAGGCCTGGGTTAGACTTCAGGGTCAGTTCTCGACTTTCATCACCTTTTGTTCTTGCTCTAACATGTCGCAGAGACTTTCATGAACCACACTGCTGTTGTAGCCAACCTCAGCATTTACTCTCCTGCAAATAACTACTTGAAGTCAAACTACCCTGACATCACCTTCTTGCTCGGAGAGACAAATAGTGATTACACTAATATACTGATGAATCAAGTTGAGGGAGTCTTTGGTAGTTCTTTATGGCTTATTGACTACTTATTGTATGGAATGTCTCTAGTAAGTCTTCCCAAGGCTCTGCTTCGTACGAAAAGGTACCAGCTAACAGGAAGGGCAGAATATCACTCGCTTCAATCTCATTCAGGGAACAACCTTCGGATACACAGGTTGGGTTCCTGTGCCCACTGGCAGCATGCAACCATATGTCCGGCCACCACTCTACGGTCAAATCGTCGTGGCAGATATTATTGGCCAAAACCCTCATGTTCAGATTTTCCCCATAGATCTCGGGGCAGAGCACTGGAAATTTTCTGCATATGGCGTCTACGAGTCAACTAAGCTGAGTAAATACGTACTCGTTAATCTTGACGAGTGGAATTCTACAACTAGATACCCTCGACCAACCCAGAAGGTGACACTCAATTTCCCCTCTGGTGTCAGTTCTGCCACAGTCCAGAGGCTTCTCGGCGCAGGAGCGAGTGCAGACTCCGATATTTCGTGGGGCGGCCTCAGCTGGAATTATACCCATGGGCGGCTCACGCAGTCGGGTCAACCGCATCACGAGATTTTGCGCATCACGAGAGGCATGGCCAAGCTCACAATTCCATCTACGGAGGCCGTGGTTGTTACTCTAGGTTGATCAAAGTGGTAGCACTTGCATGCCATTTTCTTCCGCGTGAAATGGCCTCAGGTCTTATCTCTTACATATTAATTAGGCATCTTCGCATGAGATATCTTCTTTTCCTCTGTTATAAACCTTCGTGAGTGGCAAGCAGGCAAAATGTGCTTTCAGAACGGATATAACCCGTCTCGGTTGACGCTTCTGCCCCGAGTCCTTTGTTCTACAGTAGTGGTTTACAAGGGTACATGTACACTACCAACTATCGTCCGGCCATTAATCTCTGTACTCCGCCACGTGCTGATGGTTATTCTTTCTTCCCCGGAGGCTCATTTTGCCTTAATTTTTGACAAGCACTGGGCAATCTGGAGTTCAAGGCGTTTGTAAAGGCACAGCAGCAGACAGCAGAGAGCCTTTGTCACAATTGCGCAGAACCTTGCTATCATTGAATCTATCGCACGAGAATTCCCTGATTGAAACAATGTTTCACCGTTGGAGAGCATCGCATGGTCAATCCAGTCGTGAATACTTTCTTAGGCGATATTTGGTCTAAAGCACTTCACAAGGGAGTCTAAGCGATCTTGTTCGAGGTTGGAGTTTGATCGTTCGGTGAGGAGAAAATCCGCTGAAGGATGGCTGAGTTGGCGCCTACTGAATTTGAGCTGTTTGTTGACCCAGCTTTTAATGTTCTTTACTGTTCCATCAACAGATATGCCGCAGATAGAGCAATCTCGAAATTTTGCCGAAGGACATGCATGCCACTTATGGTTGAGCAGTTATCTCCATGCTAATGTTTTGCCTGTTACGTCTGGAATACTTCTATACTGGAGCCACAACTTGATGAAGTCTTTAGATAACATAGCGAAAGTTCGGATTCTCCTTATCTGTCAGGTCCTCCCAAGCGTGCACCAGTCGCTCGTCTCGAGCCTCGCGCACTCCGGAAGCCGCCAAATTATCTCGCTTCTTATTTTCCCTTGCTAGGTAGAATCGCAGAGCAAGAAGCACAATAACAAGTAAGGTATAGCACCCGAGATGAGTAGCAAAGGCAATAAAGTATCGAGGTGCATCCCAGGCCAGGAATACTTGGGGGCCTGCCAATTATTAGCAACTTTCTCGGCAAGGAATACCAGCATTGTCTTTTACTACTTACCAATTGCGTTACCGGCTGCCCAGGAGATGAAATTAAGAGCTACAGCTGCACTTTTCTTGGTTTGTCCGGCAACATTCCGTGACAGCATAGACAGAGCCAACGTTTGGGCTGCCCAAAAGGACATGGTAATATTGTAGCATACAACAAGACCAATCTTCTGGCTTCTCGTATCAAGGGGAACTGTCATTAGACAAATGGTGCCAATGAAGGACCTAATTTGACGCACGGTTAGTTCTTTCCGGGCTGGCAGCGATTCATCAGTAATAGTAGAACGGAGACTTACGGGATGATGAACGCAGTCATCACGTAGAGATTTTGGTTCGTGCGTTTGACCAGCCATGTCGAACCCAGGAGCACGATGATGATGTAAAATCCCAGGACCATGGCCAGAAGCTGAGTCTGCAGAACAGTAAACCCCATGCCTGAGATTATGATACCCTGGAACGCGCCGAGTCCGGAAGTGGGCAGCGTAGTGCAGAGCTGAACCAAGCAATAGCCCCAGATCTGAGGGTCCTTCAGGGCTTCGATAAACTGACTCTTCTTCCATTCTCTGTTTTGAATGCCCGTCTGATTGTCGCGAACTCTTTCAATCATAAGGCGCTTTTCATCTTCAGTGAAGCACTTGGCCCGCATGGGAGAGTCAGGCATCCACCACCCAACAAAGAGACCGAAGACAACAGAGATGACTCCGTAGATGAGAAACAGCCACTTCCATGACTGCAAAGGTCCCGTGGTGATAAGACTGAAGCAGTAAGCCAAAAGGCCGCCTACAATCTGTTGAGCGCCATTCATCATGTACCTACGGTTATGGAAATTAGCCAGCTATCGTGTATATTTCCGCCAGTGGTGCGACCTTACCAGTAAGCCACCCGCTGAGCTTGCTCCTCTCGTCTGTACCACATTGCAGATAAGACAACGAATGATGGCTGGCACACCGACTCGAAGAGACCGAGCAGCGTCCGCACCACGAGAAGGCCAGTGAAGTTGGTACAGGCGGCAGTGCAGGCCAGCACTGTACCCCACGCCATGATATTGAAGCTGAGATATTTCGCAATCGGAACCCTGGCAATTATGTAGTTTTGAGGGTATTCAACGACGAGAATGGTGATGAAAACGCAGGTTGTCAACCAACTATACTGCATTGGCAAATTTGGGTGAGCAATCGATCTAATTGACACGCTCCGCGTTTGGAGCCACTCACGTCCTGGCCAACTAGATGGGTGTCGTCTTTGATACCCATAATTGAAGCAAAGGACATTGTCCCCTTGTCAATAGCTTGCAGGAAATACGTCGAGATCATGACAGTGAGGATACGTCGGTCGATCTTGCGGCGCAGTTCATCGCTCTTCTCCGGGCTGATGGTGATTCTGGTGTCCGATATATATTGAGCGAGCTCCTTGTCTACTCGCCCGTAATCAGTGTGATCTTTCTCGATCTCATTGGACAGGACTGCTTCGACATGGTCCTCAATTTCGTCAACGCTCGGGCTGGACTTTGGCGGCGACATCTCCGGATAGAGGCGGGAATTCTTGTCACTCTCCGATCAAAGGCGCGGTAGGTGGTTCGGAGAATGCAAGCCTCGTGCTTGTAAAGCTGATCGCAGGCCAAGGGGCAAAGCTATGGTTTTATTTTGCTTCGAACGCAGTACTTCGACAGGCCGACATATGCCAAGAGCCTCACCCCGCAAATGCGAACCGAAATCTGGGGTTATCCCGAAACTAGCAGGATTCCCCAAGCTATCTCGTGGGAACGAGGCCTAAAAGCGTAACGCTGATGAGCAGACGAAGCTGCCTTCAGCCCTCGCTTCGCTTTACACCGAGCTTGAAGGGGGTGGTGTACAGCGCCATCCCCCAATGAGAATGCTGGGTGGCCGTCTGAATACCCAAGCCGCGCCCTCGAACTACCTAGTAAATGCTTTGGTGTTTGCGGGGCATTTCGCGGCTAGAAGCAAGCTATGGGAAACCCTCTTCGCCCCATGATTCCGTGGCTAGTCCTCGCTTCGAAATGAACCGAGCCGAGCGTGGCAATTCGCAGTTGTTGGGATTCACCGACGGGTGATCTCTTCCGAGCAAAGGTCGCACTCCAACGTGCCACAATCTCGCCGCGAACTTACATAAACTGCCAGCAGATGGCCTTCGCTCACGGCACCTAACAGTATTGGTCTGGCAAGGTTTTCTTTGCGCCTACTGCAGTGCTTCTCCGATTTCCCCAGCCAATACTGGCAACCGGCTAGCAGCTATGCCCCTCTCTGCTCATGGATTTGACTCAAAGGAGGTACACTCCAAGATCCAGCTTCTCATTGATGGACTCGTCAACATCAAGGACGAGACGGGGGAGTTCCTCATGACTCTCGCGGATGGCCGCGTGATAGACACTAAAGGATGGAATGACTGGGAGTGGACGCATGGCGTTGGACTCTACGGCATATGGCACTACTACCAAACGACGGGTGATGCCAAGTATCTCCAGATCATTGAAGATTGGTTCCGGAATCGATTTGCCGCAGGTGGTACGACGAAGAACATCAACACCATGGCAGCTATGCTCGCCTTGGCTTACGTGTACGAGAAAACAAGGAATCCGACGTACCTCCTCTGGCTCGACAGCTGGGCAGAGTGGGCGTACCATGACTTGGAGCGAACAAAATTTGGAGGCATGCAGCACATTACATATTTGGAGGAAAATGACCAACAGTTGTGGGATGACACGCTTATGATGACTGTGCTGCCCTTGGCCAAGATTGGGCTTGTTCTGGACCGGCCTCACTACGTTAAGGAAGCCAAGTACCAGTTCTTGCTGCATATCCAGTACCTGTTTGACTCTAAGACGGGCCTTTTCTTCCATGGCTGGTGTTTCAAGGACGGTGGCCACAACTTTGCCTCGGCAAGATGGGCACGTGGAAATAGCTGGCTCACTATTGTGATTCCAGAAATTATTGAGCTGCTGGATCTGGCTTCTGACGATCCGCTTTGCCTTTATCTCAAATCGACGTTGGCTGCCCAATGCGAAGCGTTGAAGGCTTTCCAGTCACCTGGCGGGCTTTGGCGGACTCTGCTAGATGTCCCAGAAGAGGAGGGTTCCTACCTGGAATCCAGTGCAACGGCCGGCTTTGCGTTTGGGTTACTTAAGGGACAGCGAAAACACTACCTTGAGAAAGAATATCAAGACGTCGCGTTCAAGGCAATCCAAGGTGTTTTAGATAACATCGACAACAAAGGCCAGTTACTAAACACGTCCTTCGGAACAGGAATGGGATCAGACTTGGAATTTTATAAGAAGATTCCTATCACCCCGATGCCATATGGGCAAGCAATGGCCATCTTAGCTTTAGTTGAGCTCCTGAAGATTTTTATATAGAGTAACGGTACCTTGTCCCTTAACAAGGATTCCACTAGAATTTGCATAAAGGTCATTGTTATAATAACTTTCCCAAGTCTCTACGTGGCGTGAAGCAACTCCAGCCAAGTTGTCGCTAAGATTTGCATCTTATATTATGTTCCAGTATTGCGCCTCGCTGTCAGAAGTCCTTTAAGAGTGCAAATTAACCAAGTCCGATTCATTCAGTATATGTGAGGTTATGGCATCTAACGGCTGATATAGGTAGGTATAAGAAACATCGCCCAGAAGTTTAAGCGTTGGCTCTCCTGTGCCTGAGATACACCTGGTCGAGATCTTGCCAGACGTATCTAATCCTACTTATTAATACTTGATTATGCATACTAGGGGAGTTAAACAAATAGATTTTGCTTATTCTTAAACACCCACTTGTATCTTAACATTTTGCCCGGCTTTTTTTTTTTCTCTTTTTTTTCTTTAGTAGAAGCACTTGATGTCTGCAAACGTCTTTACTTGAGAGGTGTGTCTTTTAGCTTGTATCCATGCACAAACTGCTCAGTTTGAACCGCCATGGCCTGACTCGTTTATACCTATTTTCCGCATATCAAGGTGCAAGTCTCTGAGCCAAAGCTTCCCAAAACTGTACGTGTCCTCATTGCTATGCAATGCTTTAAGTAATATCTCCTCTTCAGTCCATAACCGGTTGAGATAATGGCAAATTCTTTGATTCACCCTTTAATATGTTGTCAAATGTGTCCAATTGCAATATCATGAGCTTAAACAGGAGTTAAATTGCAAACGATATGCTTTGCCCTGCTGCAAGAATGGTATACCGCAGGTGCATTTACTATAAATCATGCTATGTCTATTGTAAGAGAGGATTGGCGGCGAGAGAAGGTTCCTATTTCGATAGCTATTCCATAAAGAATATATCACATATTAAATTACGTAAAGTAAATTTCTTTCAAGAGACTAACAAACAAGAAGTTAAGTAACAAAATCGAGCTCCTAAGGGGACAATGCATATCAAAGAGGTCGAGAGCTCTAGCTCACGTTAGCAGAGTCGTTGTTAAGAAGTTCCACGCAGTTATGGAGGACTTACCGTCTCTAAACACAGGAATAGTGCCTCTGGATGATTTCAAGGCAATGAAATAGCTGACATGGCTGGTTAACCAGTCCTCTGCTAGCAAAAGCCAAGCCAAAACAAACCATATTTATGTCAAACTTAAATAAAGGCAGCAACGAGCTTTACTGTTCTCCATTAACTAACATTAGGCTCGCAAAGTCTTGCCCAACTTAAGCGAGGTTACATCCTGGTATTGGCCAACTCGGCTACAGATTGCAGGCGTCAAGCTTTCACGTCACTCGACTTACATCTGTAGCAACCTGCCAGAAGCGGGAGAGTATTACCACAACGTGTGGCAAGTGCTTTGGAAATGATATGCGCGTTAGACATTATATCTTGTTCCTCGTAGCGGCAGTATACCCAGTGCAGTCATTTCCAGCACTTCTTCTTCACAAATTGAATAGCTATAACGTGACATCTCTTTGCGTGCTTATATGTCCGCGTCATTGTCTCGTGGCTTTTGCATTGTTTGTGCAGGAGCTGCATAGTAATGCTCTGTGATCTAAGTTACCGCGGAACCAGGCATCGTGGAATTAATAATCGCAGGAAAGATCGCGTCTGCATCGGTTTATTCATATCTGAAAACAACTTCTAATACCTGCGAGTAGCTTTTGCCTAAACCTACTGTTTCGGTTCTCTCATAGCGGCTGTTATTTATCCACAGCGGCGGCAATATTATGCCGTTACGCTAATATTCATTGATGCTCGTTGAGCAATTAGACTTGATTTTCTTCGAGTATATGGGATCTCCATTTGCTGTTGACGCTACTCGGCTTTCAGAAATGCTTCATGCCCCGCCTTATAGAGACGATACTACGCTGATCGGAGAGATAATCGTCCCGCAAACACTTTCAGTCTCCTTTATTTCGGCCATCTTCCTTGCCGTGAAAGGCCTATATAAGGCTCTCAAGGAACCACAAACTCCACGCTCTCAGGCAACTAAAACAAGAGAACCGTCGTTTCTTCTCACATTACAAGTTTTGCTTCTATTTCCAGACGCCCGAGGAACAACCATTACCCAAGATGCAGAAAGCTGTAAGTAACCACCTTGAGTT